AGTCCTACATTTCATTATTTCGCTGTTCACCAACGTTTATTTTAGCTATTGCTATAGGTTAAAAAGAAGTACAGTGTTCAGATTTCATTTCAACTAATTGATAATACCATATAGATGCCACTCCTAATTTTCATACCATGCATGGAAGACCTGATAAGCTGACCATGAATTATCTAGTTTAATTAATATTAACTAGGGAACCATGAGTTTAATTTATTTGAAAACAATTGTATACGTTCGATTATATATATTTTGATCTCTTGTGTTTTTTAATCCTGACGATCGATCTTGGAATATCCCGTTTCATTCGAACCTGTCAGCTTTTATAGGCGCACAGATCTGACGAGATATATTGATGAAGTGGACCAGTACTACATAGCAGCTATAAAAAGTTACGTGAACCAAGCTCTGGACTCTGGAGTCTGTTCCAACTTCCCACAGCTTACTATTGTATATTAATCATGACTCATGAGTCGGGAACAATTAGACAAAGCTAATACAATTAGAATTACTGATAATTACTGGCAGCTTTAATATCGAGTACAAGTCAATGAAAACATCAAAGGTACGAGTTGCAACTTGCAATATGCTAATTACTAGTAAGTTGTAAGTACGTCTAGCTAGTAACTACTAACAAGTAAGTACAAGCTAGAGCCTAGTAGTGCCACTAATCTACAGTTTACTATACTATCAACCTTTGACATTGACAAGCTGTTAGGCACTTTAGTTTTTTAAAACTTATTATAGACAGCTATATAAACTATAGACTATAATGCATTTTGAACAATCATGGATTCATAAGTTATAAGTTATAAGTTATAACGTTTGCATGATAAATTGACAGCCGGCCTGGAAAAGTTTACCGTATACGTGAATGTTGTAACGTACCCGCAGTACCTATGCAATGTTACAAAGCTACAGTTTAGCTCTCCACTAAAAACCGAGAATAACAGAAAACTGGGATTCCATGCAAGGTTAAAACTTAATACACATATGAAACCCCTAAATATGTTAGGTAAGCGTTTAAGCTCGCAGATATCAGAAATCTCTTATACGTCTGTGCTTCGCGAGCCGCTACTTGAAAATTGAAACAGACTAGCTGTTAGAACTTAGCGCCGGCGGAAAAGACAAATTACAATTTACAATCCTTGACTAATTAATTTGACTCTTTGAATGACCAAGAAATTGTTAAAGCAGCCACCACTGGCCAGTGTGAGGAGTGACTTTGGCAAAGTAATTGCTTATAATGAGACTTGGGGGTCAACCGCTGTATAGGATCTCTGTTATCAATTTGGGTATACGTCCTGTTGAATTCAAAGACGATCTAACTTTCTGCTGTTCTAGCCTTAAATGTGACATGGAGCCTGTTAGCAGTGCCTTATACTATATAACTATTTAGCACTTCTGGTGGACACTGGAGAGTAAAGTTTCTTGAAGTGCACCAGGCGGAACAACATGCATTTATATGACACTACTAGATTTTAGTTACTTCAGGAATTTAAGCAGATCAGGATTCACGAGCTCACCAGAGTACAATTTTTTTTTTGCCTGATCTGGGCAGCTTAGAATTAGTTGGGCTTTCAGGTTTCAGCTTGATACGGTAGTTAAAACTTAAGCGGTAAGCCCTATAGGGTATAGGATTATATATAGGCCTGAGGCTAACTGGGTTGTCTTTGTCCCGAAAATCTTCGCAGGTAATTATTTAAGAGGAGGACAAATTTTCCATGTCTCTTCAAAGTTTTAAGCGGTTGAAACCTTTTTTTGCTGGCGTGTATTGTTTCAGCTTTACAGAGACAAATCTATGGACAAACCTAAGGGACAAATCGACAAACCCGACTCCCGAGACGTGTTCATGCATAACATGTATGCCTCATGTCAAAAGAAAGAAGCATTAGTCAACTTCCGCTTTTTTTGTATGCATCTTTAAAACTTTTGATGGCTAAATTTATCGGGTTTCAAAAGTTGAATCTGTAAAGTAGTGATGTATTTTTTAGGATTGTAAGATTGGACCGAAGAAGTTAGAGCCTGGTATATATAAATATATCAAAGTAACCGCTTTTTCGATATTTTCAACAATAAGCTTATATTCATTTGTTACATTCAAAATTTGTCATTGACATCTATCGTTCATTATTTATACATCACATAAACACAACATGTCTACAACACCTTCTATAATGCTACCAGTCCCAGCTGCTAGATTTCAATCAGAACAACAGCAAAACAATTTACCACAAGTTCCACAATTTTCATTACCTCCAATTAGAGAATTGCTAAAGTCAACATCACCACAACAAGCTCCATCAAGACCTGCTACTACCACATTTCAACAACCTCAACAAATACATGTACAACACCCACAACCATTATATCAACCACAACCAAATACATATCAATCACCACCATTTTCAAACCCAATATCACCAATTTCTAATACACCAGAACAACAATTACGTCAACAAACACCACCAAACTTACCACATTATAACCATTTACCAACCCACCCTCAACAAGCATATTCATATCAACCACAATTTCAACATTTACCTTCACCACATTATTCACAACAACCATCTCAAGCTCATTCACAACAACAATCTCCATCTCAATTACCTTCATTACCACAGTTTCATAACCATTTTATTGAATCTCGCTCAGATACTACTTCACCAATTTTATCAAATGATTACGCTTCATCATCACAAAAGGATAGATTGAGCATAAGAAAGAAGAGACAAAATTTACCAAGACAAACTACTTTAATACTATTAAACTGGTTAAGTGATCATCTTGATAGACCTTATCCAAATTCAAGAGAAAAATATGAATTGCTAATGAAGACTAGATTGACTATTCAACAATTAGATAATTGGTTCATCAATGCTAGAAGACGTAAAATCAATATTTTGAAGAAGTTGAAAGAAAATGATCAAAATATTGCTATGACATTTTAATGAACAGATCAGAATCACAATCGCATCTGTACAAACAAATCAATTTATAAAATCATTTGCTAAAAACGGTTTAATTCTCTTTTAATGACTTGCTATAACTGACTATAGTATAATATATTTATATTATTTATATTATTCAAATTATGCACTTTCAACTCTTGTTTTATATACTTCTTTATATGATTATGGCTAATGGATAATGGGAATCGCGGATACTTTTTTATTGATATTAGTGTAGTTAATCTAGGATTCTTCTTTATAGAGGTGTACTAGACAAGTAGTAAGTGATCTGTCGATCGATGTCTCCGGTCATCTGTCAAATGTGTAGCGTGGAATTTACGAGGATTATTTTAACTCCAGATTCCGAGTTCAAAATTTCAAACTTCAAAGGCTTTTCGAGGCAGCTGTCAAATTTTAACTGACGTTTCCGAATAGAGTAAACTTTGTGGAAGCGTGAAGCGATATTTTTTCGAGGCAGCAAAAGCTAAAATGATTTTAATACACGGTACATGATTGAGTGAACAAACCGAACGTGAGTAGTGAGTAGTGAAGTCAAGGAACGTAGGTACACTAATTGTTCTACCGGAACATTTGGGAAGTTAAACTACTTACGTTATGTCCTTATGTCCTACGCTACCTAGCTACTAGTAATCGTAGTATATAAGACTTTCATCCCATCAATTTATTATCATGTTTGATTATGTTTAGATTAGTCCTGGCCTTCAATTCTTTTAAGTATAGATTAGAGTACTATAATCGTATAGCTGCTGTATATATCGACCAATTAATTACTCATGTGCACAAGTATATAACTTGATAGACTTCAATTTTCAACGTTATGGCTATACATAAAGCCATATGTCTCGCAAACACCAAAGTTGAGTTATATTAAACTATAATACGATGTATGATTTAAACGCTTAGCATATAAGAGTAGATTCCATAGACTTCCAAAGGTAGTTGGATATAATCGGAGTTGCAACCTCCAGCTCGATCCTTAAAAGATAGTATTACAATTTAGATGTTGTACGTTATATACGTGCAGCCAGTATATTTCCGGAATGCTGTTTAACACAATCTACAGATGTGATATACTACAAAAAGCCTGAAACCTCCGAGAATATAGGAATTTAAGGTAATTATAATAACTTGGACATTAATATCATGATGAGCCTTCAATATTAATTAAGCAGTTTAACATATCACAAGTCCGGTCATATATACTAAAATAATCATTTATCCGAAAATCATTATACGGGCCATATTAGTTATATGAATCTCGAACGTAAACGTTTCGAATGAGTTATAATTTTAAATATTAATTATAAAAGTCGACTTGCAGCTTATATCTACACGACGTAGACTGTGTTTTTACCTATTAACTGCTCTAGGAGGGGTATTCTGATCGATATAATATTGGTATACAAATTAATTGTTGAATTACTCAAACACTAGGGCCACCGGTAATTAACTTTAGTTAATCGATAATATCTGATGTCCGTGGTACAAACGTCAACATATAATTATAATTGGCCTTGTAGTCGACCATGACCTCGATAATATAAGTTATAAATCTGTGTTTATACACACACATTGCTAGGTAATTATTATAAGTAGCTAGGGATCATGTACGTAGTTTGTATAATATATTATATAGTCATATAATGGAAGGTCAAAGAGCCGAAGTATTAATTGATCATGCCCGAAGCCGAGTTTACATATAATTAAAGTTAAAATTATAAAGCTAAACTTATAAAGTTGAATTATAGTACATCATGATTTCTATGAATTAATTTTAGTACTTTTTTGATCATAAATTATCGCGTGTTTAACTTTAAATCGTGAAACTGTCACTTGTCAAATTCTGCAGAAACCTACAGCTCAATCAAAAACATCGTAGTTTTGGTCCGATCTCTAATTTTACGCTGTCTCAACAAATTGTTATAGTACAATGATATTATTTGTAATATTTAGTCAGTTTCAATAAGATAGGACGTAGGTACATATATATGAATTTGTTGTAACGTATAATATACTACACATACACTTATAGGAATTGGACAAAACTTTATTATATTTAAGCGCAATAGAAAATTGTGGGCACCAGGCTCCAGGTGCTTCGTAATTCGATACCCTTAATATATTTACAAAGTTGAATTCTTGATCAGCTACCAGAACGACGTCGACTTCAATTTAATGATCATGACCAAGCAGCCATGGTCCAATTAGAGCAGGTTATATATATATATTGTACATATAGTAATATATAATTAGTCGTACAACTATAATTTAAGACGTGCTATATAACACGTTATATCGCTAGATTGACCAAGAGGCCCACGTCAATTGAAACAACGTAACAAATTACAATTACCTGATATATATGCTACTGGATCATAATGGATCGTTCAATAGTAACTTGTACATCATGTCGAACACTTCCGTACACGGTACAATAATATAACTGATAGGCCGAGTTGATGGGTTTGACAGATCTTTTTTCGAAATTATCATGTCATTCTCAAGTGTAACAAGCTTGTGACAGCTTGTCTGTCTATTTGTACATGCGGATACCATGTGAGACTTTATCGGAGAATCATTTAGAATGGAAAAGAATTATAAGTTAGAACCCGAAACTAATTATAGTATCTCCCCACTGAGTTGTTTCCAGCTGTAGTACCCAACAAGTACTTTGCCTTTGAAGTTAAGGTTATAACTTATACGTCCAAAAACTCAGACAATCGTTCATGGCCAGGATACGAAGTTGTGGGCCGGGGTATAATTTATGCATGGATCAATTCTGCGTACCACACCCCATGAAATTCCATGACAATTAAAATTTAAGACAAACTAGTAGCTAGCCTGCGATGTTGAAGTATTATATCGAAAGCATATATTAATTACTCTCATAAACTTTCGGGAAGTTGGATTAAACCCAGTAATTATTTTGATATGTTCTTAGCATTGCTGGACAAATTCAATTGAAAGCAATTGAAATCAACAACTGGACGTCGTACGCGTTATATTGCTTATAGTATTGGCCATGGATCGTGATTCGTACCCTACTATATTATACGCTATAGGCCATGGAGAGTTAACTAGACGTACCCTTTTAAGGTATATACCCGAAAATATTATATACGCGCATGTGCGGCGCGCTAGTACTATAAATTTCGACTAGCAGCTAGAATTTAAATATATAAATATGTATATAGTTATGACGGGCGGCCTAGCGATATATGAGTTGCCGATCACGTATATATAATAGTGTTATATATCAATCATTATTATGAAACTATGAAGCAACAGCCAGGACTCAGATATCATAATTCGAAGACATTTAATTAAAATCAAAATTATCCACTGGAACTCACAATATTGGGCTAACTTATATATATATGCAAGCTAGCTAGTGCTTGACGCGTCAAAAGCACTGTCAAAAGCACTCAATTAGAACCGAGAATATAATATATATAAGATCTGAGTCGACGTCTCCAAATATTAATTGTTATAATGTTATCAGATATGCATACGTGCTGAACTACATCAAAGTGTAAAACCTTAAACTTGAAGCTTCAAGCGCAGGCCGGTCGTACTGGTATATGGTACTAATGATTAAACGTATAATGTTCCCCTGCAGCGACGTCAACTTTGAGGATTGACAGAGCTAATCATTCATAAATCATAACCTCTATTTATTGTTATATAATTGGCAGTACATACAAATCTAGCCCTTTAAAGTTTATACTAAAGACAGCCAGCTTTAATTAGATTCAATCAAAGAACAGTATAGAGATTTGTAGATTGCTAGAAACAGCAATATGAAAATCGAAAATCAGTATCATTAGCTCGTATGTGAACCCATATAAGCTTCAGGTACCTGGCATATCTTGTTTAAAAATCACTAACGATTTTCGAGATCTACAATTAAAATTTGTGAAATTAATATATAGAACAACTTAAAAGACTGCTACTCTGGAAAGGTAAAACCATATTTGTATAGAAATATGATGAATCTCGCCGAGAAGTTCGTATAGATTTAGAGGTCAGGACCATTAATATAATATTGTTCAACACCAGGATCCCCATGGGTTAGCTATGAATTAAATAATATCGGGTATTTCCCTTCATCAAAGATTTGATGATCTTGGAAAAGAAGTATAATAAGGCGGAAGACAGAAGAATTTTGTAAATAGGATTTGTCCTTTCAGTAGCTTTGTCCAATCTCTAGTTTATGAAAGTTGCGGGATATGCCTGGTTTGAAACGAACGATATTTGAAGTTGTAGACTGTAGTACTGTAGTATGTGTTACCAATCAATAGGCAACCTCTAAGTGAATAGTAGCTAGTTACTAGTAGATAGTTTCAAGTTTTCAGTTCAAAGATGCTTTGTTTGCTCAAGCATTTTGATACGATATTGATTATCCGACTGAATTAAACTGAGTTCTCTTGACAGGGGACAAATCAGTACAGTTCAACTACCTGAGTAGTAAGTACAACATTAGAGATACATCATTATACAACTGGTTATTTTGTTTCAGATTCGTAAAATTGAAGTTCATTGATTGGGATATAAATATTATATGCTATTTTAAGCCTAATTGAAATGCCACTTATTGATTTGTTCCGATTTATTGATAAATCCTCAAAAATTATGATAGTATATAAAATTTCAACACTATCATTTCATCAAAACCAGCTGATACTTTTCTGAAGTCTATTGTTTATGTTTTAATGTACAAAAATGAATTTCATCAATCACCTTTCAATCAAATTCAAGAGCGTAATTGATTTATAGCCATGTAAATTAATGCTAAAGAAACATAAGGACTAGCTCTTTCACCAACTCTAGCAGCTTTCCAAAAGACACCCAACAAACTGAAATAAAAAAATATTAGTAATTAAAATCAACAACAAATCATTATGTAACATACCCATGATGATTACGATCTAGTAGACTTGGCCAATTTGTGTGAATATATGTACAAGAACATATTAGCAATAATATCACTTGTATCAAAGCTGTGAAGTTGAATAATGCTGACTATGATAATAAGTTAGTCACTATGCACCATTTAGAGCATAACGTCATTTAGACATACCATTGTGATTGTGATATTGTTTGTGTGTAGTTGAATTTAATAGTTCTTGATCACAAGATCATTTAACACGCTTGTACAATTACTTGTTGTTTTTTTCAAAAGATGTCAAAAACGATCTCGGAACAGCGTATTCATAACCTTACCGTATTCGGAATACTATGTATATATATGTAATTATTTTCGAACCTCTACGTATAAAATAAATAATTAGTTATAGGTACATAAACACGTAACGATTTAAATAAATATAATAAAAAGATATATAATAAATAAATATAATAAATAAATATAATAAATAAATTTTAAATAAAATAAATATAAGGAATTTTACAGACGGTTAAATAAAAAATATTTAGCGTCATTAGCATCATTACTTAGGACAAAATTTGCTGGTCTCTCGGTTCGTAAAACATGAGCAACTTGTTGATAGATTCTGTACTGAATTCTTCAATCTCTTCAGATCTTCTTGAATAAGGTGTACCTCTCATGTTTTGTTTCAGGGTCAACCATTGATTTTCAATACCATTTATCAATTTGTTCTGATACCCTGAATGCTTCAAAAATGTATCAATTATGGAATCAAATAATGGACTATTGAACTTGAGATTTGTCTCATTCATCATGAAATTAAGAATAAATTTCAAATATTGAAGATCCTTGATATCTTGCTCTTTCAAGCTATTGAAAATATTGATGTAAATACTTTGAGGAATAGCAATTTTTAAATCATTCATTTCTTCCAAACACTTGAAGATTTTAGATAGATTAAAATGTTCAGCTGTTGTGAAATACTTTATCAAAGGCTGAAAAGTTGATAAAGTCGGTACAGGCTTGAATAGTAGTTCATTTGGGGTTTGTATTTTATGAAAATCCAAGAACGTCAATTCTTGGGCATTAATCCGCCTTTCATGTGTTGAATTTGAAAAATTAGATTCAAGAATATTAAACGTGTTGTTTATTTCAGGTTTCTTGAAAATTAAATCAACAATCTCAGTTGCCTCTTGAATTTGATTGTTTTCCAAAAGAACAGTAATCACAGTATTTATCATTGAAATATCAAGAATATGGCCTTCATCCAAGAACATTTCAAAGAAAACCAAGCATCGCTCATAGTCTCCACAAGAACCTGCATATCTCATCAACATATCATATGTGAAGCGATCAAATTTAAAATTGTTGGAAACAATATCATCCAGAATTTGACTCATAAAGCCTTCATCTTGTTTATCAATCCCTATTTTTAAAAATGTATTGAAAGTACTCATGTTAAACTCACCCATATCTAAAATTGAGTGATAACTACCTTTAACAATAGTTAGATCAGTATCTTGATTATAATTCATCAAGTACAAATAATTATTAATTTCTCTTATTGAAAGCTTCATACCGCAATTAGCTAAATCAGAGATGATATCCGTTAAAAACCTTGCATTTCTACCTCTGAAATTACCTCCCGAGTTAACAAATTGATCCATGAGTTGTTCCAAATGTTGTGGTTGCACATGTAATGGTTGTGGAGAAGGCAATGAACTATAAGCATTGTAAAGCTTTTCATGATTAACATGTTCCAGAGGATAAAGATTTCTTAACAAGTTGACATATGTTGTCTTCAAGCATGATTTCCTTGGAACAGATAGTCTTTGATTTCTTATATTTGTTTGGTTTTCACCAACTTCTTGTGCCTTATTGAATTTGGGGAGATAGATTCTAGTCTTGAAGCGTTGGCATAAATGTTGAAATGATTCGTAAGTTGCTGGTTTTTGTAGCAAGTCGATAACCCGAAGTCCTAAACTTGTCATAGCATGAGGTTCCTGATCCTTTGTAGTGGTGAATACCCAGAAATAAAAAAAATTGTATCAAAATCCGAATAAATCAATGGATTCAAATTAAAAGTGGTGAAGGAAATGGTGATACTTTATGAAGATCATGACTAAGCACTGACTAAGCATTTGTTTAATCAAAAGGTTTTTCGCGCTCATCAGAAAAAAGTGTTGAAAAAAGTGAAAAAGTATATAGAGATTTTGATTTGATAGTAATTCAAAAGGTAAATAACACAGTCAGACTCAACATAATGAAACCTCAAACAAGGGCTGTTAATGTGCTAGAGAAGACCTCTGAATATTTAAGAGCGGGTCTTGTGGACAAACAACCGGCATGGTACAACGTTGTTGGTCAAACTCCACCAATCAAAAATTTCATTCGTCAACCAAGATTTGAACATCCAATTAAAGAGAAAGTTGTTACTCCACCAAAGAAGGGAGATATCAATTTCAATGGGAGAAAAACAAAACTATATAAGACAAGTCATCATGAGCAAAAAAGAGATGTATATAATATACCAAAGTTGAAATTCGTGGAGGATCAACTAAGACAATTATTCTATGAACAACATCCATGGGAATTAGCTAGACCAAGAATCTTATTAGAAAATACAGGTGAAGATATCAAAAATCAAGATTGGTCTTCAATTATTCAAATAAATAAACCATTAGATGGTGAAAGTGTGGTACAAAGAACACTATACCTATTAAATAACACTAAAGGTTTAGATTTCAAAAAAGCATATGATACAGCTAGACATGAATATTATAGAGTTAGAATACAATTACAAATTGAAGAACAAGTGGCTAAAGAACAAAATGAAATGTTTGGTGCTGGTTATGACCTCAGTCTATTCGAATCTGGTGTTGAAAAAGAACAAGCTGTTATTGATAAATGGAAACAAGATGCAGTTGAAGGTACTCAACTTATGGAAGCTAAGAACGTCAGTCCACAAGCAGCTTGGAGTGGTGAATCAACCACCGAAGGTAAACCAACAACTACCACCACCAAAAATTGAAATTTCAAATTTGATACATAGTTATGAAGAAAATCTGTATATAATTTTAATATCTTTTAGTGCATTTATTAATTTTCGTATATATGTAGTTTCATCTATGTATTTCAGTATTCATAAAATCGTTAAATATAATTTGGAATCATAAAGCTCATAAATTTGAAGGGCCCATATTCATTTCTTGATTAATTGAAACAAATGAACACCTTGTTTTAAATACATTTCGTAATCATCAAAATCTGTAACATCAATAACATCAAAACTTTTTCTAATCTTTCGGAAAAACCTCGAATCTGCTTTTCTTCTTTTTCTATAACTCATCAGAACTAAAGTATCTTTATTGGTAACGTCTATAAGTGTTTTTTCTAACAATGTAAATGCTTTTTCTGAATAGACACAATCGGCTGCTAATATAACATCAACATCTTTTTGTGCAAATTCTGGAAGTTCATCTCCCCTATTGTATTCTGTTAGATATAATTCCGTATTATAAAGTTAAATGATTTATACTCACCAAGGTAATGATTTGGCAATCACAGTGTCTTGAAGATTATTGATCTGAATATTTTTTCCCATTAATGGAACCAATTCACTAGTTTCTTTATTAGTAAAAGTTTTGGGATATGTGTTATCAACAGTGGTTTATCTTACTCAATATCCGTGATGAAAATTTCCATATCTTTATCTCTGTTTTCACTCAAACCAAGAGTTAATCCAACAAGTCCTGTCCCACTTCCAATTTCAATCACTTTCTTCTTATTGTACAATCCTTTATCAAGCACATATTTAGATAATAATTCACCAGCTACCCAAACTTTACCTCCACATCCGATCTCACCACCATCTTCTAAAATGACTAAACCTGGATCTGGTAACCTACCTTCAAATGTTAAATCCAATTTACCAAGATGTTCAACTGGTCTTGAAGGAACCAAGTCTTGAAATTGATCAAAAAAGGAGAATTCAGAGGGTATTATGACTTCTTCTTTGATTATGAGAGCACTAGTCATTTTTGATGCGTGTTAAATTTTTTTTCAGTACGTACTATCACGATAAGACTTGAACTTCACGAAGTGAGGATATGGAGCTTATGAGATCAGATACTTGTGATGGAATTAACCTTGAGCTTCCCAGATCACACGAAAGAGATACAAAAGAGTTAATATTCTTTTATTTTGAAACTTAGCCCAAATTATCCTAAGTTCTAACTGTGGAAAAATTATTTTCACCTACCTTACCTCATGCAGTCTGAATTTCTATTTATCCCATCAAAACACACCAGTTATATTTCAAACGCGAGAACGTTTCTCGTATATCAATACATGATGCCATATTTAACAACCATGATCAATTATTAAAGTTTGGATATATTAATACTGGATGAATCAATCAGTTATCTGATTTGACTGTCGAAATAATTATATATGATGCGAGAGGCTTATAGTTTTCATAATTTAATTAGCAGTTGACTGGTCTACGGCAAAAAGCTTCCGAATTTAATGATAATTGGTTTTCACCATTAATATATGATTTAAAATATAAATATTAATAAATAATAACGATTCCAAGGGAGTCGAATAAATAAATAAATAGATGAATAAATAATTATAACAATTTGTATAACGGTTTTATTTCGTATCACCACCAGCAATTAATGATGACTTTCTTCTTCGTGTCCATGATGTGAATCATCTTTGAAAAACACATTCTCAACAGCTGTTACTACCAAAAAGGCACCGAATCCCCAGAAAAAACCTGGCCAAATATTTCCATATCTATTAGCTCTTGTAAATTGACCTTGATATCTCCATGCTTCTCTATTTTCAGTGGGGTTAGCATACTATTGTACAAATTGACCAACTGTTTTCACTTACCTTTTAGCAAATGGATCATGTGCTAGTCTCATAAGTGTTCCTCTCATTGCCACAGTAGTTCCTTCAATAATTAAAAATTTGTTTCAGAACAAGTGTACTATTACAATATTACAATAGTCAACAAATCTCCTTTTGAAAGCCGACTTTATTAGTCTTCTCCAGTCGCGAAAATAATAGCTGTGTATTTGGTGTTCGGATGTCTTGCGTTTCTTTATATAAAATCTTTTGATCTTATCTTTTCATACCTTTTGCCATCGCTTTTTTGAAACTCAAGGGCTTAGAGCTGCTAAAATGGAGGAAATTCCCGCGAGAGGTATAGGTGATGGTGAAATAGAACCAGGAATCCAGGAGATTCACTCACAGAGTCCTGAAACTCCTTCTGAAATCGAGCCTAGTTTACAAGATTCGGACTTCACAACGTCTGATTCTGATTCTGATGATGATGACTCAAGTGACGACGAACCAGATCAAGAATATGATCTTGCCACCACCATCTTGAATGAAATCAAAGATGAGACATATATTTGTTTAATTTGTACCTGTGAAGTGGGTCCTGGTGGTAAATTTTGGTCTTGTGGTGATTGTTACAGAGTTTATCATATGTCATGTATTGAAAGTTGGTCTAAAAAGGGATCTTCAACTGATGTTGAAGGGAATTGGAAATGTCCAGCTTGTAACTCAAAACATAGAAAGCAAAAATTCCAACATAAATGTTGGTGTAAAAAAACTTTACATCCTCCAAACAATCCTCTAAATCCTGGTAGTTGTGGTCAAAGTTGCGGTGTTCCATTAAATGGATGTATTCACAAATGTCCACTTCCATGTCACCCAGGTCCACATGCTGAATGTAATGCACTTGGTCCAATTATGAAATGTCGCTGTGGTAATCATGATAATCAATGGCCCTGTGTTATGACTCCATATTTAGATGGTTGGCAATGTGAAGATATCTGTGAAGAATTGTTGCCTTGTGAAATACATAGATGTGGTAAGACCTGTCATGACGGACTTTGTGGTAAATGTGAACGATTCATTGAAAGTAAATGTTACTGTGGTAATACAACTGATAATATAAAATGTCATTCCAAACAACCAAGGAAAAGTTTTGGTAAAACTAAAGATGATAATTGGATTGGTAATTTTCAATGTTCTGTATCCTCAGAAATCACTTATGATTGTGGTAATCATTCAGAGCTCAAATCCTGTCAAAGTGTTAAGAGGAAAGCTGCACATTGTCCTTTAAGTCCTGATATTATCAAAAATTGTCCTTGTGGTCAAACATTAATTGAAGATTTAAATGAAGGTACCAATAGAAGTTCATGTACAGATCCTATTCCAACTTGTGAAAAAATTTGTGGTAAAACATTAGCTTGTGGTCACAAGTGTAAATGGGTTTGTCATCAAGGTGAATGTTCACCATGTTATGAAAATATCAAATCAGATTGTCAATGTGGGTTCAATACTTTTATTAGTCCATGTAAATTTTTAATGGAATTTTCTAAGCCAACATGTTCAAGAAAATGTACTTCATTGTTATCGTGTCGTCGTCATAGATGTAATAAGATATGTTGTCAAGATGAAAAAGAGGCAATGAATCGTGAAAGATTGAGGAAAAAAGGTATTAGACATAATACAATTTCAACAAATAATCGTGGTAACAGAGATAATGAAGCATTTAACATTGAAGCGTCTCATATATGCTTACAGATATGTAACAAAAAGTTAACATGCGGTAATCCTGATCATTTGTGTCAACAAACTTGTCATACTGGTCCTTGTCCACCATGTCTTGAATCTTCAAACGATGATTTGATTTGTCATTGTGGTCAAACTGTTGTCATGGCACCTGTTCGTTGTGGTACACAACTACCTCAATGTTATTCACAATGTATGAGGGAATTACCATGTGGTCATCAACAAATGCCTCATAATTGTCATCCAGATGATGTTCCATGTTCAAGATGTACCAAAACTGTTGAAAAATGGTGTAATTGTGGTAAAAATAAACTGAAAGCTATGTGTTATCAAACTGAAGTATTTTGTGCTGAAAGATGTGGGAAAATTTTACCTTGTAAACATCATTGTATTTCAAATTGTCATAGTGGTGAATGTATTTGTCGTTCTATCTGTGGGAAAAAGAAAAAATATTGTTCACATGTTGATAGATCACCATGTCATTTCCCATCAAGATGTAATGATACAGGAATATGTAACCAAATGGTTAAATTGACTTGTAAATGTGGAAGGTTAAAGAAAGATATCCCATGTGGTGCTAATTCATCAAAGACAAGTTGTGAAGGAACCACTCTAGAATGTGATGTTTCTTGTATTGTTCAAGAAAGACAAGAACAATTAGAGGCTGCTTTTGGTGTATCAAAATTAAGTGTTGAGCCTAGAATCAAGGTTGAAGATTTGCCGTATACACCAGGAACTCTTAAAACTTACAAGTTACAAACTAGGTGGTGTTCAAACATTGAAGATACTATCAAAAGATTCATGAAGTCAACAGAGAACAGTTATCATTTCAAGCCTATGAGAAAAGAACAACGTCTTTTTATTCATGAAATTTCAGATGCTTACAAGTTATTTTCGGAATCGCAAGACCCAGATCCAAGAAGAAGCGTGTTCATTATGAAACGCGATGATTCTATCACTTCACCATTGTCATTGGAGAAATCATTAGAAATTTATGAAAATCATTTGAAAGAAACTGCAAAAACATCAAAAAGTGTTACGCCTGAGGTTTCAGAACAGGAACAGTTTGATCATAATGCAATCATAATTCAAGATTGTATCCCTGGTGTTACAAGACCAGAACTAGAAGAAACGGTGATTCCCATCATGAAAGAAAGTCCACTGGTGAAAAATCCTAGATTTTATTGGGTAGAAGCTGATAATTATTTGATTTTACCTGAAGCACATATGAAGGTTACCAGAACTGTTGAAACTGAATTAAAATTATTGGTGCCAACATTAAAAGCTATGTTATCTACTAAGTTTTTGGCCAATACTGTCAAGTTAGCTAAAGTTGACTCTCACTTCAACATTGTTGCCATGGAAGAGTAGTAAATTATGATTAATGCATGAATATAAACTCTTATCTCAACTTGTAGCTCAGAATCTGTTGCCTAGTTATATGTGTTACTAATCAAAAGCACACGGATTACGTAACATTTTCAATTTTCTTCCAAATCGCGAAACCGCGAAATCCTGTTTTTTTTTGAACGTGAAGCGATGAAAGAAATTTCGAAAACATCAAGTTAACGAAAACAAAAAAACACTAACCAACGGTCAAATTATCGAGAAAGTGATCTTCACTAAGATTTTTCATCGACTTAAGGCCAAAACATCAACTTTTAGGAGAGAAAATTAAGGGCCAAACAAAGGTTATTATAGCAGAAGGTTCAATTGCCCCCTTGTTGCTGAAGCTTTTTTTTGGAATCATAAAGAGAAGAAGTGATAATCTTACTTGAGTACTCGAATCTCTGCACTAAAATCATCAGGAATCCAATAGAGTCTGAATACTCGATAAAGATAAATAGTAGCGTTTCTACAAAAAATTCAAACATCAATTTCAATATTAATATAGTTGTTACCTTTTGCCGGTCAATTATTATTTTGAAAGACGCGCCCCATACTGATAATTAAATAAAGAGAAGAAACATCAAGAAGTTAATTCAAAATGTCTTTACAAACATCGCCAGTTCCTGCAACATCATCACCAGCTCCGACTATTCCTATTACCAATGGTAATAGTAATGTGCCCAAGTCGAGCTTTAATGTTCCATTTCCCAAATCTAGACATGAGTTAGAATTGTTGGTTTTGAGATATAGATCTTTGCATATATTGAACAACAATCCAGAAGAAGAACAAGCCATTGAAAAAGTCTTATTTGAAGTAAGCCAATCTCAAGAGAAGTATAAATCAAAGTTACAGAGATTAAGAGATGCACAAAAGAAATCTCGTGATTATAATCAAAATGTTTTGTGTGATCAAATAACCACATTACAATTATTATCAAAAGATATTGATCTCCCTGAGGGATTATCACAAAGATTAAACATTCAAGCACCAGGAACAGAATCCAAGGCTTCAGAATTAGTGCCGATTGAAAGATCATTCAAGTTCGCAGAAAGAGTTCACAATTTAGGTATCAAAGATCAGTTTACAAATCCAGAACAAATTGATAAATTGTATGCTGCTGGTAACCCAAACGCTGAAAAGTTGATAAGTACCAAGATCTCATCAAGAATAACAGAATTGGAGAAATTACCAGCCAATTTAGGAACATTCAAACACGACGAGTTGACTTTACAATCACCAGATGATCTACAACCTCATGCCGATGATTTAAAGATTAGGGCTCTTTTAGAATTAAAATCTTTAAGATTATTAACAAAACAAAAATCATTAAGACAAAACTTATTATTTTCAATCGGTGCCAAAGCTCATACATCTGAAGAACATCTGAAAAATCATCCAATTACACTGTCAGCTCAAAGATCACTGCATATTAGACCAAAGGTTGTTTCAAAACAAACAGCCAAACTTGCTGAGGAACTAGAAAGACAACAAGAGCTAGAGAAACAAAGAATTGAGCATGCTCGTCACATTCAAAGAATCAACAACATTGTTAACAAAGCCAATGTGGTCATTACAGAAAGAGTTGAAGCGTCAGCAAAAAGACAACAATTTGCAAGATCTATTTCTCAATTACATTCACAAATTGAAAAAGATGAAAGTAAGAAATTAGAAAAGACTGCTAAACAACGTTTACAAGCTTTGAAATCCAATGATGAAGAAGCATATCTTAAATTGTTGGATCAAACCAAAGATACCAGAATTACACATTTATTGGGACAAACCAATCAATTCTTGGATTCCTTGGCTCAAGCTGTCCAACAACAACAAACAGAATCCAAATTATCAAATGGTGAAATCTTACCTGAAGAATTTACCGATGAAGATAGAGAAAAGATTGATTATTATGAAGTTGCACATAAAGTGAAGGAAGAAGTTACGAAACAACCTTCAATTTTGGTTGGTGGTCAACTAAAAGAATATCAATTGAAGGGTTTACAATGGATGGTTTCATTATACAATAATCATTTGAATGGTATTTTAGCAGATGAAATGGGGTTGGGTAAAACTATCCAATCTTTATCTTTGATTACATATTTAATTGAAGTCAAAAAGCAACCAGGTCCTTATTTAGTTATTGTTCCGCTATCCACAATCACTAATTGGACTTTAGAATTTGAAAAATGGGCTCCATCATTGAAAACAATTGTTTATAAAGGTACACCAAATCAACGTAAGAATTTGGGTTATGAAGTTAGAACTGGTAATTTCAATGTTTTGTTAACTACTTATGAATATATTATTAAAGATCGTCCAACATTGTCTAAATTAAAATGGGTTCATATGATCATTGATGAAGGTCATCGTATGAAAAACACACAATCCAAGTTATCTTCAACTTTAACACATTATTACCATACTAAAAATCGTTTAATTTTGACTGGTACACCATTACAAAACAATTTACCAGAATTATGGGCTTTATTGAATTTTGTTTTACCAAAAGTTTTCAATTCTGTCAGTACTTTTGATGAATGGTTCAATACTCCATTTGCTAATACAGGTGGTCAAGAAAAGATGGAATTATCAGAAGAAGAAACATTATTGGTTATTAGAAGATTACATAAAGTTTTAAGACCATTCTTGTTGCGTCGTTTGAAAAAAGAAGTTGAAAAAGATTTGCCAGATAAAGTTGAAAAAGTTGTTAAATGTAAATTATCTGGTTTACAATATGTTTTATATCAACAAATGTTAAAACATAATGCTTTATTTGTTGGTGCGGGTGCTACTGGTGCTACTAAGTCTGGTATTAAAGGGTTGAACAACAAAATTATGCAACTTAGAAAGATTTGTAACCATCCTTTCGTTTTTGAAGAAGTTGAAAATGTTATAAATCCAACTCGTGATTCATCTGATATGTTATGGAGAACTGCAGGTAAATTTGAATTATTAGATAGAATTTTACCAAAATTCAAAAAGAGTGGTCATAGAATTTTGATGTTTTTTCAAATGACTCAAGTTATGGATATCATGGAAGATTTCTTGAGATTGAGAGAATTGAAGTATATGAGATTGGATGGTAGTACAAAAGCTGATGACCGTCAAGGTATGTTGAAAGTGTTTAATAATCCAGATTCGGAATATTTCTGTTTCTTGTTATCAACAAGAGCCGGTGGTTTAGGTTTAAATTTACAATCCGCTGATACTGTTATTATTTTTGATTCAGATTGGAATCCACATCAAGATTTACAAGCCCAAGATCGTGCTCATAGAATTGGTCAGAAGAATGAAGTTAGAATTTTAAGATTGATCACTTCTGATACCGTTGAAGAAGTTATCTTGGAAAGAGCTTTACAAAAATTAGATATTGATGGTAAAGTTATTCAAGCTGGTAAATTCGATAACAAATCAACAGCTGAAGAACAAGAAATGTTCTTAAAGAAATTGCTAGAAAATGAAGGTAGTAAAGATGAGGATGAAAATCAAGAATTAGATGATGATGAATTGAATGAAATTTTAGCAAGAAATGATGATGAAAGAGAATTGTTTGCTAAAATGGATCTTGAAAGAATCACTGCCGAAAAGATGGCACAAAGACAAAAGAATGGATATAAAGAAAGATTACTTACTGAAGGTGAACTTCCAGAGATCTTCAGAGAAGATATCACACAACATTTGGTTCAAGAAGAAGCTGAATTAGGTCGTACTAGAGAAAAGAAACGTGTTTTCTATGATGATGGTTTGACAGAAGAACAATGGTTATTAGCTATGGATGACGATGAAGATACAGTTGAAGCTGCCATTGAACGTAAAAGACGTACTCAAGAAAAGAGGAAAAAGAGACTCTCCACGAGAAATGAAGAATCTGCATCACCAGAGCCAGTAGTTGATACACCACGTCGTCCAAAGAGATCAAGATCCAATGCTAATTTGAAGGAAGCCCAAGATGAAGAATCTGAATTTGAAGAAGAAGTGGAAGCAACTCCAGCTAAAAGAGCCAAGAAAGCTGTCCCATCTTTTGTTGAACCAGGTTATGAGTTCTTGAATCAAATTAAAGAATTAAAAGATGAGGAAGATGATCATTTGTTAAGTGAATACTTTATTGACTTACCATCAAGAAAATTATATCCTGACTACTATCAATTAATTCAACAACCTGTATCTATTGAATCAATCAGAAAGAATATAAAATCAGGTAAAATTAAAACATTTGAAGCATTCAAAGATGCAGTTTATAAAATCTTCACGAATGCTAAATTTTACAATGAAGAAGGTTCAAGTGTTTATGAGGATGCTGTTGCTTTAGAAAATTATGCTAATAGTAAATTTGAAGAAATAGAAAAGTCGCTATGAAAAGCACAGACTTTCATGCTGTTTCGACTAAATAGTTTATTGTACATTAATATAGATGATTTTAAATTGAATTGTATTGTATGGTGTGTTCCCTAACGACTCTAAATTTATCCTTAACTGGTAAAACCGATAAAGAATCAGATAACCATAAAAAGCCTTCAACACGTTATGCAAGTCAATTATTCGATCGTTCTTGATTGGAAAGTGACTTGTTGTTGGAAATACATTATAACTCAGGAAGCATTGGACCAAACAGCTCAACATTCCATACCAGTTTTTACTCAGAACCCACAACATTGGCTTTGTTTCGATTTAGATGAGCAATGGTTATGGATCAAACAAACTCAGCAGATCAATCTCAAGCATCATTAGATGAACTTCAGGTGTCGTATAGCGGTGAAAACAGCTCTGCATCACAAACACCCAATTCAGAATTGATCACACATAGAGATAGTTATTCCACATGTTCGGGTTCAATAAGTGAAAACTTTAGAAAATTCATGAGTCTAAGTAATGTCAAGGAATTGAGAGAACAAATACGTGATAATCCGGATAATTTATATGAAGGAAACTTAAGAGATGTTGATAATCCAAAGCTACCGATTTACTTACAAGATACACAAACAAGGCCAAGCACAGGTGGTAGTAGCGTTGAACTTGATGAAAACTTATTAAACGCTTATGAAATGTTTGATGTTCGTAAAAGAAGAAAAATCAGTACAACAACATCACTCCCAAAATATGAAGATGGGTTAATAATGAAAGAGGTACATCAATTTGATGTTGAAGACTATGATACTCTGAGGTACAAAAATAATTTAGTTGATTGTTTTGGTAAATTACTATTTATTGCTTCACAAACAAAATTATTAGTGTTCCGAAACGATATTCACATTGATACAATCGATGTATCTCCTCCATTTACATCAAGAAGAGATAGAGCTGCTGCTAATTGGTCAATGTTACCCCATACAATTAATTTTATCAAAGTGTCCAATTTACAAGGTAGAGATGTGCTAAGTTGTGCGATTGATGATGGAAGGGTATTGATCTATGATATTGAAGATTTTTTCATAAAAAAGACTCAAAGAAAAGTACGATTTGATCTTAAACTTTCATCTTCAGCTTGGGGTATAGATACGAGTGGTGATATGATTGCAGTTTCTGATAACAGTCAAACTGTGACATTATTTTATGTCAAACATGGTCAGCTATATTATCATACATCTCCTCAAATTAACCACAACATTCCAGATATTTCATTTGTGGAGTCAAATGAAGAAGGTATAGCGTACATTGCATGTGCCTCGATATCAGGGGAACTAATGACATTCAAATTCAAAATTACAGTTAATGAAGGTCCTGTTCCAGATCCTACAGGAGGCTATACATTATCTGTGGATACGGTTGAGGTATATCTTCATCCATTTTACAAGTATGACATTGAATGCTTTGTTTTAAATAGAGTCATTATACCTGAAGACCTTTGGATTGTTCAATATATCAATGATGATAATTTCAAAGAAGTTGATACAATTAGAGATCTAGGTAGTAAGACAGATATTGACATGGAACTAATATTGAAGAAGTCTAAAGCTTTAAATTTGTCAAGTAATCATTTGATTACTTCAGATCTAGGTGGTGGTGCATGGTATGAAGAGATTAAAATTGGATCAGCAACAGAATTACCTATAGAGTTACAGCCAGAATCAGATTCAAATATTATTGAGAATAACCTTAATAAATTCACAGATAAATTTTCAAGAATCAAACATTCATATGATAAGATTTCTGAGGATCAATTTTCAGCTGCTATACCTAGATCAAAAGATCATGACAAGTTTTTATTTGTTGCTACTGCCACAAAAATTGGTCTTTATAGATTCAATGAATTAGTATGTAATGCTAGTTCTGAAAATATATTTGATCTTCCATTTCTACGAGAGGAATTAGAATTTTCAAATAGATTATCATTAACTAGAGTCATACCAGAATTATCTGCAGTTCTTGTGGTATCTCAATCAGGTTACATCTCAGTGATGAGGTTTGTAAAATGTGGTGGATTACATTCTTTAAGACATGAAAAAATTATTCCAAAGATTGAAAATGCATTTACAGAGGTTCTTGTTGGTATTGGAATAAGACAGATGGATGATAAATCCTTTTGGGTTTATTCAGTTTATAGTAATGGTAAAGTTTCAGTAACAGAACTATCAGAACATGATGAAACTGATACATTATGTGTATTTTGACCAGCTATTTATTCAAGTTATATATATAATGTTCGCTCAAGTATTCTTTACATGTACTCTACTCTACACAATATAAAGCTACTAAAGTATATTTAATGTTGAATTAATAATCTTTTATTATAAAATCATAACCTATATATATTAAAACCAAATAAACTCCCAATAAAACTTTCTAACATACAAAATCAACTAATCAAATCAATCTAAAGCTGGTGCTTCATCTGGTAAACTATCATCTTCATCATCTAAATCAGTCCAGTCTTCAACATCAACATCCATACTATCATCATCAATTTCATGATTTGGTACCACAAATAAACCATCACCTTTTTGAATAACTTTAATGGTTTCTTTATCTTTGATTTGACCTTTAAGAATCAAGACAGCTAATTTATTTAAAACTTCTCTTTGAATCAAATGATTTAATGGTCTTGCACCTAAATCTTCAGTATAACCATTCTTTGCAAGGAATTCAATAGCTTCTGGACTGACATCTAATTTATAATTCTTATCATTTTCTTGGAAACGATTTTGAATTTCTTTTAATCTAATTGAAACAATTCTATGAATAGCCTTTCTTGATAATTTATTGAAGACAACAATTGAAGAAATTCTATTGATGAATTCTGGTCTAAAATGTCCTCTAACAGAAGTCATAACCAATTCTTTAGTTTCTGGTGTGATCTTTGAATGTGGTTGACTAACAATGAATTGTGAACCTAAGTTAGAAGTCATGATAATGATTGAATTTGAAGCATCAATAGTTTTACCTTGACCTGATGTAACTCTACCATCATCTAATAATTGTAATAAAACAGTCAAGACTTCTGGTGCAGCTTTTTCAACTTCATCAAATAATACAACTGAATATGGTTTTCTTTGTAATTGATTTGTTAATAACCCACCTTCTTCATAACCAACATAACCTGAAGTTGTACCTAATAATTTTGAAACTGAATGTTTTTCCATTAATTCAGAACAATCAATTCTAATCATGGCTTGTTCATCATTGAAAAGGAAACCTGCCAATTTTTTAGCTAATTCAGTTTTACCAGAACCTGAAAGACCCAAGAATAAGAAAGAAGCTGGTTGATTTGGATTTGCTAAACCTGATCTTGATAATCTAACAGCATTTGAAACAGATTTAACAGCTTCACTTTGTCCAACAACTTCTTGTGATAATTCCTTTTCCATTGAAATTAATTTAGCATTTTCAGATTGAGTTAATTTTGAAACAGGAATACCAGTTAATCTAGCGGCAGTTTCAGCAATAGTATCAGAATCAACAACATTTTGAATTAATGAGCCAGCACCAGATTTAGCTTCTTCCTCAGCAACTTGTTTTTCTAATTGATCAATTCTTTCTTTAACTTCAGGAATTGCAAAATATCTTAAATCAGCAGCAGTAGCATTATCTTGACGACGTTCAGCATCTTGAGCTTTAGTTTCTAATTCATCTAATTTTCTCTTTGCAGCGGTTAATTCTTCATGACCTTTACGTTCTTCATTATATTTAGCTCTTAATGGTACTAATTCTTCTTCAATAGATGCTTCTCTTTGTCTTGCTTGAGCTAATCTTTCTTTAGTTGTTGGGTCAGCTTCTTGATCTCTTTCTAGAGCTTTAATTTCAACTTGAATCAATTGTAATTGACGTTCTTTAGAATCTAATTCTTCAGGTTTTGAATCTCTTGCCACAGCAACACCAGCACAAGAAATATCAACAAGATCTAAAGCAGAATCAGGTAATCTTCTATAAGGTAAATAACGTTTAGCTAATTGAGCGGCACTAACAATTGCAGAATCTAAGATTCTAACACCATGATGAATTTCATATTTTGGTTGTAAACCTCTTAAAATAGCCATAGTTTCTCTTGTAGTTGGTTCTTTAACATCAATTTTTTGGAATCTTCTTTCAAAAGCACCATCTTTTTCCACAATTTGTCTATATTCATTATTTGTTGTAGCACCAATAACTTTTAAGTTACCTCTTGACAAAGCAGGTTTTAAGATATTAGCAGCATCATCTTTACCATTACCCATTAACATATGGATTTCATCAATGAATAAGACGATTAAAATATTTGATTGTTCAATTTCTTTCAAGACACCTTTTAATCTTTCTTCAAAATCACCTTTATATTTAGCACCAGCGGTTAAAGCAGCAAGATCTAATGAGAAAAGACGACAACCTTGTAAAATTGAAGGAACATCATTTTCCAAGATTCTTTGAGCAACACCTTCAATGATTGCAGTTTTACCAATACCAGGTTCACCAATTAAACAAGGATTTGATTTGATTCTTCTTGCTAAGACTCTTATTGTTGATCTAATTTCTTCTTCTCTACCAATAACTGGATCTAATTTACCTTGTCTAGCTTGTTCAGTCATATCAAGAGCATATTTGGTTAAATATTCTAATTCTTGATTTGTATCAGCACTTCTTGAATCAATTTTTTGATTACCTCTTAATTGTAATATTTGTTGTTTTAAACCTTCAATAGTAATACTTGATTCTTTTAAAATTGATTGAATATTTGAATCTTCTAATAAAGCTTGTAAAAGATGATCTTGACCAACAAAACTATCTTTTTGTTGAGTTTTGATTTTAGTAGCTTTTTTCAATGTTTCACCAAGAGCATAGCTTGGAGTTATTTGTGATGGAGCTGGATTTTGTGATGGAGTTCTAACAAGATGTTTATTAACGATTCTTTCAAAAACTTGATAATCAAAACGACCTTTCTCAAGCAAAGTTTGGATATAACTAACAGAACCATCTTCAGGTCTTGAACAGAAAGCAGCTAAGAGATGAATTGGTTGTAATTGTGGGTGAGCATGTTCTTCAGCAAGTTTTTGAGCACCAGTAATAATGGCTAATGCTCTATCTGTAAATTGACTTTCATCCATTGTGTATAATTGTAATTGTAATTGTAACTAATTCTCTTTTGATAATATAATCTGTGATGAATTGAGTATCTTCAATAACTAAGAGCAAGAGGAATTGTGTTGTTTATATATTGTTTGGTTGTCGGATACTCAGGCTAATTGAGCTCTACACTTTGAAGATTCTAGTTCTTTGATTGCTAGAAGGTTCTAGCAAAAAATTAAGCAGTGGACAGAGAATTCTAGAAGGAGCTAGAAGGAGCGCTGGGAGGAACTAGAGGGACCTGGAAGATTCTAGACAGAGAGTGATACAAGAGCAGCTCTGCCTAGAAACAAGAAATAAGACTAAAGATCTTTAAAGTTATCAGATGATTATTTCCTAATTCTGGTGATTTCCTGATTTCCTAATTTCCTGATATCCTGATTATCCATTTAGATGAACTCTTAGTAAGTAGCTATTTTGATAGGATATGCTTAGTCATCATAAAATCTTTGATCGGTATTTAAGAACTTTTCCAAAATAATTGAAGCAAAATAAAGTAAGTAACTTTATATAAAAAATCATAAGCAGTCTAAATATACCCTTCACATATACCCATCGTTGTACTCAACTTTTACCTCAAAACTAAATGATTCATGAATCGAAGTCGATCAAAGAGTCGATCTAATTCGCGGTCATTTTTGCATTGTCACTTATAATTTTGACAGAATCCACCCCATCAATTACCCGGAAGTGGAGCATTTGGTAAATTTTTTATATTTAATTTTTTTTTTATAAGGGAAAAAAATTTCTAGTAGTTAAACTATATTACTTTGATTCATCATCAATCTATTAAGCTTTAAATCTTTTCTTATATAAAAGGTTAGATTTATTTTAAGGTTAAAGAAAGAAAAAAAACAAGTTGCTAGAAAACTCAATCGATTGTATTAATTTAAATTCAAGAAAAATGGCTAGTAGAACTCAATTTGAAAACTCTAATGAAGTTGGTGTTTTCTCAAAATTAACAAATTCTTATTGTTTAGTTGCTGTTGGTGGTTCAGAAAATTTTTATTCTGCTTTTGAAGCTGAATTAGGTGATGTTATACCTATTGTTCATACCACAATTGCTGGTACCCGTATTGTTGGTAGAATGACTGCTGGTAATAGAAGAGGTTTATTAGTTCCAACTCAAACAACAGATCAAGAATTAATGCATTTAAGAAATAGTTTACCAGATTCTGTTAAAATTCAAAGAGTTGAAGAAAGATTATCCGCTTTAGGTAATGTTATTTGTTGTAATGATTATGTTGCTTTAGTTCATCCAGATATTGAACGTGAAACTGAAGAATTAATTGCTGATGTTTTAGGTGTTGAAGTTTTTAGACAAACTATTGCAGGTAATGTTTTAGTTGGTTCTTATTGTTCTTTATCAAATCAAGGTGGTATTGTTCATCCTCAAACTTCTATTCCAGATCAAGAAGAATTATCTTCTTTATTACAAGTCCCATTAGTTGCAGGTACTGTTAATCGTGGTTCTGCTGTTGTTGGTGCTGGTATGGTTGTTAATGATTGGTTATCCGTTACTGGTTTAGATACTACTGCTCCAGAATTAAGTGTTATTGAAAGTATATTTAGATTACAAGATGCTCAACCAGAAACTATTTCTGGTAACTTACGTGATACTCTTATTGAAACTTATTCATAAGTTATTTAAATTTTTTATTTAAATTTTTTAATGTGGGTTTCAAAAGTTTTCAATATAGAGGAACATTAGAAAAAACAAACAAAAAAAAAATCATAAATTTGCATATTTTAGTTTTATGAGAATGTTTTTTTGAATTCTCAATTCTATTCATTTTTCACGTCATTCATCATTTTGTTTTTAATTATTTTTCTTCTTTTCCTTTCCTTTTCATTATCATTATTTTTTCTGTCATGTATTATTAAAGAAAGATTAGACTAAAAAGTTAATATTGATTGATACATAAATTGAACATTAACATCTTTTAATCTAATCTTTATTAAATTATATCATGTTGTGGGCAATGGTTTTATCTTTTCACGGTGTTATGTTTACGTTTAATTTATATCTGAATTTTTTTTTTTTGCAAAAGTTTTTTTTTATATCAAGGGTTTCTAAAGAAGAATCGTGCTTAATTAATAATCAGTGTGGTATGTTCTCTAGAATCAAAATCTGGAGTGATACATATCTTTTGTATAGATTGGCAAATAATTCACATTTTTTAGACTCTTTGATAATTTCAAAATTGCGTAAGTTTAATGGTTATGATTCCGCGAAATTCTCTTCCAAGTACTACACGAAAGTCAAAATTGGTGCACAATTTGAATCAAGTCAACAACAATAAACAAATCTTGGATCCACTTTTCAACAACCAGGACTAGAAAATGGATTTCTTCGGGTGAGTCTAGTGATTGTGATATGCTTTGAGAGATATACTAACAAGTTTCTACAGGATCAAAAGAGGTTCTATTCGTTCAGAAGCTTTGAACAAGCTGGCGAAATTCTCTTTACAACACACAGAAGAATCAGAATCATTAAATGGTTATAATTTGAGTAATGGGAATGGGAATGGTCATTCAAATGGCTTATCAAATGGCGGATTGAAGAAAGTTCCTACTTTTTCAAACGATTTCATCAGGTTGACTAAAGCTGTTGCCATTTCAGATATTTCAAGTGTTCCAATTGTGAGTATAATTTAATCAAAGGACGGACAAAAACATTCATTCTAATCATTTTTTTAGGCTCATAAGGAATTAGAAATTATTTTAGCATTGACAAAATCTTCAAGCTCAATAACAAATTTTGATCAAGCCGTTGCTCTTTTAGAAATTATTGAACCATATTTGTTGGAATCTCCTTTCCAACAGTTTAGATCACATTTAAGTTTACAATTAAGTCCTTCACCTTGGGAAAATATTACTAAAGAACTTGTTGAAGCTATAGTTATTATTGCATCAAAATTTCAAAATTTGGAAGAACAAATTGAATTAGTTTTGAATAAATATTTATCAATTTTTGAAAATAATTCAAATTTAAAATTATCAAGTTATTTCAGTTTTATTGGATTTTTAAAAGCTCTGATTAATAAAACCACATTCTTGAATACTAATTTAATTAAAAAACTAGTCTTATTGGTTGATGGTGGATTTTTAAACTCTGTGGAGAAAATTGGATCTGAAAGTCTGAGTGATGAACATGATTATAATTATTTATTAGCTTATCAAGCTAATGGTGATGAATTTAGTTCTCTGTTGTTTGTCAGATTGATTCAAGAATTAAGTACATCTGTTTTGAAAGATATCGTTAAAACAAATTCACAATCTAATGAAATTTCTTTAATTGATTATCTTTTAGAAGTCACAGCTGCTGATTATGATGGAGAAGTTGATAATAAATCCGTTTTGGATGCAGTTAAGACTTCATTATCCTATAAATTAGATCTTTTGGAAAGTTTAGTTAAGAATTCTTTATTACAAGTTAATGAACTGGATCAAGGTAGTGGTTATATAAACATCAGTTCATTTGAACGTATTAAACTGGCTTTACATACCAAAAGTTTGGCCTATCAAGTTATCGGTACTGGATTATTAGTTGATTTGGTCTCACCAGATACTGTATTAAACTTGGTGAGAAATTCATTATCACATACTCATGAAATTGCAGATGAACATTTAGCTCCAGTTATCATTTCATTAGGTTCATTATTATGTTATAGAGATGGTAAAGTTATTAGTGGTCAGTTAATTAATTCATTCCCGCTAATTATCTCAAACTCTTCTACAAGAGTTAATAATGAACGTTTTATTCAACGTATTTCTCAGTCGTTAGCATTGGGGTTGAAACCTTTAAATCAAGATTCAATCGTTACTACAATTTATTCATTAGTTAACTTATTAGCTGTTGATAATGAAGGTGCACCAGTTGCTGCTATTAGAGACTTGAAGTTGAGAAGTGCAAGAGGTACATTTAACTCATTAGATGCTGCAGCAAGACCTTCACGTGCTAATACTCTGCAATCATTAAGAGGTCAAGGTTCTACCTCATCAGTTAACATCCAATCAAAACCTAATGTTAATGATCAAATCATATTTAAAAATGCTATTGAATCTGTTATTGAAATTGCTAAAAAATATGATGATCCATCAATTCTTGTTTTAACCGTTACTGTGTTATCTCAAAAATTTCAAAAAGTTTCTAAACAACTTGATTATCAATTATTGCATGGATTAGCTGGTATTGCACCATCATTATCCAAGAAGGAATTCTTAATCATGATGAAAATGTTTGACAGTGGTATTAATTCTGCCAATGAAACAAATGATCATTCATTCGTTTCTGCTATTGTTAACGCACGTATCAACATCTCTAAAAAATTGAGCAAAGATATTGAAAATCCGTTATACAATGTTTATTTATATGAATTGTTGAATAATGTGGTTAGTAGAGGTGATATTCAAACTGGTGATCATCACAGACCACATGGTGAAATTGCAGAAGTTGCCAAAGAAATTTCAAATTTTTTCAAGCCAATTGCAGCTTTATTACCAAAAAACAAAGCTTTAGATTTGAAAGATGATATTGAACTGGTAAATTCATTTAAAAACTTCTGGTTCAATTTGGTCGTTCATGGGTTTAGTGAATCATCAACATTAACCGAAGAACATAAAAAGGAATTGGAAATCATTGCTTTGAGTACACCTCCTTTAGCTTCTGAACTGCCAAGATTACATACAGAGACTTCATTTGAATTAAATGCTGTTTTAAGACGTGGTTCTTCAAATCATAATGTTAAAGATCAAAAACATATCATTGGTGGTATTTCTAATACAAACCCATTGGAACTTCGTACTTTATCATATTCTAAGTTGATGTTTTTATCAGCCACATCTCTTTTAGAAAATTTGAGAGTAAATTCAGGTGATTGTTCCACTGTGTTATATTATTTTTCAGATCCTTCAATTGTGAAAACTAATATTGAAAAATTTATTGGTTCAATTGCAATTTCTGTTGTATCTAAATTCATCAAATTGACCGGGAAGGGTGGTAATCATCATTTCAGTTCAGATAGCGTTGCTGAACAATTGACCAAGATTTTGATTTTAACATGTCATAGAAATTATGATTTACAAGATGCAGCTTTCCAAAGTGCCAATTTATTTTTAAATAAATTACCATCTAGTTTATGTCATCATCAATCACTTTATACTTTATTGGATCTTTTAACTTTATTATTTGATAGTATTGTTGATTCTGATACTAATAAATATGAACCACAAAGACAATTCTTTTTAAAACATTCTAAAGTTAAAGTTACATTATCTGATTCTTACAAATGGAGACGCTCAACTTTAGAACAATTACATAAAAAGGCTAAAGAATGGACTCTGTTATCACTGACCAAGAGTTCACAAGATATGAAAAGTTTATTACAAGCATATATTACAGATTTAGGTGTTTTCAAAAGACTGAATAGTGTTGAATTTGGTGTTTCATTTGCAGTTGAAGTTGCAGGTACCATTTTACCAACAGATTTAGAATTATCAAATATCCCATCTACTACATTCGAAAAACCTGATACAATTGCTGGTTTCTTATCACAATATAGTTGGAGATCAAGAAATATTGCTGAAAAAGCTAGTATCGTTCCAATTAAAGACCTTCGTAATAACAAAGATGAAGAATTGAAAAGATTGAGACAAAAAATCGCTATTGGTGAGGCTGTTACTGAACAAGAATTACTGAATGTGTTAGATTTAATCGCTAGCTTGCTAATATTGAGACAACCTGATGAAGATACTGCTAGATTGGTGTTTGAATTGGTTTCCATCCCATTCAATGTCTTCACCTCTGATTCAATGAAAGTTGCAACTACAGTTTGGTTAAGTATAATTAAGGAACGTCAAGATTTGTCTTTCTTACTATTATCAGAAATTGCTGTTTGTTGGGAGGACTCAATCAAAAGAAGAAGAGGTTTATACTCCAAGGAGTTTGACTTATTGGATGAAGGTTTCTTGAAAATGACTTACTCACCATCTGATAAACAAAGAATCAAATATCATAGTAATCTGGTTTCTGAAAGTTTACAAACTCACTTGCACGTTATTAAATTATTCTCTTCTCATTTCCAAGGTACTTTATACCAAAGTGATCATTTACTGAAAATTTTCACTAGGGCTGTTACTACTGGGTTAGAACATTTGAACGTTGCAAGTTTACATCCTTTTGCAAGATTGATTAGAAATGAACTAATTAAATTAGGGTTTGACGTTTTGCATGTCCATATTAAGATCCAATCTGCTTTTGTTATATCTTTAACAAACTCCATTCTTCAAGGTATTCTCTCATGGTTTGTCAAAAAAAATCATTATCCATATGGTGGTAATTACTTGAAAATCAAAGCTGATCTGAATTTATTGGTTGAAATTTATCATCTTGTGAAGAATATCCCATCTGGCTCAACATCAGAATTGATTGAATTGCGTAAACATTTAAGTTTGATATTTTTACGTGATGAAATTTCCAAGATCCTGGTTTTCTTGAACCCAGTTGATCCTGTTGAGTTCAAAGTTGATTCTTTGAAACCAGATTCTAAGATTTTACAATTTGCTTATCAAGAATCACCAATATTGGGTATTTCACTAGCAGATCGTTTGCCATCTTTGGAGAAAACATTATTAGAATTGGTTGCTGCTAATCCAGCAAAAGTCTTACCATATCATGAAGGTGTTCCATTCTTATTGAAAATTCCTCGTGCTTCTAAATACTTAATTTTAGCACAACCAATTTCACCAACAGATTCAATAAATCTTTTCCAACCACCTTTCTTCGAAGATCCATCAATCATTCAATATAATATGAGATCACTTGAATCTCATGATGTGAACTTGACTTTCTTCTATGTTCCACAAATTGTTCAAAGTCTAAGAAATGATCCATTAGGTTATGTTGGTAGATTTGTTGTTGAAACTGGTAAGACTGATCAACTATTTGCTCATCAAATCATTTGGAATATGTTGGCTAATAGTTATAAGGATGAAGATTCAACTATCGAAGATTCTATCAAACCTAAACTGGACCTGATTATGGGTAAGATGATTGATGCATTCCCTGAAGAAGACTTGATCTTTTATGAAACAGAATTTAAGTTCTTCAACGAAGTCACTGATATCTCTGGTAAATTGAAACCATACATCAAGAAGACTAAAGCTGAAAAGAAGGTTAAAATTGATGAAGAAATGGCCAAAATTGAAGTTTTGGAGAATGTTTACTTACCATCAAACCCAGATGGTGTTGTTGTTGATATAAATAGAAGCTCAGGTAAACCTTTACAATCCCATGCTAAAGCACCATTCATGGCAACTTTCAAGATCAAGAAATCTGAAGAATACAATGGTCAAATGATTACATATGATAAGTGGCAAAGTGCCATCTTCAAAGTTGGTGATGATTGTCGTCAAGATGTTCTGGCTTTACAATTAATCTCCATATTCAAGAGTATTTGGGAAAATTCTGGTTTAGATTTATATTGTTTCCCATATAGAGTTACAGCAACTGCACCAGGCTGTGGTGTTATTGATGTTTTACCAAACTCAATTTCAAGAGATATGTTGGGTCGTGAAGCTGTTAATGGATTATATGAATATTTCATTAGTAAATTTGGTAATGAAAATTCTGTTGAATTTGAAGAAGCAAGAAATAATTTCATAAAATCACTTGCTGCTTATAGTATCATTTCATATCTTTTACAATTTAAGGATAGACATAATGGTAATATCATGTATGATGATAAAGGTCATATCTTACATATTGATTTTGGTTTCTGTTTTGATATTGTTCCAGGTGGTGTTAAATTCGAAGCTGTTCCTTTCAAATTAACAAAAGAAATGGTTAAAGTTATGGGTGGATCAAATGAAACTGAATCATTCAAAATGTTCGAAGAATTATTCATTAAAGGGTTCTTAGCTGTAAGACCATTTTATGAATTAATTGTTGGTAATGTTATACCAATGCTTGATAGTGGGTTACCATGTTTCAAAGGTGAAAAGACAATTAGAAACTTGAAGAATAGATTTTATTTACACAAGAGTGATAAAGAAGTTATAGGTACTTTAAAAGGATTGATTAGATCAAGTTACGAAAGTATGTTTACAACTGGGTATGATCGTTTCCAAAAAATGACAAATGGTATTCCATATTAGTCTGGACTTTACAACATTATATGAGCATGTACTGTATATAATATATGATGTATTACTACAATTTATATCATGATCAATTGTAAGAAGTAATCTACAGTTAAATGATTCTAAAGCTATGAATATATGAGATCAAAATTAATAAATAAACAAATGTTAAATTATATATATATGTATAAGATACACCCCCTTAAAAACAATAAATTAAATAACTATATAAAAATATGATAATGACATTAAATTTCTAAAATATTAAATTACACTAGTCAATTAACTTAGTTGTTTTTCTTTTTTTCAGCAGCAACAGCAGCCATCTTGTTCAAAGCTGAACCATATTTGAACCATTCAATTTGTTCAGCATTGTAAGTGTGTGATAATGGAGTTTCCCATGGTTCACCATTCTTTGGATGTAATCTTAAAGTAACGTTTTTACCTGGAGCTAATTCAGTTAAACCAATGATATCAACAGTATCAGTTGGGTCAATTCTATCATAAGCTTCTGGTTCAACAAAGTTTAATGGTAATAAACCTTGTTTTTTCAAGTTAGTTTCATGAATACGAGCAAATGATTTAGTAATAATAGCAAAACCACCTAAGAATCTTGGTTCTAAAGCAGCGTGTTCTCTTGAAGAACCTTCACCGAAATTTTCACCACCAATAACAACCCATTTAATACCTGCATCTCTATAATCTCTAGCAGTTTCTGGGACACCTTTAACATCACCAGTGTATAAGTTCTTAACAGTGTTAGCTTTGTCATTTTGAGCATTAATAGCACCAATCATATAATTGTTTGAAATGTTTTCTAAATGACCTCTGTATTTCAACCAAGGACCAGCCATTGAAATATGATCAGTAGTGGTTTTACCTTTAGATTTGATCAAGATTGGTAAGTTTTCAGCATCTTTACCATTCCAAGCTTCAAATGGAGTTAAAACTTGTAAACGATCAGATTCTGGAGAAATTTGAACTTGGACTTGAGTACGGTCAGCTGGAGGAGCTTGGTAAGTGTTTTCACCAGCATCATAACCTCTGGTTGGTAAACCATCACCAGTTGGTGGTTGTAATAAGAATTCTTTACCATCAGCACCTTTTAATTTATCGGTAAGTGGGTTGAATCTTAAATCACCAGCAATAGCAAAAGCAGTGGTTAATTCTGGAGAAGCAACGAAGGCATGGGTATCTGGGTTACCATCATTTCTTGAAGTGAAATTTCTGTTATAAGATGAGACAATGGTGTTTTTGTCACCTTTTTTAATATCTTGTCTATCCCATTGACCAATACATGGACCACAAGCATTAGCTAAAACAATACCACCGAATTCTTCGAAAGTTTGTAATTGACCATCTCTTTGGATAGTAGCTCTAATTTGTTCTGAACCTGGAGTAACAGTGAATAAAGATTTAGCTTTGATACCATGAGCAGCAGCATCTTTGATAATAGAAGCAGATCTTGACATATCTTCATATGAAGAGTTGGTACATGAACCAATTAAACCAACTCTAACATCTAATGGCCAGTCATTTTCAATAGCAACATCTTTTAATTTAGAGATTGGAGTAGCTAAATCTGGAGTGAATGGACCATTGACATATGGTTCTAAAGTGTTCAAATCAATTTCAATAACTTGATCATAATGAGCACCTTCATCAGCTTTTAAGAAATCATTTTGATATAATTTAGCAAATTCAGCAATTTCATGACGACCAGTAGCAACTAAATAATCAGCCATTGATTTGTTGAATGGGAAAACTGAGGTGGTAGCACCAATTTCAGCACCCATATTACAGATGGTACCCATACCGGTACATGAGAAGGTATCAACACCATCACCGAAGTATTCAACAATTTTACCGGTACCACCTTTAACAGTAGTAATACCAGCTAATTTTAAGATAATATCTTTTGGAGAAGTCCAACCGTTCATTTTACCGGTTAATTTAACACCTAAGATTTTTGGGGCTTTTAATTCCCATGGTAAATCAGCCATAACATCAACGGCATCAGCACCACCAACACCGATAGCTAATTGACCTAAACCACCAGCGTTTGGAGTATGAGAATCGGTACCAATGATTAAAGCACCTGGGAAGGCATAGTTTTCTAAAACAATTTGATGAATAATACCTGAACCTGGTTTCCAGAAACCAATGTTATATTTAGCAGTAGCAGTAGCTAAGAAATCATAAACTTCTTTGTTGATATCAATAGCTCTTTTCAAATCTTTACCACCACCAATTTGAGCTTGAATTAAATGATCACAATGAACAGTGGTTGGAGTAGCAACTTGAGGTAAACCAGCAGACATGAATTGTAAGATAGCCATTTGAGCGGTAGCATCTTGACAAGCAACACGATCAGGTCTTAATTTCAAATATGAAACACCTCTTTCGATATCTTGTTCATGAGGTTTATCTAAATGACCATATAAAATTTTTTCAGCATAAGTTAATGGTCTATTTAATCTTTTTTTAACAATTTCAACATTTTCTAAATGTTTTTTATATTGAATGAATGAATGGTCTTCTAATAAATTTTGGCCAACTTTTGAGTCTCTGGTGATTTCAGAAGATAAAGTAGCTAAGCTACGAGCAAATCTTGGTGCCTTTATTGAATTTTGTTAGTAAATCAGCCGCCAAAAAATCAACAAACAAACTCCACGCTCTCCAAAATTCAAGCCGATAAACTCGAAATCAAGGGATCATGGGGTATGATGATCATGAACATAACAATCTGTTGAATCCATTGATACATACTTTCAAGTTTCTAGCAGCCAACATCTTTACAAGTTAATCTTACAGAATAAATCCAATTCAAAGCAAAGAAGATAAATATGGATCAATGAAAATATAAATATGTTTTTTTGGTTGAAAGTTGTTTATTATCTTGGTGCGGCCCACATGATGATACTTTGAAGGTCATTCTTTAGTGATGAGTTGCAATTCTGCAGGGATGCTGGGAATTGGTAAAATAGCGTGGGAATCGGTTTAAAATGTATTGTAAGGTAGTGATATTATTGGATGATAGTAAGGAAACCATACATTCTGAATACAATGGTGGTTTTTGCATTTGGATTACTCTACTAGAACACATATATTTACACCATCAATACCTTGTGTAATACCCATTGATCAGTCTCTGATTGGCCCTTTTCGCACCAGGAAATCCCATTCTTGGAGGGCCATGTTCGCGGGACCGAGCATTTGTACGTAATTGTTTCTGCTCCGAGCTCGGAATCCCCTTTGGCCAGTTTCCCTTTGAACCAGTTTCTCAAAGTTTTAAAGGAGCCGTTTTCATTGACAGATTACACTTGACATTATCAAGATTGTTATTGGCTAACTGGAAGTCTTTTAACCGAAGCTTATAATTTGTTTTATGCTTTGTTTTACGTAATGGTATGGAGAAACTGAAAAACTACATATTGATTATCATTAATTAATCAAATTCATAACTCATTAAGGTATTATTCTAATATACAAATTCTATTATACAGAGTCAAACTCATAAATGTAAAGATTCATCTTCAACTTCTTCAATACTAACTCTTCTTTTCAATTTTGGTAATTTATGTAATGGTTCATGTTCATCACTTGACAATTCAGCTTCACTATTAGATCTGGATCTTGTACTAATTGAATCAGTTTCACTAAATGAATTGGATCTACTTGATCTTGGAGTTGTAACTGCAGTTTCAGTTTCTGAATCTTCATAGTCTATTGGAATGGAAATAACTCTAGCTTTTGGTTTACTTTCTGATGGTTGTTTTGCTGCTTGTTTTGGAACTTGTTCTTGAATTTGTTGTGGTTTTGGTGATGGACTAACAGATCTTCTCGATTCATCTCTAACAGGTGCAAAAACTTTTTTGACTTGTGGTCTAACAACAAATTCATCAGCTGGAACTCTTGGAATGATAATTTTTAAAACATTACCAGCTAATTCCCATTTAACATTCATAACATCAACATCATTTTGTTTGAATTTGAAAACTTTCTTAAATTCATCTTTTTCACTTTCAACATGAATCATTGCAAAACCATCAATGACTTTATAACTAATTGAATAATGATTATATTCATTATTGTTCTTATGAATATGGATTTGATATTGATTCTTGGATCTTAAAACTTTATAACCAACTTCAGGTTTTCTTTCAACTTCAAAATCTTCTTCATCATCATGATGTTCTTGAATCATTTGATTTAATAAATCATTAAAATCATAACCACCATTAGCAGCTCTAAATCTTTGTCCAAATCTTGGTCTTTCTTGAAAACGTTCAAATGGATGATGACATGATCTTGATCTAACAATTCTTCTTGGTGATTGACAATGATATGATGATCTTGATGGTGTGAAAAAATCAGAACCTAAACCAAAACTTTGTGGAGATGATCTTGAAACATATCTTGGTTCAAATGGAGATGAGTAAAATTGTGGAGCGTAATCAAATGAAAGCATTGTTATCGATATCTTGTTAATAGTTGTTTGTATTTGTAATTGATTGTTTTTGTTATATCTTATTGATGATGATTATAACAAACAACAACTCTTTCAAAATATTCAAGGTATTTCATCCTTTTTATAATTAAAACTAATCATTTTTTGATTTCAAATCCTTTATTTTATTTGTAATGATTTAGAATTTTCTAGTAAAAACTTTATGTGCCACCCAAATTTTAGAATATTCCAGATGAAAAAAATTCCCGTGATGGAGTGCACTTACCAAAATCATAATTTTAGAACTTCCTGTCAAAATTTTGGAATGCAGTAGTTCCTTCTCGAATCTGCTAGAAGATTAGATCTAATATCTAACTATGGTCTTAAAACTTTAAACGGCTGTGAAATGTACATACCATGTTATTAAAGGGATGGAGCCTAAAAGAATTGTATACTAAACAGTCAACTACAATCTTGCATAGATAATACCTGGAATATTTGATCGAATCATACATTAACTGAAAATTCATATCTATAAAATTTCTTCATTAGTAACAAATAATAAAGAAACACCTTCATCACCTGCAGTAATCAATTTATTACCGTTTTCAATAACACTAAAATCTAAAACACCCATATTATGACCAACACCTTTGAAAACTTCTTCACCAGTTCTTGAATCCCATTTATAAATTCTTGAATCCATTGAAGAACCAACTAAATATGGTGTACCTGGTACAAATTCTAATTTTGTAACAGCATCTTCTAATAATTTTGAATGTCTTTCCTTCCATGTCTTTGTATCAAATAAAATAATTGCACCTGAAACTAAACCAAGTGCTATTAATGGTAATTCTGTTGACCATGAAATGGTTTCTATACTGGCATCTAATTCTTCTTGATCTTCTTTTAATTCAACAACTCTGAAAGTAGTCAAGACTGAACCATTAGTTATATTCACTATAGCTAATGTACCTTCATTTGATCCAATAGCTAAAATATTTGAATTTGGTTGTAATTTAATTGAAATCCAAGGAATTGTTTGACCTTTAAATGCAGTTTCTGATAATTTAAATTCTGCTGAACCAGTAAAGGCATTCCAACCAACAATTGAACCATCAGTTGAAATGGTAACTAAATGTAATGCATCTAAATCATCAACATTAACGAAAACACCTCCAGTACTTTCTTGTTGATGTGCAAACCCACTCATTATTTGTTCAACACTTGGTGTGATTTGATAAACCCAAACAGAACCATCAGCACCACCAAATGCAAATACTGGTTGTTTTGGATGTACTGAAATCCATACAATTTCTTCAGTTTCTTCTAATTCACCAAATAATTTCCATACTTGACCTTTCTTTGTGGATTGATGTATTAAGATCTTACCAGCCATATCACCAGTAATTAAAAATTCACCATCACCTGTAAAACCACCTGTAATAATTGATTCATTATGACCTTTGATTTGTTGTGCGAATTTTGGTGGTTGTGAATGTGAAGTCCATAAATAAACAGTGTTATCACCACCACCAGAAGCAACTAATGGTAATGTTGGATGTGCAATTACAGTAAAGACTGAATCTTCATGTTTATCAAAGTAACCCCATGAGTTATTTGACATATCTATCTCAATTCTATCTTCACCACCTTCTATTTGTTCATCTTGATCTTGATCTTGTTCTGGTTGAATTTCTTCAACATCTTCATCATCACTTATTGGTTCTGGTTCATTAGCACCTTCATAAACTTCATCTACTTCATTAACTGCAATGAATTCATCTTGACCTTGTTCTTGTTCTTGTTGTTGACTCATTTTGTCCCAAATTTAATTGATTTTTTGTAAATTACTAATGTAAAAGTATTAAAGAGATGAGCTTATAAATTTTTTTTACTATCACAATCAAAATCCGGTTTGATTAGATAATTTGAGAGTCGGAACTGGTCCGTGTATGGCAGAGATCAGAATGGCACAATTCAATTATCAACAACTTCTTATTTTTTTGCCATTGTACTTTTTGATTCGTTGTTATCATAAAGTGAAGTTGGACTGGTTGCTAAGTAGTCTATTGGTTTATAATGACGAAATCTAAGGGTAAAGTTAGAAGTGAAAAGGGTCAATTTGTGGATGATTTGGACAGAGTTGTGCAATTAAAAGGGATCAATTTAGATGGAGGTGCCAAATTTCCAACCAAACCATCATTCCCAACTCATAAACCATTGGAGGGACATGAAGGACTGTTTTTTGATGGTGATCATGTCTCATTTGCTGGGAGACCATTTCCATTAGAGGATGTTCCCTCGCATATCAATAGGATCAAAAGCTTAGGATATAATAGTATAAGATACATCTTCACTTGGGAAGCCATTGAACATGAAGGACCTGGGAAATATGATGAAGAGTTTATTGATTATACAATTGAAGTCTTGAAAATAATTGATGACATTGGTGGTATATACGTTTATTTGGATCCGCATCAGGATGTTTGGTCCAGATTCTCAGGTGGTGATGGTGCTCCATTATGGACTTTATACGCTGCAGGGTTTGACCCTAAACATTTCCAAGCTACAGAAGCTGCAGTTGTTCAAAATTTTTACCATAATTCTGAAGATCCAGATGTTTATCCAAAGATGGTATGGAGTACAAACTATAAAAGATTAGCAGCGGGTACTTTATTCACGTTATTCTTTGCAGGTAAACAATTTGCTCCAAATGCTATTATCAATGGTGTTAATATCCAAGATTATTTACAATCACATTTCATCAACAGTGTTGCATATTTTGTAAAAAGAATTAATGATAAAGCACCAGAATTGTTTGAAGAAACTGTTATTGGGGTAGAAACTATTAATGAACCAAACCCTGGATATATTGGGACTCCTGATGCTTCCAAAATCCCTGATAGTTTAAACTTAAGAGTTGGAACTTGTCCAACTATTTATCAAACTTTGAAATTAGGGTCTGGTATCCCAACTGAATTGGATGAGTATAGAATTTCAATCTTTGGGCCAAAGAAAATTGGTACTAAAGTCATTGATCCAAAAGGTGTCAAAGCCTGGGTTTCTGATGATACTTATGACAGACATTATGGTTTCAAGAGATCTGAGTCATGGAAGCTTGGAGTTTGTATTTGGGAACAACATGGGGTCTGGAACTCTGAAACAACAACCTTATTACTTCCAGATTATTTTAATGTGGATCATTTGAGTGGTGAAATTGCTGATGAAGAACTTTTCATAAATAGATATTTTGTTAATTACTATAAAGATTATCGAAAAGCCATTAGAGATATATTACCAGACACATTTATATTTTTACAATCACCTCCTTTAGAAATCCCACCAAAATTGAAAGGTACAAATTTGGTAGACAAAAATACTATTTTCAGTCCTCATTATTACGATGGTATGTCACTTATGTTCAAGACTTGGAATAGAAAATATAACGCAGATACACTAGGTATAATGAGAGGTAAATATTCCAACCCTGTGTTTAGCATTGTTTGGGGTGAGAATAACATTAGAAAAAGCTTTAGAAGACAATTAGCTGAAATGGTAAAGGAAGGTAAAGAGAATCTTGGTGAAGAATTACCTGTTATATTCACCGAAATTGGCATGCCATTTGATATGGATGATAAGAAAGCCTACAGGGAGAATGAATTTTCATCACAAACAAGTGCATTAGATGCATTGGGCTTTGCATTGGAAGGGAGTAATATTTCTCACTCTTGGTGGACTTATACAGCTGATAATGGTCACAAATGGGGTGATTATTTCAATAATGAAGATTTTTCATTTTGGTCCAAGGATGACATTGAAGAAGCTTCATTTCCTGGATCTTCTGGATCAACAGCTACTACTGGATTTGATTCAAAGGCTTATTTTAATGAACATTCGATTAGTGTTACTGATTTTGACTCTGATTCTGGTACATTAGCTGGTTCCTCATCTTTATTGAAGAGTCAAACGTTAAAAGGTCCATCGTCTGCTTCTTCAGCACCAAGTCATTTTGGATTAAGAGCCATTGATTCAATAGTGAGACCATTTGCATTGGCATTAGAGGGTGAATTTGTTGATTCCGAATTTGATTTATCCAAACTTGAATATACTTTAAAAATCAAAGGTAAAGATACCGGAGACATTACACCAACTTTAATCCATATTCCACAATGGCATTTCCCGTCAGATGAATATGAGATCAATGTGACTTCTGGTAAGTTCATCGTTGAAGAAGGATCTGAAACATTACAATGGTTCCATGAAAACGGTTACCAAAGTATAAGCATTAGGAATATTAATGCAAAAACAGCTCAAAAAGGATGGCTTTCATATTTGCTTAGCTTCTTGCCATGTTTCAGTTAATCGGTTTTTGTCCTAATTTTGATGATTTTTATGATAATTAATATGTTTTTCCCCATTAATAAATACACTATACATTGTAAAAGTTCCCATAATTATTGTACACGCTAAAACTCCAGATCTTCTTCATCGTCATCACGTTCACGTTTAGCACTTCTTTCAGATTTTATAACACCTTGAACGAATTTTGCAAATAAATCAACTGATGGTTTTAATGAAGTCTTATCCCAATCATGGAGTTTCTTATCTTGTGGAATTCCTTGATGTTCAATTTCCCATTTATTAATTTCATGTTGAATTTGACGTAAATTTGGAGAATTTGTAGGATCAAATCCTTGTGATGCATCAAATGGAACACAGACATTACCAGTACTTGGGTGAATACAAAATGGAGATTTCAACAAATGGATCATTTGACGAGTAACTTCAACATCTAATCTTGGATACATAGTTTCTAAAATTATATCCTGTTTAGCTTCCACTATTGTTCTATAATTGAAGGTTTTTGTTGCAATTTTTTTGGAAGTCTCATCGATATCTTTCCATTTTTGAATACTAGATCTACCAGGTGATGAGCTCCATAATTTTCTTAAAGCATCATTCAAGTTTTTATCAGGTAATGATTTCAATAATTCTTCAGCTTTAACATCATCGGCCCATGGATCTTGTTCTGTCAATATAATGTCCAAAAATTCAGGTTTTAAAATTTCATATGAACGTTCGATATGTGGATGATATGGACGACGTAAATTCAATCTCTTGTTACCTTTATTTTTCAGTATATCAAGATATTCCACGATTGCTCTTCTTTTCGGTTCTTCTAAATGTCTAGCTCTTTTGTCACTAACCCAACAATGCGCACCACGTCTACCAGAAAAGACCCAAACCATATGTTCAAATCCGAAATCTTCTCTTAAAGCTTGTTCTATAATTTTAGTAGCCACTGTGATAAATTTCCAACATTTGGTACAGATTTGTGTCTTGGAACAACATGTACGAATATCATCATAATCTGTTAAATCAATGTCAATGACCAATTCTTTCTCCAATGGTTTCATTGCAGTTTTCGGTAGAGTTTTTCTATCTTTTGGATTGACTGCATAAACAGCACCAACTTCGAATCTTGTTGGGTTAGCTTTCATAACTGAAGCTTTAAAATCTTCTAATGTAGCAAATGAATTATAACGTTGATATGCACCTGATCTATACTCATATGCAAATTCTCTCATGGTGAAATCCTTTTGTGGTTTTGGAGAGTGGTTTAGCCATTGGAAAATGTATCTGAATGGTAATAATCTTTCATAGTAGTATAACATATCAGAAGAAGATGGTGTCTTGTTTCCTGATACTGGAAGATCATCTTGAACTGGAGCTGGCTTAGAGATCAATCTTGAAAGGTCTTCTTTGGAGTCATCACTTGCAAAATTGTCATCATCAAGGTTTCTATTCAATGGGATTAATGGTGGACGTGTTGGTGATGAGATCAAATCTTTATTTCTTGAGCTTAAATTTGGGTTGATTGGTGATGAGGATGCTGATGAGGTAGTAGGTTGCTGAAGGGTTCCAGCCATGTCGTTTTGAAACACTGGCATTCCTGCTTGTTGAATATTGAATTGTTATCAACAAGTATTAATCCTATGTATGGAATCTTTTATGTTTTGGAAACATAAAATCAGAGACGCGTAAAATGTAATATTGAAATTAAAAATACGCGAACTAGTAATTTATTTTCGGTAAGAACACGCTTCCGATTGCTGATATAATCGTTACATAATCACTTTTCAAATTCGAGAAAATCAAATCCAAATTAATAAAGTGGATGGCCAAAAGATCTAGTTCAATAACATTAGATAACTAAGGGTTTTCATTACAATTGAACTGAGTTTTATTGCTTTCAAAGTCAATTAACTTCAGTCCTCTAAGATAAATCAGATACAGGTCAAAACACAGAGAAAATGGATATCGTTTTAGGTATTAAAGTGAGAGATTCTGTGATTATCGCCACTTCAAAAGCTGCCACTAGAGGTATTTCAATCTTGAAAGCAGATGATGATAAAACAAGAGAATTGAGTAAACATGCTCTAATGGCATTCACAGGTGAAGCTGGTGATACAGGTATGTATCCGGATCTTGATGTTTTGCTGGTTAATCAATACTAACTTTTGGAACAATAGTACAATTTGCAGAATATATCCAAGCAAATGTTCAATTATATGGAATCCGTGAAAATTATGAGTTAAGTCCAGAAGCTATCTCAAGTTTCACAAGAAATGAATTAGCAAAATCTATCAGATCAAGAGTGAGTTAATTATCTTTTAGGTTTTTCCGCCGACTTCAATTATTTGCCTTCGGGAGAACTAACATTATAATTTTAGAAACCATATCAAGTCAATGTATTAATTGCAGGTTATGATGAAAATAAAAAAGAACCATCTTTGAATTGGATTGACTACCTAGGTACCAGAGCAGAGCTACCATATGCTGCACATGGTTATGCTGCATTCTATACTTTCTCATTATTAGATCGTCATTATAGACCAGATTTCACCACAGAAGAAGGGTTAAATTTATTAAAACTATGTTTAAAAGAACTTGAAACTAGAATCCCAGTTGACTTCAAAGGTGTTAATGTATGTATTGTTAATTTGTTACATTTCAGGTGATTTTTTTACTAACTGAGTTATTTTAGGTTAAAGTTGTTGATAAAGATGGTATAAGAGAGGTTGAAATTTAAAATGATACTTTGGATTAAATTTTGTACGATAATGATAAATAAATGAAGCCTGTGGCTATTTTGAAAAGACATATTATGTTTATAATTCTTTCAATTGTAGATCATAAAGCACCGTATACCAAAGACTTCAAAGATCGAATTTAACTTATTCAAACAAGTATCTAAACGATGGATTGAGTGATGAAAATCATTACCCATAAGATAAATTCCACTGAAACATATTATAGTTTTGTTTATGTTTATAGTTTATTAGTGAGCTCCAATTTACCTTTGATGATGACTAAGCTGCATACTAAAATCTGTCAATATAATTTAAAAAATTGTTTACACTCTAATAGATCTTTGTTTACAACTTAACGAACCCAAATTAAAGAGATTTCAATGTCAAAAGAAGCTAGCTTGATTGAGATAAGGAGCAAGATTCTTGAGAATGCCGGTGCTGATGAAGAAGAAGTGGCTGATTTCGTTGTTAGCTTGTATAATGACTCGAGCTCTTTAAATGAGTTCAAATCGTCATTAGAAGAAGTGGGTGCTGAGTTTGCCTCTGATTTCATTGAAGCTATTTATTTAGACTTGAACGTTTGCTTTGGGAAGAATCAGTCTATAATCAAGAAAGAAGATCATGAACCTGTGATACCGAAGAAAGAAGATGATCCTACACCTAATCATATATTATCTCTACCCAATGATTATAACAGTATAAAGAAAGAAGAAGATTATGATGGTGAAAATTTATTACATGAATGGAAAGATTTTAAAACTGAGGATGATGATGACGTAAAGCTACCAACAAGAAATAGATCAAGAAGTCCTTATAGAGATGAACGTAAACCAAATTTTAGAGATCGTGGTACACCACAAGATGAAGAAGTAATAAGAGACAAAATCTATAGTGGAAGAGTGATGAATATAACAAACTTTGGTGCTTTCGTACGGCTATATGGCGTTAAGGGGGGAGTTGATGGACTTGTACATATTTCAGCCATTGATAAATCTAGAATAAACCATCCATCTGATATCTTGAAAAGAGATCAGGAAGTTTATGTTAAAGTCGTAAAAGTTGAAGGCAATAGAATTGGATTGTCAATGAAAGATGTTGATCAATATACTGGTGAATCAATTCAGATATATCAAAATGATAGAAGAGGAAGAGAATTACATGTTACTACAACATCAAATTCCAAGAGAAGATTAACATCCCCAGAAAAATGGGAAATTCGTCAATTAATTGCTGCAGGTGCTGTCTCTGCTAAAGATTATCCTGATTTAGATAAAGAAGATCATGAATTGGAAGATGAAGAGGATGATGGAAATCAAGCAGCTCAAGATATTGATGTGGAATTGAAACATTCAGTACCACCATTTTTAGCTGGTATGAATATTGAAACTGAAAAACTTGCACCTGCAAAAGTTGTTAAATTACCTGAAGGTTCATTAAATAGAGCCGCTATGAGTGGATCTGCTTTAGCTAAGGAAAGAAGAGAACAAAAAATAAAAGAAATGAAAGAGAAAAGAGAACAACAACTCAAAGATAAAGCTAATAAAGCCACAAATAACGATGATCCACTCACTCAAGATCAAGTACCAGATGAAGAAAAATCCAGTGATTACGTTCCAAAGAGGGATAAAAACGTTTCTTATGGTAAGAGAACAGACCTCAGTATGAAAGAACAAAGAGAATCATTACCAGTATTCAAGATGAGATCTACATTAATGAAAGCTGTTAGTGATAATCAATTCATTGTTATTGTTGGTGAAACAGGGTCAGGTAAAACAACACAATTGACACAATATCTTTATGAAGATGGTTTTGCTAACAGAGGTGTTATTGGATGTACCCAACCACGTCGTGTTGCCGCACAATCTGTTGCAAGAAGAGTTGCTGATGAAGTTGGTTGTCGTGTAGGTCAAGAAGTCGGTTACACGGTTAGATTTGATGATTTGAGTTCTCCAAAGACTAAAATTAAGTATATGACTGATGGTATGCTACAGCGTGAAGCACTGATAGATCCAGATATGAGTAATTATTCAGTGATTATGTTGGATGAAGCGCATGAAAGAACTATAGCTACTGATGTTCTTTTTGCTCTTTTGAAAGAAGCTGCTTCAAGACGACCAGATCTTAAAATCATTGTCACATCTGCTACATTAGATGCTGGTAAATTTTCTGGCTACTTTAATAACTGTCCAATTGTTGAAATCCCTGGTAGAACATATCCTGTTGAGATTTTATATACTAAAGAACCAGAACTGGATTATTTGGCAGCTGCTTTAGATTCTGTTGTTCAAATTCATATATCTGAACCTGAAGGTGACATTTTAGTGTTCTTAACTGGCCAAGAAGAGATTGAAACTTCTGTTCAAGTATTGAATGAAAAAATGAAAGCATTGGGATCATCAATTCCGGAATTAATTGTTTTACCAGTTTATTCTGCATTACCTTCTGAAACACAATCAAGAATTTTTGAACCAACACCAAAAGGTTCAAGAAAAGTCATATTGGCTACAAACATTGCAGAAACTTCATTAACTATTGATGGTATTTATTATGTTATTGATCCTGGATTTTCTAAAATCAATGCATATGATCCAAAATTAGGTATGGATTCTTTAACAGTTCGTCCAATTTCACAAGCACAAGCAAATCAAAGAGCTGGTAGAGCTGGTAGAACGGGACCTGGTAAATGTTTTAGATTATATACAGAATTAGCATATCAAAATGAAATGTTACCAAATACAATTCCAGAAATTCAAAGACAAAATTTGAGTAATGTTATTTTAATGTTGAAAGCTATTGGTATTAATGATTTATTAAATTTCCAATTCATGGATCCCCCATCAACAGATTCTATTTTATTATCTTTGAATGAGTTATATTATTTGAAAGCTGTGGATGAAGAATCAAGAATCACAACCATAGGTAGAAATTTAGTGAATATACCTGCAGATCCAACTATTTCCAAGACTTTGATTGAATCAATACATTATAAATGTTCAGATGAAATGATTACGATTTTTGCTGTGTTATCAACTCCAAATATTTTCAATAGACCTAAACAACAACAAGAATTAGCAGATAAGAAGAAGGCAAGATTCCATCATCCTCATGGGGATCATTTAACGTATTTAAATGTTTATAATGCATGGGTTAATAATGATTATTCAAAACAGTGGTGTCAAGAAAATTTTATTCAAGAAAGATCATTGAAAAGAGCACAAGATGTTAGAAATCAATTAATTCAAATTTTTAAAAGATTTAAATATCCAATAATAAGTTGTGGAGCAAATACGAATTCTGTTAGAAAAGCATTATGTTCTGGATTTTTCAAAAATGTTGCTAAAAGAGATCAACAAGAAGGTTATAAAACTCTTGCCGAAGAAACTCAAGTTTATATTCATCCATCAAGTTGTGTTAGAAATAATCCACAATATGTTGTTTATAATTCGATTTTGAATACTACAAAGGAATATCTAGTTCATGTTACACAAATTGAACCAAAATGGCTTGTTGAAGTTTCACCTGAATTTTTTGAAGTTAATACAAATCCTGGACAAAACAAAAAAAGGGCAAATGAAAAAATTGTTCCATTGTTCAATAAATTTACTAAAGATCAAAATGAATGGAGATTATCACAAGGAAAATCAGGTTCGGCTGATTTGAAAAAAAGATTTAGAGCATGATAAATATTAGTCATTTACTAGTAGCTTTGAGAAATAAACAAAGTTTCCAATATCAATTGTATATTGTATTAATAAATACCGTATGTTATTCCATATATCATCTATAATGGTCTTTTGTAAGAGTTCTTACCCTTTTCAACACCAACTTTGGTATATAATAACTGTGCTCTATGATTAGTTTTATCAGTGTTCCAGTAGACCTCTGGTGTTCCTAACTCATCAGCATGATTGTAGACATATTCAATCAATCCTCTGCCAACCCCTTTGACTCTTGCATCCTCGTCAACATATAAATCGTTCAATAGAATCTTATCTTTGATATCCCAAGTTTGAATGTGACTAAAATAATTAACTAACCCAATTGGTTTTTGAGTTTCATTTGAAAAAGCCAAAGCTGCCCATAATTTGATTTCAGGGTCTAAAGCTCTTTGGAAAGTTGATTTAATGATCTCATCTGATACTGTAGCTTTATAGAAGACAAGGTATAATTTGAATAATCTTGTCCATTCTTCTTCATCTTCTTTGGTAACTGGGTGGATTGCAAATGACATTTCAGATCTGTTGTTTTCTAGCTTTGTGAAATATAATACTCTATTACAAAGTTTTTACGCTTCTTTATATATTTTCATCCCAATTGTTATCTTTGACTCATTAAGAGTCATTATTATGAATTGGTTGTACTCTTTTTTACCCGCGCGGACTCCATACTTATACAGGCAGGTAGGTACATGGTTTCATTTCCATACTGAACAATAGAGGTTAGATAAATGATCCATGCACTTGATCTTTCAATACTACGCAAAATCATCATTTGAGTTTTAAATTGTACATCAAATCATCCAATATTATATTATCGATCAACTTATTCATAGTTCATAGTTCACAGTATACTCAAACTGTTTGGAATCTGGATTAGTAATTGAATAAATTTTCACATAATCTCGAACCACGATTACGCTACATTTGAAAAGATCTATATAAAAGAAGCCATATATCTTCATCAGTTTAATTCGTTACTTTGCAAACATTTCTCAATTCATTTTCAATTGATTAGTACTCAAAGGCACAAAAGAGAGTGTAAAGATGGTCACTGCTTACAATTTAAAAGAATCAAATCTTTTCAAGCCAATTAAAGTTGGTGATGTTACCTTAAAGAACAGAGTTGCATTAGCTCCATTAACAAGAGGTAGAAACTCAGATGATCACATTCCATTCGATTATGTCAAAGATTACTATGATCAACGTTCAAGAAGAGAAGGTACTTTAATTATTTCTGAAGCTGTTTTAGTCTCATTCAAATCATCTGGTCAATATCAACCACCAGGTATTTATAATGAAAAACAAGCTCAAAAATGGAAAGGTGTTATTGAAGCTATTCATAAGAATAAATCATTCTTCTTCTTACAAATTTGGGCTTTAGGTTTATATGCTGATCCTGCTTTAACAAAATCACTTGGTTTGAAATATTTAGCTCCAAGTTCAAATGTTTATATTAAAAAAGAAGATGAAGAAGCTGCTATTGCTGCTGGTAATCCTTCATATGGGTTAACCACTCAAGAAGTTGAGGAGTATATTCAAGATTTTGTTAATGCAGCTAAGAAATCTATTGAATTAGGTGCAGATGGTGTTGAATTACATGCTGCTAATGGTTATTTACCATTCCAATTCTTATATGATAATTTAAACAAAAGAACTGATAGATATGGTGGTTCAATTGAAAAAAAAGCCAATTTCATTCTAGATATCGTTGATGGTGTTGGTAAAGCAGTAGGTTATTCTAAAATTGGTGTTAGATTATCACCATTCTTTAGAACTTTGGAAGATGTTGACTTTTTTGAAGATCAAACCATTGCAACTTATTCATATTTAATTGGTGAATTAGAATCAAGGAGAAAACAAGGTAAAAAAATTGCATTCATTCATCTTGTTGAACCAAGAGCAGATCTTGTTACTAAAAACCTACATATCACTAACGATTTTGTTTATCAAATCTTTAAAGGTGTTATCGTTAGAGCTGATGGTTATACTAGTGATTTTGATAAATTAAGAAAACATGTTCAAGCAGATGAAAGAACAGTTATTGCTTTTGGTCGTCATTTCATTTCTAATCCAGATTTAGCTGATAGATTAGAAAATGATTGGCCTTTAACACCATATGATAGATCTTCATTTTATGTAGGTGGTGAAAAAGGGTACCTTGATTATCCATTTTATGAACAAAAATAGATTTTGGTACTAAGGTATAATCTTGTGATATATATAAATCAATAGAATTTTACCAATCATAGAAGTATATTCCAACAAAATGTTTACCACATAGATAGAAGTTGCATGTTGTATAGATCTTAATCTGGAATTAATAAATTATAGAAATTGTGGAGATAATTCATGATCATAGATCATAGCTAGATATATCATGTTAATAAAAGTACACTATATTAATAGTACTAATACTTTAGTCATCTCATCGATATTTTAACTTAATAACGTGCTATAGACGTTCAGTATAATGATTTATAAATTATGACACAACGCAATGGATATTACTACTTTCGTACTCCTAGTACACAATTAATTAGCCGTTCCCAAAGTTCTATTAAAACATCTTTATGACACAATTTCTCGTGACTTATCTTATTTATCGTCTGACATGTTGGGTACTTAGATATGGACAAGTAATACCAAATTAGAAGGTCCACATATAACAAACTATCAGCAATGTGATACGAAAGCAATTAACGATTACACTAATTTGAGTATGGAATATACCTAGTTCTTTATTTCAATTTTCCCAATGTAATCAAATTGTGGCATTCAGCGAACCTCATTTTCTACCACACTGTGTGCATTTTCTTAAACAGTCAAATTTTGCTGCTCTCTTCGAAAGATCAACAACAGCCAAACGGTATCAATGCAAATTTTCACGAGTTGAACTTGTACCATGGAGTTCAAACTTGAAACAGGCAATATGCGATAAACTCAGCTCATCTTATTTTACGAAATTATAAATTTTGAAGCTGTCTATAAAGACTAATGGAATCCCATACTTAAACAAAATCAACAATAGAGGTTTAAAAGACGTCAAATATGTCAGACAACTCCATAGATAAGTCACCATTGGGTATTCACGTCAACCAACTAGATCCAAATATTCATATTCCTGAAGATCTGGTCAATGAGTTGACTGAAGAAGATTATGAATTCCTCAAGATCAAACAAGTCCCACAAAGATGGTATCAATGGTTTGCTATCACTGATACAAAAGCTGAAAGGAAATTAATCATCAAATTAGATCTATTAATCTTGGTCTATTTGTTCTTATCATCATTTGTGAAAACCTTGGATACATCTGCTGTTAGTTATGCCTATGTTTCAGGGATGAAAGAAGATCTGGGAATGTATGGAAATCAATTAACTTATCAAAACTCATGTTTTATGGCAGGTTTTATTGTGGGACAAATTCCATTAACTATGCTTGGAACAAAACTACCAATTCATTTATATTTACCAATAATGGATTCTATCTGGTCTATTTTCACATTAGCATTATTCAAAATCACAAATTATCATCAATTATATGCTTTAAGGTTCTGTATTGGTTTATTTGGATCTTTCTTCTTCCCTTTTTGCCAGTATATCCTAGGATCATGGTATACTGAAAATGAATTGACCAAAAGATCTGCTTTATATTTCTGTGCTTCACAAGTCGGTGGTATGGCTGCTGGGTATATTCAAGCAGGTGCTTATAAACATCTTAGTGGGTTACATGGTCTTGAAGGATGGAGATGGTTATATATCTTAGCTTTCATCATCACATTACCAATTTCACTTTATGGAGTCTTAACATTACCAGGATTACCTGATAAAATTCATAATAATAGACTTTTAACACCAAATGAAATTAAATTGGCAAGATTAAGAATGATTAGAGAAGGAAGATCTTCAAAAGATAGATTTTCAATCTCTGTAATTTTACAAATTATAAAAGGTTGGAGATTTTGGATCCTTGTTGTATTTGCTATATTTTTTTCACAAGCTGATGGTATAAGTTCACAAAATGGATTACCAATATGGCTTAAAGCTGAAAATTATTCAGTTTATCAAGTTAATACTATAACAACAGTTATCCCAGCTGTGACTATTTTCTTCTCATTGTTGAACGGTATTATAGTCGATAGTTGGAAAGATTCACATCCTTATATAATTGCATATGTTGCAATTTTCAATTTGTTATCAGGAATCTTGTTAACTATTTGGAAAATTCCAAAAAATGCCATCATGTTTGCCTTTTTCCTTTCTGGTACTGCAGATAGTATAGCTGCTGTCTTATATTCTTGGGCTAATATCATTTGTTCAAATAATTCACAAGAAAGAGCATTAACTTTGAGTACTATGAATACTTTAGGTAATACATTTGGTGTGTGGGTTCCTTTATTCGTTTGGAAAACCTCTGATGCTCCAAGGTATTTAAAAGGTTATGCTTATAATATTGGGTTAGACTCGATGATGTTGATCTTACTGGTTCCTTTGACCATATTATACAGAAGAAATAAGGAACATACAAAGATTGATGATTCAAACGATGATGAAATTGATTCATTAGAATAAACAGTTTTCTACAATTTTCAGTTAATAAAAGTACTTTTAAATATACCTTCATTAAATTTATAAATTCCCGACACTATGTACAATCATTAATATCTTTAAGCCACTACTTTGGCAACTTCTGGTCTTGTCTTCAGATTTCTAACCAAATCTCTATAGTTATTTCTAATTTTCAGACTTTGTCCATATCTTGAATTACCAGCTGTGAAAAACACGTTTTTATAACGCAGTATTGAATCTTGTCTTTCTCTATTCAAAGCTCTATCTTCATCATGAAATATTGGATTATCAAAATTTATTAAATTTGGTGATACTCTAAACTTATTCAACCGTTGTAATGTTGCATTATGAAGAGTTTTGCAAGTTAATGTAAGACTGTGTATACTTGATCTATCACAAAAATTCACAAGATCTGTGGATATTATCTCTATTGGTAATTTATCAATCATTTTTATTGTAATATATCTGAGTTATCTCGTAGCCAAAAACACCAAAACAAGTATAAAATTAATGAATATATGTAGATTTATAGCAAAATAGCAGCAAATCTTTAGCTTTATACGGAAACCAGCACTAGCGCAACCTCTTGGAAAACGTAATAAGCAGCCTATTGAAACTTTGACCCTTCAAACCCTCTGTAGCGTATCATACCATATCATAAATCTATATAATAAAGTTGATATAAAAAATTTTGTGTCTTGAGATGCATCAATTTTGGATTCTCGGGTGTTTAGTGTTTACACAAAAACGATGAGTAAAAAACACCATTTTTCAGTCAAAATGGAGTTGATTCTAAAAAAGGTTTCTGGTATCATCTTGTATAAGGAATCTCTCTGATATTTTTCTCAACTAGTTCTCAATCATTATGGCTTTCTTTGTGTTGATTTCCATCCTCTTTTTGTATCTTTGTAAAGTGAATCGTGATGTATTATTGAAAAAATTTGCCCCATACTTAAGCATTAACATCGCGCTTTGTTGAATCAACGGGTATTAAATGGATATAAATTTTAGCAGAATATTGAATATATGGGAAGTAACACGTCCAAATATATCAAGGGCATAATATGTAATATATCCAATTCTGTATGTTACAAGCCTACTACAATCTCTGAATCCTAACTGCATAAATCATTCCATTAAACTCATGAAAAAAGCATAGATACACGTTGAATATATAAATAAGTCATTAAACAAATAAATAGGAGATATAATAAAAAAGAGCATTTGAAACACATCAATATCATTGAAATATGATATGAAACTTCAATCTTTCCAACCCCGAATAAATCTTAAAAAAAAGTAAAACCAAAACAAATTAAATTAAGTACAATATAATAATCAACAATATGAACATATGAAATGATGACTGTGATGATGGTTTACAAGAACCAACAAAAAATGACAAACAATTACAAACTCTATAAGAATCCAATTAATGATTAAATTTCCAAAAAAAAACCTCAAAACTCTGAAGTTATAAATCTATTCCCCATGTTTGAAACAACATCTGTTACCATATCTGCATGATCCGGTTTTAGACCAGTTGGCACATGGTTTAGATCTATATTTTGAACCACGATTGACAACTTTCAATTCATTTCCACCATGAGCAAATTGACATTTGTTACCATAAGGACAAGAACCAGTTTTGTTGAAAGTTGAACATAATTCAGTCTTGTATAATTCAGTATTAACATTTGCTTGTTTATCTAATCCACCTTGAGATGAAGTTGAAGTAGCATTTTCACCCAATACACCATTGATATCTTTTGGTGTATTTTGTAATTTGATTAAATTTTCTTCAGTTAATGCAGAAATTGAATCTTTTGATGAATTTTGTTGAATATTATTTAATTGGAAATTATTTGATTCAATTTGTTGTTTTTGAAGTTGTAATTGTAATTGTAATTGTTGTAATTGTTGAGAAACTAATTGTGCTTGTTGTTGAATAAATAATGGGTTTTGCATCAATTGTTGATGTTGTTGTTGTAATTGTTCTAAATAAACTTGTTGCTGTTGATAATTTTGTAACAACATTTGAGTATTATTGATTGAATCCATAGCTGGTTGTTGTTGTTGTAACTGTTGGATTTGTTGTTGAACTTGAGCTGATCCAAATGATGAAGTTTGAGCACTTGATGGTTGATGTTGAGCAATTTGACCTTGTTGAGAAGGGGCCTGATGAGCTTGTTGGAATTGTGACAGGTTTGTGAAGCCCATTTGTTCAGGAGACTTGCTTGACAATGGTGTAGATGGTAATGGTGTAGTTGAAGCTGTATAGCTCAAACCATTTGCTGTGTTAATATTATTGTTGTTGTTGAATTGGGTGTTATTTAAAGAAGGGATATTAATTTGGTTATTAACAGTTGAGGAGTGAGCTAATCCAGGGATTTTCATCAACTCAAATAGACTTTGATCACTATTTGAGTGATTTAGAGAAGAATTTGAAGTGTTTAAATGATTATTTGGTTGAACTTGATAGTTATTGTTTGACCAAACATCGTTATTTTGCTGTTGTTGAGATTGTAAGAAATTTTCCTCTTCAATAGTGTTTTTACCTAAATTTAAGCTCTCATCTAAAGAATTTTTTTGATTTAATTGATTTAAATCTTGTGGATTTTGGAAATTCCAAAAATTTGAAGAAACATTTGAATTATCTTCATTAGCGAAATAATTGTCAATTTGAGTACCCATATTGGAGTTTTTACTAGTTAAAGGTGGTTTAAAATCACTTATCGATTCTGATGACACTGATGAGACCGTTGAAGGTGCGCTATATTGTAAATTTTGCTGAGAATTGGCACCAAGCACACCTGGATTTGATAATTTAGAATTTAGCTCTTGAAATAAATGTTTTTGGTTGAAATTTGCAGAGGAACTTGTAGAGTTTGGAGTAGAAGAGCCTGTACTGAAATTAAAATTGTTCAAATGATTGAAATGATTGTTATTTAAATTAAAATTGTTGTTGTTATCTGCTGTTGACGTCCAGGACATGAGGGGACTTTTTTATGGTTTAAATAGTGTGAATAAATTAAAGACGTGGACAAAAACCTGTCTGATTGAATAGATAAGCCAACTTGGTCGTTGCTGTTTGAACTTTGAAGTGTTAACCAAATAACAAAACTCAGTGTAACTAAGTAAACAAATACACTCAGATTCAAGATTACCAATTTGAAGGAAACTGGAATCAATTTATAAAATGCAAACTCAGATTTGGGACTTAAAAAACCTTCGAGATGAGCTAGGTAAATTTCCACAGCGACACTCGCAGCTCGATAAATGTCCCAAAAAATGACACACCGGAAAAAAAGAAATGCGATACTTTTGTCTCATGCGCCATCTGGCGAGACGTATCCTAATCAACAAAATTGACATATACGATTGTGGTACAGCTTAAGCACTCATAACAATACAACTTTTGGCTATTAATTGTTAATATAAATTGACAATACTACTTAATATCATCTTAACTTTAAAATCATCAAGTTTTTCCAATAGAATCACCACAGTTTTGAGTCTCAATTATCAATTTCTCTTATTTCTTAAAAGCTTTATCTTTTCCATCAGTGGTAAGCACAGCATCTCTTCTCAAAAAATGTCCTCCTTTCCCGGGATTACACCTTTTTTTCCTCATGATACCTTGATCTAAGAGGTCAACAAATCTGATATACTTCAACATGAAGGTGTCATCTCGAAGCCACTGGTCAGTAATTTCAAAAAAAATAGATTGTTCCTGGCTTGACATGTCCGAAATTAAGACAGAGTGCTGAAATCTTAAACGAATCAACCGGTTCATCGGTCCTAGACTCTGTATACTAATTCAATTGATCGAATAGATAAACTGTTTAAAGAAATTTATACACATCTTGAACCTTGGTTTGACATCAAATTATATGGGGGTCCTTCAAGAAGGGAATTGAATTGCTAGTTATAAACTGACCCCAAGGCGATCTGACATTATTCAAAAATAGCGAAGGCTTATATAGGATTATATACTCAAAGAGGCTACGTTTGGCGTTGGCTATTCGAACATTTACGATCAGGAATCAGGATCAAACAACTAAGCTGTCTGGTTTAATGGTATGCATATTCAGTCATTTGTATATATATTAATAATTCAGGATTCAGGATTCAGGACCAATTATTGTAGATTTATAGATCTATTTTTTGTACTTTAAAGTCACAAAAGCTACTTTAATATATTGATATCTTTAATACTCAGTTTCATAATCTACCAGCTAGGGTAGCTCTGGCGCTGGCCCTGTCTAAGTCCTTCTGGCTTCTAGGCTGCTAGGCTGCTAGCGAACTAATTAATTAACAGTCCGTTTAAACACCACCACGGCAGCAGGGGACCCTTGGCCCGCCTAGCTCTTTAGAAGGACTCTCTGCTCTCTGCCTAAGTCTAGAAAAAACTAAATTTTTGTCCGAAGTTCCGGTACCACGGAAATTAGTACCGTTTTAAAAAGAAATTCAAAAAGACGTTGAAAAATAAAACTCAAAAAGCTTCGATACACCAATAATCGTGCTCATTACTATCTTTAATGTAGCCACTAAAAATCAAGTTTAGAAATTGTGCAAACAAGATAAAGTTTGACTGTTTGTTTTGACGTTGGTTTTTCCCTATATAGCTTGAATAAATACACCTTCAAATCTAGTCTTTGTCCATACAAGCTATAAAAAAGACATATAAAAATAGTAGTCTCAAATCTCGAGAGAAGTACATACGCACATATGTATAAAGGCTCACTTAACTGCGAGAGCGACTACAGATTTAATACAAAATCGGACATGTAGGCGAAAAAAAATAACGAAACCGTGCGAATTATACTGACAAAACTTTTTTATAGGGCTAAACATTTGAAGACTCATGAAACCAGGTGAATTTAACTTCAATTTCAACAAGGTTTTCCTAACAATTATACCCAAGTTATATTAGTTTTGTTTATCTGTATGTTTGTATGTAACAATAAAGAGATAAAGCGTGATACCAACAGAGAAAAAACATATTTGTTCATTAAACTAGGATTTCAAGACAAATTGTTGTAAAATCCGTAGATGGATGACGCTCTCATTTGAACAGCCGTTTGGCCAGTTGAAACTTGAAGACCCTCTGGCCCATAAAGATCTTTCTCTGCCTAATGATCAATTGTTCTGTCTAACCATTTTTTGTATCTTCTCATGCTGATGAGAAAATTAAAAGCCATGAACAACTATATTTCGTCCAGAAATCAGGATTCAGGATCCAGCTATAAGCAGCTAGTTTTCAAGATTTTAAAGACTAATCTTGAGTGTTTGAGTCTAGACATATGCACTCATATGAGAATCCAAAATCAAATCTTCCAGAGTTTGACCAAACAACGAATCAAATTCCTTTATCACGAGATTCACTAGTTATAACTTATTGCGTTATCGTATATGGGTCTATCTTATACTTAAAGAACTGTGAACAATAACCAGCCAAAAGAGCTAGGCAGAGCAGTGGAGCGCCTGGTTTGTGGATGACTCTCTAACGAGTCACGAGTCATCACAAATGAACCATGATTCATGAACATTAATCCCATCAATTAACCTTTGAATTAATTCGAGTACTTCAAACTGAAGGTCCCGGGGTATCAAGACGAGACGATTTAACTCTTAGCATTTGAATAAACTTCATCGAATCAACAATTAAATCAAGTCCAAGACAAAGTGTAGGATTATCAAAAGTTCAAGTTCCCCAGAACTTATTGATGTAACCATGAGCAATAAATCAATTAGCTTTGCTATTCATCAACTCATGAACTCATGCAATCGTTTCAATTTTGCTTCATATCGAGAGTCTCTCTTGAAAACTGAAAATTGAGACTGATATTCAACTTCAAGGACTTAAGTTCTGCAAAGTATTAATCATGGGACAAATTGATATCGTTTTCTGTGAAAATTAGATATGTCCACAAAAATCCTTCGTTCCCACCGGGCCATGAGACAAAATTTTCAAACTTGAATCTGTGTGGTTGAAAATTTTGGTGTTGATTTTTCCTTTTGCGAATTTGCCACCTGAAGCACCTAACATGAATTCTATGGGGGTTTTACTTGATAAGAATCAGTTATCAATATTGTTGAAGCATGTAGAGTTTTAAGTAACAAAGGTTAAATTTTGACACATAATTTTAATTCAAAAGATTTTCTCGAGGGGTATTAATGTGGGAATTCCAATGCTTTTAACTTTAAACCGTTTGCTCCAATTTGCCTTGTAAAAATACTCCTCCTATAACTAATTTATCTTCTCCTCCTTTATTACTTACTGTTTTGGGAAGATTTCCTTATTTGGAAGCTTGTATGTCATGTGACTGATTATGTAAAAATGTGGGCCGTTAAGGGACACTTCATATTAACCTTATATAAATAACTCATGAGATCCTGTTATGGTTTGAAAGTCATTAATTGAGTGATATATTAAGTGTTATCATCCAGAGAAGGGTCAGTATGTGCATTTCAATTTTATTAAGCTTTTTTTTAATCTTCAACAGTTAGAATATAATCAAAAGCTAGATCGATGTACTATCCCTTAATTTCCCTATATCTCCCTTTTCCAACGTTAGCTGTATATACCCACTTTATTAATCATCAGTGTTTTGAAGCTGTATCAAGGATCAATTGAACGATTTATTTTATATGAGTGAAATGAGGATATAAAGAAAGGAATTCTGTAGTCTTTATATTATATTTCTATTAGTACGGCCTTTGGTAGATTATTGTAAATATATTGTTGAAATAATGAGCTGATATTTATATCAGATCAGTAAATAGTCCGAATCGAGATTCATGGAATCTGAGTACCACGTCGACTTTCGAAAATCAGTTTTAAATTTGAATATTTCGCTCGACACTCGTGGTCCAAAGTTAGAAGGTACCTAAATCGGTTGAGTATATCATCACATCATCACCTACATATACCATCATTATTGTTCATAAAAGGATCGTCAATCTAACAATAACATTAAAACGTATTTATACAACCATCACCTCGGTATTAGAGGTTATAAAACTAAAGAAATCTATTGACCGAAAACAGTTTTGAAAGATTGTTCGAAATCTTCAAGAATATCATCAATGAATTCAGTACCAACAGAAACTCTAATCAAATCTTCTGTAACACCTGAAGCAATTTTTTCTTCATGATTTAATTGTTCATGTGTGGTATAGTATGGGGCAATCACTAAGGTTTTTGAATCACCAACATTGGCTAAATTAGATGCAATTTTTAAGTTATCAGCAACTTGTGGACCAGCATGTTTGAAAACATCAGTTTGTTGATCTTGATTTGGTAAAGGTTTAACACCAAATGATAAAACAGCACCAAAACCATTTGTCAAATATTTTTTAGCATTTTCATGATACGGATGATTTTCTAAACCTGGATATGAGACCCATGAAACATATGGAGATTCTGATAAATATTTAGCTAATTTGAATGTGTTTTCAGCTTGTCTTTCAACTCTTAATGATAAAGTTTCTAAACCTTGAAGTAATAAGAATGAGGCAAATGGATTGATTGAAGGACCTAAATCTCTCAAGATTTCAACTCTGGCGTGACCAATAAAAGCTAAGTTACCAAAAGCTTCATTGAAGACTAAACCATGATAACCTTCTGAAGGTTCTGAAAATTGTGGGTATTTTTGAGGATAATCAGCCCAAGGGAATTTACCTGAATCAACAACAACACCTGCAATAGTGGTACCGTGACCACCAATCCATTTAGTTGCTGAGTGGACAACAATATCAGCACCGTGATCAATTGGTTTGACAAAATAACCACCAGCACCAAAAGTATTATCAACAACAACAGGGATACCGTGTTTATGAGCAACAGCTGCGATTTTTTCAAAATCTGGAATGTTGTATTTTGGGTTACCAATTGATTCTAAGTAAACAGCTTTAGTCTTTTCATCAAATAATTTTTCAAAATCTTCAGCATTATCACCATCTTTAACAAATCTAGCTTCAATACCTAATCTTTTGAATGCAACTTTGAATTGATTATATGTACCACCATACAAATATGAAGTTGAGATGATGTTATCACCAGCGTGAGCTAAAGCTGTGATAGCTGTAAATTGAGCAGCTTGGCCTGAAGAAACAGCTAAAGCAGCAGCACCATTTTCTAAAGCAGCAATTCTCTTTTCAAAAACATCAGTGGTTGGATTGTTTAATCTTGAATAAATGAAACCTTTTTCTCTTAAACCGAACAAGTTGGCACCGTGTTCTGAATTATTGAAAGCATAAGAAGTTGTGGCATAAATTGGTGTAGCTCTGGCGTTGTGAGGTCCTTCAACTTCTTGTCCAGCATGTAGTTGTAAAGTATCAAAATGAGATGGCATAATGTATAATTGTAATTTAGTCTAATCTATGGGATCGATTTCTTAATTGAATAAGAATTCTTTGGAAAACGAGACATGGCTCGATATTTAAATGATCTGATAATCCCATGATCCATCCCTATCACCAACAACTGTTAAAATAATTTGGCGGTATCTTAACTTAAATGAGCACATCCGATAGTATCGTATATATGGTGAAATATGTACAAATTGCACGTGACTGGAATATTTAATTGGGGCAAAAGTGCCAAAAACAACTTGACCCGTCAAATTATAAACATCGTAATAATCATGATCCGATCCGATTTCTGGTAGTCAGTGACAGTGGCACTCCAGTCTCCTTGGATTTAGCCACTAATATTTCAAACGATTGAAAATCAATCATGGATCGAATCTCTCGAGATGTGAGGCTTGAGCCTTGAGTCGAGCCACTATAATTATAATACCGCGTGGACTCTTCAATTTGATTCAGCTAACGTACTACTTGCGCTATATTCAGTGCTCACCATGTTTAAAATATTGGACTATTTTGGAATCGGAGATTTGAATTGATACCAGTGCAGTGTTCTATAGGCATTGTATGCTATAACCTTAAATCTCAGATCTCATACTGATTAATAATTTTAATTAGATCTCTGGTACCGGTGCGCCCAAATTATATTGAGATCGGACACCTAAATCTTGAAGTTGTTTAGGCTTATGCCTGGCCGGTATTCGATCAAATTACCTCGAAGGGGAAACATGATTTGTAAATGAGTGTAACTAGACTCACAAAGCATTTTAGTTTTTGGGCTCGTAAGCTCGATCCTGAACTGCCTGGCAAAAGATATATATATAATTGTATCGCATTTTTTAAGTCTGCCGTGAGCACTGAGGCGTGACGTTATGGATCTTGACTTTTGAGTCGCGACTATAAAAGTACTTCTGTTTGAACTTTTGAAGAGTAGATCCAAAATCCACATCTCTTTCTAGTGACTTCTTTGAAAGTGTATACCAAGCCATTGCTTTCTGAATACTCAAATCTACATTTATAAGCCTGGAATGGCTCAAAAAATTAGTCTAAAGTGGCAAAAAGAATGGTGGATCCTAGGAGATTCGAACTCCTGCATCTTGCGATATTCGATCTTGAGTCGAACGCCTTAAACCACTCGGCCAAAGATCCTTATTGAACACGAATTTTAAGATCTGTAGTATTCTGTTATGCATCAACATCACGTGACTTTCAATTCCCGATCGGGTGAAATTTGCACTTTTATCCGCGTTTTAGCGCAGATATAACAGCGCATTACTTATTTTGGAGAAACTGTAAACGTTAACGCCAATTTCCCACCTGATTTTCCCGATATGGTAATTCCAATCAGTTACCCCAGATCACTTTGTTCACCAACAAAATAAATCAGTGACTCCCGTTTTTCAGGTTTCCCCGTAAAATATTTTGGTTTAAATTCGTTCAAAATCTCGTTGAGAATTTCTTAAAAACTTATTTCATTATCCTTTGTACAAACAATCATTATATCATCAATTACCGTTGAAACATTCGTTATCTCTTATTGTTAACTTCTGATTTATAGTTTCTGCTTATCTACTAAGGCTCAGTCGACGTTATCAGCTATCAATCGACAATAGAATGCACTAGGCGCTGATTATTATAGCTAAAGGTTCAAATCTGCTTTCAATAATGTCATCAAATCAACTTCATCATCATCATCAACAACATCTTCAAGGGAATGGTGTCACAAAACAAAAAAGATCTGCTAATAAACAAGATTCAGCGCGGAAGAGATCAAATACAAGACCCTGTGATGGTTGTGCTGTAAGAAGAGTCCGTTGTGATTTGGCTACAAGTTCCTTTGGAAGCTGTACCAATTGTATCAATCATAACATGGAGTGTACAAATATCAGAGTTCGTCATAAGTCAGGACCAAAGAAAATACAACAGAAGACGAGAGAGAATATCGTTAAATTTCTTTCTGCAAATGGTGGTAGTGTTACAGGTCATTTGGGAACTCCACAATATAGTCCATCTACACCATCAATGTCTAGTACTCCAAGTTTCAAAAATCATTTAGGGATCTATAATAACTCAATTACAAGAGAACCAACTTGCAATATACCCTTAAACAATTTGTTACCTTATTTGCAAGTTTATCAAACTTGGTATTATGGACTATGGCCTGTATTATCGGTTGCTCATTTGATTTCTAAACTCACAGATAACAATTGTCAAACTGCATCAGATGGATGTATTGTGCTTAATGAAGAAAATGCATCATATTACGCTTTATCATGTGCTGTTTGTGCTGCAATAGGTGTACAAATTAAGTTTTTAAAGTCAACTGGTGGTGTTATCAAAGTTGAAAATACATTGCAAGATGATGAATATGCCAAAGAAGCCAGAAGAGTGAGATTTTTATTTGAGGATAAAATAGATAGCACAACTGAATCACTTTTGACAAGTTTCTTCTTGCATATGTATTATGGAAATATTGAAGGTGGTACTAGGAAAGGCATTGTTTACCTTAGAGAAGCGGTTTCATTAGCTCAAATTTTAAGCTTACATGATCCGGAATCTTACATTGGAAAATTACCTGCTGAAGTACACAGATGTAAAAAGATTTATTACATGTTACTTGTCACTGAGAGATATGTTTGTCTTCATGAAAATTTGCCTATTTTGCTCGAACCAACGATCGAGATTCCTTCATTGCATGATGAAGAATATCCTGAGTTGTTGTCAGGTTTCACTGAAATTGTTGAAGTTTTTTCTTCTACAGGTAAACAGTTCTTTCAAGAAGTTGGTCGTAAATTATTATTGAGAAATTCTAGTGGTTCATCGAGTGAAAGTTCACCTGATAGTGAAAATGGTTTCAATAACATGTTTGGAACAGATTTATCAATATTTCAAGATTTATTACAAAATCAACCAACCGAGCAAAAGAGAGAAACAATTGGTCAGATGCAACTGAAATTAGATAGTAAAAGGCATAAATCAAACAAAACTAAGAATGAATCACAAAAATTAAATATAATCTTATCTAAATCGTGGTTACAGAGTCTTGGTTGGTTAATTGCAAAAGAAAATTTTATCATCAATAAGAATGACCATAGTGAATCATCATGTTTTAGTTTTAAGTTCCCTATGAAAATTGCACAAGAATTTCTAGAAGAAACGAAAGACTTGCCAGATTTCGCATTTGAATCCAATGGTGCTCCTGGTGTTTGCAATAAGCTATTAGAGATTGCAGATTCTCTATATGGTGTTACAATGCTAGCAACATCACGTACTGACTCTACAAGAGCATTTGATCAAATGAGTACAGTATATGGAATATTCATGAAACATAAGACTCCTGATATCCATATCATACCAGCCTTGTATCATAAAATTGGAACAATGATTGAATCAAAGAGACTGACTTATAGACAACCAGATCCAATTGAAATTTCATTACCAGGTGATGAAGTCATTGAGCAATCAGTACAACAAATTGACGAAGGTTATCACTCTATTACTGGTTTTGATGCTTCTGATGAAATTCCTGATAGGAATATGCTATCACCATTTTCACAATTCAGTATGTACTATTCAATTCCTACTGGTAATATAACAGATCAAAGTTTTGGCCAGATTACTGAACTGCCTTAAAACCCTAAATAACTATATATGATTAATAATTAATCGATTAATAACTAATACTTTCAAATTGAACTCGAATTTTTCAGTGAGATTAATCTTGTAGTATAATTTCATCCAAAGACAAACATATGACAAATTCGTAAGCGAATATTCCTACCAGAATATATGATATTACAGATGTTTCTAATACTCCCTGAATTTAGTAAGCAGATCTACAATATCAATTAATATTCAAAAGCAAGAATCAAATTGATATGTATTTTTATAATTTATAAAATAATTTGAACGATTGGTCAACAACTGAATTATTTTGTATACAATTAAGTAAGTAAACTTATTCAACTAAGTAAACTCTACCTTCATAAGGAGTTAAAGTATTTTCGTTGACATCTTTAACATTAGAATTAATCAATTTCAAATCACCACTGATTAATGGTTTGAATGGAACATCTTCATTAGAGAAATTCAAAACAACATAAGATTTTTGGTCAGCTGAAGATTTGACATAAGTGAACAATTTATCATTTTCATAATCTAAGATTTCAAAATCACCATGGATGAATAATTCTTTGTGTAATTGTCTAACTTTAATGGCATTTTGGTAAAAAGAGAAGACTGAATCTGGATCACCAGTTTGAGCTTTAACGTTAATTTCTTTGTAATTATCATTAACACGAGTCCATGGTGTACCAGTTGAGAAACCACCATTAGCAGAGTCATCCCATTGGACTGGAGATCTTGCATGATCTCTAGCGACTAAGTTAATAACATCCAATAATTTCTTATCAGCTTCTGGGTCATTTGGTGTCTTTTCCTTATATTGAGCCCAGTAATTGATGGTATTGATATCCTTGTATTCTTCAATATCCCATGATCTTGGTAAATTGGTCATACCAATTTCTTGACCTTGGTAGATGTATAAAGTACCAGTTAAAGTAGTTTGTAATAATGCTAATAATTTGGCTGATTTGGCCCATAATTGTTTGTTTGAAGTGTTACCAAATCTTGTGACAGCACGAGGTTGATCATGATTTTCAATAAAGACAGTTGACCAAGCATCTGTACCTTTAATAAAATCACTTTGAGCAGCGACAGCATCTTTAAAGTCTTTCAAAGTAAACCCATTATAACGGAATCTATCTTGTTTATCTGAACCAACATCAACAACGTCAAATAAGAACATCATGTTCATTTCCTTTTCATTAGCTGAAACATATTTCAATGCTTCTTCTTTTGAACAATGACCAACTTCACCAACAGTCAAAACATCATAATTCGAGGTGACTTTTTCAAACATTTCCTTGTGGAATTCGTGGATACGTGGACCATTGGTGGTGAAATCACTTGATGGTTGATAATATTGTTCTGGGAAAACAATTGGAGCATCTTCAAATGATTTACCATCTTTAGCAAATTTCTTTGAGTACATACCAGCTGTATCAATTCTGAAACCATCAACACCTTTTTTGAACCAAAATTCTAAAGCAGATTTATAGATTGCATTTCTGGTTTCTTCATTTTCCCAGTTCAGATCTGGTTGAGTTTTAGCAAATAAACATAAATAATATTCATCAGTTGTTTCATCGTAATTCCAAGCAGAACCTGAGAAATGAGATAACCAATTGGTTGGTGGTAATCTGTTACCTTTATCATCATAACGTGGTTTTCTCCAAATGTACCAGTCTCTTTTTGGGTTATCCAATGAAGATTTTGATTCTTTGAACCAAGCATGTTCAGATGAAGTATGATTAATAACTAAATCACAAACCAATTTTAACCCTCTTTTATGGACTTCTTCAATCAATTGATTCATATCATCCATTGTACCATACTTTTCATAAATGGCTTCATAATTTGAAATATCGTAACCCATATCATCTTGTGGGGAATCATAATGAGGTGATAACCAAACAACTGAAGCACCTAAAGATTTGATATGATCTAAACTTTTAATAATACCCGGAATATCACCAAAACCATCACCATTGGAATCTCTAAATGAAGCTGGCCAAATTTGATAGATTGTGGAATCTTTCCACCATGGGTATGTTTTAACTGTCATTTTGATAATTGATTAGTCTGTTCTTCTTCTAAAGTTAATAGTTTCTCAATAGATTGAACAAAGGATGTTACTTTGAGATAATTGAATTGAATTAAATTAAATGATGGGAAGTTTGGTTAGTTTAAATACTTTGAAAAAGCTGATCTATTTTTGCGAAAAACCTCGAGCCTATTTATCAATCACGATTCACGGCTTATTCTTTCCCCATAGACTATTCTTGATCGACACTAAGATTTGGAACAAACGAGTGGGTTGTATTTATTTAACCCATAGATTACCATCTTGATGAAAGATGATCCTCTTAATCTAAGGATTGTATGCTCAGTACAAGTGGATTGGTGTTTTCATACGTTACGCCATTTGATAATTCAACTCACTTTATCATTCTCCCGACCCCAACAATATTGTCTTTATTAAAGGGAATTCCTTGTAGATGATCTAAAATCTGGGGTTTTTGGTGACTGATACATTAAGGGTTATTTTTTAGGCTATTCGCAACAATTGCATAAAATTAAGGTTTTCAAATTCTCGAGAGTTTCCACGAAAGTGCAAAACTTTATGTATGTTAATGCAATAGTTTTGCGAAAATTCGGAACAAAATTGATTGCGAAATTTTAAGCGCCAATTTTAAGGTTTGTCTTAAAAAAAATTATTATTAGAATTTAGAACTAATTAAATAGGTGGTTCCAACGAGAATTCAAGCTTGAAGCAACTGATAGGTCATTTACATTGGTTGAACGAGTTATCCTGAGTTATCTTGAGGTGTACTGTGCATGGAATCCTATGGATTCAATAAAGGATCACTCAAGTATCTAGATTCGCTACGTCTGGTAAGGTATCACGATTCATAAATCGTAATAATCCTATTCTTTTGCTTGGAACGCTTAAGCACAAATCTTTGAATATTTTATTACTAGACGTGTCTACATAAATCTGTCTGAGCCAGCTGGCATTCTTTGAGAGTATATGGATACTACTAACGCGACGGTGAAATTCTCGGGATATTTCTCGATGTAAAGATGGTACTCATAATATTATAACAATACTCTTTTAATGAGCTGCTATGAATTAGTCAATGTGTACGTACATTATAAATTCACTGGGCAATTTATTAGGCTAAAGTATATACGTAGAGCTTCCAACTTCCCGTTCCACCATATAGCTTATCATAATTTATATAGTTATTGCGAGAGTTCTAGCGATATTTATAAAATCTCCATATTTTGCCAAAGAAAATCGGATAAATTAAATAAATTAACCTACTTTTAAACAATCATTATAAACATGAATGATGTTGAGCTCATTCCCGCTGTCGAATTATTCATATTATTGAAAACTGAGTGCAATAATTACCTCTAATCAGTAAGTTATAAAGAATACTCTTTGATGTTATCTCGAGAAACTATAAAGCCAATGTATATACATATAATATACATATCATTGAAACGTTTAAAGAGCCTCTATTCATATGGATTAAAAGTACTTCCAGGACTCGTGTATTATAACTCTTCTAAAATGGCGTTGGAAATTCAAGGATTTTTTAGTTTTTGGTAAATTTGGGTGCCCGCACTGCTGCCCAGAAAATAAAGTTTACCCCAGATTTTGTAGTCATGACATGAAACATCATTCAGAGATTATACGTGGGATAGCTTCAAGACAAATTCAATCAATTGAATCACAATCATACTGTCATAGTCTTAAATAAACGATCAGATAAATCCAACAAAATGGAACCCAATCAAAAGAGAACCAACTTAGCACATCAAGTCCGAGGGGGTATAGCAACATTGTTGTTTGAATCGAGTCATGGTTACAAGATCTTGGACCTTCAACTGATTAAACAACACGCGTATAATTTTATTTTCAAAATGTCCATTTCCAGGAACAACTTCCCGGTGACTCGCATGAACTCCAGCTCCTTAAAAAATATTATACCCATAATATTTAAGATTTGTCTGTATTCGATCAGTATCAAGAGAAACAAAAGACTCCTCACCCAAGAATACATATACCTTTGATTTTGGACTATATATATCACTAGAATCCCCCGTGAATCTTCAACGATTGTCGATCATTTTAAACTCTTTATCAAACTCATCAAGCTATTAATTGATAATCAACATTAACACTCACTAAATATAAATATCATCAACAACAATGTCAACTGAATTTGTTGAAGATGTTGAAAAACCTGAACAAAAGGTTCAAGTTACTGAAGCATTAGACAAAAAAGGAACAAATTCTAGTTTATCTGACAATCAAGTTGATGAAATTCTAGCCAAATTTTTGGATATTTCTGACAATGCTAGATCAAATGAACACACAGAAAAACAAATGTCCTTAATGGAAGGTATTAGAACTTTCCCAAAAGCTGCTATGTGGTCATTTATATTATCATCATCCATTATTATGGAAGGTTATGATACTAATTTATTGAACTCTTTCTATGCTTTCCCTGCTTTCAACAGAAAATATGGTCAATATTATCCAGATATTGATGATTGGCAAGTCCCCTCTAAATGGCAAACTTCTTTGTCTATGGCTGTTAATTGTGGTAGTATCCTTGGTTTGTTCTTTGCTGGTCTCATGGCTGATAGATGGGGTTATAAAATCACTTTAAACACTGCTTTGACTCTTATTACTGGTTTCATCTTCATCGTTTTCTTTTCTGTTAACGTGCAAATGTTATTGGGTGGTGAAATTTTACTTGGTTTTGCATGGGGTATGTTGCAAACCTTAGTTGTTACTTATGCTGCAGATGTTTGTCCTTTGGTTTTAAGAGTTTATTTAACCACCTATGTTAATGCTTGTTGGGTTATTGGTCAATTAATTTCATCATCTATCTTACGTGGTGTTTTGAACTCCACTGATCCACATTCTTACCGTATTCCATTTGCTATTCAATGGATTTGGCCTATTCCTATTATGATTGGTATTTATTTCGCTCCAGAGTCACCATGGTGGTTGGTTAGAAAAGGAAAAGCAAAAGAAGCAAAAAACAGCATTAAACGTCTATTGACTGTTAACAAACACATGCCAGATCCAGATGTTCTAGCTGACGCCATGTTCAACAAAATGCAATTGACCATAAAAGAAGAAGAATTGACAACAGCTGGTGTCACTTATTTGGATTGTTTTAAAGGTGAAAACTTTAGAAGAACTAGAATTGCTGCAATGATTTGGTTATTCCAAAATATAACTGGTTCTGCTTTCATGGGTTATTCAACATACTTTTACCAACAAGCTGGTCTTGCTTCAAGTATGGCTTTCACATTCTCTATTATCCAATATGTTCTAGGTTTAATTGGTACACTTGGTGCTTGGGCTCTTTCACAAAAACTAGGTCGTTTTTCTATTTTCTTCGGTGGTTTATGTGCCCAATTTACTATTTTGTTAATAACTGGTGCTTTAGGTTTCAATGGATCAAAAGGTTCTTCATGGGCAATTGGTTCCTTATTATTGATTTTCACATTTGTCTATGATATGACTGTTGGTCCAATTACTTATTGTGCTGTTGCAGAAATGCCATCTGTCAGATTAAGAAACAAAACCGTCATTATTGCAAGAAATTTGTATAATATTGCTGGCATTATCATTGCAATTATTATGCCATATATGTTAAATCCAACCGCTTGGAACTGGAAGGCTAAGACTGGTTTGTTTTGGGCTGGTTTTGCATTGATTGCAATCATCTGGTGTTGGTTTGAATTCCCAGAAACCAAAAACAGAACTTATGCAGAATTGGATGTTTTATTCAGAGATGGTGTTTCAGCAAGAAAATTCAAATATACTGAAGTTAAAGCATTTGATGCTCAACATATGATGGAAAAAATTGGTGATGACGGTATCAAAAATATTGTTGAAGCTGATAATGATGCTGAAAATGTCACCACTTCAAAGGTTTAAGATCTGCATTTTTGTTAAGAATAGACCATATATCAAACCTTTTTATTTTGCTATTGAGATATATGCATCTTCAATTCACTTGATTTAAATCATTTTTCTATAATTTGATTTTAGTTGGTTTTTAGTTAATTTTAATTAATTTATGATAATATACTGTTAAAGATCTGTAGGATTCAAAGTTAAGCATGTTGAGCTCGATTATCAATCGAATTTCAAGAAACTATCAGGGACCTGGATAAATAGAAATTTGGATCTATCAACTCATTGAACCTTATTTTCAACCGTTATTGATATCCCTAAGATCTGATTCTCAAACTTGTACAGATGTTCCAATTTAACCGCCAGTGGTTAATTCAGTCAACTCGTAAACAATTAAATGCATAATTCCAACGTTAGTTCAAGGCGAGCCCCCAGATTTAGTCTATGAATTAACTATGCAATCTCGACCTTATTCGGAAAAACTTATTCATGAATAGCCTAAATCTTTATGCACAATTAACGTTTAATAAAAAATATTCAGTAGTTATTAATTTTTGACACAATATTTTTTTTTCAATCGCGTCGGCATTAATTCGCGGGTACACTTAGCACTAAAAGATCGGTATTAGTTCTTTCACTTAATTGATAAAGAAACAACTGAATTATCTTACAAACAAACAACAACTGGAGGGTACTGTCTACTGATGAATTCTCACAAATGATCCAGTCATTAATTACTATATACTATAAACAGTTTCAAACTAATAGCTTAAGATAAAAACATCAAGCTTTAGTCTCATAAATTTTATCTTTATCAGCTTCAACGATCTCTCTAAGCTCTTCGTCGTTCATGTTATTAACCATCTTTTGGGCATTGAAAACTTCAGGTGTTGTATACTTAAATTTTCTAGCAGGAACATTGTCTTGGAAAAGTTGATTTAACTCTGCAAAAGTTCTACCTTTGGTTTCTGGAAACTCACACCAACACCAAATAATTGCAATCAATGTGAAACCTGCCCAAAATAAACCTGATTTTGCTTTCCAATTCCAACCAGTTGGATTCAACATATAAGGAGTGATGATGGATGTAACAATACCAGCAACGTTATAACAATTTCTTGCAATAATCACAGTTTTATTTCTTAATCTAACAGTTGGCATTTCTGCAACAGCACAATAAGTAATTGGACCAACTGTACAATTATAAGCTAATGTGAAGACCAATAATAATGACCCAGCTGCCCAAGAAGCACCTTTTGAGTCAGAAAATCCCAAAGCACCAACTGTAATTAAAACAATAAACTGAATACACAATCCACTGAAGTAAATGGTGAAACGACCTAATTTTTGTGATAATACCCAAGATGATAATGTTCCGATTAAACCCAAACAATATTGAATGATGGAGAATGTAAAAGCCATACTTGATGCAAGACCAGCTTGTTGATAAAAGTATGTTGAGAAGCCCATAAATGCAGAACCGGTTATACTTTGAAATAACCAGATCATAGCAGCAATTCTGGTTCTTCTAAAGTTACCATTCTTGAAACATTCTTTGTACCCGGTTTCTTTTGAAATAGAGTTTTCTTCTTGGATAGTCAATTGCATCTTGTTAAACATAGCTGTTGATAAAACATCGACATCTGGTGTATTTTTATTAACGGTCAATAATCTTCTAATACTGTTTTTAGCTTCTTTTGCTTTTCCTTTTCTGACCAACCACCATGGTGATTCTGGGGCTAAATAGATACCAATGATAATTGGAAGAGGCCAGACCCATTGGATAGCAAATGGGATCTGATAGGAACTGGCACTTTCAAGAGATAAAACACCACGAAGAACACCTGAAGAAATCAATTGGCCGATAACCCAACAAGCATTGATGTATGTTGTCAAGTAAACTCTTAAAACCAATGGACAAACATCAGCAGCATAAGTAATAACCAAAGTTTGTAACATACCCCAAGCAACACCCAATAAGATTTCACCTGCAAGTAACATACCAACATTAACAGCAAAAAACACAATAAAGATTAAACCAATAATTGAGGTCAAAGCACTAATCAATGTTTTTCTATAACCTAATCTATCTGCAACAAGACCTGCAATGAATAAACCAATCAACTCACCACAGTAAACACCCATAGACAAAGAATTTTGCCATTTAGTTGGAATTTGGTAGTCATTAATATCTTCATAATATTCCCCAAATTTCTTAGTAAACGCAGGAAATGCAAAAAGAGAGTTGATTAAATTTGTATCGTAACCTTCCATAATAATAGATGAAGATAAAATAATAGACCACATTGCAGCTTTTGGGAAAGTAGTCAGACCTTCTTTCAAGGTCATATTTTTTTCAGAATTTTCATTACTTTGAGCATTGTTTGAAATATTCAAAAATTTAGCTAAATAATTTTCAACTTCATTCTTTTCTGATAACTCAGAATCTTCTGTAAGCTTCTTGCTTAGCCCATTGACTTCCTTCTCTTCAGGATGTCTGACATCTTCGACATATTCAGTAGTCATCTTGTTAATAATTATTTTTATTAATTAATCAAAATCAACTACATCATAAGTAAGTATTGTAGATATTGGGGGTATTACTGTATTTATATATATGTGAGTTCACGATTTTTCGTATAATAATGCCGTAAATTGTTGTCATGATTTATTACTAGGGAATATCTCTCTCGAATTTTGTTTATGGCAAACACGCACAAATGTGGAGCATAATGCAAAAATAGATCATCCTAAATTTGAAAGAATTGTTATAATGTTACACCGAAATGTTTAATGAAGTTTTGCGAAAAGTGCAATTTCTTGTTTCAGATTTCAGATATTTTCCCTTCAACTTGCTCTCGATATTAAGTAGTAAATTTTAGTTTTCCGTGCCTTAAAAGTTGTCAATCTACAATAGGATCCAATAGGCTCTTGAGATCACAATAAAGCTTATATTAGAATACCGGGTGTTTGGAATTAGGATAAATTTTCGGAATATTTTAGTGGCCATTTGTTGAAGTCTTTTAGGCTATATGCATAAGACTTTGATGCAATTCCTCATTTACTACGTGTAACGTGTTGCGACTTGCAACTTGTGAAGCGCAAATATCAATGACTCTTCATAATAAAAGTGCTGAACAGTGAGGAGATATGTATCAAGGGGGTCAGTCCAGACTCCATAGGCTATCCTGGAGTAAAGATTATGCATACGCTTAACGCAAATCTGTGGTTGAATAAGGAAGCTTGATCATGAAATTTAGAGTTTACCACTTACCACCCTTCACTATAATTATATTGAATTGATTACATAGTAGCAAGATTACTGGGTGGGGCATACTATAACTTGTAGGTTGTAGCTTGTTGTCTTATGGTCACAGGTAGCTGTTGGTGCCGGAGTTGAATTGACCTTATTGACCTCAAACTAGTATATACTAGCTATCATTTTCAATCGCTAATACGTAGCCACTAGCGACAATACTTATTTGATCGATCATCAAGGGATGCGATGAGAAATTTAGACTACTTTGGGCCACAGAATATACTAGAACAAATTATTTTACAAGCCCAATCTACGAGTCGTGAGTCATGCCATATAATGGGATACGTAGAAACAGGATGACGACTGTAGCTATACTATCAGTATAAGAAAAAAGATATGTCTCATTGCAGAAACATGTTTATCTGTGACTTCTTAAATCTTCCATATAAGTCATTCGTTAATCCTGTACAATTCAAAGCTTAAACTCTAGAGTCTAGAGCACTCAAGAGTCAATGCTCACATATTTTTAAGATCTACATGAGTCGCCCATAAACTCCACACAAACTTCCATTTTAGGTCATCGTAAAAAACTTTGCGTAAAAAATATCGGAATAATTTTCGTGAAAATCTTGGTTTTTCCATGACACTTGCATGCTTTTTTACAGGTGTTGCGTAAACTTTTTGCGAAAAAATGTATAAGTGCTAACTCTAACTTCTAAGCGCTAATTAAGTGCTAAGCTAATTCATACAAGTTACAAGTTACCAACCAATGTCGCTTTCCTTTATACCACCATCCCCTATTAAGTACACCCGGGCCATTTAATTGATTCAATTTTCAAGTTATTTTTCACTTTGGGTAATGCGTACCGAAAATTGATGGGTTATAACTTATATGTAACGGTATAACCAAGATTTAAAAGTTTCAAGTTTCAGCCCACTATAGCATGCCACAGGTGACGATTCTACGACTTGCAATTATTTATCTAAATTGAACTTGAAGGTTACTATCTTCTAACTAAGTTTAAGCTATAAACTTAACTTGTTTAAATAGGTCAAGGCTTTATTTTAAAATGTTTTAAACATTCATGCATGATCAAAGTACTAACTTTCAGTCCAATAGGCTATATTTATCACCTTGAAAAATCATACCATTTTTATTATTCAGAAATCATTATAATATATGGAGCATTTTTAATCAGTTCTTAATAGATTTGTTCACTACACTTTATATTGCACAATTTTCAATAAGGTATGTTGTAATTGGAATTTCAATAATTCTAGCTTTTAGCTTCCATAATCACTATATAGGGTGCACAAAATGACATATGTGATCAAAACTTAAGGGATTAATATGTTTAGTATATCAGGCTCATGATTGAAATCAAATCAGCCTCCAGTTAAGCTGGTCAGTTCGCCCTTCAATAGTAGGTCCTTGGTACTAGATACACTGTGTCTTGATTCTTCATCTTAGATTTCCTCATCCTCTCTTTTTTTTCATCCGCATGGATTCTAGAAGTATTAAATACTTTTTCTTCTTTTCAACTGAGTTGCTTAAGTCCTCTACTCACGTCTAGTGTAATTATTGAATGAAAATTAGATGTAGATTTACTAACATGAGTGTTTCTTATCCCTCATAGCCTATAAGTCAAAAACATTCAGCCATTAATCCATTAAACCTTTTTCTTTTATACCCTATAAGCCTGAACGTTTTAAGAATTATACCTTCATTTATTTGTGTTATATTATACAGCTTGGGATCCTTGCTCTTAAAATCAGTCGTTCAAGGCGTGATGGCTTTTATAATTTTAATCAGAGATCACTTCATTTTGTTAATTATACACGTCTAGACTTCCAAGCTGTTTACTAGCTTTAACTGACTGCAATATAATCAATCAATATAATATATATGAATATATAAATTTAATTAAATAATATTCAATATATATATATATATATATTTATAATATAATTGTTCAAAACTTTATCAACGTTAAAAATTTTATTTCAACTTCAAAAATTCAACTCTCCAAAAATTTTCAGAATTAAATTTCAGAATTAGCCAAAATCAAGTAAACTAACTGATAGATAATCAAAATTAAAGTATATTTAGCTATTAAAAATAGTATGCTGTGCTATAATTATTGGAAGAAAAGATGGCTTCAAGATTTACCATAATAGTAATTTCACCGGAATTTAACTATTATGTTTATCCATTTTATATCCGAATCCCGATACACCCAAATATTTGTTTAGCTGCAAAATTTTAGGTTTAGTACCAGCTAATTTACTTTTTATAAAATCATTTCTTTGATAAACTCATTAGCTTTCTTTTAGTTGGTTATTCTATAAGAGATTTGAGATTTCGGATTATTAGAAGTAATGACCTCAATTAAGAGTATGTAATTACGGGTGTGAAATACAGAATCATTCTACTTCAATATCTTATAGTATAATTAATAATTATAGATTTTATACAATGAATATCTGTCCAATTATACAAGTATATACATGATCACCACACTAGTGCTGATCATTTGCAAAAGTCAAGTAAATTATAAACACAAACGTAGTAATACAAATGACACCATGATAAACATTTATACCATAAATCATACCATTCACGATACAAAGTGATGATATCAATGCAGTACCAAAAAGATAAGCAGCAATATAATCTTCAAAATATAAGGTGAATTTAGTTTGTGGATAATGAGAACTGATGAATTGAATGATTGGTAAGACAAAACCGATGACTTGATTTGAGCTACCAATACTTAAATTTAATGCAAGATCTAATTTCCCCTTTTGGGCACTAATAACTGATGAGATATGTTCAGGTAATGAACCAGCTAATGGTAAGATAATTAACCCAATGAAAACTTTTGAAATAGGTTTACCATCTGTTAAATCCTTTAATGATTCAACAAAGAAATTTGCACAAGGACCTAAACCTGCAATTGATAATGCCAAAGCACCAAAACATACCAATTTGGAAGGTAATTCTTCTGATGATTCAGAAGATGAAGATGAGCTGGTATCATTATCATCATCGTCATCACTTTCACTATCACTTGATGGATTCATTAAACGTTCTTCTTCGTCACGAGCTTTCTTTATCTTTAAGTATTTAAACTCCTCATTTGTATTCATTGTTAAGTAAACAATATAATTGATAAATATGAAAGCAGCACCAACTTGTGAGGTATCCATTTTGAACTTATCAGATACATCTTTATCAATATCATTAACAACAGACATCATAGTCAATAAAACAGTGATACAAACAAAGAATAATAAATGACTTGTGATTGATTTTTTGTTGTATAATGGCTTACCTTCCATACCACCAAAGAAACAACATGAACCTGTGACAAATAGATTATTTGAAATAACACTACCAATTAATGAAGTGATTGTTAGAGTAGCATCTTCCTTAGAGACAGTTGTACCAGAGATAATCAATTCAACCAAGTTACCGAATGTAGCATTCAATAAAGAACCTAAAACTGGACCAAAATGTTCAGCTGCAATTTCAGTGGTATTACTCAAAACTTTTGCAAAATACATCAATGCAAGAAATAAAAACACAACAGCTAATATATCATCTTCTCTTTTGTAAAAAACTATACCAACAGGGAAGAATGGTAAGAAAATAACAGTTCTAGTATCAAGTGCAACTCTTAATATTTGTAAAATTGGTCCAATTATCTTAATTTGTTCCCATTGTCTATATTTGATACACATCCATTTTATGAAACTGATATTCCAGAACCAGTTATAAAATCTATCAGATCTTTCAAAAGTTTTATCTAAAGCTTGATCTTTCAAAGTATCAAAATATTGAACAACTGTAAAGAAAAATGAAGCTTCAGGTTTTATTGTTGGTTTTTTTTCAATTAAACGTTCGGGTATGGTAATCTTATTATTGTATTTACCTGGAGCAGTTTGTACTCTTCTTGTTAGTTTACGTTTCTTTAAATCCTCAACTTCAGCATCTTCTCTTGAAATATTATTTGAATTTGATTGATTAATTCTAGGAATTGGTTCTGTAGCAGCACTTGGAACTCTATTCATTGATTGCTTTTCAAACTCATCATTTGTTATTAAGTCATTTGGTGAGGCAAAAGTATGTGATCTTTCTGGTGGATTATTGGGAATATTTAATTCCATTCCTCTTGATTTTCTAAGGATTTTTCAAAGATGGTATAAACTATAAAAGATGAATAAAAATTGATAAATATCTGAAACTCGAAATTTCTTTCAGGGTATAAAAAAATCAAAACATACTTATGTCAGCATTTTGAGGGTCCATAATTGAATTTCGGGAAGGCTGAGGATAGTCATCGGAATGTGACCGTTTAATTGTTACTGCGGTTGTGTCTTTTTTGTTCAAAGTTATTAAGTAATTGTTCTTTAACTTTGTATTTATTGTAAATATAGGTATACTCCATTCAGAAGCCCAGCTTCTACAAGGCCCAGATTGAAAAGGTGACAAAGTGACAAAAGTCAAAAGACCTCTCGGCAAGATCTTAAACATTAAAAAGTAAATTCCGATCCGATCCGTGAAAATCATGTCAATAAAATGATAAAATAAAAGGTTCAGGGTTCGAATGGGGTTCAAAATTACTGGGAAAAAACAAGATTTCCCATCAATGATATACTGAATTTACTTATATTCAATCTGCGCAAGCTAAGAACAAAGGACTTGCACTTCTAGTCAATAAAAACACGTCAGGTAACGAGATAATTACACAACTGCTACACACTGTGAGGTTTTCAACAAGGCGCTAAATGTGGTTGTTGAGATATATTTCATATTTAGGATTATGACAGGTTCCAAAAGCTGCGAAAAAGAGTATCATATCAATCAAGGTTATCTCATCAGAATGAAACCAAATTGAAGATCAAATGAATCCTGAATTCACTCGAAACAAGTGATTTATATCGTCAAATCATCAATTGTTAATTTAAAGTGATTTTCAAGTCATAAAAAATGGAAGACGGAAGAACGAAAAAAAAGTGGTTATTTGGTCTGGTATTACGTTATTTTGTTTTAGATTCAGCGGCTAATCCATTTGTTTGAAAAGTATATAAAGAGTTGAATTCTTTGACATTGGAAATTGAATTTTCTTTCTTCTTCATTTAGCTCTCTTTTATTATCATCGTTACCAAAGTTTCCTATATTTCAAGATGGTTTCAGTCAACAACCTTACAGGTTCAACTCGTATCTTACAATTGATCTTTGCAGCTGTTCATTTAGCATTGAATGGTAAATTAACCCAGAACAGCAACGGTATCTCTGGTATTGTTGATAATTTCAATGACTTGAGCAATTCAACCTTTTCATTAGAAGGCGCTAAAACTTCACATGGGTTATCATTAGCTTCTTCAGGGTTTACATTGACTTCTCAACCATTATTATCTTTAGTTAGACATTTCACAACAAATGTTGAACATGGGGTTGAAGACTTACAAGCTTCGAGATATGGTATTGGTGCTCGTCAAACTTCATACTTAGCTGGTGTTTCAGGCTCAGAATTAAGTTCAGTTGGTCTTTGGTTTGCAACTTTTATTTATCAAACTGCTAAATATGGATCATGGGATTGTTCAGATCCTTCAAGCTTAATCAATCAATATGAATTAGCTAGTAATACTACTGATGCTGATGAAGCATTGAAAAACTTCCTTGGTGTTGAAGATCCATCAAAATTAGTAGGTGATGCTGGTGACTCATTAGATAATGCAACTTCAAGTTCTGAAGTTAATGGCTTATTAGAACAAATCTGGAACTTAACATCAACTCCAGTTAGTCTATCTAAATTGAACAGTACAGGTCAATTAACTCAAAATCAATTATTAGTTAGATTAAGTCAAGATTGTTACATCAAAAAAACATCAATTGGGTTCTCATTCATCACATTTATTTTCTTTTTAGTTTCAAGTGGTGCTGTTTCGTTCTCATTCGTTCAATTACTTCAAAAATTAAAAGAAGGGTTACCAAGTGAAGGTGATGAAGAATCAGGTGCACCAGATGATGGAGAAGGTGAAACCCCAGATCAAGGTGATGGCGAAACTCCAGCAGAAGGTGAGACTCCAACTGAAGATCAAGAAAAATCAAAAGAAAAACCTGCAAATAGCGCTTCTGGCCACAAGAAATTTAAATTAGGCTACAGTTATGCTAATCTTTTCCCAAAGGTTGAATATCATGATTAGATCTGATATTGAGATCTTGATCTCGATGGTTTTCAGATTTTAACTGTTTACCAGCTTCATTGTTAATTTGCTTCCCATTTGCGTTTTTCAAAAGATTATTAACAGAATCATTAATATTTAATACTTTTAATACTTGAATCTTCATATATTTATGACTATATAATAAATTAATACTTCTATTTCAAAAATACTTGTAATAAATTACTACAGCGCAAATTGTAATTCAATATCAATTAAAGAATACCATGTATTATACCTACGAATCAATAAGCTATACAATAAAAATCAAAATGCAATAAACCTAATACATAGCAGACATGAAGTTCCCCAAAGTAAAGACCAATTCCATAGTTCAAAATAAAATCTGCAAATAAATATGCATAGAAACAAATAAATAGCCAATTCCAAAATATACGATTAAAACATAAAGCTACTAATAATCAAAACTAAAATACTTAACCCACCAATGTTCAATTTATTACCAGCATTGGTTTGAGTTTGAATTTCAAAAATACCTTCAGTTGTTTCTTCATCACTATTACTTATAGTTTGAACATTATAAGCTGGGATACATTCTGTTGGTAAAATACTTGTTGTTGAAGTCACAGTATGGATAGATGATGGTGAAACCGATACTGTTACTGTTTGTGTTGGAGTTGTTTGTGGAGGTTGTGATTGAGTAGGTTGTGGTTGTGGTTCAGTTTGAGTAGGTTGAGCTTGGGTTTGTGTTGGTTGAGGTTGAGCTTGGGTTTGTGTTGGTTGAGCTTGTTCAGTAGTTGTTGAGGTGAATGTATAAGTGATTGTAGCTAATGGATAAATAGTCTCACCGTTTTGGATATATTCAGTTATAGTTGAAGTTATGGTGGAACTGATAGTTTGATATATTGTTGTTTGAGCAATTTGTTCAGTTATAGTTTTGAAATTTGTTATTGTAGAGATTCCATAAATAAATTCATAATCTGCAACTTGAGTCTCCACAGAATCTGGTGATTGAATAGTTGTAGCATGATTTAATAAATCTGTAACTCCATACCAAAGACCATTTGTATAAGTTAAAGTAGCAAATTGGGTACCCGTATGAGTACTTGTTTGATATTCATAGTTGAAATTTGTTGTTATGAACTGTTCAAATCTAGTTGATGTTAAAATATTTGTTGCCTGTGAAGTATAAGTTGTATTTGGTAACACAACTAATGAATTTTCAAAATTGGTAATGACTGTTTCAACAGGTTGATAATAAGTTTGTAAATTTGAATGTGTAATTGTACTAACATCAATTGATAGACTTGGATAAGGGATTGTTAATGTACTTGTGGTGAAAGATTCTGACCAGCCAGTCACGGTTTCAACCCAATTTGAAGTGACTTGTTGACCTGGAATTGTAGTTAATCTTGTTGATTTACTAAGTGATTGAGAATATATAGTCTCTGTATTATCAACTTCAGTACGTACTTCATCATTTGTTATGGTGGAAGTTTGATCTTTATTAAATGTAACCGTGGAATAAATTGTTGAATAAATGGTATTTTGGATTTGTTCAGTAGTGAAAACAGTTGTAGTGGAATAGTAAACGCCTGGTTGTGGTTGTGGGTTTTCAGTAGGTTCAGCTGAAGGAGTTTGTGTAGTTGGTTGAGTTGATGGTGCTTCTGTAGTTGGTTGAGTTGATGGTTCTGGTGCAGGTTCCGATGTAGCTGGTTGAGAAGTTTGTTGAGTAGGCTGAGGTTGAGAAGTTTGTTGAGTAGTTGTCTGGGTTGTTTGTTGTTGTTGAGTTGTTCTAGTTGTTTGAGTAGTTGGTGTAATTCTGGTAACAGGGACAGTACTTCTAGTAGCTGTGACTCTAGTTCCTTGTAACGATTCAGCGGTTGTGATTCTACCAGTGGTTGGGAAATTTGGATTTGTTCTATAAGTGTAAGGACCAGTAGCTGCTATCTGGGCTTGTGAACTATTGATGAAGATTAAGATCATCAAGATCCAATTGAATTTGATAGACATGGTTTCAAATTTGATCTGAAGTTTGAAGTTTGAAGTTTGAACTTAATCTCATAAAAAGGTAAGTGAAAGATGACTTCTTGAAACAGCAGAAACTAGAGCTTTTATACACCAGCAATATATGGGATCCTTGTGAATATTTGATCATGTTCTAGCTCTTTATCCTGTTATGTTCCTTAATAATAACTCTGTAGGAAATTGATTTGATATCTTCAATATTGCCTAATTGGGTGACATAGTTTGGAATTTGCATGTAATTAATTAAGTTCAAAGATGATGAGCCTATGAGAACAAGGAATCAATGCATCTTAGCATGCCTGATCTGAGTTTAAACGGTGATGATATTCTTTAATTGACATGGTGATGATGAGTTGATGCCCTATACATAAAGTTAAATGTGTATGAAGCTCGTAATTAGTCAATCTTTTTAAACGAAATTAAAGGTAAATTTGCCACTTTGCCACCCATTTGAAAATTAAGGAGCAAATCATAATTAATTAGCCGCTGTGTTAATTCACCATCGACCCAGAGGTAATATAATTGTAATTTTAATCAACAAAACTAAATGTCTGAATCTGATTTTATGAGACCATCAATTAATTAACTATGTGTGAACAGCCCCATCGCACTAACCACTTCCCCTTATGGCTGAGCCGCCCCATATACACTTTTACTTCCGCATTGGGAAGTCTACATCCGCTTCACCTGATGAATTTCCCAAAACTTTCAATCCCACAGTTTTCCCACAAATTGAAAATTCAAATTCTCCACCAAAAAAGAAAAAAACTTTTAAAAAATCTGGAAACTGTTTACAAAAAATCCGGAGAAATTTTTAAAAGTGAGTTCTGTGTTCTGTGAAAACAAATACAAATTGAAATTCTAACCCTTCCAAGCACAACTATTATTATCAGCAAACATCACCAGAAAAGTCGCTAAATAGCACACACAGACTCGCTACATTTCAAATCACACTTAATACTTATCCAAAGGGACAAACAGTGCCACAAAAATCATATTCTCAGCTAAAGTTTTCTATAATAAGAATTGTCACCCCCAGTATTCTTTTTTTTTTCTCTATCGTACTAAAAAAAAATTAAATTCCTTTAAGACATTCAACATTAAAAGAAAATATAAGGATTAAAGTTTCATTGACGTTGAAGATACAAGTTTGATTATACCATCAAAGACTAAAGAAGTTGCTACAAGATAGAATCAAAGTTATTCGTATACTTTATTTTGAAGAGACGGTTTTTTTTTTGAAATAGTTGTTTTCGTCAACGTATTTAATAAATTTGTGGGAAAGGAAACTATAACCTTCATTTCAATACAAAACAATCAAAAGTTAGTCCAATAAATTCAACAAGCTCATTTATATTTATTTCCAATCGCTACTATAAGACTCAAATATCATTATGGCTGAAAGTACGGACGGTAGAATACCAGGTCCAGACCAACAACAAGCTCCAAAGCTGGAAAACCAATCAGATCAGCAACTCCCTCAACAATCAGAACAACTGCAAAATCAACAATCAGAACAAATCCAACCTCAACAAGAAGCTCAGTCTACCAAAGGGAAAGGAAAAGGTAAAGGAAAAACTGATAAATCAGACCTGCCTAGACCTTATAAATGTCCCATTTGTGAAAAAGCCTTCCATAGATTAGAACATCAAACAAGACATATAAGAACCCATACTGGTGAAAAACCTCATTCTTGTACTTTCCCAGGCTGTTTTAAGAAATTTTCAAGATCTGATGAATTAACAAGACATTCAAGAATCCATAATAATCCAAATTCAAGAAGAAGAACTTATAATTTGAAAAAAAATCAAACTAAATCTAAAAAAGATGATGAATTAAATGAAAAAGAAGTTGAAATTAAAAAAGATCTGATTGCTCAAACTACAAATTCATCAAATCAAATATTGAATGGTCATAATATTACTCAATCTTTACCAAATTCGCCTCCAAAGACAAATTTTAATTTCTCACCAAATTTGAATTCAAATCAACAACAACATCAACAACATTATACAAATCATGATGTACAACATTTCCAACCACCATCGTTATCACAACAGCAACAACGACCAAATAATGGAGAAGGTAGTCTGTTTGATATCAATATCCTTGCCAAGGCTGCTGCGTTAGAATTAGAGAAAGAACAACAAATTCAAAATAATTTACAAAATACAAGATCTTTACCTCAGCTGTCAAATTATTTCCAGTCAAATATGAATAATACAACTTCAACCACTTCAACTAATGGTTCAACTCCATCAAACTCTTCACCAAATGCTTCATTATCAGGTACACCAACTTCTAATTCAATACCCCAATTCTCATCTCAACAAACACAACAACCAAAAGCTCCACCTATTATTAGATCAAACTCATCAACTACTTCACCAACTTTAAATCAAACACATATACATTCACTTAATTCCTTAAGTTCATTACAAAGAATGACACCTTTAAGAATGAATTCACCAATACCATCAAACGCATCATCATCAAGACCCCCAATTAATAAAACAAAATCAAATGTTTCATTAACTTCATATAATGATAATTTAGAAGATGATTCATATTATAATTCTGATCGTTACAAAAAATCAAGACCAAATTCTCCATCATCAACAAGACCACAATCACCAATTCCAAATAATGGAGGATTTTCATTACCAGTATCAAATTCAAATTCACTGACAAATTTACATCATGCACTGAATTCTCATTTAGGTATGACTTCACTGAGTAATGGTGGATCAATTGCCAATTCTATGGGTTCGAGTGTAAAATTTCAATTACTGGGTAAAACCCCAGAAGCTACACCATTACAAACACCTGCAGTTTCTCCAAAATTAAGTGCTAGAACTTTGGGATCAAACGGTGCAGGAAATAATGATAATGATTTACCACCTCTGAAAAGTTTAGGATTGAGTTTCCCAATTGATGGTGATAAAAAATGAATTATATATTTTCTATTATTTTATGGACCATAATTTTGATATGAGTGTGTTTTCTTATGCTGGTGGTTTCAATTTGTTTTCGTTTCTTTTAGTTTTTCTTGATAATTAATCTTAATTATATATGGTGTATTATTAATTTATGAATTTGATTTAAATTATCATGTGTTTTGCAACATAATTGATTGCTTGTAGATTTTATTATCTAGATGAGCTAAAAGCCTAGAAAGTTAGATCTATAGATGCTTTCTCAGTTCCGGGCACCGGAAATGTTTTTCATTACATACAACTCCGATTTGATTTCAACAATGTCAACTAACTAAAGTGAATAAAAAGTAGTAATTGATTCAACGATTAACAACTTTTGCAAAGTCGTGAAAGAAATCAGAATATCAATCATGTCATACCATAAATATACTCCATCAACTGATTTACAAAAGACTATAATACGATGCCCATATACAAAATGTCAAGCAAGAATTATAAAACCTAACGATCAAAAAATTCATTCTTTGAAAACTGGTTATGAATGGTTAAAAGTTGATCAAGAAACTAATTCAAATGAGAAAGAAATTGATGAGAAGTTTTTGAGAATTGAAGATTCATGGGATTTTGATAATATTGGTGTTTCAAGAGAGATTCCTTCTAAAGTAACTGAAATTAAAGAAGGCGAAACTGAAGAATTAGATCAAATTAAAGTGGAAAGATTTATAATTTGTGCAGATTGTGAAAGAGGTCCTTTAGGTTTTGGGAAATTTGATGATGATGAACAAGATAAGAATGTTAAGAATTTGAAATTTTATTTACACTTGAATAGTTGTGTTTATCAAGATTTATAATCATTGCATAACTTATGATTTGTTAATGAATGAATTATTAAATATTACTGGAGGAAGATGATTACATTTATCAATCTACGAATTATATGAAATTTGAGAATATTCTCCACTCTGCCTTAAAAGGATCAATGATTTTAAGATCTGACGATACTTGTTTCTCTTATAAGCCCTACAATATTGTAACTTCTGAAGTTATGTATTAAGTTCATCACATAAAAAGTCATAAACACAATTCTAAAGCTTTATATAAGACAACTATTACCCAAATGGTTTCCTGATCATCCTAATTGAGACACAAACTCCCCAAACTCCATGAAACGCGTCTCAAAACTAATAAATAATAACATTACAACCACGCGTCTTGAAAAATGTAAACATAAAAAGAGAAATTTCGTGTTGACGGGCGTCGGCGACGGTTATAGGATATATGCCTATACAACCATAGGAATTGTAATTTCGATCTTCATAGATCGTGACACAAATCGAAACATGCTTTTCAGATATTAAGCCAAGAGACCAAAGAAATATACAAATCATGATTGAAATACTTAATAGTCAATATACTGGCAGTCTATTCACACACAACACACATTAATACCAGAAGTAATGAGTAATCCGGCTCTTTGCCTTTCTGAGATATTAATCCGATCGGTTTTTATTATACCGCAATTTACCATTTGAAAAAGAATTCATTTTGGATGCAATGATCAACAAAATAAGTATTTGAACTTTATGAAAAAGTATAAAGCCATTACAGTAATTTAAACTACGTATATCAGTGGCAACTTTTGGAGTATAAAATCAGATCTTGATCCAGTGTTTTCTTCAAAAATTGATTAGTCTTACTCTCCATCATATCAGTTCAAATTTTTTTTTCACACCTTCTGAGATCTAGCTATGACTACAAGTGAGGAACATAGTATAAAAGATAAGGAACATCAACAAGAAGATTTCACACTCTCAACAAGCCCCAAGGGCACAGAAGATGATATGGAAATTCAAACCCATAGTGTTCAACCTTCAAAACATACAGTTTATAACATTCATGAGAAATATATTTTGGTTTTATTAGCATCAGGTGTGGCTATTTGGTCTTCATTTGGTTCACCAATTTATTATCCAGCATTACAAATCTTGGAAGGATATTTTGATATAAGTGAAGAACTTGTAAATATATCAGTTGTTGTTTATATAATATGCCAAGGGATATCTCCAACTTTTGTTGCACCTTTTGCAGATAGATATGGTAGAAGACCTGTTTTAATGTGTTGTTTATTGGTTTTCATTGGTGCTTCAATTGGTCTTGCAGTTTCAAATTCATATGGTTTAATCTTAGCATTAAGATGTATACAATCATTTGGTATTTCACCGGCTGTTGCTATTGCATGTGGTATTACAGGTGATTGGACTGAACGTCATGAAAGAGATTGGTTTGTTGGTCTAACTAGTGGGTTTACATTATTTGGTCAAGCGTTTGGTTCATTATTTGGGGCTGCTTTAATTGCAGGCTGGAATTGGAGAGCTATTTTTTGGTTCTTAGCTATTGGTGGTGGTGTTTCATTAGTAACAATTACACTTGTATTACCGGAAACTAAAAGATCTATAGTAGGGAATGGATCAATCACACCACCTCATTTAGTTGCTAGAGCCCCTTTATTATCAATACCTTATTATAGAAAACTTTGGGACTTAGATAATCCAGATTATTCAACTCTTGTTGATAAATCTAAAACTGATTTCTTTGCTTCATTGAGAATTTTATCAAAACCTGAATTAGCTATATGCTTATTCAATGGTGCTATTCATTATGCATTATGGACATTACAATTGACTTCCTTGAGTAATGAATTATCAAGGTCGTATGATTATTCAGTTATGAAAATTGGTCTTTGTTATATTCCAGCAGGAATTGGTGGATTATGTGGTTCATTCATGTGTGGTAGATTTTTGGATATAGTTTACAAGAGATTATATAAAACTTTTGAGAACAATAAGAAATCAGGATTAATACCAGAATATGAAAAATTCAACATTGTTAAATCAAGAATTTTAGTCGCTGTTCCTTATTGTTTAATTACAGATGGATTTACTTTAATGTATGGATGGTGTTTACAAAAACATGTTCATGTTTCCACTATATTAATTAGTGCATTTTTCATATCAAATGGATGTATGGCAGTTGTGGGTGTGAATTCAACTCTATTAATTGATTTATATCCATCAAATTCATCAGCTGCAACATCATGTGTCAATCTTACAAGATGTTTAACAGGTGCTATTTTCGTTGCTTGTTTAACTTCAATGAATAAAAATATAACAATTGGTGGGACTTTTACATTAATGGCTGCATTGGGTATAACTTCTGCAATATTATTATATCTACCATTGAAATATGGTATGAAATGGAGTCAAGCAAGGGAAGAAAAGAAGAGATTATAATGGGAGAGAGAGTAATTTATAGATATATTTATAGGTAGTAATTTAATATTATGGATCAGTTAATAAATCGTTTAGATTGTAAACACGTCAAAAGAAACAGATGTATAATAAAACTTCTGGGCGTCAATGTTCTCCATTATCTAATCTTTTGATCAACTCAATTGACTAGCGTCAACGTCCCAGCGACGTTGCAGAGTCAGACCGATTTTCCCACACGATCACACAGAAATTTAAAGAACAATTTGAAGCTTTGTGAAATTCAGCAAAATCTTATTGGACATTGGACAAGTATATACAACGAGATAACACTCTTATAAGACCATTTATTTATCAATATATAACACATATTGAGTATAACGTACCCTCATTCGAACCCGCTTAGCTTCTATTTCCAATAAAACTTCGCTTTTTTTAAATTTTCACATGCAAAATTTAGCTTTTTCCGTTTTTTACAACTTCGAATTTTGGCAGCTTTTTCTATGCGCGAAACAATTTTCCCAGCTTTTTTAGATTGTGATATCAGCAAAAAAAGTTGATTTGTTTTTGTATTGTTTGCATTCAACATTTAGAAACAATTTCGACATCAATTCCAACATCATCGAACTACACAGATGAGCACAGATACCATCCATCACAGACGCTCTTCTCTAAAGACAGCGCCTACAAGGGCCCGCTCTAGATCCAAATCCAAGCAGAGAAGACCCAGTCTGGGGAGCAGAAGGTCTTCAGCCAACATCTCATTCATTAGTTTCAAAAATGATTATGATCCATCCGCTGTCACTCCAGTCCTGGCGCCAACTTCATCGAGTGGATTGCCACCAGTCTCGCCATCTCTGCTGCCTTCGTCCCATCCAAGCATCCCTCCATCTACAGCCCCTCTGTTGACTTCTAATGGGTCTTATGAAACTGAAATTCCATCCATATCAGCTAGTTTAGATCATACTTTACCTGCTGCTTATTTTAAACAAGATTTATTGAGTGTTTTGAAAAGTCTTCGAGTCTCCAAATGGCACAAGTTACCTTCACAAATATACCCAGAATTGAAATTAACCAAGATTTCCGGTGCTTTAACAAATGCAATCTATAGAGTTGATCCTCCTTCTGTTGTTCATTTGAAAAATTTGAATTTACATAATGTCTATTTCCCAACTTTACTATTAAGGATCTATGGTTCAAATGGTGAATCTTTAATCGATCGTCAATATGAATTGAAGATGCTCGTTAGATTATCAAAACAAAATATTGGTCCAAGGTTATTTGGTTGTTTTACAAATGGTCGTATTGAACAATATTTAGACAATGCTACAACTTTAACAAGAAAAGATATCCATGATAAGAAGACAAGTTCTAGAATTGCCAGAAGAATGAAAGAATTACATTCAGGTATAAGATTATATCAATGGGAAAAAGATCAAGGTCCAAGTGCTTGGAGATCGATTGAAAAATGGATTGATTATATTGAAACTGGATTAGCAAATAAAACTTTAGAATTAGATGAAAACTCCATTTTCAAAAATGATTTCCAAACTTTCAAAAAATTAATTTTCAAATATAAAAAATGGTTATTTGATCGTTATGAAAGTTTACATGATTTAAAAAATTCTATTGTTTTTTGTCATAATGATACACAATATGGTAATTTATTATTTACAACTCAACCTAAAAAGATTCCAACCTCAAGTAATTCTTCAACAACAACAATTCCAGCAACTTCAAAAGATGGAAAAACTAATAATGAGGCCTCAACATCAACAACATCATCATTGAAAACCAAATTATCAAATTTATCTTTAGACAATTTAAATGAAATTAGACCTTCAGTTCAAGAGAAAAAACAAGATAGAAATTTAGTTGTTATAGATTTTGAATATTCAGGTCCAAATGTTCCAGCTTTTGATATAGCTAATCATTTTTGTGAATGGATGTCAAATTATGATCATCCTACAAGAAGTTTTGCAGTTTTCGATGAAGATTTCCCAACATTAGATGAACAATTAAATTTAATTTATAGTTATATCTTGTTCAATTCAGAGCAAAATCCAGATATTAACAAACTAGAAAAACAAGCTAAAAAATTATTTAATGATTGTATTGCATGGAGAGCAACTGTTTCAATTCATTGGGGATTATGGGCAATTGTTCAAAATGGTGAAAAAAAATCAATTGAAAATTCTAATGAAATTCTTGAAACAGGACCAAATGGTGAACAATATAAAATTGTTCAAAATAGTTCACCATCTGCAGTGGAAAGTGATGATGAAACAAGTTCAAGTGATGATGAATTAAATAATGCAACAGAAAATGCACATACTGATTCTGATAATTTTGAATATTTAAAATATTGTGAAGAAAAATTAAATTGTTGTTGGGGTGATTTGATTCAACTTGGAATCATTAAAAAAGATGATCTTTATCTTGATGGTAATGAAGAAAGTATTAAATTTTTATTTGCGGATTTCTTTGACGTGTGAAATGTTACAATTTTTACGCATGAATTGATTGAAAACTTGTACATATAAAGTATTTGTTTATTTTATATAGTTTCAACTTATACTTCACAAAAAAAATAAATAATATACGTATTTAAATATATATAAAAATAAAAATGTATGATTATATAATGAACTCAATTATAATTTAATTCATAATTTAAAATAATAACATTTTTCTTGGATCTTCAATTAATTCTTTAACAGTCTTTAAGAAAGTAACAGCTTCTCTACCATCCAACATTCTATGATCATAAGTTAAAGCTAAGTACATCATTGGTCTACTAACAACTTGACCATTAACAACAACAGCTCTTTCTTTGGTACCGTGTAAACCTAAAACAGCAGTTTGAGGTAAATTAATAATTGGAGTACCATATAATGAACCGAAAACACCACCATTTGAAATAGTAAAAGTACCACCAGCCATATCTTCTAAAGTTAATTTATTATCACGAGCTTTTTTACCTAAATTAATAATTTCTTGTTCAATTTCTAAAACTGATAAAGATTCTGCATTACGAACAACTGGAGTAACTAAACCTTTTGGTGTAGCAACGGCAATTGAAATATCAACATAATCTCTATAAACTAATTGATCACCTTCAATAGCACCATTGACAGCTGGGATATCTTTCATAGCTAATGTAGCGGCTTTAGAGAAAAGACCCATGAAACCAAATTTAATATCTTTCTTTTTGATAATTTCATCTTTATATAATTTTCTTAATTCTAAGACTGATGACATATCAACTTCATTGAAAGTAGTTAATGAAGCAGCAGTGTTTTGTGATTCTTTTAATCTTTCAGCAATTCTTAAACGCATACGGTTCATTTTAACACGTGATTCTGTTCTTGGGAATTTTGTAAATGAAGTAGTGTCTTGTTGTTTTGGTTCTTCTTTCTTTGGAGCTGGTTTAGATTCTTCTTTCTTTGGGGCAGGTTTACTTTCTTGTTTTGGTGGAGCTGGAGCTGATTCTTCTTTTGATGGAGCTGGAGTTGATTCTTCCTTTGGAGCAGATTCTTCTTTTGGAGCAGATGATGATGATGAACCTTCAGCTGGACCTGAACCTGGTTCAATTTTCAATAAATCTTGACCAACTTCAACGGTATCTTCAGGATTAGCTAAGAATTCTCTAATGGTACCAGAGAATGGAGCATTAACTTCAACATCGATTTTATCGGTTTCAATAGTTGCAATAGTTTCATCTTGTTCAACAAAATCACCAATTTGTTTGTTGAATTCTCTTAAAGTACCTTCAGTTAAGGATTCAGCCATATCAGGGACTTTAACAACTTGAGAATTTAATCTGATGAATGAAGTTTGGAAAGATCTAATTGAATTTTTTGGTAAAGTTGTTGAATTTAGCAATGATGATGATGGTGATGATAATCTTGATGAAGATTTGAAAGAGATGTTTCTCAATTGAGAACCAACATTTGATTTGGCAGCTTGAGTAGTGACATTTGGTAATCTTTTAGAGATTATACGTAAATTTCTTGTAGAAAGCATTTTGGATATTTTAATTTAATTTATCTTTGTACTGTATTGAATATTGAGATCTGACACTATGACAAATAATGAGATGAATTATATGACAACAAAGAATGATTTTGTTCAGACAGAGATTCCCAGACTTGAAAAGATGAACAGATATAATTGACCTCTTGAGAACAATAAATACTATCAAATTTTCCAATTCAGTGAGTAATAAAGTGTTAGTTTATCAAAAAATATACCTTACAAAATCAAATCCGATGATTTGTTGATTTTCAAAGAGGCAAATTTTGTATGGTGAACTCGATTCCCGGGGTAAAAAACAAGTTGGTTAGCGTATCCGAGGTCTGCGAATAACCGGATATGAACCATCCTAGGGAATCTTTTATAGGGAGGAACTTTTAGGCGAGTGCAGTGTCCTGGAATCTGAGTTCTGGGTGTATCTATTTAGGCAGGAGCTACAATAGGGTGTACGCAGAGATCTTGCCTGTGTTATCTACAAATCATGGGCTCAGACGATATGAAACAAGTACCAAATACCCATAAGCTGATGAAGAATATTTGAATTGTGCCATACTTTCAACTGTCCTTCATTTGAAGACATAGAATTTGAAGACCCCCCGGAACTGCCAAAACAGGATTTAGGATTCTGCTCACCGGCTCCGACGCCACTGAACTCAAAACGCATTCGCGAATGTGATTCGGATCCATGTTTCCGCATCTTAATTACATAATGCATTACATCAGCGAATATATAGATCGCGATTTTAATAGGAAAGTTGTTAATGTTGATGTTGATGAGGTTGGTATTGATCAACTAGGAATACCACTGGTTATGGACAAGATAGCGGACTACTCTAGTGAAGATAGTGATAATACAGATCAAGAACAAGGAGCAGAAGTGTTACAACAACAAAAAGTTACAAAGAAACTTAAATTACCCCCATTACCATCAGCTCTTGAAGAAAAATTCATTAAAAAACCATCATTACCAGATCCAGCTTTCTATGAGATGAACAGAGTAGTTCTACCTAATAAGTTTCCAGGACTCACTAGTATATTCCCATATATCAAAATCAAACCTACAGAAAGACAATTTGATTTATTAGCGAATGTGTTATTGGAATCCAAACTATATCTAAAATTATCTGGTCAACCTGTTCAATTTCAATCATTATTAACTAACGAACTAGGCGTTGATGTTCCATTGCATGTTTCATTAAATGATTTAACTTTCCATACAAAACAACAACAATTTTTATACAATAAAACATTAGGAAAAGAATTTCAAAAAATAAGGCATGATTCAACTTCAAATTTATTAACTTTTGATAAGGTTAAAGTTCTCCCAAATTTAGATCAATCACATTTCTTCTTGGTAATGAATCTATCTCAAGACTCTAAAAATGGATTAAAACAAATAGTTGAATTAATAAAACAAATTTCTAAAGAAAATTCAGATGATGAAGAACTTAAATTACTTACAGATTTCCCAACATCAACATTGGACGGACTACATATGTCAATAGCAAGATGTTTCCCATTGGATCCTAAAACTAATGAATTGATACATAATAAAAAATTTGATCAAAATTCCAAAATAATGAAAGAAATAAATAAATTATTAGAATCCGTGGAAATTGATAAAGATCTAAAATTTGAATATGATAAAGTTTATCTTGTACATAATTCTAGAGATCTTGCATCATACAAAATTGGTCAATAGCTTTAAAAATCTAGATTGCCTCATTTGGGTCTAATACCATCACATTCGTAACATGAACAATTTATACCAGATGTATCGTATGAAGTTTTGTATAAGTAAACGGTAAGTAAGATTAATTGGGAAATCATTGCATTAGACTGAGCATGTTTAGATATCGATCCTACTGTAGTATGTAAAGCATCCACGTTATACGTCAAATTTCTCTAGAACATATGTGACTCTATATGTGGTATCTTGACAACTATTGAGGAGCGGGATTCGATTGAAATCTAGGTGGTTTCTGTATTGGGATGGCTCAAGGTTTATGTACATGTATGGTGATTGATCCGTTGATTTTGATTTCTAATTGCGCATGATAAATCACAAGGTATACAATTTTTTCAAACCTTGCTTTTAGATTTTCCTTACTATTCAAGATGAAACGTAAATATTCAAATTGCTGGGGATTTTAGTGTAAAGATTTCCAATGTACGTAGCATTATTCCCTGTCAATAATAAGGCATATAAGTGAGCTGAATTGAAGACACATCTAGCTTGTCAATATTCAATACTTTATACACAGGTTATATATAGCTAGCTGGTGACAATATGATCAAACCCATGGGTACTCATCAATATTCATCAGATGCTTTTCAGGTCGTATATTCAACTACTAAACCCATTGGTAAGAGTTAAATCAACCTAGAACAACTTCTAAAGCATAAACATGCGCCCATTAACGCGTTCAAGTGGATCACTTTTGGGTTTAAATAACCTGTGCACAATAGATTCTGTCCAAATGCGCATAATCCGCCTCTTTGTATCACTTTTTTGCTTATTTTTTTGTTCTTTGATGTTTTGTTAAATGTTGATTAAAGTTGAGATTTTACCGCATCGGGAAATAATTTCGGGTACATTTTAATTGCGATTGTTTACATTTATCCAAATCGGGTAATCATATTAAAGAAAATCTCGAATTTTTCAACTTTTGTTCAAAGTTTACAATCCACCATCAGGGAAAGTTGTTAAACAGAAATCACAAGTGACATGAAACTTGCAAATTTTATCAAATTTCTCCTTTAATTATTGGTAAAATCCTTATTTCCAAAACTTAACCTTCTACCGAACCCACAAAGTGCTTTAAAAGTATTACAATTATCAAGACATAGATCATTCCAATCTGTTCAACTTCAAGAATTCAAGTTCATTATAAAGAAGAGAATACAAATTTTCATTCAATAAAGAAATCTTGAGAAATTTTAGAGCAGATATTACTGAAATTTATACAAGCAAACAAATCAAAACAAAAAGCTAAGAGTTACAAAACTTCAAGTTAAACTTCTTCAACAATCATATCTTGTGAAAGTATCTATCTTGCAGGCGAGGTAGATAATCCTTTCAAGGCTGGTCCAATCAAGTTTATATTCAATTTAATTCAACTCCTGGTGAGCTCTCAATCTCTTACCGGCTGGACCGAATATAATCAATTTTAAACTGAAAAATCAATCAATTAAAACATCAAAAAAGAAAATGAGTCTTTATGATCAAACGTGGATAACTCCACCAAGTTCAACTGAAAATAAAAATACTTCATATTTTATGGAATATGTTAAACCTGAAGAAAGCTCTATCCCATTACCACATGAAGATTTCACACCATATCAACAAAATTTTGATCAAGTTGATGATTTCTTAACTCAAACATTAAGTTCATTACAAGATTTAGATATTCCAGTGGGTCAATCTTCATCATCAACATCATCATATGCTTTCAATCAAAATCAATATGGGAGTGATGTTTCTCATGGTCCTGTCAGGGGTCATAAAAAGCAACCAAGTGGTACTGCAATTTTTGGTTTTGCTAATCATAATAAAACATTATCAATTCCTGGTATGCCTCAAAGACCTCCAAGTGCTGAACATCCAAGTATATCACCAGAGCAACTATATTCTCATCCTCAACAATATCAACCTCATCCTCAACAACAACAGCAACAACAACAACCAATTTTATATCAAAAACCTCAAGATCTTGAAGCTGTAAATCAAAAATTACTTCAGCAAAATCGTCAATTATATCAAGATCATCCTCAATCTCTTCCACAATATCCTTTACAAGTCTCTTCAAATCAATATCAACAACACATCGTACCACAACCTCAACATTTGAAGAAAAATGATGATTTCATAGTGACTAATAAGAATCCATCAAGCTATAAATTTCCACCAGAACCACCAATTCCTCAACATCAACAGCTTTATAATTCACCTTCAACTCAACAAAATGGCTCTAATGGTCAAAAAACTGTTTCAGTTCCAGTGGAATATTTACAAAAAATAACAAATTATATCAAGAGTCGTGAAAATATTGATATGAATAAATTTTTGGATTCAAATTATGACTATTCAGATCTACAAGATGGGTTTAATGCTAAGAGATCATTATCACCAAACCCACCAGTTGATATTTCCCCAGTTTTGAAACAGATGGAAGTTCAACAACAACAACAACAACAACAACAACAAGAAGCTCCAGCTCCAGCTCCAGCTCCAATTGAACAAACAAGTACTTCAAATTCTACTGAAATTAACACACCTGTTTATACACCAGAAGAGCAAAAATTACCATTATCTGGTCCAACTCCACAGCCACCACAATCACAACCACAATCACAAAATACTATTGGATTAGGTATAAGGTTTGAGCATAATGTTAAACAAGATTTTGAATCTTCATCAGAATCAGAATTTTTAGATGCTCCAAAAACACCATCTCCAATATTAAAATCACAAGCAACTTTTTCAAGTGAATCCAAACAAAATAGTGAATTAAATTGGACTCCAGTTATTATTGGTGATCACTCATTACCAATGATGAAAAGAAAACCACAAGATAAAGTTTCAACTTTACCACCTGGAGAAATTGATCAATATGTTATTGGACCAAGAGAAGATAAGACATATGTTTGTAATTTTAAAAATTGTGGTAAATTATTCACAAGAAGATATAATGTTAGATCTCATGTTCAAACTCATTTAAGTGATCGTCCATTTTTATGTGATTTTGAAGGTTGTAACAAAGCATTTGTTAGACAACATGATTTAACAAGACATAAAAAAATTCATGAAGAGTTTGAACATAAGTGTCCTTGTGGTAAAGGTTTTTCAAGACATGATGCATTATATCGTCATAGAATTAGAATGGTTTGTCGTGGTGGTATTAAAGGCACTGATGAAGAAATGGCATTATATGCTTCTTTAAATTCAAATTCAGCACCTTCAAGTTCAATGAAATCAAAATGTAATCATAATCATAGCAGTGTTACCAAATCCAAGAAAAAACAAAATAAACCAATAAAAATTGAAAATGATAAAGTTGCAAAGAAATTAGAATTTGATTTATTAAAAGATACAAAAAATTCTTCTTCTTCAGCTTCAACCCCAAAACTTATTAAATCAGAACAACCTGTTGCCATTGATGGAAGTGAAAATGTCTTTATTGAAGAACAAAATCAAATAGATTCAAATCAAGCTTCAATTAATCAACATACACCAAGTCCGACTGATGATTCATTTTTGAATGATTTAAATTTTGGATTTGATCCTCAGTATGAAGAATTTAATGAATTTGTTCGTTAGATTTTAATTGAATTTCACTTCAATAATTTATAATGACGTTTTATGATCTCTTGGTTTTCTATTCACACTTCTTTCCTTGGAACAGGTTAATAATTAATTTATATTTGGGTTTGTTTTTATCTTTGGGTTATTTAAATCTTGGTTTTTGTTATCATTGGACAATTTTTTATGCTTTTTTTATCGTTTCTTTATATTATTAGTTTTTTTATATCGTTATAACTAGATCACTTTTTTTGTTACTCTTTTTGTTCCCTTTTTTATGTGATATTTTTAGTGTACTTCAATTGGTTACACTATATTTTTTGTCTAATATCTGTTTATATAAATACATATAATATTTGATATTTTATAAATCCATGGTGGTTTATCTGTAGTCTATAGTGGTATAATGCTCCAATAAAACATAGGTTGATAGTCGATGAGTTAGCCCTATAATTTTGTATCAGATTGCTCCACAGACCCATGGGAATAAGCGGTGCAGGAAATCAGTCGGACATATTCATTATATTCGAGAATGCACAAATACCCAATTTTTACAAAAGAAGAAAGGATATACACTCTCAAAAGTCTTGGCTCTTGAGAAATATTTAGTCATCGTGTTTATAACATTAGTAAAAAGTACTTGGAAGTTGGAACAATTTCAATTTTCGAAGCCATTCGACAATTTTAGTGTGGTAAATTGTATTGGCCATGCAATGAGCAATTTAATTTAAAAGACACAATCACACCTGATAAGCTTAATTTAGAACATAGATCATCACATGTGCTCTTTGAAACTCTGGTACAAAGATATTTAGTTTAAAATGTCCACTTAATTCTATACAAAGTATAGCCCTTCTATTGTGCATCGGAAATAAAGTGCCATACATCGGTCCGATATCCTAGTTGAATATTTTGGATATTAATTCATCATACATATTATAATCAATCGCTTTAAACATGCTTACAAGGAATACCTGGTAACTGCATGGCCTATAAATCCGTGATATAGTCATTTGTAAATGGATATGGCTGGATTACTGGAACCATTGAAATATCCTGGACTTACAATGCATCCTACACTAAGGTTTTTAGGATTTTGGATAACGTACATTAGCGTTTGTGAATATAATTGGCTCCATGGAAGAGGTATATTCCATGAATTTAAACGATTTTTTGGTAGATTTACATTGTCCTCAATTGCTAGTGAGCAAAAATTATCAAATGAATATTCTTTTATCAAGCAAAAAAAGTACACCCAGCTCTGATCTTTTAGATAATATTTATACTCAAAGAATTCGTCAGAAAGCTAGTATTAGTCTTCAAATCCTTTATTTAAGGAATCACACTAAAACAACATGTCAGCCTTAGACAAAGATCCAATGAAGAATGACTCTTTCAATGTTATAGTTGAGTCAGAATCTCCCTATGAAAAATATCATCAAAATAAAGATGAATTTAAAGATGATGAATCTCAATTATTTGAAGATTCAGGTTCTTCATTCAAAGTTGCAGAGGCTATTGATATTACAAACTCAGATGTTGATGCTATTGTTCCAACTGAAGATTATGAAGGTGATGCAAACACTATAAGAATGTGGATATTAGCAATAGTTTTAGGTACAGTAATCACTGGTGTTGATTCATTTTTCCAAATGAGATTCCCAACTATTCATATTGGTGCTATTGTGTCATTAGTTATTGCTTACCCCATTGGTCAAGCTTGGTATTACGTTATACCTAATTGGAAAATACCATTGCCATTTGGTTATAAAATCCAATTGAATCCTGGTCCTTTTAATCAAAAAGAACATGCTTGTATCTTTTTATTTGTTAATTATGTCTCTTCAGCTGGTTTGGTGAATAACAGTGTTGTTGAACAGTTTAAATTCTTCAAGATTAATATTGGTATTGATAGAATGTTATTATTCCAATTATCAAGTTTCCTTTATGCCTATTGCTTAACTGGTTTAACTTTATCCATCCTTGTGAAACCAAAAGATGTTGTTTGGCCAGGTGTTTTATCAACTTGTGCCTTATTTAAAGCTTTCCATAATAAAACAAATGAACCTGCTGGTAATTGGACCATATCAAGATTTAGATTTTTCAGTTATGTTTTTTGTGGCTCATTTATTTGGTATTGGTTCCCAGATTTAATCTTACCATTTTTATCAACTTTAGGTGCATGGATTACTTGGATTAAACCTGATAGTGCAACATTATCTCAAGTATTTGGTGTTAATACTGGATTAGGTTTATTCCCGTTAACTTTAGACTGGACTCAAATTACATCATTAAATAATCCATTGAGTACCCCATTTTGGTCTGTACTTTCAGTTTTCATTTCATTTGTATTTTGGATTTGGATTGTTATGCCAGCTTTATATTATCAAAATAAATGGCAAACTGCACATTTCCCAATAATGACTTCATCAATTTTCAATACTAATGGTACATCATATTTACCTGCAAAAGTTGTTGATAAAGATTATAGATTAGATTTAGAAAAATTTAAAAAATATTCACCAGTAATGTTACCTATAGCATTTTTGATGAATTTAGCTCTTGGTTTAGCTGCTTTTTCTTCAATGATGGTGACATTTTTCGTTAAATTCAAATCAGATGTGATACAACCTTTAAAGAACCCGGAAGAAGATTCACATACAAGAGCTTTATCAAAATATAAAACATTCCATTGGGGGTTCTATGTATTTTGGGGAATTGTTGGTTTAGGTTTAGGTTTTGCATTTTTTGAAGGTTTCCATCATGAAACTCAATTAAGAGCTGATGGTTTTATTGTTTCAGTTATTATGAGTACATGTATTTTCATCCCATTAGCTTTAATTGAATCAAGATCAAATTTTGAAGTTTCTTTAGCTCCATTTTTTGAAATTATTGCAGCATTTTGGTTCTCTGGTAAACCAATTGCATTAATGTATTTTTATATGATGGGATTTGGTACAATGCAACATGCTATGCATGCTTCAATGGGTGCTAAAGTTGGACATTATATGAAAGTTCCACCGAAAACAGTTATGACACTTTTATTATTTGGCTCTATTTGGGGTGCTTTAGTTTCACCAGCTGTTACAGGTTATATTTTGAATCATTTTGAAAACATTTGTACCACTAATGCTAAAAATCATATGATTTGTAGAAAATCTAAAACTCAATTCAATAATCTTGTTGTTTGGGGTTTATTTGGTAAACATATATTTGCTAAAGATGGTAGATATTCATGGGTATTATGGTTTTTCCTTGTTGGTGCTCTTTTTGCTATAGTCATGTGTGCATTACAATGGAAATATCCAAAGAGTTCATTACTATCAAAATTGAATCCTACTTTATTCTTTGGTGGTGCAGGTACAATTCCAACAGTTACAGGTTTTAATTATTCAACATGGTTCTTTGTTGGATTTATTTTGAATTTTTGGATTCATAGAAAGAAACATGCATGGTGGAAGAAGTATAATTTAGTTTTAGCAGTTGGTTTAGACTGTGGTGTTGCTATTGCTGCAATTTTAATTTATTTCTGTGTTGTTTATACTGGAGGTTCTGAAAATTATAAATGGTGGGGGACTACTGTTGCCAAAGCTGGTTGTGATGCCAAAGGATGTCCTCATTTGCCCAAGGGATCTATTGTAGCACCAGAAGGATGGTAATCTGACTCTAATAAATGGAGGTTTCAATGATATATAATATAAATTCATGATTTTTGTATGATAAATTTCGGAATTTTGGGTGTAGATTTGAAGTCCTGACTCCTCGGTATAAACGTTATAAATCCGGGGTAATAGAAAATTGTTTGGAGAAGTCAAATATAAAGGAGGAAATTTCCACTTTTCATGATCTTCTTTCCTTCTAATTTACTAAGAAACAATCAGTGCAATCATGGGTGAGACTGTGGTGGACACTGAGCAAGATGTGGGTCCAATAAGGTGCGTTTGATCGGTATCAGCTTTAGTTTTTTTGAGAAGTTTATGGTTTACTAACAATTGCTTGAAAACAGGAGCCATTTCGACACAAAGAATCTTGAAAAGTTCTTTTCTAGTCCAAATTTACCTAAACAAACTAAATTGGGTCCTCAAATTGAATGGTCGCCATTGATTCCACCATTAAGCATCAAACAGTTTAAATTTGGACAATCAAATCCAACTTATTTGATCACTGATTCAAAAGGTACCAAAGCTGTTCTACGGAAAAAGCCAACTTCAAATAAGAATTTGATTTCGAAGACAGCACATGCTATTGAAAGAGAATTTCACATGCTTGCCTCGATCAAGAGCATCAATGTCAAGAATTCAGAAAGGCCACAAGTTCCAATTGCCAGTGTTTTCTTACTTTGTGAAGATGAATCTCATATTGATGCTGTTTTTTATGTGATGCAATTCGTTAAAGGAAGAATATTCCATGATCCTTCATTATCAGCTATTAAATCACAAAGTGAAAGAAAAAAAATTTGGGATTCAGTTTTGGATACAGCTTCAGCCATTCATTCAATCCCATCGGATGAATTATTTGATCAATTACCTTCAAATTATTTTAGAAAGCCCAATAAGGAAAGTAAAGTAACTTATTTCCAAAGACAAGCAAGATCTTTAAGTAAGATTCAATCCTTACAAGCCAAAGATGTTGATCCAATTCCATTTTTTGAAGAAATCACTAAATGGTTATTGAGAACTGCACCAAAAGATCCAAAAGTCCCCACATTAATTCATGGAGATTTCAAAATTGATAATTTTGTATTTCATCCAACAAAACCAGAAATTATCGCTGTACTAGATTGGGAACTTTGTACGAATGGACATCCATTATTTGATTTGGCCAATGTATTACAACCTTTCTGTATGTCACCAGAATTGAATAGACATTTTTCAAAATTTGATATCAATCAAGATCCAGCTTTGGTTCAACAAGTCTTAAAGACATATATATCCAAAGCACATCCGGAATGGGATCCAATCAAGTTATGGAATGTTGGTGTTGTGTTTGGACTTTATCGAGTTGCTGTGATTTGTCAAGGAATTGCACAAAGAGTTGTTCGAGGTGTTGCGAGTAGTGCAGAAGCTAAACAGACTGCTGCACTGTATCCACACGTTGGGAAGTTGGCTTTTGAACTGACCAAATCTCCTTCAAAACTATGAGATATTCAAACATATTTTATTATTCATTATTATTTATTATTATTCATCATTATTGTACAGCACTTGTAGTTTAAGTGATTTCAATCAAAAATTTGTAATTGTTGATAATGAGGTTATGTACCCGCGAATGTGTTTTTTATTGATAGTATTAAACTTAAATTTCTTGTCAAATAACTAATTTCTTGGTGGAAAAGAAGCCTCAGTTTTGTAAGACAAAAACAGTTGGTTTCTTGATGTACTGATACAATTTTATGAGTATCCATGAGTAGTTGTTTGTCTCTTGGTGAACTGTTCAAAGTTGGGGTTGGCTTTAGATAGCACATTGTTATCCCCTAAAAATTCAAGACGCGTCTTTGTAGGTTATTCAAGGGTCCAGGTGTCAGAAATCTGTCAAAGATATTGTATCTCCTGTTATAATTGGTTATGATGATTATCGTTGTGGCGATATTTCATCGGTTGGTTGTCTTTTTGTGAAGTATGGCTGAATGCTGAACAACTGTTTGGATCAGCTTTAATCAGATGTGATCTTATACAGATTGCAGGTGCTAGAAGTGCTGAAATGGCGCAATATCAATTTAATCTTGGATTGTTTCAATAATCATGAGGTATAAAAGAACGGATGATTTACCTTGAAAATTCATCATGATTTGTCTGATGTATATCACCTATTATCATTATCATGTCTTTCCCTAATATAGAGAAGGAAAATGTTGTGAATGATGTTCATTCTGTCTCATCAGATGATACTAAAAAGGATAACAGATTGAAAGTTGGTGATATTGTACTTCATGATGATGATGTACCATATATCGATCTAACAATTGAAATGACCGATGAGGAAATTGCTAAAAGGAAAACTTGGTGGTATAAATTAAGTTTATTCTTATGGGATTCTGTTGATAAACATCCTTCAGAAAGATCTTTCCTATTTAAATTGGATTTTTTCTTACTATCCTCATCAATGTTGGGTTATTTTATCAAGAATTTGAACCAAAATAACGTGGGGACTGCTTATGTCAACGGTATGAAAGAATATTATCATATGAATGGTAATCAATATAATTATATGTCAACTTTATGGACCGTGGGGTATATCATTGGTCAAATTCCTTCGAATTTAATCTTACATAGAATCTCTGCCAGATACTATTTAGCAGGTCTAGAATTATCATGGGCAATTTTAACTGTGTTTCTGATCATTCCAAAATCATTGAATGGGATATATGCAATTAGATTTTTCATTGGATTGTTAGAATCTGGTTATTTCCCTGGTTTGGAATATTTATTAGGCTCTTGGTATTCAAGAAAAGAATTAACTAAAAGATCTACATTCTTTGCATGTGCTGGTACAGCTGCTGGGTTGATTAGTGGTCCTTTACAACAAAGTATTTTGAGTTCTAAATGGGCACAAAAGGGTCTTGAACCTTTTCAATGGATGTTTGTTATCGATGCTGTGATTTCCGCTCCAATTGCATTCTATACCCTATTCACAGATCCAAATACCCCTTCAACAACAACAGCTTTTTATTTCACTGATACCGATAAAAAGATTGCCTTGGAAAGAAGAAGAAGAATTGGTGCTCAGTTAAATACAAGAGAAAAATACTCTTGGAAGAAAATTAAATCATTTTTCAACACATGGCATATTTGGATCTTACCTTTATTATTCTTAGCTTTCAATAATTCTTATACACCAATAGGTCAACAAGCGTTCCAATTATGGATGAAAAATGATTTGAAATTATCATCTTATGATTATAATACTTATCCAACAGCTATATCAGGTGGTGGTATCGGTCTTGCAGTCTTTGTTGCTTATGTAAATGATTATTTCCGTGGTCGTTTAAATCCAGTATTTTTGTTATTAATGTTTGGTATTGTCGCATTTTCATGTGCTTGTTTATCAGTATGGAATATCCCAACTGGATTACATTGGTTCACTTACTTCGGTATTGGTATCCCATTAAGTGTTGGTCAGCCTATGATTTTTTCTTGGGTTAATAGAATGCTTGCTCATGATGACATGAAAAGAAATTTTGTTGTTGTTTGTACAAATACACTTGCTTATGTTACAGGTGCTTGGGTTCCTATCTTAACCTTTAATCAAACTCAACAGCCAAAATTCTTTATTGGGTTCACTTATACTGCTTGTTTATCATCCTTTGGTTTGATTTTAACGGTGATAACATTCTATCTGAGTGTGAGAGATGACAGAAGACAAATAAAGGAGTTTAAAGAAAAAAACGAAGACGTTCCTGTTTATGGCTAGTCGAGTTTTTTTATTAATTTTAAAGGAGTCTCTACAAAAAAGAACTTAAATATAAATCTTAATATACATTAATCTAAAATAATACAATACCTAACCTAATTGTCACTTTCAATATAACCACCTTGTTCACATAATTTGTAAAACAAACTCTCTTTATCCTCCAAAAGTCTTTGTGGTGAATCGAATTCTTTAACTTGGCCTTTATCCAAAACAACAATTTTATCACTGTCCAACACCGTATCAATTCTATGAGCAATTGTTAAAATAGTACGATCATTGAAAGCTTCTCTAATGGTCTTTTGAACAATTTGATCTGTTTCAACATCAACAGATGCAGTGGCTTCATCTAGTACTAAGACTTTTGATGGATTTAACAAAGCCCTGGCTAAACATAGTAATTGTCTTTGACCAACTGAAAAATTAGATCCACCTTCTGAGACTTTAGCTTCTAATCCACGTTCTCCATCTTCCTTATCTTTATCTAAACCTTGAATAAATGACTTCAAGTGTGACAATTCAAGAACTTTCCATAACTCTTCATCTGTTTGTTCGCCTAATGGGTCCAAATTCTGTCTCACTGTACCTTCAAAAGCTTGTGAATCCTGTGGAATAATTGCTAAGTTACCTCTCAAATCTTTTAAACCTATTTCTGAGGTATTGACGCTATCGATCAAAATCTTACCAGAAGCTGGTTCGATCAATCTAAATAACGCTAATGATAATGTACTTTTACCAGCACCTGTTCTACCGACAATACCAATCTTCTCTCTTGGTTTAATATCAAGTGTGACATCATTCAAGACAAGATCCAAATTTTCCCTATATCTAGTAGAATAATGATCAAAATTAACAGCACCCTCCTGTGGCCAATGGGTAGGAGGTCTCGAATCTGTAATTTCTTCGGCTTCAGGTTTCAAATCACAGTAATCTAGGACTCTTTCAACAGAAACGATTTGAGTTTCTGCTTCAACTGTCATTCTAACGATAAAGCTTAATGAAGTAGTAATTTGTAAAGCATAACTAATCACTAGACCTGCCATACCTGGTGTCAAATTGTGAAGAATAGCTAAGGATGCGGTAGCAAAAATTATAACAGAACCAATGAATTGAAGTCTAACAGCCAACCATCTGTTGATGGATCTAAAAACGTATAAACTTCTCAAGTTTATAGCTAGATTGTTAAGATGAATAAATTGAAATCTTGGTTCTTGTTGATAAGCTCTTATAGTTTCATAACCAGTTAAAGATTCTTGTAAATGGGCAAAAATTGGACTTCTAGAGACATTGACAATTCTTTTCAAATCTCTTGATGTACCAATATAGTATCTTTGATAATAAACATAAAGAACAGATAAAACAGCAACAATCAGTATGAATGATGGCATGGTTGCTCCAATCAAAGCCAAAGTAAAGAGAACACGAATACTATTATTGAATAGCATTGAGAAAACTCTTGGTAAACCTTCATCAACTCTATTTATATCAGTTGAAAATCTATTGATAACTCTACCAATTGGAGTTGTTTCAAAAAATGACATTGGTGATCTAACAACGGCTCTTGCCATTCTGTTATGTAATATACGTGAACCTCTAAGAGCACTAAAGACCCATAAAACAATAGTTCTTGCCAGAGTGAAGACACCTGAACCTATACCGAAAAATGCATAAATACCAACATATTTGAAAACATCTTTATTTGCTTTATTCTTTTCATTGTTTTCAGACCAGTTCTTCAATGAGTAGTTACCTAAAATGGAGAATAAAGCACCTAGAATCAAAAAGAGGATAAACCCAGAAACACCAAAAAGTCCACATGCTTTGGCATATTCTTTGTAAACTCTGAAAGCAACTTTCCCTTCAGCAGATTTTTCTTCTTGTTGAGCAGTTCTTTTACTCTTTTCATTTCTTTTGACTTTAGTAAAACTAGCAACACTGGCTCTTCTAAGTGTGGTGATACTTCCTCTTCTTTCTGCTTCAATTTTGGCTTCTTCAGCTTCAGCTTCAGCTGCAGAGAGTTCAAAATTTGCACCAAATTCATTCAACAAGGTGGATAATTGAGATTCTGTACCCATAACATCTTTGAAAGATCCTGATTCAACAATTTTACCATTAGTCAATAGAATAATATTAGCTGCGTAATTCAAAACAGGTATAGAATTGGTGGCCAAAATGATAGTCTTGGTAGCCAATAAACCATTAATGACTTTTGTAATAATATTTCTACCGACATGTGCATCAACAGCTGATAAAACATCATCCAACAAATAAACATCCGCTCTAGCATAAACCGCTCTGGCCAAACTCAATCTAGCCTTTTGACCTCCTGACAATGAAATACCTTTTTCACCAACTTGTGTTTCATCTCCATCTGGTAAAACTTCCAAATCTGGCAATAACTGACAAGCATCAATAGTTTTTTGATAAAAAGATTCATCAAATTTATGACCGAATAAAATATTATCTTTGACAGATGCATTCATAATCCATGGTACTTGAGCACAGTAAGCAATATCACCGTGGACTTTAAGTGATGGTGGTTTCCCATCAATACCAGAAACTGGTAATTGACCTAACAAGGATTGTAAAAATGTGGATTTACCAGCACCAACTCTACCAACAATACAAGTTAATTCAGCTTTCTTAGCTTCAAAAGAATCCAAAGTTAACGCAACTTTTGATTCAGCAACAGTGGATTCTTCATCATAATTTTCTTCCTTAGGTTTTGGTTCTTCCCAGTAGAAAGTTGCATTTGTAACTTTCACAGCAACATCACCTTGACGATCAACTTTGTCAAAATGTTCAATTAAGTCATCACTCAGCTCGTGACACAGTAAAAAGCTTCTTAATCTATCAAAAGCAACAGAGACTTCGATTATAGCAGTAATGATTTGAGGAATTAAATAAATTGGTTCAGATAATAAATTGAATAAAGCCAAAGATGGGAAAACAATATCTGGAGATAATGGTTTGTCCTCAATCAATGCAAACATGGTGAAAGATGAGCAACTAACAAAAAATGGGACACAATTCCATGAAAAAGTCATGAATGCTTGGAAGATACTAATTTTTTTCAGATTTCCTAATTCCAAAACATTTCTCACATAATCTAATTTTTCTAAAATGGCCTCTTCAATAGCATACAATTTGATACTTTTGATACTTGTCAATAATTCTGAAGTGACACGAGTCCTATCATCTTTATATTTCATTTGTGTCTTGTGTAATTTCTTTAACCTCTTTGAAACTGAAGTATTGATTGGAATCATAATTGCCATTGTAATAATACCTGCTATAGTGGAAACACCCAAAATTTGATATAAAGAAGCCAAAACTAAGACTAATTTTACAGGAGTACCAACAATCATTTGGAAATATGATGAAAGATCTTGAATTCTACTGACATCAACAGACATATGGTTGATAATATCACCTGTTGTGCGATTTTTCTTTGATTCTGGTGACAACTTTAAAGCTTTATGATAAATCAAAGTCATTAACGAAGATTTTGTACCTAAATCAACTTCATAGATTGAAATGAAAAACTTGTTTGTTAATGCAGTTTCTGTGATTGATGAAGCAAACAACCCAAAGGCAACCAAAAATCCATAGATATAAGGTTTTTCTTCATCGAAAAATTTGATTAAAATTCTTAACAATTGTGGTTCAGCAAGTGATAAGACATCATTGACACATTCATATGAAATAGCAGCAAGAACTTGCAATCCAGAGACTTTCATCAATGCCAAAAGCAAAGAATCACTCTTTTGTGATTCCCAAACTTCTTTCAATCTTTCATATCTATACTTTGGATCTAATTGCGCAGGAGGGTTTGGTAAATCAGCGTCAGTGATTGTTTCATTTCTATAACCTTTAGCAATCAACGGATTCATCCAGTAGAAGGTCATCCTTGATAAAATATTTGCTTGTACAACATCTGTATCCATATATGCCTTTAAAACTTCGTGGACTGGCTTGTAAAATAATGCAGATGATAAAAATAAGTGAATAGAATTTGCTAATCCAATATATAAGACAACATAATCACCAGAGATCTTAAATTCTGAAAATTTTGATTGAATTGCAGCGATTAACAATGATAATCCTTGAAACGCCCAGTAAAATATTAATGAACCTGTCGATATTGGACTCTTGAATAATTCAATGTATGTCAACGGCAAAGCTATCAAAAAAATTAGGATGGAGTTTGAGGTATATATCAGCTGCTTTGATTGCGCAAAGAGAATACCTTGAGCGGTAACACCAATAATTCTGAGTAAACCAACTGCTCCAATCTTGTTATACCTTATTTTCCCGTAACTTTCCTTTCTTATTAAACTCCATAGTTGAAAGAGCCCAAAAGGAAGTAAAATTATACCTGTGAACAATATAAAAAGCTCCAAGTAACATGGATTGACAGCGTTTTCGTTGGGTATGAGGAACGAGTTCCCATACTTGCACTGGCCATCTATCACTGACATGATGAAGTCCGTTATTTGTTTATCTTGTGACGAAAAGACGAGGCTGACATATATTTTTATAGAATGCAAAAAGGCTTTATTTTATTTTTTTCAAATGCTAAAATGTGTGGCAAAACCATCGCTAGTATTACGGGTTTAATATTTAAACTTTGTTATATAATCGGAGCTTTGCCTATCGATCCGCCTATCTGGCAGGAAAATATTGAGAATATAGGAAAAGTTATTTTAATAAACATCAATTGCATTTTCATATTAGGAAAAATAAGACACGACTCACCAGTGTACCATTTTTTTAACTTTTAACGTTTAACATACATGATCATCGATGCATATCAAATGAACCATTAAGTATGAAATATGCGACAATCAGAGATCTGGATTCTGTACCCTTTGATCGTAAATATATAATCAATGATTACGCTCGAGTACTACTTAGTATCTGCAATTAGTGATCATTGGAGAATGGATTTGATGAATGAGTAGTATCTGAAAACACGGTCTTTTAAGTTCTATTATGCAGTTGGCTTGATTAAGTTACTTCGATTAATGTGAAGTACTAACTATACAGCAATTCCATCAATATTTCCAAAGCAAACACCTATATATAAAAGGATTAGATGAAAATATCTTAATTTTTAGCTTAAATAACTGATAATCCGATGTAGTTGCATAGATCTTGGTCTAAAACAGTACTAAATTATTGAGATTTGATCGATTATTTTCAATCGCCGGATATTACAGGGTCTTTTTCGGTGATCAATATTTTTAATTCTTTAATTCTTGAGTTAAACACTGATAAGAAAGCGTCTTTCAATACATCGTAGTATTAAAAATATATATTTTCCTCCAAATATTTATAATTAATATTAATTTTGGTGTATATTAAAGAAAATTAATATATTAATAAATTTTCATAACGTTAATTTCAAACATTTATTTTAAAAGTAAATATAATTTTTTTGTGATTAATTTTTTTTAATTTAAATTTTTTTGAAAAATTCAAACTTCGAAAACTCAAGCAGAAACCATCTATTGGGGTAATTAAGGGTTCTAGAACAAACAATAAGCTATAATTGCAAAAGAGTTTAAGGAAAAAATATATAAAAACGCAAATTTAATGCTTGATTACATAAGCAAAATTGATGATGAGGCTTTTCAAAAATGTAATCTGTCACAACACAAGGTTGTATAGTGTAGTGGTTATCACTTTCGGTTTTGATCCGGACAACCCCGGTTCGAATCCGGGTACGACCTTAAGGTCTTATTTTTTTCCCAAAAAATTTTGTATCAATTATTTCAACTATTTTTTTTTCTTTAACGTTCATTTTTAAATAGTTACATGTTGATGTATGAAGAATTGTTAATTTTATATTGTTATTACAAATTCAAATAAATTTTATATCCATTAATTACTCTTTATTCCTAATTTACAACGCTAATTACAATATATATAAACCTTACCTATAATGATCATCATAAAACAGTTCTGCTATTTTCAGCAAATGGGTTCTTTGAAGTATCATCAGTAGCCGCTGAAGCTATGGTATGTGTATCACCATTAGTCGTTGATGGTGATAATTGGATGTCACCACTTCTATCACCTGTAGCGCTATTATTTGATCTTGAAGCTTTTGAAAAACCTAAAACCTGAGAAACTGATTTCTTTTGTTTATTCAAGAACCAAACAACAAAGATTGCAATACCAATGACTGCAATAACTGGGATAACAACTGCTGGAGCAATAGTTTTAGCATTTGAGCCTGACCCTGAAGATTTTGTTGAAGTATGTCCATTATCTGATGGAACTCTATTGATTGTAGTGATAGCATCAGATTTTGAATTGATAGCTCTTAATAATGGACCAGATTTTTCACCAACATTTGTAGCTTTTGTAGTTGAAGTAGTTAAAGGTGAAATGATTAGCCAGAAATATCCTTCATTCTTGATCATTGAAGATGTGATTGTTAATGGATAATAAGCATCAGAGTTTGATAAATATGGAGTTTCAAATAAAGTATCACCAGCACCTGTTTGAGGATATGCTTTTAATTCTAATTTAACTCTTGTGATATCATCACCTCCCCAATAAGTTGGATCCCATGTAATCCAATATGTTTCACCAACAATCATTTCTGTCCCGTTTAAAGCAGTACAAAATGGATAACCATATTTATCATTACCATCTTCTGGAACTCTATCACCAAAACATCTCAATACTGGAGGAACAGCAGCTGGACTTGGATAGTCTGTATTACTTGGAGTAGGTGATGCAGAGATAGTTTTACCATCTGAAACTGTTGGAGTGACCAATGAAGGTATACCACTTCCATCTAAAGAAGCCCATGGAGTTGGTTTATCAGTGACTGGTGAAGCTGAAATAGTGACAGCATCAATGACAGTTGGTGTGATAGCCATTATTATACCTGAAGAAGTAGATGTCCATATTGAATCTGTTAAAACTAGCTGTGCTCTTTTAGCTAACGGAGCCTTCGTTATTTGAGGATCTGGTAAAGCAGCAGCTGTTATTAGGCTTGGTAAAGCACCTAACGCTAACAAATTGTAGTATTTCATCTTTAAAGTTGTAGTTTTTTATGATACTAAACGATAAAAAATTCTTATCATCTTGAATAAAGATTCTTTTCCTTATATATACCACTTTGAACTTTATCACAGTAATGGAAATTTGCACCAAGCTTTTGAAAATAGAAATACAAATCACCGATAATTCCAAATCTTGATGACTTTACTTTCGCTTCAGCTACCGGAGATAAAACTGATAAAGAGGGACCCTGAGACAACAATAGACGAGTGGGCACTGAGCTCTAGAATAAGATACACATAGTGCATATGAGAGAGACTAATATTCCATTGGATATACACTGTTATGAACATCAAGTTGATGATCCCACTAATTTGAATATTCTTTTCAGCTTTTGAACCATGATACTCCGGCGCCTGTTCAAAGCTTAAGAAATTTGGGTGATTTTGCAGAAAAACTGTGAAGTCTAAATTAAGTGTACACAATAAGGCAACCCATTTACCATATTGAGACGTTACCTCATATACTAAAGGTAGAATAATCATCTCATAGCTACAAAACCGTTCTTCATTCATTATGTATGAAAATTTACTAAGCAATAATCTTTTTTAAGGAAACTAAACACAACAGACTGGACACCATCAAATTTCATGAAAAATCCACTTCCGTAATACCAGATCTTTGACACATATCTGTAAAGACCCCATTTTTTCTGAAAAGATTTATCGGTGTGTCAAACTCACTTATTTCACCAGCATCCAATACTAAAATTCTATCATATTTCAAAATTGTTTTCAATCTATGAGCAATACACAATATGGTACAATTAGCAAATTCATTAGCGATAGTGGATTGAATCTTAGTATCAGTTTCATAGTCAACACTTGATGTTGCTTCATCCATAACTAAGATCTTAGAGTTTCTAACTAAGGCTCTAGCAAGCGCTATGAGTTGTTTCTCACCAAGGGAGAAGTTTTCACCATCATCTTCTATCAGTTGATCTAAATGAAACTTATTCTTTTCTTCAGATTCAGAATCAGTATGTAATTTATCATCATTTGATAAATCTTCAATCAACCAAGATCTTCTCAATGAATCCCATAATTCAAGATCAGTGTATTGCTGAAATGGATCCAAATTCTGTCTGACAGTACCTTTGAACAATACGGGATCTTGTGGAATGATTGATAATTTTGACCTCAATTGATCTAAACCAACAGTTGATATATCTATACCATCAATAAAAATCTTACCAGTGACTAATTCATTAATACGAAATAAGGCATTCATAATTGTACTTTTACCAGCACCAGTTCTACCACATATACCAATTTTTTCTTGTGATCTAATATCAAATGAAACATTTTTGAGCACTAATGGTAAACCTTCTCTATATCTCAAACTAACATCTTGGAAAATTACAGCACCATGTTCAGGCCATTCTTGAGAAGGACCAGGCTCTATAGTTTGTGCAGATTCTTGGGGTAACATATAAGCATATTCATACAATCTTTCAGCTGAATTCATATCATTTTCAACTTGTGTTTTATTTCTCATCAACATTGAAATTATCCCAGAAATTTGAATAATATAAGAAACTAATAAACCAGTAGAGGATGAATTTAAATTGAAAACCCCACAAACACATAATATTGTTACCAAAAGTGTTATACCTGCAGCTATGGTATCTAATCTAATAGCCAACCATCTTTGATTTGCTATAGTTATGAAATATGCCATATCCATCTTATCGATTAAAAAATTGAATTTTTTGGAGAAACGTTCATCTGAGCCATATGATATGACTGTACTCATACCTGATAATGTTTCATTAAAGTGACTGAAAACATTTGATCTATTATTAGCTTCTAATCTTTTAATATCCAATGCAGAGGTTTGATAATATTTGGATAATGTTAAATAAAGAAATGCAATAAATGGGTACGATATGAATAGATATGGTATATATACACCACACATAATGAACGTACTGAAAACAGCCACTATAGCAATGTAGAAAATGCTAAATTGATCAGCTAAATTTGAATCTAATGTATCTATATCCTTAGTGAATCTATTCAAAATACGACCAATTGGTGTTGTATCCATAAAGCTCATTGGAGTTCTTAAAATATTCATCAAAGCTAACTTGAACAATTTTAAACTTGCTTCATTATTCACTTTACCCACTATTAATAACATGAAAATGTTTGATAAAACACTCATTATAGAAAATAATGCAAATAATCCAGCATAAACAGGATTTGAATACCCAAATCTATCAGAAATCCAAAAACTCAACCATACCGAGTAAAATGTAAGTAAGAATCCATTAATTATAGCACAAAACATGAAGAAGGGCAACATTATATAATATAATTTTCCAGATCCTAAAGCTGCATAACGATAATAAACGTCCCATGAGATTGACTTAGAGCTTCTATATTCTTTCTCAATGATATTATGCCTTTTATCTTCTGTTTGAGGATTCTTTTCATCAAGATCCTTTTTAAAATTGATCTGATCTTTCTCCTTGATGGGCTTATCATCTTCATCATCTCCTTCATTGTCATCACCTCTTTCAGTACTATAATTCATCAAATTTGTAAATTCTTTACTCTGTTGTTTAACTTCATCCATTTTACCAACAATTATCTTACCAGAACCATCAACAAATACAACACGATCAGCAGAGTTAATAAGTGATAATTGATGAGTTGCTAATATTCTAGTCTTATTTTTCAAAAATCCACAAATACAACTATCCATAATATGTTTCCCAACTTTTGCATCAACTGCGCTTAAAACATCATCCATTAATATGATATCTGAATCAGCATAAACTGCTCTTGCTAAATTAATACGAGCTTTTTGACCACCTGAAAGTGTAATACCACGTTCACCAACTTCTGTTTGATCACCATGACTAAATAACTTTAAATCATCTTCTAAAGAACAATATTTTATAATTGACCAATATCTGTCTTTATCATAAGGTTTACCAAATAAAATATTTTCTCTGATTGTTTCATTTTGGATCCATGGTATTGAACAAAAAGTCATAGAACCAAAGATTTTAACCGAACCAGTTATTTTTTGAATTGTTCCATGAATAGCATTTAATAATGATGATTTACCAGAACCCACAGATCCAGTTATAACAATAAACTCACCTCTTTGTACTTTTAAATCAATATTATCGAAAATATTTGAAATTTTGGATTCCTCATCGGTATTGGAAACATTCCAAGTGAATGTCCCATTTTCAATCTCTATAGAATTTTCAGATTCATTGATATCCATGAATTCCACATATTCATCAGATTCTTCAGCTTGTAAAAATTCTGTAACACGATCTAAAGCAATGTTACCATCAACAACAAATGCCACTGCAGAAGGTAAGACACTAAGTGGTTGACGTAAAGAACTGAACAAAGCTAAAGATGAAAAAATATTATAAGATTTGAAATTCCCACTACCAACTCCATATAATGTTAAAAATGTGAAACATTGTGCTAAAATACTTGTTGAAGTGACTAATGAAAATAAAGAAGATTTAATATAACGCATTTTTAAAACATGTTTTTTTTCTGAATCTCTTATATTTGAAATTATTTGATAATATGGCATTTCCCAACAATAAAATTTAATCATCTTCATAGCATTAACAACTTCTCTAACTGCTGAAACTCTAGAATCAATATATCCTGATGTTTTTTTCCTTAATGATTTTAAAGCTTTACTTAATGCAAATACAAAAAAAATCACCACAAGGCAAGTTGCAATCCCAACTAATGCAGATGGACCAATAAATACTATAAGAATAGCAATTGATATAGCTAAAGCTATGGTAAATGACCATATGAAATGTAAAACACCTAGAGCTAAATCAATTCTTGCTAAATCAGTCATAACTAAAGTATTAACTTTCCCATTAGGAAATTCCATTTTACTTTTAGCACTTAATTTAAAAGATTTATTATAAGCAATATTTGTTAATACAGCTTTAACTTGAGCACCTGATAACATTGACATATGGAAGAAATTACAATTTGCTAAAGATGATAGTATAAGAAGTAATGATATACCAAAACAATAACCAATAGCTTTACCTTTCCCCAATGATGGATCTGATTCTTGATAATGAACATGTCTAACCAATGAACGAACTAATAAAGGAGTGACAACTTGTGTAACATCACAAATGACTCTGAAGACACCACCAAACCAGTACCTTTCCCAAAATGTGTCATTTAATGCTAATAGTAAAACATATTTAGAAAATTTTTCATCTGATTTTCTTTGTTTAGATTCTTTCCATTCTTTAATTCGTTTTTCAAAATGGGTTCCAAAATCAGTAGTCATATTTTGAATAGCTAAATCATCAACTAATTCATATAAATCTTCATCTTCGATTCTTCTATGGTATCCAATTTTTATAATCTCTGAAACCCAAGATAATGTTAATTTGGAGAATAAATTTGCATTAATCAAAGGATATGGTTTTCTTTCCTTAGGTATTGGTGCCACTTTATTACCAACAAATAACCTTGTTAACCAGAATGTCTCCTTTAGTAATATGGGAGTTTCATCAACATCACTAGCATCACTAACATCACTAACATCACGAGCATCTTCATTGAATTTGATGTCTATAGCTTTATTACTCTGATTTCGTGATTCATTTTGTTTATCAATCATTTGTTTTCTTGTTTTTGTTAAGGTGTCAAAATGACCTTGTTAATGAGGAATTTAAAATGTTGATTTTTCCAAGAGAATATATCACAAGAACTTCATTATTATGAATTAATAACAGAAAATAACGGTAAACGGATCACCATGAATCGTAAGTTCGTATCTTTGGTGACTCTTTGATAGCTCAACAGCAAAATAATTATTACGTCGGACATAATCCCTTAATCCCGTACTATCAAGTTAAACTTACGTAAGCGTGTATTTGTTTGTGAGTCACGTTTCTGTAGGGCTAATAAACTTTTACGAATTATTAAATCATGGAAAAAGCTGTTATTTATAGTAATTTATTAGTGATTTGTTTGAGTTTGGTTGATCTTGTGTATCATAGGATCAAAAAGATATACTGCTTCAAGGCCATCATTACACTAAGCAATTGCTTAGTTGTTTGATATCACTTCATTGCTCATGTTTAGTTTACCTTTTGTGTAAACTTGGACAGATGTTGAAGATATAATTTATGTGATCTATAACTCATCAGCTATCACGGTATATATAATATTTCTAGAGATTACAATATCTCCCATCAAGTTGTATTTCACAAGTAAGCGAGATAGCTTCATGAGAGCCCACAATTACTTCTTACTACAGAGCATTCCATATTAATCACTTTCAAAATAGCTGGTACGATAATTTATCATAAATCATAAGCCTTAAAAATTGTTGACACTTGGCAAATAGATCCAAAACCTAGATAATTTAGTGATTGCTAACAAGTTGTCAATGATGGTTGATGATAGAATGGATGGTTGTTGAAATGCTTAATGTTGGAACGTTGGAACGTTGGAACGTTGTAAGTTGGAATTCTTGAATTATAAAACGTGAAGTTATGCTGCCTTAAAAGTTTTATACATTTGAGAGTCGAATCACACGACTAATTAATTTCCATATTTTCACATTCCAATCAAAAAATAAGTTAAGTCAAGACGTCAAGACGTCAAGACTATCAATAAAACAATGATAGTACTCATACGAGGACCCCTTTTGAATAGATTAAGTACTTTTGCAATGTTTTTTGAAACGTGTTTAAAGTCCAAAGGTGTGACGAATAAATTGATGATATCTCAAGATCTCAAGATCTATAAGATTGATTGAGGCGTTTTATGCATATAGATAGTCAAGATGTTAAGATCCAAGAATCATATTAACTTCAACCAATTTTATATATAAATGGAATTATATATATAAACTGATAAACAATCTCATCTTTATAATTTTTCGAAGGCTTATAATTAGTTAAATTAACACATATATATATAACTCATATATATCTATGGACGTTTGATTTTCTTTGAAGTTCTCTTGAGGCTAGTTGGAGGTAACAACTTACGCTGATCTTTAAGATCCGCTAATTATATTTTAAACTAAGCTGGTCCTCTAATACCTAAGGCAAATATATAGATCTTAAGGGCGGTCAAGCAATTATAGAATACACAAAGTTGACACTAGTGACTATGAATACACCATATTAACAAACAATGACATGATATTGAAGTTGATCATAAAGAAGTGAACCCCCAGCTTAAAGAGCACCACTGGAATGTAATAGAAGATCTTTAAATGTTTCGACGTTTAGTGGTTGTATTCTTTTCGTATATACTATACAGAAATTCCGCTAATCAAAACCAACAGCTAATTAGTTGATCAGGTACCACTACAACATGTACTAACTAATTAAAAGTTATAAGGTGATCAAGTATAAGAGTCATAGATTCATGCAAGATATTACAACCAAAAAAATTAAAAGTTTGATTATGTATTAAATTAATTTTAAAATTAACCAGTAATTAAGCATTTTCAGATACAATTTAAATTTTATACGGCATTTTGATTAAAATTGGTAATTTTGCGAAAAACCTGCGAAAAAAACGGTTAGATTTATAAAAAGTTTAAATACCACAATTACTATATCGAGTAATACCCTCTTGTCTAATTACGCCAAAGTTTGAGTACCCTTTATTCAATTGTTTGGTACAAGTCTTCAAGATCTTTATTGAATACATGAAATTAACAAAGACTTGAATTGAAATTACGTGACAGATCAATGACAGGGGGTTCACTAGCAAGTGTGTTATATTAAATCAAGGATCAAATTTCACACAGTTGTAACCGATTTACTTTATATTAAGAAGCCTGTATACTATATACGCTTTGAGTGTAAATGCTGTAATATCAGCCTTGACTTTACAAAGGCAGAAGTTCTCTTCAGGCTGCCAGCTGCCAGGCAGCTCTTCACTAGGTAGCAGGCTGCTTCACTAGGCTCTCTGTCTGAGCTCAGTCTGTTCGCCTTAAATTTTACACTTTTTACACTTTTCAAAAACCGTTTATATTACCAAATCAAGTAATAAAGGTAAATTTAAATCGCTTATTTTGATGTAAAATCCCAAATTTATAAAAATAAGAAACGAAAAAACGAAAAAAAACAAAAAGATTTCCCTGGTTAACACAACATCAGTCATAAAATCTTTTTGGGTTGGAATGTCCAACCAATTTAAATAAATAAAAGTTAATAAAGATCCAGTTTAAAAAACAAACACTTCAATATTTATCAATTTCAATACTATTCATTGGAATTGTGCTAATACTCAACTTCTTTTGGAAGTACATTGGACTCATATATACAACATAAGACTGGGAATATCAATATGTCCAATTCAGATGTTGAATCCAGAAAAGGATCTGGTATAACGGTAAATACATCAAATAATCCAGGTTTAGGTAATGAAATTTATACAGATTCAAATATTGAAACAAATGAACAAAATAATGGTAATGGTAAATTAGGTAAATGGCAAAATTTTAAAGATTCTTTTAAAGAAGCTATACCAGAAAATTCAGAATCTTATATTGATAAAACAGAATTAAGAGATTATAATGAATTAACAGATGTTGAAAGAGCTGCATTAAATTCTTCAAGAACTCAAATGAAAAAAGATTTATCAACTCGTCATTTAATGATGATTGTCATTGGTGGTGCTTTGGGGACTGGTTTATTTGTTAATTCTGGTGGTTCTTTAAATACAGGTGGTCCTGCTGCATTAGTTATTGGTTGGGTTATTATTGCCACAATGATGTTTAGTACAATGGTTGCTTTGGGGGAACTTTGTGTTACTTTCCCAGTTACTGGTGGGTTTACTACATATGCAACAAGATTTATTGATCCATCATTTGGTTTTGCAATGGGTTGGAATTATGCATTACAATGGTTAATTTTATTTCCTTTGGAATTAGTTGCAGCTGCTATAACTATAAAATATTGGAATCATAAAATTGATTCAGATGCATGGGTTGCAATTTTTTATGTTTTTGTATTTATTTTAAATATGTTGGATGTTAAAATTTATGCAGAAACTGAAGTTGTAATGTCATTAATTAAAATCATTGCTGCAGCTGGATTTTTCATCTTAGGGCTTGTATTAATCGGTGGTGGTGGTCCATCAGGTGGTTATATTGGTGGTAAATATTGGGAAAATCCAGGTGCTTTTTCTCATGGTTTTAAAGGTGTTTGTTCAGTTTTCGTTACTGCAGCTTTTTCATTTGCAGGTACTGAATTAATTGCAGTTATGGGATCAGAATGTTCAAATCCAAGAGAAACTATTCCAAAAGCTGCCAAACAAACATTTTGGTTATTAACAATAATTTATGTTACAATGTTAACATTAATTGGATGTTTAGTTCCATATAATGATAGTAGATTATTAAATTCAGATCCTGATGCCAAAGCATCAATTTCACCATTTGTTATTGCAATTAAAAATGGTGGTATTAAAGGGTTACCATCATTAATGAATGCAATTATCTTGATTGCAGTTTTATCAGTGGCAAATTCTTCAGTTTATGCATCATCAAGAGTCTTTGCATCATTAGCAGATATTGGTCATGCACCAAAAATTTTATCATATATTGATAGAAGAGGTAGACCATTAGTTGCAACATTATTTACATTAATTTTTGGATTAATTTCATTTATTGCATCATCATCAAAACAAAATGAAGTTTTCACTTGGTTATCAGCTTTATCTGGGTTATCAACAATTTTTGCATGGTTATCTGTTTGTATTGCACATTTAAGATTTAGAAGAGCTTTGTATGTTCAAGGTAGATCAACTGATGAATTAACTTATGTTTCACAAACTGGTGTTTGGGGTTCAGTATATGGTATTTTTATGAATATGTTGGTATTAATGGGACAATTTTGGGTTGCCCTTTTCCCAACTGATAAAGCAGATGCAGAAAGTTTTTTTTCAGTTTGGTTATCATTAGTATTATTTGTTGTTTTTTATTTTGGTCATAAACTTTGGAAAAAAAATTGGACATTGTTTATTAGAGCTAAAGATATGGATATTGATACTGGTAGAAAACATATTGATATGGAATTATTAAAACAAGAAATTATTTTTGAAAAACAAAGATTAGCTAATAGTCCATTATATTATAGAGCTTATAAATATTGGTGTTAAGAAGTCCCTCATATAATTCATTCATATAGATTTCATAATTAGTAATACATTTTTTTGTGATTTTAATAAGATAATATTGTATAAACAAGTATTAACGTATATATATAATTTATTTATTTTATAACATAAATTTAAAATAAACAGAACGATCATTTTCAGGTTTAACATTAATATCCAAACCTTGATCTTCTAACCTCTTCAATTCTTTCCCTCTCTTGTCATTTTGGGTTTTATAATAATATAAAACAACTATAACCAACACCATTGCCAATACAGTTAACCCCAAAGTAATTTTCAAACCTTTTAAATACCTTGGTGCTGAATCCATTGTATAAATTTGTCCTGCAAGGACACCTGCAATACTACCAATTGTTGTCATCATACCTGCTGAAGTAGCTCTCTTGTAATGACCTGCACAATTGTTATTTATCCACATTATACTTAGAGCAGAACATACATAAATACCTAATGAAATTAACATACACCCCGTATAACGAGCCCCCAAAGAGTCCTGGGAGATTAAGATTGAATAACCAATAATTTCCATAATTAAACCTATAATAAGGAATCCACCTCTATGTTGTAATTTATCAGAAATCCAAGCCATACCCATAAAACTTAATAATGCAAGGGAATAAAATGGAATAGTTAATAATTGTGTCTTATATTTATCATAACCCATACCTTTTATTATTGAAGGTAAAAAAGTTGAAATACCAAATAATGTTAAATCAACACAAAATTCATAAGTATATAAAATTAATACATCAATATCAATAAAACTTCTTTTGATCTCTGACCATGAAAATTTTTCATCCTGGTAAAAATCTGGATATATTGATAATCTTGTCTTTAGTACAGTTTTTTCATCTGTTGTTAACCACCAAGTCTGGGTTAAATCACCAGGTGGTAATAATATAACCAATATGGGAAATGAACTTATTGTCAAGACACCTTCAATTGCAAATAACCATCTCCAACCTTCCCAACCATGAGCATTAATTTTAATTAATCCAAATGCTAAAAGACCACCAAAAGCCCCCGCGGCAGCACTTGCACTATAAATTATTGAACAACGTTTTGCCATTTCTTGTTTTGTATAACACATTGAAAGCATAACATTAATAACTGGGATAATACCACTTTCAAATAAACCTAATAACATTCTCATTGCTAATAAAGATTTATAATTCTGAACAAATGAAGTACAAAGACAAACAATACCAAAACACAATGTTAATATTGATAGAGATTTTCTTGTACCAATTTTTTTTAAACATATGGCAATTGGAACTTCAAATATAACATAAGTAACAAATAATAAACTAACAACATTACCATATTGATTACCTGTTAGACCTAAGTCTTCACTCATCCCTGCTGCTTGAGCATTACCTATATTTGCCTTATCCAAGTTGGAATATAGGTAGGCAAGGGAAAGACATGGTATTATAATGAAATCAAATTTTTTAATTAGTTGAGATTCAATTTTTTGGAAGAGTGGGTCATTAGGGTCTGAAAGGGGTGATATTGATTCTTTTGATTGAGTTATTGTTAGTTCATCTTTTTCCTTGGGTATAGACATGATGGTGTGTGGTTGTGGTTGTTGTAGTTGCTGGTTGTGGGTGTGTTTAGTTGTGATGTGGTGATGATTATATATAATTTTATAAAATACATCATGTCATATAAATTTTTAAACGATATTCCCATGGAACCATTGACCATTATCGTCCCATCAAGAAAAAGAAGTGGGAGTGGAAGTGGTAAGTGGTAAGAAAAAGAGTATTGAAAAGAGTACTAATACGATATTATTATCATGATAGAATAGTATTGATAGTATAGTCTATATCATAAGATCATTTCATTAGCAATAGATCTAAAGAATAATTGTAAGTAGTATATAAGACCACAAGCATAAACGAATATAAGATTATGAGATCATGAGAGAAGTGGACAGTGGAATAGACAGGTGATGTAATTGTTTAATGGTAATGTAGTAGTAATGTATAGTATATTTACTAGTATAATGAAAGTAATAGATGTAGGTAGATCTAGTAGTATAGTATAGTATTGTAATAGTAATGGTATAATTGTATCTCTGCCTAGAATTGATGTGGTGTGGAGTGGACTCTGCCTGCTCTGCCTAGAGTTTAGAAGGAGTTTAGAAGGAGAGTGGAGTTAGTCTGTTTAAGCGAGCTCTGTCTAATTCTCGCTTATGAATTAACTAAACAAAATAAACATCAACAATATCAACAATATCATTATCATCATCATCATCATCAACCACCACCCGCCCATCCACACAACACAGCGCTATCTAAATGTCAAGTGGATTCCTGAAGTCAATAACAAACTCGTTCAAATCAAACAATGATAAATTTGATATCCAAGTCGAATCCATTACCAATGATAAATATAAACAAGATTTATTTATTCAAGTACGATCAAGTCCTTTGAATACAAGACTAAAATCAATAAATGAAATTATCAATGTGTTGAATGAATTTGATTCATCGGTGGTCCCCAAAGTATGGTATGTTGCTAAAGATTTAATCAGTCCAAATAATCAATCAAATACAAGACAATCTGGGTTAAATTTATTATCTTCATGTATTGAATTAGGTCAAGATCAACAACAAGATGATGATACAATGTTTGCATATTTTAATGATTTAATTTCAAATTGTTTTATATCAAAAGATAAATTAGACCCCCTTTTCCCACAATTCTTAGAAATCATTGATAAAATAACAACCAATGGGAAATTTATTCATCATTATCAAAATTCATTTAAATTACCAATTATTCAATTCTTTAATAATTTATTATCATCAAATGAATTAAATAAATCATTGAAAGTATTGAATCTATTAAATTTCATTAATGAATGTATAAAATATGAATTATTTACATCAAGAGAAGATGAACTTCATGGGTTTTTAACAAATTTAATTAAATTATGTTTAAAAACTTCAAATTTTGATATTTTGGAATCATGTCTTTATATAATTGATTCAATAAATTTATATAATAATATCCCATTGGAATTGCTTTATGAAATTTTATCAATAATTATGTCTTCATCAAATTTAAATTTAAAATTTAATGATATTGTTTTAGAAATTACAAATAATTTAATCAATAAACTGGGGTTCCAAGAGGTTTTTAACAATTTATTAGATATAATTATATCTAAAAATTCAAATGAAAAAAATATAAATGCATCAATTGGAACCATAAAGATCCTAGGTCAATTAACAATAAATTTTGCATCATTAATACATTTCCAATCAATTTTATTAAATTTTAAAAAAATTATAAATTGGAATAAATCAAATTTAAGTTTAACAATTTTACAATTTATAAATGAAATTTATTTAAATGACTTAGTACTTAATCAAATAAATTTTAATACTTGGGATGATCCCAAAAGTATAAATATTTTGGAAATATTAAATATCCTAAGTACCAAAATCACCAAAAATGATGAAATTGATTGTTTTAAATTAATTTTAATTCATTTACAAAATTTAATGGAAAATTCTAAATACCCAGGGAAACATGAAAATTTAATTAAATTTTTCATAACTCATTCAAATAAAATTTCAAATAAAATTTCAATAACAGTTTTGAAATTTTATCAATTAGAAAATTATTGTTCACCAATAATAAACCCTGATTCATGGGAACAAAATTTAAATTTAATTTTGGAAAATTTTTATTATGACCAAGGGAAAGATCTTAATGTTAGATTATATTCATTAAAATTAATTAAAGATATTTATGATTCAATTGAAACTACTACACCAGGGAATAATGAAATATTTACAAGATTAAATGAATTTTTTTTGAAAAATTTATATATTGAGGAAAATTCTCAAATTTTGGATAAAATTTCTGAAATTTTAATTCAATTATCATTATTTTTACCCAGAGAAATTTTTGAACAAATTATAAATAATTATATATTACCTGGTTTCATTGATTTTCAAAAACAAAGAAGATCAAGTATAACAACATTTACAACAACAAGATCACCTCAATTAAATAAAAACACACAAAAAAAATTAACTAAAACTTTAGTTACAATTTTTTCCATAAATTTAGTTAACCAAAATCATGAAAATGTTTTAAATATTTACAATACATTAATCAAAATTATTGAAAATTCACTTGTTCAAAAAAATATTGATTTATTATTAATTATATCAAGATTATTTGTTAGAATCAGAGCTTCAACTGATAAACAAATTTATTTATCAAATCCAACTGATATGGATGGTTTAAGTGCTGCTTTCCAAAGAAATTTAAACATTAAAAAGCAACAACAACATGAAGAAGATTTGATTGATTCATTAACTTTAGAAAATTTAGAAAAATGGACTTATCCTGAAGAAGTTTCATATATACCTAATGAAACATTAGATAAACCATGTATCAACTTAACAATATTAGATGATAATTCTATAGATCCTAATAAATCATCATTAAATATTGAATCTTGGTTAAATGTTATTATAAAAATTCTTGAAACTTGTCCAGATTGGGAAATTTATTCATTTATTTATGCACATTTTTGTCCACAATTATCAAATTTAAAATTATTTGAATCATGTTCAAAAAGTTTAATTATTTTTAAAAATTTAATTTGTAATCAATTAATCTTGAAAAATTTACCATCAAATTTAAAATTACCTCCCAAGATGACAAAATATGATTTACAAGTTGCTATTGTTAGAAATTTTACTCCATTAATTTCATATCATGGTTTATTCTCCAAGCAAGATGAAGATCAATTAATTAATTCATTGCTTGTGGGGTTATCAAGTTGGGAAAAAACTGCTATACCATGTATTCATATCCTTACTGTATGTTGTTATGAAATTCCATTATCAATTAAGAAATATTTACCAATGATTTTAACAAAATTACAAACAAGAATTTCAAGTGCATTTGCTTCAGCTCATATATTAGAATTTTTATTATCATTAAGTTATTTACCTGAATTAACTTCAAATTTTACAGTTGATGAATTCAAAAGAGCTTTTGGTATAACATTTAAATTAATTCAATATGCTCATGAAATTCAAGAATTGAAAAATTCCACACAAGATCAACATCAGGGAATTTTACAACATGGTAAAGAATTAAAAGCTGAAATTTCCCCCTCCACGGAAAATTTAGAAGTTACTCCAACAATTTCAATTTATTTATTAACTTTATCTTATGATGTTATTGCAAATTGGTATTTAAATATGAAATTAAATGATCGGAAATATTTATCATCATTTATTATAAAAAATTTAATTACATCAACCATAAATCATGGTTCTGATATAAATAATCAAAATTTAGGTTTCTTAGATTTAATTTCAAGATTTACTTATTCAGATCTGGAATTAAAATTCAATCCAATCCCCATTAAAACTTTAGAAAATAATGATGATGATGATGAACCTATATTATCATCAAAATGGGTTTATGGCTCAAGTATTATTTCAATTGATACACATCCTAAAACTGGTGAATCTATAATAATTACCAGGAGAGCCTCAGGTACAACAGTTTTCAAAATTATTCCAGAAGAATCAATGATTCCAGTTTATACAAATCAATTACATTCCAAACCCTTGGAGGATGGTACAGGTGATTTTTCATCAAATTTTATCTTTTTACAATTAATTATTCATTCTGACCCTGAAAATTCAAATAAACCAATTGCAATACCTGATAATGAACCAAGTCTTATTAGATCAATAACAAATTTTGATAGAATACCAGTTGTTGAATTTCATAAAATTGGTTTATTATATATTGGACCAAATCAAAAAACTGAAAATGAAATTTTATCAAATACTTCAGGTTCTTTAAAATATGATAAATTTTTATCAAAATTTGGTAGATTAATTAAATTAAAAAATTGTAAAAGTTTTTATGTTGGTGGATTGGATATTGATAATAATAATGATGGTGAATATGCTTATGGTTGGAATGATAAAATTTTACAATTAATTTATCATACTACAACGTTAATGCCTAATCGTACAAATGATGAACAATTTTTAAATAAAAAAAGACATATTGGGAATAATTATGTTAATATTTTTTTCGATGAATCGGGATTACAATTTGATTTTAATATTATTAAAAGTCAATTTAATTTCCTTAATATTGTTATTCAACCACATAGTGTTTCATTCCATGGAAATTCTTCAAATGACAAGATTCAAAAATATAAAGTTAAAATTCATAGAAGATCTGGAGTACCTGGTTTATTTGCTACATGTCATTTTAAAATTGTTTCAGAAGAAAATTTATCAACTTTTGTTAGAACTTTATCATTAGTTGCAAATCAATTTGCTCAAATTTGGCATTCAAATGGTCAATATACTTCAAATTGGTCTCATAGAATGAAACAAATCAATATGATTAAAGAAAAATCATTGAATATTCATCAACAACAACAAGATTCCAAGACAAATGAAGAAAAAATTGATAAGACAACTGGACAATCATTCTTGGATCAATTATCTGGTAGTACAAGTGGTAGTTCTACAGGTCTTTCAAGGAATAATAGTATTTCAAGATCAAAATTTGAATCTTTACAAGATGGTGATAATGAAATTTTTAGAAATTTAGAATTTAATTCATTTACAAAATAGAAAAGTATGTAAAATACTACTTATATATATATATTTATTTATTTGGATTTTAGGTGTAGTAATTGAGTAATTAGAATCTAGTTGGTTGATGACGAATACAGCTGATCAGATAAAGTAAGTAGTAAAATCTGGGTATTACTATACTAATTTTGATAAGATCACACTAGCTACTGTTTAACCTCCTATGATTACAATAAATCTATTATTTAACATAATTATTATTATAAGTATACAAATTTATATATCCAGGAGCAATAATTTTTAAAATTATATTATTATGTTCTTTTTTATTCTCATTCCACTTCATGAGATTTTAAAATGATTTGAAAAATATTTAATGAAGGACTTTATTAATAAACCAAATATCTTTCTTAATATAAATACTCTTTTTTAAAATTATTAATGATTGAAATGATGTAAACTATTCACAAGATGGATAAAAAGGAAATAAAAGGAATATTTGGGTTTGGAATTGAATGTAGGTTCTCAAAAAAAAAACAAAAAAACAGATTATGTTTATTATTCTTCATCATCTGATGTGATTGCAGTTTCAGATAAAACAATAAGTTTTTCAATTGATGCTAAATGTTTACCATAATTTGTTTTTGAAATTTGTTTTAAAAATTGTTTAATTTTTTTAATCAATATTTTCTTTTTTGAACCTTTTGTAACATCAACTAATTTTTGAACAACATAATTAGCAAATTGATCCTTCATCATTAATCCCAATGGTGAACGATCATCAACTGGTTTATCATCATCTTTTTCATTGTTTTTCAAAACTTCATCCAAAATTAATGATCTTTGTTCATCATCCCCAAATATAACACATTTTTCAACAACATTTGATGCAAATTTATGTTTTGAAAAATCAACAACTGAACCTAATACTGTATCAACAATTAATTTTCTTTCTGATGGTTTACCATGTTCAATAATATGTTGAATAACATAATTACCAAATTGATCTTGAATTAAGAAATAAGTGAATTTATTTAATTCATTCAAAATATATTCTTGATCTTTTGGTTTGGAAAATTCTAATAATCTTTGTATAACTCGACAACCATATGTATGAGTTGATAAATGATAAATTTGTGTTTTTAAAGAATCTAAAATAAATTCAATTTTTTCAATTGGAATTTTTTCAATAGATTTTTGAATAACATGATTACCATTTTGATCTTTAATACATGAAACAATTGAATCTTTTAATTCAGTTATAATGGAAATTTGATCATTTAATGGAACATATTCAATAGCTTTTTGAACAACTCTACAACCATACATTTGCATTGATAAATGTTGAACTTGATTCTTCATTTGTTCCAATAAAACTTGTCTTTGAGTATCTGAACCATGTTCAAAATATTTTTGAATAACATAATTACCGAAAACATCAGTCATTAATTCTAATGAAGCTTCACGAATTTCATTGAAAATAACTTCATTTTCTTCATCTGAACTAATTTCTAATTGTTGTTGAATAAATCTTGAACCATGTTGATCTTTTGAAAATTCAACAGCACTTCCAAAAATATCTTTTAATCTATATTCTTTTGAAGTATTATTACGAAATTCTTCCAGTAATGGACTTCTATAAATATGATTTTTTGGTCCTTTACCATTACCATTTGAACGTGATACTCCATTACCATTTGATGATGATGATGGTTGTTTTGGTGAACGTCTCTTATTATTTATATTATTATGATTATTGGTATTATTAGTAGTACCGTTTGATGGAAATTGTTGATTAATATCATTATTTTGAACATCAGGTGTACCATTCAATTGTGGTGGTAAAAATCCATATGGTGAAAATGATTGAGGATAAACAAATGGTGATTGTGAATTAAATCCACCATTTAATGGTTGTGGTTGTAAATGAATACCTGGTACGAATGGTGAAAAAGTTTTTGGTTGTTGATCTTCATTCAATTTTGGTAATTCAGTATTTTTTGCATCAGAAGGTTTAACATCACCATTTGGTGGACTTTCAACAGCAGATCCTTGTTGAGCTTGTTGAGCATTAAACATATTTTGAGAATCCAAAAATTGAGGTGGCATCATTGGCATCATTGGAAATGGTTGATTGAATGGGAATCCATAAGGAAACATTTGTGGATAATTTGGGAAAGGTTGTTGTTGTTGTTGTTGATCACCATTGATATTAGATGTTGGTGTAAATGTAGTAGCAGAAGCAGCAGAAGCAGGGTTCCATATACTAGTATTAACATTTTCACCATTAACATCAAAACTAATTGAATTATGTTCTGAAGGATTATTAAGATCTGAAGAAATAGACATTGCACGACTTTGAGAACCTAAAGCAGATTTAAAAGCTTGATCTGGAGAATTTGCATTCGATAAATTATAATTATCAATTCTTTCAGAGATTGACTGTCTTGAAGTATTTGCATTTAATGGATTATTTAAACTTTCACTTAATGAATTTGGTGAACTATCATGGAAAGGTTTATTAACAGTGGTACCTTCAGGAGTTAAAAAACTCGTTCTTCTTGAAGATCCTGGAACACGAGCACTTGTACTTCCAATGGATAATGAACCAACACCACCACCTAATAATTCAACTTCTCTAGTTGCTTCAGCCACAGCGGCAAATTTTTCTAAGAAACGACCAGAACCAGCACCATTGATATGAGAAGGAATACCACCACTGATGGAAGCTGATCCAAAAGCATTATTTCTTGCACCAGCAGCAACAGAAGCATTTGAATTATTGTTACCCATGTTGTAATTACCCAGGGACAAAGTTCCTCTTTTGAAACCAAAAGCATTGCCATAATCACTATCAACATCCGAACCAGCACCACTAGTTGTAGAGTTTCTGCGATCATTGATTAAATTTGTTGGTTGATCAAAATTGTTGAGCCCATTTTGATTGGAATTAGAATTACTGATACTGGAAATGATACTTCCAATATCTTTATCAATATCAACTGATGAAGCACGGAAATTTCTGCTTGGTGGTCCTGTTGGTTTATATTGAGCGGAACCTAAACGATCCAATGATGAATTTGAAGCGCTGTTCTTGGAAGAGCGCTCCATGTTTGGTGATTCCCAAATGGATGCACCTTCTAAATCATACATGTTAGCAGGAATTTGTAATGAGTTAAAGAACTTTTTAAGTCTAGAAGACTTTGGTTTGTTATTAGTACGTTTCCGATCATCAGACATTGTGTATGGTTATTGACTGATTGTAATAGTCTTTGTAGAAACAGAAACCCAACATCACACAAACAAAATCAACAAAACGGTCTTCTTAGACTCTTAAATAGTTCTTTGGATTAAATCACTCATGTTAATACTCACCAGACATGTTCTATGAGATGTTTTCAAAACTATATGTACAAGAAAAGGGAGAACGATTCCAAATTTGTTTTTGATAAGGATCTCACACTTGAATTTTTAAACTATGGACAGGATATTTGTGAGACGAGGCAAGTGAGCGATCTGAAAAGGTCTGTTGCTTGAGACAATCTGAATGGATCTTTGACGTTGTTGAACTTGAATAAGTAGAATGAGTTATCTATCAATATCACACTTTTTGCACTAAAAAAGTCGTTTTTTAAAGAACCACCAATTTTTTAGAAGAATTACGCGAAATTTCGAGAGCGTGTCCCAAAGCGGAAATGGTTACGCAGACCCCGACGTAGTATTAAACTTTTATACTCATGAATACATGAAGATATGAGCATCGAGCAGAAAAGGAAGTATTGGTTACTTATGGATAAAGTGAGATTACTATGAGTTTAAAGAAAAGAGGTGGGCTCAACTATGGTGATGCAAAGAAGATTTTGGAAACAGTTTATCCAGAACTTGCACAGAATATAGTTCCAAATTTGAATAAAATTAAATCAAATGTTTTATATCAAAATAGTAATAATCTTGAAAATGCTAAAGAAGCATTAGAAAATACACTTAATGGATTGAAAACAAGGGAAATAATAAATAGTGCAAGACAACCTTTATCCACAGCTTTGGAATCTATCCCACAGAGGAACTTGAAATCAGTTTCAAATGTTTTATTATTTCGTACAAGAAATCAACTATTAGATAAATCAGATTTTAATAAATTAGCACCAAAAACTCAATCAAATTTTGATTTAGATTCCATACCAGGTGATAATTATAATTTTATAGTAAGATCTGGTAGATACCCTCAAAATTTGGAATATAGAGTTGGTTATTATCTCATATTTGATTCAATAGAAGAAGCTGCTGCTTTCAATGTTGATACTTTAAAAAAGCAAATTAATGGAATAAATTTCAATACTGAAATGATTGATGCAAAAGCTAATGATCCAGTTATAAATATTCGTGCATTAAATGAAAGTTCTATAGTGGAAAATGGTATAATGAAATTGAAACCTGGTTTCCCAAGAAAAAATTGTGTATTAGTTAAAGGTTTTCCAAATTTTATTAAAAAACATACAATTTTTAGAATGCTTTATGATTATGAATTAGATGATAGTTTTGATGCATTAACTACTATAGACTTAGATAATCATGCTAATTTAGGGAAATGGTTAATAAAATTTTCAAATTCAATTGAAGCTCAAAGATTTGTTAGAAATTATCATGGATTACATCTTAATGATAATCCTGAGATGCCAAGGATATACGCTGAACAATTGTTTTAGTGTGTACATAAATGATTAAAATCTTGTATATATTTATATTAATGGCTAATGACTTTTTATCAACATGATTTACAAACATCTTAAAAAAAAAACACAAACCCCTGGTCTATAATGTACCAATGTACCTCAATAACATCTTAGAGATCAAATTTATTCATTTAAATCACCAAAACTTCTCCAACCTTCTCTAACTAATTCAAATTTCTTAATGTGATTTCCATCAGATGTAATTTCTTCATTTTCAATAATAACATATTTTTCCCATTTCCCTCTTAATTTCCATAATATAATTATTGAAGATTCACTTGACCAACCTAATACACCACGATCATCATTTGAATCAGATCCTGTATCATTTGATTCTTCATTTTTCAAATGAATTGAACAAAAACTCCAAGTTGAATTAAAATAAGCTGGTCTTACTATTCCTGGTAAATTTTTCAAAATATGATGCTTATTTGATTGTTGTTGATTATTTGTTATATTAAATACATGTAATGTTTGTTTATCTGATAATACAGCTAATTTTGAACCATTTTGAGAAAATTCCATTGAATAAATTTCTGCACGATCTAAACCTCTTCTAAATTCATATAATAAACTACAATTTTGTGTTGAATGTATTCTTATAATTGTACCAGTCTCAGATGCAGATGCCAACATTGTCCCTGATTTATTTAATGCTAGACAACGTATTTTAGATTTATGTGCTTTTATTATTGATACAAGATTTCTTTCTTGTCCACTTGATGATATATCAACAATTTGAATTTGTCCCACCACTCTTGCTGGGAATGCTAATATTTGTAAATTTGTTGCTTGGTCTTGATAAGTACCTGGTGATAATGATGAAATACCTAAAGGGTTATCAAATGTTTCATATTGTGCAATACTTTTAGGAGGTGAACTGAAACCATGAATATAAATCTTATTATTTAAAACCACAACAATTCTAGTCCTTGAAAGATAAACGTTTAATACAGGACTATAAAAATTTAAATTTAATGCATCTTTTGTCTTTAAATCATCCCATATTATAACTTTATTTAAAGGAAATCTTGGATTTTTACCACCACCAATCAATGCCAAATAATTTGTACGATAAAGCATACGAGTTAAACCAATCCCACCATTTGAACCAAATTCTCTTTTAACTTTAATATCCATTGGATCAGCATTATAAACTCTAAACCCATTCTCATAACCTACAGCGAAACAACTTTGATCCTGATTAAAAGATGCACAAAGAAGTTTTGAACCTGCAAACCCCTCAGCATCGTTTATCTCTTTCCTAGTGTTCATCCTTGGTGTGTTGAATAATGGGTGAATATCACTGAGCAGCTGAATAAACCAGTAATGCACAATTTAGTGTATAATGCTATAATAATTTGGGATGTTTGTTTATATGTTTGGGATTCAAATTAACTAAAATTGAGAAATGTTAGATTTTCGGTTAGGCCAGATCACATGATAGCTCTTAAGTATGGGGAATTCTTAAATCCTTGATATTCAGTATACACAGTGCTTCAATCGAATTTTAAATTACATATTCAGAATCTATACATTTCAAAGTACTGTTCAGAGCTTTCACCAGTTTTAAAACCTTCATATTCATTTCAAAATCTGAATGAATTCGGACTTCTTATCGTGCTTTGTTCCCAAAAGAGATAATTTCCCAAAACGGGACATTTCCAGCTCTTTTAAAAAAATAAAGTGACAAAAAAATTTTGGAAGTTGAAAGACCATAATGGAAACAAAAAATTTACCTTACGATTTGATAATTTCAAGCCGGTTTAACCTTTGACTATAAGGAAACTGAAGATTATTTTGGGGACTGATATATAACTAGGTCACATTCCATGAAGAGAAACAGTTTCACTCAAGATATCGATTCCAAAAGACCAAAGTTAGAAGAAGAAGACGTTAATATGTCAGCAGATCAAGAACAACAAAAGAAAGAAGACTTCTTCGCCCCAGTTGGTGAAGCTGCTGAAGAAGTTGATCAAAGTAGAGAATTTAATGATGAAGGTATCCGTCAAACAGGGGCTCAAGATGCTGAAGGTCATCCAGTTCAAGAAATTCAATCATTATGTATGAATTGTCATGAAAATGGTATTACTAGATTATTACTTACAAGAATCCCATATTTTAGAGAAGTTATTATTGTTTCTTTCAATTGTGATCATTGTGGGTTTAAAAATTCTGAAATTCAACCAGCTTCAAGTATTCAAGAAAAAGGTTCTAAATATGTTTTAAAAATTGAAAATAAAGAAGATTTTAATAGACAAGTTGTTAAATCTGAAACAGCTTCATCAAAATTTGTTGAATTAGATTTCGAAATCCCACCAAAAAGAGGTCAATTAACAAACATTGAAGGTTTACTTACAGAAATGATTTCTGATTTAGAAGCTGATCAACCAGCTAGAAAAGAAGTTGACGAAACTTTACACAACAAAATTGATGAATTTATACAGAAGATTAAATCAACTTTGAATGGTGATGAAGGTAGATTACCAATCACTTTTGAATTAGATGATCCAGCTGGTAATTCATGGATTGAATTCATTCCAAATGAAGCTGCTCATAAATGGTCACATTCTGAATATATTAGATCAGATGAACAAAATGTTTTAATTGGTATAATTACACAAGATCAATTAGATGATATCCGTATAAAGAGAGCTCAAGAATTAGCTGCTAATAAAGATCGTAATCCAACTTCAACTGGATTCATCTCTGATCAAACTGATATTGAAAATTTTGAAAATGAAGTTCAAACTTTTGCTGCAACTTGTCCAACTTGTTATGTTCCATGTGAAACTCATATGAAAGTTGTTAATATTCCACATTTCAAAGATGTTATTATTATGAGTACTGTTTGTCAAAGTTGTGGTTATAAATCAAATGAAGTTAAAACTGGTGGTGCTATCCCAGAAAAAGGTCGTCGTATTACTTTACACATTGAAGAACCAGAAGATTTAGCAAGAGATATCTTAAAATCTGAAAGTTGTGGATTAAGTATACCTGAATTAAACTTGGAATTAAATCCAGGTACTTTAGGTGGTCGTTTCACTACTATTGAAGGTTTATTAACTCAAGTTCTTGAAGAATTACATGGTAGAGTCTTTACTGAAACTTCAGATTCAATGGATGAAACTGCAAAATCTCGTTGGACTGGATTTTTCGAAAATTTACAAGAAGCTATTGATGGTAAAAAGAAATTCACTGTTAAAATGGAAGATCCTTTAGCTGGTTCTTATATTCAAAATGTTTATGCTCCAGATGATGATCCAAATATGGAAATTGAAGATTATGAAAGAACTTTTGAACAAAATGAAGATTTAGGTTTGAATGATATGAAAGTTTAAATTGCATGTATATATAATACGAAAGTTTCATTATAACTCTTAAAAGTCATAAATATATGTAGAATTTAATGATCAATTTTTGTGAGTTGTATCGTATCAGTTGTTTACATTTTGTATATTTGGTAAAGCGGCTAAAGACCTACAAATTATAAAGTATATTGAGATATTGTTCAACTGTAATACACTATAGATCAAATCAGTTCAATAAAACTGATTATAGATCTATATATATAGTGAAATTGTGGTATTATACGTTTAATATACTTATATGATTTATATATAAACGTTATATATGGATAAAAAAAAGTAATTATGATCAAACAAATATGGCCAGCTCTAAATAATTAAACAATAATATATGAATCAATAATCAATAGAAGATCATTACCACATCAGAATTACGCTATGTCGAAACAGTTTCAAATTGGCCTTTTGCAAATTCAATTCAGTTGATTAACTTGAATCAAAGGTAAAGGCTCAAACTTATAAACTGAAAACAATCACAGCGGATTATCAGCGGCTAATTAATTTTAATGTACCACAAACACGATTTATATAATTACGTCACAAATAAAACCAATAAAATATGTAAATATACTATAATATATAAAACTCTATAAAATGCGCCTATTTGGGGAACCTTTTGGTTTCTCAGGTAAATTTGTTGTATAACCTTCATCTTCTTCATCTTCATCATCTGCCACGTTTTCATATTCAAAATCAAAATTTGATTTCTCTTCTCCTTCTTTCTTTTCCTCTTCCTTTTTACGTCTTTTGTATAAATCTTGATCTAAACTTGATTGTTGTTCACTATGAACTTCTCTCATAACATCACCCCAATCTGATCTACTTAATGAATCTGATAAATCTGAAATATTATCATATAATGTTTCATCATTCATAACTTCCAAATTTTGTTGTTTTGGAGGTGACCAATATGAGTTATCAGTTGTAAATTGATTAGCATCTGGTGTAATAGCTGGTGTTGCGATAACATCATCAGGAATATCCAACGATCCTGTAATTGCTCTTTTCTTCTTTGGTGTAACATCAGTTCTATAATTTAAAGTTTCTTCAGGTAAATTTGATTTTTCTGGTTGTGATTTATATACAGCTTTTAAAGATTCATTATCATTTTCAGTAACAACAATTGCCGGTGTCTTGAATGGATTAGATGATGTTCTTGTCATTAACGAATGTCTTTCAAATGGATTATCAATAAGTCCTGATGATGATGAGCTGAACATACTGCTATTATAACGATTTCTTGCTGCATCATGACGATGCTTAAATTTCCAACGATATGTAATCATCTCTAATACTGCTAAATGCTTTCTATTTTCTAATCTTTTTTCAACTTTTTTAGAAACTAATAAACGATCCATGAAATCACTTAATGTTAAACAATTACTTTCTTCAAATCTTGAATACAGTGGAATTTGTAATATAATTCTGGAAAATGAAATTCCTGGTTCTTCATTAATTTCCATAGTTAATAAAGCTTCTTCAATAAATTTTTCATATGCTCTAGTTCTTTCCCTGACTTTTTGGACATCCAATTGATTCAAAGTTTTGTTAATTTCAGCAAAATTTACGAAAACATCATATGGGTCTGCACCATCTTCAGGCAATTCAAACCATTTCTTTTTAAGTTCTGGAATAGTCCATTTACCTTCATAAATCTTGAATGAAAAATAACCTTCCATTGACCGTAGTAATATTGGTAGTTGCTCTGGTCTAATATAACCAGTACCATGCGGATCAAACCTTTGCCAAACTGTTTTGAATTTTCTGATTTCCTCTCTATTTAAAGTGATTTTAGAACCATTATCACTATAAACATAACTGAAATTTTCGAAAATCAAGGAGATAAACATATTAACAAAGATATACATGGACAAAATGTTCCATATAATGAACAAAATATAGGCATATTCTTGACTTCCACAATCTGTTGTACTAAAACCCAAACCTTCTGAACAGTATGGTTGCTCTATAGCGAAATCTCTCATCGTATAATTCCAACCTTCACCAAAACTTGCACGAAATAATAATAACAATGACTTTGTGACAGTTCTTAAGTTCAAGTTCACAGAAGTGTTTGCTCCTAGTTTAGTTAAACCGAAAATTTGATTTAATGCTATAGCAAATACCAGAAACAAGATACCCCAAGTAAAAATCAAGGAAAGTAATGATGGAATACTAGCAGATCCAATTTTCAACAAATGACTTAATCTATTACTTGATGGAATTAAAACAGTAAATATACCAACCAAAAAAAGTTTATTGATATTTGCAAATGTTGAGCTTCTTGAGACGAAGAAAGAAGCCAAAGAAGTTGAAAAAGCACCCAAAAACACAAATAGTTGATAAACATTCCATTTCACTTTGAAAAAAGTTTTGAAACCCATGGCAATTAATTTCATTGATATATATGCCATGTAAATAGATGAGGAAATAATGTAAACCGTATATCTGAAACCATCTAATGCAGCGGGACTTGGATACATTTCCAACAAAATTGCCAGTATATGAGTCCATAAAATGATATGTAAAAATGTTTCAACATACTTATTTCTTTCAACAGAATATTTGAAGCAAAATGTTCTAAAGCCGTTTAAATTTTTCATTTCAGGTCTCTTACGAGGATGATTTTGTGACAGTAGCTTCTTAACTTCAGTCCATGATTTTTGTTGTAACGTCATGAAAGCACTACCTGTGGTTTTAGAATAGTTACTGATAATAACAGAAACGAATAAAGCCAACACGAAAATAATACCCAAGAAATTGAAAGCAATGATAAACGCACCATCACCAGGAGTAGTCCAGAAACCAGCTGGTGTACCTTTTCCTGTGCTATTGACAATGTTTACCAACAAATCGACCCACCCTTCCAAAGATAAGCACTCAAATAATGTTAACAGAGATGAAGCAAATCGATTGAATTCTAATGGTGGATCATCATAAACTCTTGGTGAGATGATATTCCAGTCAAAAACTTTATTGGTGTATTCATCATAACAATCGGTACGACCCAAATCACCGTCATTACAGACAGCCAGTCTACCAGAAAATAAATTTAATCCCCAAATAGCAAACGGTAATAACAAAGTGAATGAAAGGAATGCAGCATTTAAGATTTTCCAGACACCAACAATTAAAACTTTGTGAAATATATTTTTGGATGTGTCACTGATAGTCAATAATCTCAAAGCTCTAAGTGCCTTCAAACCTCTAACAACTCTTGAAAGACCATCATCACCTCTCCAGATAGCAATAACATTGATCCATAGCGAAATAAGAACAATAAAATCAATAAAATTCCATGAGTTTTGGAAATATGCATTTGGTGTAAAGATCAAACCATCAGCAATAACTTTAATCAAAAATTCAACTAAAAACAGTATAGCGAATGCAACTTCGAAATCAAATGTCCAATTCCATACCTCATTATCCAAATCATATCTTTTTCTATAAAGAGGTGTACTATAACATGCAATGATAACCAGAGCCATTGTACTAACGGCAATTAATGTCAAAAAAATACCATGTAAATATTTATTAGGTTCAACACCATCATAACGTTTACCAACACTTGGTGGTGTGACCTTTTGACATAATTTTCTCAATGGTTGATCAGGTGTCAAAATATAAAATGCTGTATTGAAACCTGGATTTTCTTGTAGAAATTTCACTCTAGCTTCAATTGTTCTATTAGTTTCTATCTCAAAGTTCTTTGGAAGTAATGAATAATCACCATCAAAGGCCAAAAAATGTGGATTTTTATTGTAAAAGGGATTTTCACCAGCCTTCGAAGTCCAAAATAATGAAATTATCAATGTCTTGATCCAAGTGAATTGTAAAAGCCTATGATATCTAACTGTGAAAAATCGAGCTATCCTAGATTTCGGCAATTCATGAACTTGTGAATCGTCGTTCTTTTCTTCCAATTCATCTTTCAAGAATTCCTGAATAGCAGCACCATTTAGTAATAAATTCATAACTTGTTGTTGATTTTCTGGTGTCTTGTCATTTTTGAAAATTTTAGCTTTGAACTCTGAAAGAAAAGTCTTCTCAGCAAAATTCTTCAATTTCCCAGGAAAATCAACCAGAACGAACTTTCTCACTTGTTCTTTTCTCTTCTCATTTTCTGAAACTTCTAAACTATCAGCGATAATGGCAATAAAAATGTTCAAAACAATGGAGTTTGATAACAAGAACCAACCGATAATTAGCATTGCGCCAAAGGCACCAGCTGATTTATTTGGAGCAAATTCAGTCATTCTATAAAGGACATCAGTCCAATTTTCAGTTGAAGTGATTGTATAGAGAGCCACAAAAGTATTTGGTAAGTTTTGCATCGAGAAGGGTTCATTTTCAATTTCATCTTCTGGAACAAATCCTTCAAAATATCTTGAAAGGATGATACTTGACAAAAATAACAGGAGAAAAAAAAATAAGGCAAGATTCACAATGATGGACATTGTACTCCAAACTTGAGCCCACAATTGTCTAGCAAACTTGAACATCAAAACCACTCTATAAAATCTAACAATTTGGAAGAAACGTAACCAATCATAACCTCTACCCAAGGCTGTATGGATAGGTGGGATGATTATAATGGATGTAAAAACTGCTAGAAACAAATCGACCCAGTTTCTTCTATCTTTCAAGAATAATTTATAATTTGGTAAATATAGAGAAAATCTCACAATAATTTCAAATAAAAGTAGTAAAGTGACAATGCATTCCCCAATATAAGCACGATACATATCATGTTTTGTTGTACTGGAATCAGTGGTAGCCTGTAGAACAAGTCCAGCAACAATAACCAACTCGAAAATCCATTTCGTTTTGAGGTATATATTGGATAATGTATTTTTTGGGAAGTCCCAAGATAGTTTAAAATCTGTCATGTTTTTATCACTTTGTCGTTTTTGTTTTAAATCTTTGTCTCTTGTAGCTTTGAAAGAAGCACTGATAACAGCAATTAAAAGATTGATCATCCATAAGAATAAGAAAAAAATACCGAAAATGTAAAATAATGATGCTGCCATGGTATCTGTATTCATAACATCATACATGATATCCGTGAAGGTATTGGCACTCATGATGACGAAAACCATCTCCATGGAATACAAAATATTATCAAACCCTATTGTACCACCATGTGGATTTTCACCTGTGACACATTTTGAATTAACTGGGCATAAAAACCCCTTAGCAGTACCCTTTCCAAATGCACCCTGTTCATTAACGAATGGCATTTTTTTAAGCGTATTTGGCTGCAGATAACCACCACAAAATTGGTCATCATTATCATAAGTTTCTGAAGGGTCAGAAGGATTTGTCCAGACACAGGTTCTTCTTAATGAAGATTTGAAACTTTGAACACCAATAATAGCGAAAAGGACCCAGAAATATAACAAGAACAAGGCCATGTCAAATAATTGAGGTGCCCCATTTTTAATACTTCTCAAGATTAAAGCAATTCTATCAGTGACATCAATAAGTCTTAGAATTCTCAGACAAGCTAAAGCCCTGAATAATGGAATCCCTTCTAATGCATTGAAACGCTGGATACTGAAGAAAAAATCAATCCAGAAGAATAAAGTAGATGTGAAATCTAATCTATGCCAACTATTTCGTAGAAATGCTCTTTGAATTGGAATATCTTTTGAAATGTTATTCTTAAAAGTAACTGAATGTTTCAAAGCAGGTTTGATTTCTAGTTCTTCAGATTCATCACTTAACCCAAGTATGAAGTTTTTGATTTTATCAATTCTTAGTAGCTCTGAAATAGGTAAATAGTCTTTATCTAGAGCTTTGAACATTTCTGAATCATCCCATAATCCAAATGCTATTATTTTAGATACTATCTCAATAGTATAAATACAATTGATCCCTACTAAAACCCAATCTGCCCAAATTGTACCGAATTTGACATAACCATGCATTGTATAAGGATTCCATTGACGATATGCTAATAAAGCAGTCTGAAGGAGTAATAAAACTCTCATCAAATGATATGGCCATGTTTTCAAAAAAATACTAGCCAATTTCAACCGTATTGAACTTGTTGGCTCGAAAATCTTTAATGATTTACCATATAATCTCAATTGATCTGTAGTTCCCACAGATACACCCAGTCCTTGAATGGGGAAATAATCACTGTCATCATCTTCATCACTTGATTGAAGTCCCAATGGCGAGGTTGGGGAAGGTGGTGGCTTTCTTGTTTTGTATGTTGTTTGTCTAATTATATCAGGCCGCGTAACGTTTTTTATTCTTGAAGTGAATTCCTGGTAGACATCTTCAATAGTTTTGGAAGGAGAGGTTGGTGAGTGTGGTTGAGGTGTTGGTGAAACCGGTCTCAAGTTTGTATTTGAGATATAACTAACATCATCAGCAAATGCAACACCTTTACTCGGAGGTTCAGGTGTCAGAGTCTTTTTAGGTATTTCTGTTAGCTCTATTGCGTCTTCAGAAACATCCAATTTAGAAGTTGAAGAATTTCTTGACGTTGGAGATTTTTTTGTCCCTGGTAACCAAGAACCTTCATGTGTTGGTGTACCCAAGGCAGATGCTAAATCAGCTTTTATATCATCGATACCTTCTTCAGTAAGACCATTAACAAATGAAACGTCTGATCTATCACTCCTACTTTCATCTGAACTTAATCTTTTGGCACTTGTAGAGAGCCTTTTCATGGGGCTTGATTTAGGATTCAATAATTGTGCCGATCTATCGGAACTTATCGATCTTCTTCTTCTATTTGAAACTTTGGATAGTGGTGATTGTGATCTTGACGAAGCCTTTGAAGCAACAGGTTGTAGCAATGGTGAGCCAACAGCATCCTCCAAATCGACAGATATCAATTCACTTGATGCCCCGTCATCAGAAAAAGGGTCTGAAGGAGGGTCCAACCGTAGTTCTGGTCTGCCTCTTTGCACCTCTGATGGTTGATTATTATTATTATTGTTATCATCATCATCATCAGCACTGATAAGAAACGATGGAACGTTCTTAAGACCAGTCATCTTCCTGAGTTGAGGTTGATACGTTGTGATTTCAGTTCACGTTCTTAAAGTTGATGTAATTGTCCCAGTTTTGATCAGCTTTTCTAATAAAATCAAAAGGAATGCTTGATAAGCAAACAACGAAACAAACAGCAGCTATTAATGATCTCTAGCAAGCCTAGCACTGGTGATAAAGCAAAGTATGAATATGAAAAGGGAAAACAAGTTTATAGCGGAACAAATTTATGAGCGGTTAGTTAGACTAAGCCTTTTAACTAAGCCTGATATGATCTGTTTGATGTACTAAAAATTAAACAATCTTTAAAAAAAGCGCGAATGTGTTCTGTGATTGGTGACACGCGATGCTCGGACAGCGCGATTCGATTTTTTAGTGCACAACATGTCAAAAAACAATGAAGAATATGGTCAGTTTGAACTTTGTAAGGATATCTTGGGGCAGGAAAGGTGATTAGCGACTTAGAATTGTGCTAGTGACAGATTTTGGAAGACATAAGATGCATATTCAGGTCTTTTGGCCGTCAGACTTGATACAGACAGAGGAATACATCGGTGTAAATACAGTGGTAATTGGTCATAATATCGAAGAGCAAATTTTGGTAGTGGTAGCCACCTTGCATTATAATCAGGATAAAGAGCTTATTGATCGAAATATTTTAGATGAAAACAGGAATATTCAAAAGTTTAATGATCATTTAGAAGTTGTTGGAGTCATAGGTGAAGCATCATGGTGGAATGGTACTACTATAGAGATCCATAATGGTCAATTATATATGGATTCATCAAGAATAGTAGTTTATGATCCACCAAATCCAACAATGATGCAGTTCTTTTCAGTGAAGCCAATTTCAGTTTCATTACCAGAACATGAAATATCGTTGACCTCAAAAGATTCACAAGTTGATCATATAAAGGATCATGTAGCAAAGAGAAGTTACTCAACCCAAGAAAAACATTTTCAAGACGCAATAAGATGCCTAAACAGTTGTTGGAGAGATAGAAGAGAATTGTTAGAAACAGTTCCCAAGATGCAGTCAAATTGGGAAAACATGAAGTCATGGAATAATACATTTCAAAAAGTTTATGAACTAATTTTTGTCATACTAAACTCTTTCAGAAACATACCATTGAAAAATTACATAAGATTCATCTCGTTACACATAATAATATTCACAAGAAGCATCTTCATGATTATAATCAGGTTACTAAATGGTAGATTTTCACCTGACTTACCAAGCCTTGTTGAATTGTCTGCAACAGCTCAACAAATTGATCTTAGATTACAACAATTTTGCTATGCTCCAATACAATACATCAGAACCAAAAGAAAAATAGATTGGTCTATTGCAAGTCTACGTCATTTACAGAGTCCCGTGGAGAACAGCTTACCTATTGAACAGTATCCAGAATATATAAGATTCTACAACACTCTTTGGCTAGTTATAAATGATGTTACATTTGGAATTACTATTGGTGCATTGCTTTTGGAACATCAACGTACAATTGTGGAAAGTATAGACAAAATCTTGATCTGGAAAATTCTTTATTCAGATTTGAAAAAAATTAGTATGTGGTTAATGAATTCACCAGGTGGTATCAAGTTAAATACAGAATTATCTATTTTTTTCAGTGAATTATTTACATGGATGGTTGAGTTTTGGAAACTAACATTAATTAATACTTTACAACCTAATTTATTATTGATATTGAAAATAGCAGCCTTCAGCTCAACTTTTGGTGCTACATTTCCCATAGCTATTTTTGCAGATTTCTTATCTGTTATCACATTTCATATCTATTGTTTTTATTTTGCATCTGCAAGAATATTTAATTGGCAATTAGGTATTTTGAATAGCTTGTTCAATTTATTTTTAGGAAGAAAGAGGAATGTATTGAGGAATAGAATTGATTCGAATGATTATGATTTGGATCAATTATTATTGGGGACTTTATTATTCACTGTCGTTTCATTTTTACTACCAACAGTTTTTGCATTTTATATGACATTTACCATTACAAGTCTTTTAATTACTGTCATTATTAGCTCATTGGAATTAACAATGTCATGCTTAAATCATTTCCCAATCTTTGTTATGCTACTACGCATAAAAGACCATAAAAGAACACCGGGTGGGATTGTTTTCAAAAATTATAAAGGATATTTAAAGATTGAAAGTAAACCTTTAAGGATAGGAAGGATGTTTGAACCTTTCAAAAATGTTATTTCTAAATTAAATTCATTATATTTATCCCCCAAGACTATTCAAACGATTTTATCAGGTCATCCAATTAGTGTCAAGAGAAATAAATTCTATAAAATGTTATATTCGGCCTTACCAGCTGAACCTATTGAAAATTCAGAAGTTTGGAAAGCAATTTCATAGACTTCAAATTTAATGAGATAATGATTTATTCTACATGTTTACCTTGTAGTAATCCTATTTTTATAACCATAAATTCATCATGTTATTTTCTATTTACAAATATGCATAAATTATAAACAATTTTTTCTTCCTAGAACTATTTTTGACCCATTAACCCAAACACACTCTATTTCTTTTTACCATGAGCACTTGGAGGTTCTCTCTTCTTTTTTGGTGCACCTTTACCTCTACGTTTACGTCTAGGAGGAAATGTTAGTATCTTGAATTTTAAATAATCAAAATATAGTAATACATACGAAGCATGAATCTTCAATCTGTAAACTTCAGCAGGATCAGCAAATTTCATTTCAGGATGAAGACCTTGGACTTGTCTTAATGATAAGATTTCTGGATTACCATAATAATCTTTAACAGTTGGACCTTTCAATTTGGATGATAAGATTTTGGAACCAGTTCTGATATTTGTTGGGTTATAATTTTCATTGAAGACTTTGCATCTTAGTTTGACAAGCTCAAGAAGTCTTGCTTTATTAGGTATAAGACTCATATCTGTTAATTTTGGATCTTGAAGGTGACCTTAGATAGAAAGAGTCTGATTATTACGAATGTTGATGTTCATGTTCGAGGTTATACCTTAATTTTTCACCAGCGTTGATTTCGGAGGGTAAAATGCGCGAAAAAATTTAGTATAGCGAAGATTTATTAAGCCATACTAATATAAACCGTACTCAAAGACGACAAAATCCAAGACATAAATGTGCTGTAGTTGAGACTTATTAACGGCTACTAATTTCTTATTAGGAATAGGCCCCTTCATGTAAATTTCTGATGCCTGTGTTTGTGACGGTAGTGTGCCTGAAATTATACACCGAGAGACAGTTCAATACTATACTAACGAGTAAAAACTCACAAAGACATTTACCTACATCAGATAATATTAATCTCGATTCTACATTTTATCCACAATTTTAAGACCCTTTTCTATTAAACCTTTAAAAGTGCAAACATGAAAGTAGTGTAAATACGGCAAATAATATAAATAATTGATAAAAAACATTACAAAAAAGTTGTCTTCATACAAATAACAAAATCTTTTCCATATTTTCCACAAATATTTATAACTAAAAATAAACAAGAATAAATTTTACATTAGATTATATGTTTTTTTATGATTTTTTTTTGGTAATTATTGGTTTATGATTGATGGTTGTTAGGTTAATTACCAAGCAGCTTGAGCACTACCTTCAGTGGCAGCCCAGTCAGCATTTGATTCAGCAGCTTCAGCGGCCCAGTCAGCATCAGCTGGTTGAGCGGCCCAGTCTTGGGTTTCTTCAGTTTGTTCTTCAGTTTGTTCTTCTTCAGCTTCTTCTGGAGTTGGTTCGGCTTCTTCTGGATCTCTGTAGAAGTATAAATCTGGCATGATAGTCCATGGTTCAGCTCTGTTTGGTAATGAACCTCTTAAACGTAAAACTTCACGGGCAATTAAGTACCAGATTAAACCAATAGCATGTTTACCTTTGTTGTTGGTTGGGATAGCAACATCAACAAATTCAGATGGAGAATCTAAATCAGTTAAAGCAATAACTGGAATGTTAACGTATGAAGATTCTTTGATAGCTTGAGCATCAGTTCTTGGGTCGGTAACAATGATTAATCTTGGTTCTTTGAATGAACGGGTGATATAATTGGTGAAGTTACCTGGGGTGAAACGACCAGCAATAGCGGTAGCACCAGTGTGAGCAGCAAATTTTAAGACAGCTCTTTGACCGAAGGTTCTTGATGAAACAGCAACAACATCAGCTGGGTTTGGAATAGCAGCAATGATTCTAGCAGCTAAAACAATTTTTTCCCAAGTTTTACCAATGTTAATAACGTTGACACCATCTGGTCTGGTTTTGTAAACGTATAATTCATTGTGAACCTGTGTGAAATGTTAGTAAGTCTGAATCTTGACAAAATAAAACTGATGAATGATAGATTGAGGATAGTTCTGTATCTTCTATTAATATTGAAATGTGATTTTATTATTCTGGTCTTGTGTGATTGTACTATATGTGTGTATCTTACTGATATTTGATTCTTCTATATTGAAAATTTTGGCTCATACTATAATATGTGATCTGAACATTAATGAGCTTAGTCTTGAACGACTTTTAAAGTAGTTGTATTGAATTATATTCCACTGATCATTGATAAATATATTGTTTCACTCTATTGTATCCCCTTGTATCCATATAATCTACTATTCATTCATCATTTTATTAAATGTTATTAAAACATACTTGAACGTTCTTTGAACCTAAATGAACGTTGGCAGCTAACAATAATTTAGCATCTTCTGGAGTAAGATCAAAACTGGCAGGTAAAGACATCTTTAATGTAATGTAATTATACTGAATAACCCTTTAATTGACGTTAATAGAAATCCTTTAAATTCTAGTGTATGTGTTGATATAGAAATTAAATATTTCAACTTTTGATAGGATTGAGTGGGATCCACCGTGAGACTGCTGGAAATTTTTTAATTTCGCGAATTTTTGAATATTCTGCCAAAAATAAAATTGTTTGGGTTGATATAGACAGAGCGATGGTAAGGACACGGTGAGGTTCAGGTATCGCTGGGAGGTTTCCTGGAGGGAGACGTACGCGCTAGACAGAGTTGTACCTGTTCGCGAAAGCTTCACGAAATAATGTTTTGAAATATGGTGTGTGGATGTACGTCACAGGGCTGAGCATCAAAGTCAGCTGACAGTTTGAATTCTGGCATGTGATCTAAACTTTAGGGCAGATATTAATTATGTGGCTTCACTCGGTTAAACCACTTGCTGCTTTTATTTTTCCAGAATTTTAGTTAACTGATGGAATAGATAAGAATCATAGCTTGCCATTTGGGAATTTGGATCTGATCTGTTCAAGATTTTGATGAGCAGCTAGTAAAACGAGAGATAATCGTCATCAGCAAAACACCATCTACAAGTCACAACAGATTAATTTACACATGGCGCTATAGCTCTAGAGTTTCATTCTCGGCATTTATCAGAGCATTCACCTCAATTACCTTCATTCAGTGCGTGGTCTACTTGCCACTTTCAATGGTATTATAATATCAATATCCTCATCAACATCATAATGAACTTCACATTACCCAATAATATTATAAGTTTCCATCTACCTAGGTTCAAAGATGTGATATCGCCTAGTTACAAGGCACTCAGGAAGCAAACCACAAAGAAATACGGACAATATACTCTCATTCTTACAGCATTAATTATTATATTATTACCCATTTTGAAAATATTCCAAAGCTGGTATCTTAGAAGAGTTGCTATAAGGACAAACACATTGACCTCAAGAAAGGAAAGTTTGTGGCACAGGTTACTCTTACACTCAGAATCCTTAAAGACCATCTTATTTTGGTCCGTATTCAGCTTTTTATTAAATTATTGTGAAACTTATGATGATCTAATGTTCATTTCAAAAAGACTAGGAAGAGTTTCATGTGCTTGTTTACCAGCCTTGTTATTTATAACTTTAAGACCTTCACCATTACCAAAAACGTTATATTTATCACTTTTACCAATTCATAAATGGTTATCACGTATAGTGGTGCTTGAAGGAACTATTCATACAATTATTTATTTGCTTTACTTTTATAGACAAAACACAATGTTCAAAATCAAAAAAGTTACCAACATATGGGGTATAGTGGCAATGGTTGCATTTGCTTTAATTGCTATAACTTCATTACCAAAAGTTAGAAGATTAAACTTCAATGTTTTCTATTTGATGCATTATATCATGACTTGGACTTGTGTTATTTCTGTCCATTTCCATGCTGTACCTGGTATCGGCCTTTATACAATATTGAATGTGATTATACTATTGGTACAAATTATTTATAGAGTTAAAAACACTCGAAAGACTAAAGTCACAGTTGTTCCGATATCACCAACCTTATCATTAGTGGAATTTCCACTTTCGTCAATTTCTCAAAAGAATGTTATACCAGGAGGTCATGTTCGTATAAATAACAAACAAGGGGTATTAAAGGATTGGTTTTACACATTGGTTCCATTAGCTCATCCATATACGATTGCTTCGCTACCAAATGATCCAACAGTTAAATTAATCATCCGTAAAGGTAAATTTCCATTGAAAACCAATAAAGATTATTATATCACTGGTGCATTTGACGCAAAATTAGATTTCATGAGAGAGCAATCACTTTTAGATAAATTCTTAGCACCGAAAAGATCACCATTATTAAGAGCTCCTTTGAAATATACAATTGATGCACAGAGAGTTATGATTGTTGTTGGTGGGAGTGGTATATCATTTGGTATTCCCTTACTGAGAATTTTGAATTACAATGGTATTAGTGCAAGATTGATGTGGGTTTGTAAAGATATTAAAGATTTGAATCTGATCAACCATTTTAAAGGTGTACAAGGGATTGAATGCTATATCACTGGTGATGTGAACGAAAATGATATAAATATTGATTACCTGGATGATGCTAAGGATATTAATCCAGTTCAACCCGTTGACTATGGCTCATTCCAAGATCAAAATCAAGAAGAAGATGAGATTGATTTCACTACGATTGGTAAAGCATATAAAGAGGCACACGAGGGAAGGAAAAGCGTGTCAACTAAATCATCATCAGATACGTTTAAAGAACATGAGAATGTTAACATTGATATTTCAAACTCTTGTGGTTATGGTTATAATTCGTCAACAACAATGACAGAATCCCCCTCGATAGATTATAATAATCCAATAAATATCAACAATCAAGAGACACTACATCTTTTACCTCACCATAAATCAATTCCTGAATCTTTGAATCCTGAATCTTTCAAAAACATTAAAATTCCACAGAGTGTTAAAATTTTTTATGGTCGTCCAAATTTAGGATCAGAGCATTATGATTGGTGTTTACAATCTCAATGTGTTGGACCAACTCTTAGATCAGGGCACAATGTTTGTTGTAGAGACATTGGAGAACATGATGTTGATAAATCTAAGATTTGGGTTGTTGCAGCAGGTCCCACAGGGTTAGTTGATCATGCTAAACAATGGGCTATTGATGGTGGTCTAAGATATCATATTGAAAGTTTTTCTGTTTGAAGAAAAGAGAAAAATCAAGTTACGTTACATTCATTCATTTAGCATATAGTTTATAGTATTATTTATAATGATATTTATGAGTACCAGTGAGCTGTAGAGTGTTACGGGATGCTACTTCTCAAAATTTATTGGGGATCTTGTGTATTGAAACTTCAAAGATCTGCTTTTGTGTCAAACTCGGTATCCCCAGATTTTGCGCACAAATAAGCAAAACCCAAAACTTGAAAACTAATTCGTACCCTTAGATGTTTCATAAGAAAAGTTCAAATATAAAGAATCTATTTATTGCTACACACATTTGGGTTCACCCGATATTATTTGCTAATTTATAATACCCACACATTCACTAAATTTTGCTACTAGCTGCTTTATTATTCTTTGCATACATATACTACCAATTTTTTTTTAAGCATACAATTAAACCAGTCCAAGAATAGGCCATAATCCAGTGTAGGATATATTGACTAGTTGATTGTGCACATTACCATCAGACCCATATCATCATCATCCAAGCTCAAGTAATTTACAGGTTCTCTCTCTTCATATACCGCTGGTACCGTTGTTCAGGAATTTTCGTTATTGATTTTGTCGTGGTACTTCTCTAAGACGGTGAATTTTATTTGGTTACTACTTTTCAATTGATTAAAAGTTCTATAAGTTCATTCAAGGATCATCAGAAAGGGTCAAATTGAAATCAAAAAACTGTTAAGTTTGGATAAGCACTTCCAGTTACAAAGAAGTGTTGAAGTTTCTATTTTGAAGAGGCAAAGTGTTCAGCGCTACAATATTAATCATGACAAAAAGAAGTCCCAAAAAGCGTGATAGAATTCTGGATAGATTCATCCCATCCAAAGCTTCAAGAGCCACTTACAGAATTTACAGACACAGAGAAGCACACTCACCTAGATCACCTCAAGATGCCACTGAATACAGATTACCTGGTGTTATAGGCTCTCCTTTACCCAGAATGAATGATAGAAGTACAGTTGGTGGAATTCAAGATCATTCTTTACTTAATTTAGCATCAACTTCAATCCTTGATGGTATCACGGCGCTTGGGTCAAGATCGTCAGGTTATCTATATAAGACCATGGAGACTGATATTGATGGTCATAAAGGCGCTATAGCTGATGCTTTAAACTTGAATTACAACAATAAGGTGTTGAAGTTTGCCGCTAATGATTCAAGAGGCTCAAATGGAATCATTAATGATGGTTCATTCAGAGGAACCAGTAGTGGAACTGGCACTGGTGACTCTTCATATATCGACGTTTCTATCCCAAGTATCCATCAAAGTCTATACAGAGATGAGTTTAGTCTTAATGTTGACGATACTTCACTTTCCTCAACACATTATGATTCATCACCAAAATCCAAACAGAGAACAATCAAAACCAAGATACCTTGTGACTTATTAAGTGCTGCTCATTTAACAAAAGATTTCTATACGAATCTTATATCATGGTCCAGGCTTTCAAATTCAATAGCCGTTGGGTTAGCACATCAAGTTTGTCTTTGGGGTGGTACTGATTCAGATTTAATAGACGCTACAGACCCCCATGATGCAGTCACTTCAGTTGGCTTCTCAAATGATGAATATCTTGCTATCGGGACCAAACTGGGTAGACTTGTGCTATATTCTCAAATGATCGGAGGAATTTTAGACGCCATTGTTTTGCCAGCAGCATCACTAAGCACCATCGAATGGTTTCCAAATTCTTCAAGGTATTTTGTTACGGGTGATCAATTTGGTCAAGTTTTTATCTTTTGTGTTGAACGAGGTGATTCACCTGGGCTTAAGTTACTCAAGCAATTTAAAAGTCAACAACAACAAGTTTGTGGTAAATATTGGATACCTTTATCAAGATTTACAACAATGTGAATTACATTATAAGAAATGGCATGTATATACTAACAATTTAATTAACAGGAATATCGATTAATGATGACTTAAAACAAATGGCTGTTGGTGGGAATGATAATTGCTGTCACCTATGGAATATTGAAGATTTAGAAAATCCGAGATTAGAATTCAGTTTACCCCATCAAGCAGCAGTTAAGGCAATTGCATATTGCCCTTGGTCCAAATCACTTTTAGCTACAGGTGGTGGTACAAAAGATAGAACAATCAGATTTTGGCATACAAAAACTGGTACACTATTACAATCTTATAAGACTGAAGGCCAGATAACTTCATTAGTTTGGTCAAGAAATAAAAAGCAAATATGTGCTACATTCGGATTCTGTGAGGGTCATTTAAATGATACATTGGTTGGCGTTTATACATATCCCAAGATGGAAAAATTGATCCAGGTTGGTGATCAGCCAGGTATTAGAATCTTATCATGTGCACTTTCCCCTGATTCAACTTCTATTTGCGTTACTCTGACTGATGAAACTGTTCGATTTTATGAAGTTTGGGATGCTAATGGTAACATTATTCGTGACTCAACAGAAAATGGTGTTTTATATAGTGACCTTATTGAATTGACTGAAGGTATCACCAAACCCGCTGGATTCATCAGATGATCTGAGTGATGAATATCAACTTATAATGATTTAGATGATAAATAAACAATTTGGTTCATGTTATTGTTAAGAAAAAATTGTAAGTTGATCATGATGGAACACCTTCGTATTCGTTTTCTTTATTTTGTTGCAAAAGTTTTTTCCAGTGTTTTCTATTATCTTGAACTGGAACTCTTTTCAATCTTAGTAGTATCATTCCTAAAAATATAACAAGACAAAAGACAGAAGCTGGTGTTAACATTTCAGCAAAATTTCTTTCATTTGTAACTTTTTGATATGGACAATTTGAATTTGGACCACCTGTAACCCAACAATCATTTATAGAAATAGAATTCATATCAATCCAAATTGAATGATTTTCAGGTAAAGTTTTCAAATAGTTGACTAAAGAGTATTGTTGTAATGCAGTTCTTGGTACACTAAAATTAGTATTATCAGGACAAACATCTTCAGCATTAAAATAAGTTTGTTTGTCCAAAGATAATTCCCATTCAAAAGCTCTTGATTGTTTACGACATGCAACATATTTACTGTCATAACAATTTTCAACTTTCCAACCTGTAGAGGATAAAGCTGCACATTTGTAAGCAGTTTGTGAATTTCTAGTATTATCTGAATCTTTATTAATTTCTTTTGCGATGTTTTCCTCTAAAGGCTCAGCGGAATCCCATGACCATAACGATGTATTGAAAATTGATGCAATATCTGAACTTTCCAAAACTGCAGAGTTTAAAATCGGTGAATAACCCCAGTCGATCAAATGCCGTATTGAACCATTATTAAATTTTGTATTATCATCATCATATGCAAATCTCCAATTTCCATTTGCTGTATTTATAAATTCCTCCTCTGTTGATGGTACAACTGTATTATTTAATGAAGTAAATGAACTGTTCAAATCTGATTGAGGGAATACAATATTATAATCAGATGTTAGATTATATGTTGTATTACTTGGTAAATTATCTTGCCAAATTGTAGATACAACACGTCTTTTATCTGTAAATAAAAAATGTGAGACCGTGGGGAATCCATCGTTTGATTGTTCTTCTGAATTGTATGTTCTATTCACAAAACGATCAGCAGTTAATGCTGATGGTGTATATAATTTGTAACTGAATGTGCTTTGTAATATCTGTGATAAAGTGTTGTTATTTGAGTATGTTATATTATCGTTATTTTGACTATTTGATGAACTTTTCTTTAATAGACCATGGGTATTGAACATTAATAAAATTAAATTTGCAGATAAATTTGTATCAGTTTCACTTGTAAATCTGAAAACAACATCAATTAACCCTTGCAAAGTTAGTACATTATCACATTTATAATCATCATCATCTGCATCATAATAGATAACACCAGTACTTTCAGCTCTTGTTGATAGTCTACCACTCATATCAATGGGACATAATTGAAATTCACCAGTGTTTTCATTCCAATAGATATCAATAACCAAGTTTTGAATTCCACCATTCAACAATGTCCACACATTCTTCAAGGTATCATTTGTATAGCCTTCTCTATCAAACAATGTTTTGGAAAGTCGTATACCGGCAGTTGTGATCTGATCTATTGAAACATTTGCTGCAACGTCTCTTTGACTTCTGATCGCAGTGACTCTGTTAGACGACAGACTTGGGTAGTTCATAAGCCCATAAGCCCCCTGAGCCATCAACAGCGTCTGAATAACCACAGACACGATCAAGGCCAGTCTCATAGTAGCATTCCAATCTTTTGATGTGATTCTCAAAAGGACTTGAAAAGGAAAGTGTCAAAGATTTATGCTTTTGTTTATGGTTTTAGCTTTGGTAGGTACAGAATTAGCCGCGATGATGTTGATAATTTGAACATTTCATTTCAAAAGACAACAATCAGATTTCCAATCCAAAAGATCACAAGAGCAGCAAAAGGAGAGGACCAGTGGCAAAGATGGCTGGTACTGAGCAGCGAGAAGAAGAGCAACACGCTCAAAATGCATTTGACATGAACTCGGTGGTAGGTCAACGAGACTTGGAACATGAGATTACATTTGCACTGTTATTCAATTGGTTTATAGGCTGGCCTGTTATATTCTTATCATTTGTTGGATTGACCATCACAATCTCCAAGAAATACGTTACAGAACCTTTCATAGATGAAATATTTCATATCCCACAAACAATACAATACTTCAATGGAGATTTCAAGACCTGGGATCCTAAAATCACAACTCCACCAGGGCTTTATTATCTAGGTTATATTTGGTCAAAATTCATACAATTAACCCACTTACCAATAAATCCTATTGGATTAGGCTCATTACGTTTGCTAAATACAATTGGTGGTACTTTGGTTCTACCTTTTGTGTTGAACCCATTATTTATATTAAATCCAATTGGATTCTGGCCAATAAGTATAGTATTATTCCCAATATTATCATCATTTTATACGTTATATTATACAGATGTTTGGTCCACAGTTTTGATTGTTACTTCACTAAGTCTTGCAGTGGCGCTGCCTTATGGAGATGTTAAAAGTGTTAGATTATCTGCATTTGTTGCATTTTTAAGTATTTGGTTTAGACAAACAAATATAATATGGAATTTATTCATCTTAGTACTTGTTATTGAAAGAAGGGCATTAATTGAAAAAAAATTCAATAAATCATTTTTGAATAATTGTATCAAATTTGTTATTCAATTTTTTGAAGATTTTTGGGATTTTAGTCTACCTTTTATCATTAATGTGATTTTATTTACGGGATTTATAATTTATAACAGAGGTATCACATTGGGTGATAAGGAAAATCATGTCGCAGGCTTACATATAGCACAAGTTTTTTATTGTTTTACATTTTTAACAGTTTTCACAACACCATTATGGATATCAGAATTTAGAATTAAAACATACCTAAGAAGATATAAACGTTTACCAATAGTCATACTATTAGAATTCATAATCATGGCAATTGTCATCAGATTTTTCACTGTTGTTCATCCATTTTTACTAGCAGATAATAGACATTATACATTTTATATCTGGAGAAAAATTATAAATTTAAGATGGTGGACAAAATATTTAATGATTCCAATTTATCATTTTAGTATAAATATAGTTACACAACAATTAAGTGAAAATGGATTTTATTTTGATTCAATAACTCCATTACCTATAAAAGAACCAAAAGATTTACCATTAAAACCAACAGGAATTTCCATAATTATGTTAATCATTTGTATTATATTAACTATTGTACCTTCACCATTATTTGAACCAAGATATTATATATTACCTTTTATTTTTTTCAGATTATTTATTGCAGTTCCTTATGAAGGGTTTTTCATCGGTGGATCATTAAATGATATTACCTTGACAAGGTTAAAATTAGAATTAGCTTTATTTGTTATTATCAATATCATAACTTTTGTTATATTCATTTCTTATACATTTCCATGGGAATCTGAATCTGCATTACAAAGAATCATTTGGTGATTAGCTGATGTTATTTTTCGGTGTATAGATATTTGTGAAATTACATGAAATTAAAGTCTAAACGAATGTCAAATTATATTTCAAACAAAATTGTAATTTATATATAATGTGAACCTAATGTACAAGTCTTGAACTGAAATCAAGAATAAACAATATTTGTGGTTTTGAATAATGGTATTTGGATAAATGTTTTTTTTTTTTCCTTAGAGGTTCTTTCTCTCTATTTTTTTTTTGGATTTTCTTTAAACTGTAATTGTATAATGGTATAATCTAAATTTTAACTGATTCAAATTCTGAAACTAAAGTTTCTTTACCGATATCTTGTTCAGATTGATCAGCTGTATCGTCCTTCTTGGTATCTTCATCATCTTCATTTAATAAATCATCTTCATTTGTTTCTTTAGTTTCAATTTTATTTTCAGTTTTTTTACCTTCTGATTCCTTCTTAGATTTAGATTCATTTGCAATATCAGTTGAAACAATTCTATCAGCACTTGATGAATTACCAGCTTTTGGTAAAATATGGGAGACAGGTGTATCCTTTTTAGACTGTATTTTAGTTTCTGAGTTTGGTGCGGTTGGTAATTCTTTTGATTGTGTTCTATATTGATTAATCATTCTTTGAGCTAAAACTTGTAAATATGGAATTTCTCTATTGATTTTTTTATCGAAAAATCCAACTTCACCTTCACCTGCAAACATATCTTCTTCTTCACGAATAATATAATTACCATTTTCAAGATCTTTAACAAATAATAATAAGAAATCACCCCAAGTTGGTGCTAAAACAAATTTTGTATCGAAATCTCTACCAAATAAGATGACTTGACCCCATGTACCCTTTTTAGCTGGAGATAAATCAACGCCAATATGATTACCTGAGTTATCAGTAACTAAAGGAACCCAACCTTGATGAGAATAAACGGGATGTATAGCACCTGCAGGACATGAAAATTGTTTTGGAATATGAGATTTGAATTTTTTGGAGTTATTTGAAGAAATTCTTTTTTCTAAATCTGGATCTAAATTTTTATAATCTGCACCATCAACTGGTTTAAAACCTTTATGAGTTTCATTTAATGAAGTTGTTGATTTTGTCTTGTCAACTTCAGTAGAAGATCCAGCAGGAGATAATAATGCTTGGGTAGCAGCCAAGTTTGTTTTAACTTGAGAATCAAGATTAATTCTATCAGCAACTAATCTCCAAGTTTTAGTCATATGAACAATTTCATCCAAATTCATCAATTGTAACCCAAAAAACAAACCACCAATACCTGTTAAACTTTCCATATCTTCTTGACCATCATGAATTCTTAAAGAAGCACGAACTGGAGGTGGGAATACTATACCTAAATCCTTTTCAGCTCTTGAAATATCAGTTCTTGTACATGGATCGGCTAAAGAAGCATTCAAATCACTATGATTTTCACTAGTCCAAGTTTCAATATGTCTCCAGGCCAAAATAGTTTCACTAACACCTTCAGTAGAATGATAAATACCTGAATCATCACCTTCTTCTTGGAATCCATTAGCGTCATTCAATTGGAAAGTATTTGAATCACCATCGGCACCAGCACCAACAGTTCTAGCATGATGGTTGTGTGAATCGTAGTCAGCGTACCTATCTTCGGTACTCAACGCGTAGAATATTTGGTTCAACTTTTCTTTGAAACCCATCGTTAACTCTTTGATCTTTGATCTGTTTGAATCAGTAATTAATAATAATTAATACTTGATGATTTAGTGGAGGCTGAAATGAATTTTTGAATTTGTGACGCGATTATTTTTGAAACGTAAAGGAAAACCAAAATTCCGATTCGCGAAGAATTTAACTGACACGGTAAAACCCTGGCAGACATATAAGAATTTCTACATTTTATTGAGGGTTTTAAGCTAAAATTTATGTTATTGTTGAGCTATAAATCATTATTTGGCTCCTGTTTTGATGAAATAGTGGTCAAGTCCAATTAACATGTCATTCTGTAATGGATTTACCAGCTTATTGTGATAAAGCAATCAAAATAGATGGAATACGGAACAACATTCACTGCAATTACCACTGGTCGATACATCACGATCCAGATAGATAAAATCATAGAACTGAAACTGCTTTGTTAACTCAAAACGTCTATATATACTATATTCTTAAATCCAGCTAGCTGTGATTAGTTAGAAACCTTCAAGTTGCAAGAAATCTCGAAACTTTAAAAAAAACACCATCAGCTTCACAACAAGCACGCACATAAATCAACGATCCAGATCATCTAATAGCACCAAGAGAGAAGCAATCAACAATATGAAAGCATTTAAATAATCACACAATTAAACAAACCAGATAATCAATACGTCACAACTAAGACACTAATTAACGGTTAAATTCCAATTATGCTTATACTTTAATTACTCGCATGCTGCGAAAACCAAAATCCAATTGCTTATCTATTTCCGGTAAAACATAAACAAAGAATCTCAAAAGTTGTTACATCAAGATTTAAAATTTAAATAACCTTGAAATGTAGCTTTTTATCTTTGATCTCCTTATCTTCTACATCTTATACTAGAAAGTATAGCACTCTCAACACTCATCAAAACATCAAGATGTCAAACGATATTCAACCACTTCATAGAAATCATACCCAAAATCAAGGTTTACAAAGAAAATTATTTCAAAGAAATTTTGGAGGGTATGTACAAATTATGATAGCAAGGAATTTGAGAAAGTATATGGAATGTAACATTTTATGAATTTGAATTCATCCTGAAAAGACATCAAAGAAACATCAAAGCTTAAACTATTACACTGAGATACAAAATTCCTTCATCACCATGGTAATATCAATCATTATACTAACGTTAATTAATTATAGTGCACAAGGTGGATTTGCCTCACCAACTGATAATATGTTATCACCATGTTCACAAAAATTAAATGCCCATAAGAGCAGATTCTTTGCAAAGTGAGTATATCATCAACAATCAAGTTTAGTTTAAAGAAATATCTGTACTAACAATTACTTCAAAGCACAAAGAAAACTAAATTGAATTTTTCAAACTTGGAAGATGATAAATAAACCGATTCATCTCAAGTTATATATAACTCAAGTTTTGCACTTCATATTTGATTTTTTATATTGATTACATTTCATTTAATATACCCAAGTCATTGATATCTACTTCAATCGATTTTTAATTTCATTTCAATAAAAAGTTTTTAAGTTATACCTTTATAATATGACAGTAGTACATCAATGTAATTTCATCTCTACATCCTTGGAAATTTCCTATAATAAATATTTATTTTTTGTCATACTATGTGCAGGTGAAAGAATAAAATCCATCAAAATATCTTTAGATGTTAAAATTCATCTATTTTAAACGTGAATCAGAAGCGGTATTTAATAATAATGCTTCATTATCCAAAATAATTCTGTTTGGTGAATTAGATAAGATTGTGGCAATTTCTCTTGCAGTATCTAATCTCTTTAATTCAACATAATCTTTAGATTTCTTAATTGCATCACCAATCAATTCAGCAGATCTAGCTTCACCTTGAGCTTTAACAATTAACCCTTGTTTTTCTTGTCTTGCCTTATCAACAACAAATGCGGCTCTTTGAGCTTCTTGTTGTGCAATTTGTTTAGCTTCAACTGCATTTGTAAATTCTGGTGAAAATGTCATATAAGTGATTGAAACATCATCTAATAAAATATTAAATTTTGAAGCTCTACGAACTAAATTTTCTCTAATTAATCTTGAAACTTTTTCTCTTTGAGTAATCAATTGTGATGCATTAAATTGAGCAACAACAGATTTTAAAACTTCATTAACAATTGATGGTAATACTCTTTCATCATAATCTGTACCTAAAGTTCTATAAATATTTGGTAATGCAGATACTTCAGGTCTTGATAAGACTCTACATGTAATATTAACCATTTGTAAATCCTTGGTACCAGTTAATGAAGCAACATTTCTTGGTTTAGCTCTAACATCATAAATATATGGAGTTTGAAACCATGGTATAGCAAAATGTGTACCTTCAGCATAAATTTGTTGTTGAACACCTCCTAAACGTGAATAAATAATAGCTCTATGACCACCATCAACATTGAATAATGAATTGTTTAATAGGATACCAGCACCACCTAATAATAATAAACCACCAAATCCGGCAAATATACCACCTGGACCACCTTTTGGACCACCAGCACCACCGGTTCTTGTTTGCATCTTACGCGCACGGTTTTGGATGTCCCTAGCAAATGATTGCCAATCTTGGTTATTACTCATCCTAATATATGATTGATTAATTGATTGATTTGAATAATAGATCTAATAATCTTGTTTAAATCCCTTAGTATTCCTTTATTAGTGGCAATTGATTTTTTAAAATTTGGTGAACTTTCCCGCGAAATTAAAAAATGATAATTTGCACAAATCCGACTTTTTTTTAGGAAGACCTCGGAAAAATGAATTTATTACTTATAAACTTTTTGAAGGCGAAAAACTAATAAAAAGTATTTAAACTATGGAGAATCCTTTGATTTTGTTTTGATTTCGTTCAAGTTATTGTTCAATTGAGATGAGTGGATCACAATCACAAGATTTCACATTGCACGAAGCTGCCAGAGACGGGAAAATTTTAACCGTCAAAGGATTGGTAGCAGAAAATCCCAAATTGGTATTAAAGAAAGATTTAGACGAAAGGGTCCCATTACATTGGGCAGCATCATTTGGTCATTTAGAAATTGTTTCTGTTTTATTAAATCCTACAAAGTTCCAATCTGATTCAATTCCAAAAGAGCAAAAAATTAAACCATTCACCATTGATATTGATGAATTTGTTGATGAAGCTGGTTGGACCCCATTACATATAGCTTCATCAGTGGGTAATTTGGATATTGTACAATTATTACTTAAAAATGATCCAGAACCGGATGTTAATTTACAATCAAACAATGGGTCAACTCCAATCCATTTAGCCACTTCCAAGAAACATTTGGGTGTTGTTAAAGAATTAATTAAACATGGTGCTTCTGTTAGAATCAAAGATAAAAGATCACAATATCCATTACATAGAGCTGCTTCAATTGGTTCATTACCTTTAGTGGAAACATTCATCAAAGAAGGGAAATCTCCTATAAATGCTAAAGATAGTGCTGGATGGACTGCAGTACATCATGCTCTTTCGGAAGGACATGGTGATGTTGCAGTATTGTTGGTTAAATCAGGTGCTGATTACAATGTTGAAGATGATGAGGGATTGACTCCTTTGAAAGTGGCAGTTGACGATAAAGTAGCACAATACTTTAAAGCTGAATTGAAAGCTAATGGCTATGAAATATGACAAGATTCTTAGTAAATTACAATCTAATTTAATCTAATTTATTCAATTCAAACGATTCTTTTGTAGTTTATCATTATTCGAATGTGTCGCGGATCACTTTCGGATTTCTATGATTCAGAAAGTTCAAAGAAAAGTAAAATTAGATGAAAGGCTGCTTTAAAAAAGTAACACCGACAGAAACTTCCATTTCAGAAGGAATATTGTATTGGATCGGTATTCTTTTACTGTCATATTCATCACATCACTCATCACAGATCTATCAACACATCTACACAAATCAGAAACTTTCATTTCCAGAGAACTCAAGGTTTTCTATACGTATAAGCATCCCCCACAAACCGTTGACGCTGGTACGTTTATTCGGTGGATAGTTAAACAAATCATCAACTTTTATTGCATCATTTTCTTTATCAAGATTTATATTCATACAGAACCACATCAGTTCTGCTCCACAATATCCTATTATCATTTCATCCATTGTTTATTCTGCATATATCTTAAAAATCAAGATCTTGATACCAAACCCAAAAAGAAAGAACTCAAATAAGCATATACAATAGTTCACATCTGATTAAAAGAAACTTCCCACAAGATCACTCAAATCCAATACAATCATAATCTTCATCATGAATAAACTTCGAGAAGTTTTCATTGCACCAAATGAGTTGAACGTAATACCCGGTGCTAAACCACAATCAACTTTAATGTCCATCTTGGTAGGGTTATTTGCTGCAGTTGGTGGATTCATATATGGTTATGACACGGGTATAATAAATTCAATAGCAGAAATGGAATATGTACGGCAGCAATTTGCTTCAAATGGTCAATATTTCACAGCAAAGGAAACTTCATTAATCACTGCAATTTTATCCTTGGGAACTTTTTTTGGTGCTTTATTAGCTCCATTCACTTCAGATAGTATTGGACGTCGTTATACCATTATATTTTCATGTTTTTTAGTGTTTATAGTTGGGAATATTTGTCAAATTGCTGCAACTGGTATTCCTTTATTATGTATTGGAAGATTTATAACTGGGCTTTCTGTTGGGTTAATATCGGCAGTTGTCCCATTATATCAAGCTGAAGCTTCACCAAAATATGTTCGTGGTGCTATTATCTCAACTTATCAATGGGCCATTACTTGGGGTCTGTTGATTTCAAGTGCTGTTTCGCAAGGGACTCAAGATAAACACGATTCTTCATCATATAGAGTACCCATTGGTATACAATTTTTTTGGTCGCTAGTTTTAGGAACTGGTATGATTTTCTTACCAGAATCTCCAAGATTTTGGATATTGAAAGATGATTTAAATAAAGCTGCTTATTCATTATCTATTCTGAGAAGAGTTCCACCTGATGATCCTGGATTAATTGAAGAATTAGTGGAAATTAAGGCAAGTTACGATTATGAAAATTCATTTGGTTCTTCATCTTTCATTGATTGTTTTAGAGATGGTGAAGGTCGTCCCAAGCAATTGAAAAGAATGATTACAAGTGTTACACTTCAAGCAATTCAACAATGTTCAGGTATAAACTTCATTTTTTATTATGGGGTTAATTTTTTCTCCAAAACTGGTGTTTCTCAATCTTATTTAATTTCATTTGTCACATATGCTGTTAATGTTCTTTGTACAGTACCGGGGATCTTATTAGTTGAACTAATTGGTCGTCGTAGATTATTAATTGGTGGTGGTACAATTATGGCTGTTTCAAATTTTATCATAGCTATTGTTGGTATTACGACAAATTCTATTGTTGCGAATAGAATAATGATTTCATTTGTTTGTATATTTATTGCATCTTTTGCCGCATCATGGGGTCCAACTGTTTGGGTTTGTTCTGGTGAATTATTTTCATTAGGTGTTAGAGGTCAATCAGTTGCCTTGGCTGCTGCAACTAACTGGTTGGTTAACTTTGTTTTTGCTTATATTACACCATATTTAGTTGATACAGGTCAACATACAGCCGCTTTAGGGACTAGGATCTTTTTCCTTTGGGGTGGTTTGAATTTTGTCGGTGTTGTGTTTGTTTATTTTATGGTTTATGAAACTAAAGGATTGAGTTTAGAAGAAGTTAATGAATTATATAGAAATTGTTCAAGTGCAAGATCATCAAGAAAATATAAAGATAAAGTTCATGTACCAAGAAATGATGATACCATGAATGCTACAAATTCTGATCATCAAGATGATGATAATAATAATACTGAATTACAAAACATGACAAATATTCCAGATGAGAAAAAAGTGGAAAGTTCTTCAAATACTTCAGATACTGCAGATTCACCAGGTCCACACTCTAGTGGTGATCCAACTTCAAACCAGCAACATCAAGATCATCAACAATTTCAACAACTACCATTACCATCACAACACTTCCATCAAGCACGTCCTCAACAAAATCATCCTGGATATCAAATAGATTTCGGTTATGGTTTAGGATTAAATGGACAACAAAGGGGACCACCTTCTTTAGCATCAGGTTCAGATTCTGATACAGACTCAGATTTTAATGATCATGAAGATGAGGATCGGACTCAGTATAGTTCTTTATCAGAATATGTATCAAGGTTAAGTTCACTGAGTCAAAGACGTTCTTCAAATCAAACTGGTGTTACTTCAAATACTGTTCATTCTAGAAATATAATGGAAAACAGTAGCAATAATGATGCTATTGAGGACCAGCAACAACAACATCACCATCAACAGTCACAACAAAATGATGGATTAACTAACAGCAATGAACAAACAAGCAATATACACAATCCGGAACCTGAGGTGTCAGATCAAAGCTCAACCAACTCATCGATATTTGATCAATGAAAAACAAAAATACGTTTATGATTAACTGGGTTAAGTTTATAAACTTTTTACGATAATTTAATGATTCTATATTTATTGAAATTGTCTCAGATTTGTGTCAGTGTATATTCTCGCGTGAAGCCAATCTGAACTGCTACTTCAAGACCTTTCTTTCACCTTTCACTATGGTATTTAATTAACATATTGATTAGAAGCTCACAGGGTAATCGTGATCTATCGCGCGGCTGCGGCGCGAACCAATATGAAATATATTTAATTTTGTAACGAATGCGCTTACAACATAAATTAAGTATCCTATTGTCCAAACCAAGAATCAAGGAAAATCCAATCTCAACTTTTGACTTTTATCCTTCTACAAATTCAATTGAGAGGGCGCTCAGTTAATTACTTGTTCAGCTAGGGAGGACAAATAGAAGCGGTTGACTTGGTTGTTTTTACTGTTTCATTGAGAGAAAGAATTATCATACGTTTCATTGTCAACTACTTGAAATTAACCGCTGTGATTGAACAAGCCATTACCATAAACATATTCAATCAAATAATCTCAAGCTAAAAGGATAATGAGCACCAAAGTAAACGGTGTTGAACCTGTTGAGGTCTCTGATCCAAAGTTGTTGTTTGGAACTAAACCAGTGAAACCATCAAAAGATTTGATCAAATCCGTTGTTGATCCAAGAATCAAGGCAAGCTCTAAAAGGGCTAAATCAGAAGGCAAATCGATTACTGATAGACTATTTTTTTACTTGTTCCATCTTATCTTACTTACAATATATGGATTCTATTCAATTTTCAGATCATTACAATATGTCAACAATAGAATTAGAATAAAGTTCTTGAACCTTGCATATAATCCATCCAAAACACCACAAATTATTAGAGATGATGTTAACAAATTATCCAAATTACCAAAAAGACTTAGCGCCGTGTTGAACTTAAAACCTGAAGAAGAAGAAGGTGGTGGATTTTATGGTTTATTAAATGATGCATCTGAACTAACTACTTGGACTTTAGCTTCAGGTATTTCAACTTTATCAATCTATGAATATGAAGGTACATTGAAAAATAATGTTGAAGATTTAAGAGCTGCTATATTTAAGAAATTAAGAGATTATTTTGGTCCAACTTCAATTCCAAAATTTGTTGTTAAAATTCCACATTTAAACGTACAATTCTATGGTTTAAACCATGATGATGATGATAATTATAAAAATGATGTTATTGATATTGAGGTCAGTTTGTTATCAGTTGAAGATGGTAAGGCAACTATTGTTGAATTAACCAAGACATTGGCTGAATTGGCTAAAAAGAAGGAAATTTCTTCTAAAAACATTACAGTTGATTTAATTGATGGTGAATTAACAGAATTAGTTGGAATTGAACCAGATTTAATCATCTTATTCACACCAACATTAGCATTACAAGGCTATCCACCATGGCATATAAGATTAAGTGAGTTCTATTGGGAAGCTGATAATGAAGATGTTACATATGCAATCTTTTTAAGAGCTTTACAAAAATACTCAACTTGTAAAATCAATGTTGGTAAATAAGCTCCTTTCTTTTGTTATATGGTCAAATCGTATAGATTCATAAACTGTGGGAAAAGAAAAAGATTCACTAAAGATAATTCCATTCTTTCACTTCTGGTGTTCATTCACTTTTTAAATTTATTATCATATTTGGGTTTTAAGGGAATTCATTTTGTTGCTATCATAATCTGTTTTAATCAATTGCATTGCTAGGGGTATATAATATAAACATACAAAACATTATAAAAATATAGTTAAATTGCTTCATTTTATGTTATAATTAATAGCAGCTTGTACGGTGTAGCTACGCTATTCAATTTCTTTATGATCCGGCTAGATCTCGGAGGAAACATGATCGCGACTTTTTGGCACATTTTCAAAAGTACGTATAAACGATGCACATTGCAGAACTAAAGAGGACAACAGTGGCGTATATTAATTATTCTTGAAAGATTACATGTTACTAACTTTGATTTTCAATTCTATTCCCTGAATAACCATGCTCTTTTTCTTTGAATCACCAATCAATTCAAGTTTTAAAAGGTTTTGCACGTGACCGAGATCACCCGCCAATTCTTTTCCCGCGAATTCGCCCAGTTTACAAATTGAAATCGAGATTTTCAAAAAAATTAACACGTCCACCCCTTCTGATTTTGATTTTTAAAATGGAACTTTGAACTTTTGAACTTGTTATTTAAAGGGAATTTTGAATTTTAATTTGGTTGATTCAAGTTTCATCAAAAGATTATCATATTATAAAAGGTATGTAACCTATCCCGTACACATGATAGATACTGGTATCAACTAGGATCAGAAGTGATACATTTGGATTGGAATTGGTAAGATCTTGGTTGTTTTCGATCTGTTTCAACTTTTGGTTGTTTATCGACAATTGGAAATTTTATGGGAAAGCGCTACAAGAATAGGATCAACATAATGAAGAATGGAAGTAATCAAGTGATTTAAACGCTGGTTAATTAGTCCTTCCAATATATTCAACAGTTCTATCAGTTTTTATTGACTTATTGTTTCATTCTCGAGGTTTATCAGATTGCGTGTTTTGATTTTATGATAACGCTTGCCCCTAATGGTCAAAGCGCGCGTAATTATGAAAAATCAAGTACAATTGAATTCAAACCAATGTCATATGACATTCACAATGAAGATGATGATCTGATGATCTAGTGTTCTAATTAATTGATTGATTTCATCGGTTTCTTATTGATGTTTGTTGTTTATTTGTGGCGTTGTTTACACGCCTCCTTTTTTCCAATTGAAAGAACATCAAGATCTTTAATTTAATTCTAGAGGATCTATACATGTTAAATCTTTTTTTTTGAATAATAATACTAACAATTATAATTATAGATGGGTCTTTCAATCTCAAAATTATTACAAGGCCTTTTTGGTCGCAAAGAAATGCGTATTTTAATGGTTGGTTTAGATGCTGCTGGTAAAACCACCATTTTATATAAATTAAAATTAGGTGAAATTGTTACAACTATCCCAACTATTGGTTTCAATGTTGAAACTGTTGAATATAAAAACATTTCATTCACAGTTTGGGATGTCGGTGGACAAGATAAAATCCGTCCATTATGGAGACATTATTTCCAAAATACTCAAGGTATTATTTTCGTTGTTGATTCTAACGATAGAGATCGTATTTCTGAAGCTCGTGAAGAATTACAAAGAATGCTTAACGAAGATGAATTACGTGATGCTTTATTATTAGTTTTCGCTAACAAACAAGATTTACCAAATGCTATGAATGCTGCTGAAATTACAGAAAAATTAGGTTTACATTCAATCCGTCAACGTCCATGGTACATTCAAGCTACTTGTGCTACTTCAGGTGATGGTTTATATGAAGGTTTAGAATGGTTAAGTACTAACTTGAAGAACTCTGCTTAGATATAGTTGTTTTATATGTATTTTTTTTAATTCCTTCAAAAATGAAAATTTAATATAAAGATTGTTTGACATGATTTTACCAAATGAAATACATCTTTTTTAAAAAACAAAATTAAAGAACTATTAGCTTATAACTTTTTCAATTAACCTTACTTTTCACATTCCAAAACTTTTATCCAAAAAATCTCCAAAAAAAAATAACAATCAAAGAACCAAAGAGAAGAAAGAATAACACCAATAGAGTTAATGCATTTACAATAAAACTTATTAGTCATTATACTTTTTTTAACAATATCTTTTAATCAGTTTTTTTTTCTCTTTTCATTCTTATATGATTCTTTTATTAGAATCCTTGTGTGTTGTATTAAAATAAGTTGTCTAAAACAATATTTGGATTTGTAAATGGGGTATTCTTTACGTGTAAAGTAATGTAATTGTAGATATAATGTTAACCTCTAATCTAGCACGGTAAACAATGTATCTTGTAAGATATTATTCAAATGCCTAGTTCTATCTACAAGTGTATGGGTGTATTACAATTACTGGAGAAATAGATTTAATCAACGAGTCAAACACTTGTGGAAAGGTTAAGACAATACAAAATAAAATGTGCATAATCAGCATTATCTATGTAATATCTGAATTCTGCACAATAACAACGAAGAAATCTGTCAATTTTCACAGAGCCCTAACTTAAATCCTCCATAATCAGCTGACCAGTGACTGCCCTAAATTGTACACCTCTACACCACTTATAGTTATGCGTCTCAAACCGCTTTTCGTCTTTAAAAGAATCCCACTCAGAAAAACAAAAACAAACAATTCGCGACTCATCAAATTTAATGTAATAGCAGTTCGCGAATTCCATTTTTATTTACTATGGCAAGTTTGAAATGTTGCGTTTACCGATAAATTTCTTTGGAAAAATTTACCAACACACTCGCAGTTTGGTGGTTTTTTCAGAAAAAGCATATAGATTTTAACAACACTATTGTAACGAGTTAATAAAGGATCAACAAATAAGTTCAACAAGTTAAAATGGTATGTTTGAAGATGGAGATACAGGATTTATGAAAGAATACAAAGACAGAGTGAACTACATATATATTGGAACTGTGAACAATGAGATTATGAGTATCAAATTTATTAGAAATTTTATTGAATGGGTCATCAAGTAAATTTATAAAATCAAGCAAGGATATGAACATAAAAAGAGCATTATTGTTAACTACAAATGAATATGAAAGAAATGAGTATCATAGAAGATTATGGAGATTTAAATCAAACCCTCATAGAATACAATAAACTTTTGGAAGAATCCTGTATACTCGCAATAGAGAGAGTCAATATCAAATAAAGACTTAAAGTCTATGTTGTCACAATAATAATCACATAGAGAAAAGACTTAAGAGTAATCAGTATTATTATACCAAACGTTCATTTGATCAGAGTCTCATGTATTGCATTTCAAAATCCTTCTATGTTTGACCTTATGATCAAATTACTAACAAATTATTTCTTTTAGGCCGGTATCAACGCTTACGAATTAAGAACTAAATCAAAAGAACAATTACAAGAACAACTTGTTTCTTTGAAAAAAGAACTTGCTAACTTAAAAGTTCAAAAATTAACTAGACCATCATTACCAAAAATTCACACTGTCCGTAAAGATATTGCTAGAGTTTTAACTGTTATTAACCAAAACCAACGTGAAAATGTTAGAGCTTTCTACGCTGGTAAAAAATACCAACCAAAAGATTTAAGAGCTAAAAAAACCAGAGCTATCAGAAGACAATTAACTAAATTTGAAGCTAAACAAGTTACTGTTAAAGATAAAAAGAAACAAATTGCTTTCCCACAAAGAAAATACGCTATTAAAGCTTAAATTTAAAATTATGTTTTAATATATATAAAAGGTCATTATTAGTTTTTATTCCATTTTTTAATATTGGTATGAATTTTTTAATAAAAGGGAAAATGAATGTTTTGTAAAAAAAATTAAAGTTCTTGTATTTTAGATTATTTGTAGTTACTAGAAAAGTCGTGGTAATAGTGAATACAAGAGAGATATTAATTCATATTGCATTGTATTCATAATTTGTAATGGTGAGATAAACACTTTAAACATCCTTCATTGTTGAATCTTTATCAATTTGTTCTTGTTTAGCCTTTTGTCTAAATTCTAAAATTTGTTGTCTTAAATCTTCATTTGGTATAACATCTTCAAATTTTAATGGTTGTCTACTAAATGGATCTGTTGAATCACTTAATAAATGAGCTTTAATAGTTGAACGATCAATATTAACTTTTGATGTTGGTAATGTAACTGGATCTTTCATGATTGTATACATTAATGGATCTAAAAATTCATCAGGAACTTCACCTAATTCTTGTTCTTCTTCTTCTTCTTCTAATCTTTTAGATTCAGCTTTGTATGCAAATCCAATAAATTTATCAATAAATTCACCATTTGCAATATTTCTATTTGCTAAAATTGATTTAGCTTTTTCAAAAATTTCAATTTTAAAAGATCTTGAATCTTGTGAAACTGCTTGAATAAATTCAGTTTCTTTTGATAAATTAATGAAAACTTTTGATATATTAACTAATAATTCTCTTGGATTAAATCTATAATTCTCTGGATTTTTAACTTTTAAATTTGTACATCTTGGTCCAACTAATGAATCTAAATTATAATCCAACATACTTGCTAATCTACCAACAATTTCACTTTTAGTAAAAGCTCTTGGAACTTCTTGTGTAAATAATCCAAATAAATCAATACCTTTATTTGCTAATCCAACAAATGATTTAGCTTGATTTTCTGCACTTTGTAATCTTGATTGTAATTCTTCATCTGTACCTTCAATTGATGATTGACCTTTTAATCTTAATTCTTGTTCAGTTTGAACTGAATGAACTTCACCTAATTGTCTTAAGGCTTCATCTAATAAAAATGTTAAATCATTCAACATTCTTGCAACAAATCTAATGAAAAATTCTTCATTATTATCACTTTGCCATTTCAATTGATTTTGATATAATGGATTTTTCCAAATTTGTTCTAAAATTGATGATAAATGATAACGAGCATTAAATTTATCATAAAATTGTGAAGATGCACCAGTTTTCTCCACAATAACATAAAAATCTAATAATGCATAAAGTAAATTCTTATTAACTAATTCATTTGTATCAAAAATTTCAATCATAAATCCAGGTCTATTATCTTGAGTTGGTAATGAACCAATAAATAAAACTTCAACTAAATGACCTTTTAAATGTGGATTACCAATTAATTCAGGACAGCGTAAAAATGTAACTGCAAATTCAACAAAAGTTTGTAATCTTGGATTTAACAACATTGGATTCGCAATATATTTGGCAATATAATGACAATAGTTAATCAAACCTTCAATCAAATATTCTGGATAATATTTGAAAGGAATTGGTGCCTTTTCCCTGAAATAATCGGCACTATCAACATTTTCAAAACCAATAACATCTGGAACAAGAGGTAATTTAAGTGGAGCTTGAGGATATTTGTGAACTGGATCAATTAATCTAATCAAGAATGCACTTGCACCTGTAACAAATTCAAAAATTTCCAATTGTAAATCTCTATGAGTGAAAAATGAAACCAATGCATCTTTTTGAGATTTTAAACTTGATAATTGATCTTCTAATCTTTTCAATTGAGTTTTTGCAAAAAATTGCATTGGACTTGGTCTTGATACATGTTGTCTTAAACTTTCAACTTGTCTTTCAGCTTGTTTTATAGTGTTTTTCATTTTAGATTCTGTAAGTAATACACCACCAATACCATAATGTAAATAAGCTAAAGTTAAAAAAAAACAATCTGATATAAAATTTGGTTTTTCATTTCCAGCACTTGCACGAGATTTGAAATAATCTGAAGCTTCTGAATTTGTTGAATTAATTCTTGTTTCTTCAGTAATATCAATAAGTGAACTTTTACTGAAATAATCAATATCAATACGATCAATTTTAGTAAATCCGACATCTAAAAATGGTTGAGATAAACGAATTAGCACTAATGAAATGTTTGTAACAAATGCATTTGAAGATAATTTTTTAAAATCAGCATGATCACCTCTTCTTAAATGATTTTTATTTATAATTGTAGCAAAATATTTTAATAAATCATTTCTTGATTGTTCAGAGCCTCTTATAATTTTATTTGTAATGAAAAATAAACGATCTAATAAAATTTTATGTTCAGCTTGTAAAGATTCACCAATTTGTTTGATTTGTAACTTGGATTTTTCAGTTGATCTATCAAAATTATTATTTGCCACAGATTCTTGTAATGGAGATAATTTAAAAATTGGTCCTAAAATCGATGAAGTTTCAAAAATGGAAGGTTCAATATTTGGATTTAATTCAAATCCATCAATTTGTGTGAAAACTGAAGCAACAGATTTTTCATTAATAAACAATTGGAAAATATTCAAGATTAAAGTATATTGAGGATTGTTTAAATCTAAGTTTGGGATTAATTTAGTTAAAGATGGGATGAAAATATTTAAAAATTCCAATATTGTACCTTCTTCATTTGATCTATTAATAATTTGGATCAAAAAATCACTATAACTATTTTCATTACTAATGATATCTTTTAAAAATGTTTCAACATCACCATTTATAAACATATCAGGAATTTGGAATGAAACTAAACCATAACTTGAAGTTAATCTATCAATTTCAGTCAAAACTGAAATCTTTTGTTCTCTTAGTGGATCTTTTAATGTGATTTGTCTTCTTTCTTGTTGAATTTTAGACCAAGAATCTTTTAAATATTTGAATGGATTATTAACACCAATTTCTGACAATCTTTCAATAATAACACGATCAGTTAGTTCTGAATTAAATAAAGGATCTTGGTTTTCTTCCACCAATTCAGTGAATGTTTGTTCCAAAAATACTAAATCACGATTTGCTTTATCATTATCTAAAGTGACATTTAATATGAATTCAAAAGTTTTCTGTGTCCAAGCAGATATAGTTTCCTCCGGGGATGATTCATGTCTTGGTCTCTTTGGTGGTAATGAAGAAGCAGTAGATGTAGGTTCAGAGATACTAGTACTATTGGAGCTAGTATTATTAGTTGAAATTTGTGACTTTGTAGTGGTTGTTGGAATGGATTCTGTAGACTTTGCACTGATATTAGAGGGACTAGGACTTGCCTGTTGACTATTTAGCCTGGCTAGTCTTTTAGCTCTTATCTCATCAGCAGACATCGTTATATAGCCTTTATATCACTCTTTTAGCTCTTTATTGATCTGATATTAGTCTCCTTCAAATCCAAAGATAAGTAGTCAATTGTCGTTCAAAACACCTGAAAAAAACCTGGAAACCCACAAATCAGCACTCAGCAAACACAGCGCTCTAATCCAAAAGCAGCAATTCCTTGTTTAAAAGCGACTTAGAACTCCTAATGAACCAGTGTCTCTTCAACTTTTGATATCACTTTTTGCAATTTGCAATCGTTTGTTCAAAATTGACATAAATATCACCAAAATTTCGCGAATTTTGAATTTTTGCCATCAAAATTCTGTCATGTGACTGAAAACGTGACTTTGGTTTCGCGAATTTCTTTATTGTTTGTTTTCAATCAACACACTTTTTTCAAATGAAAAATCAGCTTTTTGAGGGTTCAATCAAGGCTTTGCCCAAAAAGTCTGTTGTTAAACTCCCAATTAACTAAGAATATCATTTATTATGGTGAGTTATACCAGAAAATTAGTTTATTTCCAAAAAAATCAATGTTTTACTAACTGTTGAATAACAAAAGACTGAAGATAAAGTTCAAAATCAACCTGAAAATGAACAACCTTCAACCGGTCAAGTTCCTCAAATTCCTGAAGTTTCTTCATTACCACAAAATCCTCAATTGAATCAAATAAATAACAATAATAATAATGCTAAACCTATAAAATCAAATTATTCACCAAATCAACATCAACAAAGACCACAACAACAACAACAACAACAACAACAACAACAATTAACTCAAGCTTTGAAAAATGCACTTTATAGTGCAAAAGATCGAATGTTTATATTAACTTTAGAACAAGATTTAATTCAATTCATTTCCTCAAATACTGATTCATATCTATTAAGACCAATGAATTCATATTATAGATTATTAACTCATCAAACTGCTGAATATTATAATTTAGGTCATAGTCTTCATAATGATGGTACTTCAATTTTAGTTTTTAAGAATTTTGGTGTGGAAATTAATCCAATAAGATCATTATCTTCAATTCCTTATGATTTTTCAATTCCTTTACAAAATTTACATCCTCAATTCCATGCTGCTCATTTACAACATCATCAAGGTTATTCAGCTACTGGTGGTGGTTCTCATCCACCTCCTCCACCTCCAGGTATTGTTCCAGGTTCTATTCCTGGTGGTCCTCCATTTGGTTATCTTCCACAAGGTTTACCACAAGGTCTGCCTCAAGGTTTACCACATGGTTTACCACGAGATTTATCTCAAGGACCTCCTCCGCCTGGTTATTCCCCAATTCAACAACATCAACAACATCAACATCAACCTCCTTTCACACAACCAACTAGTGTTGGTTCAAGTATAAATCCAAATAATGATTCAATCAAATCTCCAATATCGAATATAAGTACACCAAATGATGTTGGTAAGAAGGAATTCAAATTAATGAGACGTAAAGATGATGATGTAAATGAAAAAGATGAAACTTTGGGAAAAAAAGATGATAAATCAACAACAACCGCTTCAGATAGATTAAATTCTAAAGAAAATGAAGATCCAATTAAATTAGAATCTGAAAGAGCTTCAAGAGAATCAATATATCAAAAGGCAAGAGAACGTATTTTTCAAGCTGATGAAGATGAAGAAGATGAAGATGATGATGGAGAAGATGAATCCAAAATTAATAATAACAATACCACAAGTCCTGATATCCCAAGAATAATACCACAATCATATCAAACACATATACATTCCCCAATATTAACAAATCATCAACCATATCAATCTATACCAATACAACAATTCCCATCATATGGATATCCAACACCACAATCAAATACTACTACTACATCTCAACATTATCCAATCTCATCACCAAATTCATCATATTATTATCCAATTTCTTATCCTGGAAATGTGATACCATCACAAACTGCTGGATATCCACAAGGATTTTCAAACAGTGCTGGTACTACAAGTACATCATCAAATGGTAATGTTAATGATTTATCAAATCAATATTATTATGCTCAATCAAGTCCACAACAATATCAATCACATCATAATCATCATGGTCAAGGTCAAGGTTTTAGAAAAGGTAGAGGTGGATATAATTCAAATTATAAACGAAATTATTCAAATTATAATAATTATAATAATTCTGGATATTATCAACAAGGTTATAATAAAGGATATCAAAATAATCAACAAAATAATAATCAATATCAACAAAATAATCGTGATGTGAATTTAAATAAGGAAAATGATGAAGATAATAATGATGAAGAAGAACAAGAAGAGGAAGAAATTTCACAAGATTTAATTGATAAATTACGAATTGATGATGAAAAATCTGAAACTCCTAAAACTGAAGAATAATGTTTGATTTATAGGTTAATAATTTATATAGAATTACAAATCAAAAATGTTATTCATCAATTAAATATAAATTTGTAGATATTAATAACGTATGGTATACAAAAACTTTTCTTTAATTAGCCATCTATATCATATCTTTCATCTTTCAACTTCTGTCTCTTCTTATATATAGGTGTATGGTATATGTATAATCATTTTTTTACAATATCAACCCCCCAATTTAAACTTAAATGAGTAACTTTATCATCATCAATAAATTTAGATTGAGCAGAATATGAACCTCTTGCTAATAAACCACTTGGGGCTTCAGTTTCAGGTAAAATAACTTCATAAAATGGTTTATCTTTTGTATTTGGAGCATAAGAACCTAAAGGATCTTCAACTTTATCAACTCTTATACCTGCTTTTTTTATAGCTTGTAAATATTTTATACCTGTAACAATTTCATGTTGAACTTTAAATTTAATTTTTAATTTATATATTGATTTTTCTTTAATTTTAAAATAATTTTTTGTTAAATTTTCTAATATATCATTTTTGGTTAAATCAACAACAATTGGTGATTCACCATCAATTAATAATGACATTTCTAAAATAACAACTCTTCTATCATCATTTGGATCAACTGGTAAAGGTTCACCACCTAATAAACCTAATGATTTTTTCCATTTTTGTAAAGATTCATCTTCTGCATCTAATTTTGCATATTCATCAACAGTTTTTTTAGCAGATGGAATATAACCACTTTCAACTTCTGGAATTAAATCATCACCTTCTTGTTTAGACATATTGAATTGTATTATGGGTGTTTGATTTGTATATATATATGTATGATTAGATTGAGTGCTTATTCAATATGACGCGTATGTTTTATTATTAATTTAAAAGTCAAAAACCTGAAAAGTACTTATGTGCCTTAATAAAAAGAGTTCCAAATCAACAACAATTTGAATTTTTTAAGAATTGAATATAGATGTAGGTACGATCTAAAAATATCAATTGACAGGAATGTTCTATTGTACTGAGTCACTGAGTCAGCCGAATGTGTTCTAAGAATTTATTTTTTTCTAGAGAATTCCTGAAGATTGATTCAATTCCTTTATAAAACGTCTGCATTGAAATGTTTCAATTTTGATTCAATTTTGGTTTTCAGATTCGAATCGGAATGTTTTTTTATTTTGATTTTGATGATGTAATTGCTTTGTAATCATTCTGTCAATTTTATTCAGTGTCACTATTAAGTATGGAGAATAATAACTTGAAGAATATTAGTGGGTACAGGTCTTGTTCAAGGGTTTTTAGCTTAGAGTGGTGAGATTGGTGTGTTGAATTGATTATTTTGCTTTCACTCAGAATAGACTGGCAGCTTCCATTTGTTGTCTGTTGTGTTCCAGCCTTATCAGTTTAATTATGTCTCGGTGCAAGCCGAAGATATAAAGACTTGAAAAAGTATATCAATTCAAACGTTTCCTAAAAAACTCAATATATAGTTGGATAAATAGTCATAAGTCACAAATGTATCAATTACCAGATATCGCTACACTCCCTGGATTACCACAACAAGAACAAGATCAAGTATTAATCCATCTTTTCGAAGAATCAAATACTTTAATTCAATACTTGAGACCTTATCTATCAACTCCATTCACATCATATTTAGATTTCATTCAAACTTCAAGAGATGCTTTTTTAAAACTAGTAAATGATCGTGATTTAAAAGAAATCCAAACAGATTATAGAGTTCATGATATAATTTCATGTCATCCAAGATTAGGTGTCCCCAAAACGGTTAAACTTAGTGAACATTCAAGTAAAGAACAAGCTTCATTACAATCAAATGATGAAATAATTTCAAAATTTATTAAATTAAATGAAGATTATGAATCTCAATATCCTGGTTTAAAATTTGTATTATTTGTTAATGGAAGATCAAAAGATCAAGTCATTGAGTTATTCAATTCAAGAATTGAAAGAAATGATTATAAACAAGAAGTTATTGATGCTTTAAATGCAATGTGTGATATTGCTATTGATCGTTATAAAAAATTATCTGCAAAAATATGATATTAAGTGTACAGTATAAATCAAAATCAAACATGTATATTAAAAGCAAACAAAATTGTTACAAAAAAAAAGATGTAATTGAAATATTATAATGATAAAATGAGATGATCAAATTGTATAAAAAAATAAAAATATAAAGAAACTGAATCACACATTAATTTTACATAACGTCGCTAATCATAAAAGTTTTCGTTTTCTGTCTCAAATGCCAATCAAATCACAAGAAATAATCTGGAGTTTTTCTTGTAACTGTTGGTTCACCTGGCCTTACACTTGGATCATATTGTAAAAATTGTCTTGAATGTTGTTCATCAACTTCCATAATTGCAGCTTGATTACCACATCTATAACAATAATTTGGTGCTGAAAATATAGTAACAACAGATTCTTGATGAGACCATGAATAACCTTCCATAACCAATTGATGAGCTCTTGCAATTAATGATAATCCATTAGTATGATTGAATTGTTCACTAATATCTTGACCAAAAGTGAAACCAGCACCTCTTGGACTAATACCCCATCCACCTCTATCATCAGGATCTGACCATAATAAATCACACATTGGACCTTCATGTGGAACTTCTTGAATTCTATTCAATTCACGAACTTGATCTATAGTTTCAATTAATGGTGAAAGACCACCATGTAAACAAAAAATTTTATTATCAACTAATGCAGTAATTGGGAAATAATCAAATAAATCTGTAAATAATTTCCAAACATTTGCAGAACCATATTTTCTTAAACATTCATCATAAAACCCATAAACTTGAGTAATTTGTCTTGATTCATGATTCCCTCTTAATATAGTGATTCTATTTGGATATCTAACCTTCATTGCAACCAAATAACTTACAGTTTCAACAGAATAATAACCTCTATCAACATAATCACCCATAAATAAATAATTTGTATCAGGACATGGACCACCAATTTTAAATAATTCCATTAAATCATGAAATTGACCATGAACATCACCACAAATTGTTACAGGAACATTAACAGGTTGAACATTTTCCTCAAATTGTAAAACATCAATAGCCATTTTACATAATCTTCTAACATTTTCTTCAGATAAAGGTTGACATTTACTTAAATGTTCAATCCATTCATCTAATTGATTTATATTTTGTGATGATAATTCAGGAGGTGGACCTTCTTTTGTTTGGAAAGGTTGATTGAATGAATAATCTCCTGTTGAATTAACTTCTTCTTCTTCAAGACTTGTATCTAATTCTACAGCATCTTCCATTTGAACATCTGTATCTAAATCCATTTTGGCCTAATTGTATGATTATTTGAAGTATTGATTTCTATAATTTCTATTCTTGTTTGTGAGTGTGATGAAAAAAGTTGTTTTCAAACTTTTGTTATAAATGAGTATAATTTGTTGTATTTATGATTAAATGCTAAAACTTTCAAAAAATTCTTGATTTGAAATGCTTTTTGATTTCTTTATATATCAAAAAAATGATTATTTTTGATCCTTATTCTTTTTGTTCTTGTTTATTTCAATGAAATTGTGGATCACCAATTCCAAATAATAATATTTTGTTGTTGTATATAATTGATTAAAGTAAATTAATAATTCTCAAAATTATGGTATGGGATATTAATTTTCTTTCCAAAGGCAAAGGCAAAAAAAAAAATTGAAAATTCCTTTAAATATTTGAGTAGTTAACCAGGGAAAAGCACCAATCAGTATTCACTCAATGGAACAAGTTCAAATGATACACTTTTGTAAAAGAAACACTAAGTTTAATTTGGGTAATTGAGATTTGAATTGGTTGTCGTTTCAAGCTTTGTTGTGGTTTTGGCTTTTTGGATTTCGTCGCTTTTTTTGCGTTGAAGGGGATTTTTCGCGGTCGGGTGACACCCTTGTTGTTAACTATGGGGAGATGAGTTTTAAGTGGGATTTAAGTAGTTTTAGAAAGGTTAATTAGTTGTTGATTGTGATATTGTTACTCTTGAGAATTTGAGGTTTCGAATGGTGTAATTTTCATGTAGATTTGTAGTGGTTAAGGTGGTGGAATTCATGGTTGTTTTGTAAATTTAGTGATAATAGTTAAGCGAGTTTAGTGTAATTTTAGAAACGTTAATCAATTGAATTGGAAAGCTGGTTATAAGCTGATACATACTGAATATTGAGAGAATAAGAAGATGCTTGGAAGCCTTCAGCTTATCTTTAATCATAGAAATACGTCTGTATTAATTAACATCTCAAAAATATTATCATTATAGTATAATGTCTCAGAGTCACAGTGGGTATTAAAGAAGATATAGCTGATATGAGCGAAATACACATGCCAATAATTGTGTCAACTTATAACCAAGGTCTTAAAGACTGCAAATCAACAGTAACAACATCATCACATACATTACAACTAATTAATATTGTTTGACATATAAATCAGAAAATTTAACCACTGGTATAAAATATAGTCAAAAATATCCAAATATGGAAATTTTCGAGAGTCGTAAAATTTAAGCAAGCACAAAACATTTTATACGTCAACAATTTCATAGATAATAGATCAACATATCACAGATTGATATATTTTGAGATGATTTCCATATAATTCAAACAGCTTACCAAATAAGATCATAATCATGTCATCACCACCACCTATAGCATCAAATTCAACTGAACATTCAGCACTAATTAAATTATCACCATTTTTACAACCTTGGAAACCAACATTATTAGCATATACTGCATCTTTAGGTTCAGTTGCTGGTGGATATCCATTAGATTCAATTAAATCACGTATGCAAACTCATGGTTTTAAGAATATAACTGGTGCTTTTTTGAACACTGTGAAGAATGAAGGTTTAAGAGGTTTATTCCGTGGTATATCATCACCAATTTTCACAATTGCAATATCAAGATCTTTAAACGTTTCAGTTTTTTCCATGGTTAAACCTTATACATCTAAATTATCTTTGGGATCAGGTGATAATTTCAATCCAGTATTAAGAGTCTTGGGTAATAATTTACCAAGTTCATTTGTTTCTGGTTATTGTGCAGGTTTTATAACAAGTTTATGGGCATGTCCTTTTGAATTTGTTAAATTATTTTCACAAATTTCATTCTTGGAGAATAAATCCAAGATTGGTAATTTGGAAGCATTAAGACAAATCATTAATAAGAATGGGATTATGGGATTATATACAGGTTATAAATTTCAATTTTTAAGAGATACTTTCGGTGCAGCTATTTATTTTACATCATATGAATCAATTAAATTAATTTTAAATTCATTCTTAACTAAAGAACAAAAGCATGAAACAAATTCTATAATTGATAATTTCTCAAATAGTTGGATTTCAATTGCATTATCAGGTGGTCTTAGTGGTGCATTATGTTGGATTGCAATTTTCCCATTTGATACTTTAAAAAGTTTAGAACAAAAATCTTTAATTTCTACAATAGTTAATAAAGATTATAAAACTATAGATACATTGTTCCTTAGAGGTAATATTTATAGAGGTGTAAGTGCATCTATCTTAAGATCTTTTTTCACTAGTACATTGTTTTTCTCAACTTATGAATATTTGATGAAAGTGGTGGCATAGAATAAAGATTTACATTTATTTATGTATTTATTTATGTTTAATAAAGAAAAAATAGTGAAATTAATTGTAGAAGTTGGATTTTACTAATATTACAGATTTCATATAAGTTGAAATTTTCGCTGTTAATCTCGCCTAAACTTGATCTAAACAAACAAACCCCAGATTGAAACCATTGGATATCAAGACATCAATTGGAAGACAGGTTCCAGGGTACAGGGGTGACTCTACAATAAAATGAATGTCCCATGAAGCGCTTGGGCTGAATTGGTGCTTGTTTGATTTCTTTATTAGTTCTTACTGGATCTGGAGGTTAACCGCTCAAAAGTTGAACATTACCTTGGTGAAGATCTGTTGATGTACAAGCTCAAGGTTTCTCGCAAAGATATATACTGACGATCCTGGTCTTGATTACTCTATAAATTGATCAGAGACTCCTGGTTTACATTGCAAGCTAATTTAATTCATCTCATAATACACAATCAAAACCAGTGACAATGACAACCACAACCACAACATATCCATGGTGGAAAGACTCCACAATTTATCAAATATGGCCAGCTTCATTCAGAGATTCCAATGGTGATGGGTTTGGTGATATTCCAGGTATTATTAAAAGTTTAGATCATATCAAATCCTTAGGGGTTTCAGTTGTTTGGTTATCACCTCATTATGATTCTCCACAAGATGATATGGGTTATGATATTTCAAATTATGAAGCCATTTATGAAAAATATGGTACAATGGATGATATGAATCAATTGATTGATGAAATTCATAAAAGAGATATGAAACTGATTTTAGATTTAGTTGTTAATCATACTTCATCTGAACATTCATGGTTTAAAGAATCAAAATCATCATTAGATAACCCCAAGAGAGATTGGTACATTTGGAGGAAACCACGTTATGATTCTAATGGGAATAGACAACCACCAACAAATTGGTTATCATATTTTTCAGGTTCAACATGGAATTATGATGAAAAAACAGATGAATATTATTTATGTTTCTTTGCAAAGACTCAACCTGATTTAAATTGGGAAAATGAAGAAACAAGAAATGCTATATATAAATCAGCTTTAGAATTTTGGTTTAAAAAGGGTATTGATGGATTTAGAATTGATACTGCTGGTAAATATTCTAAAATTTATGGTAAAGATGGTAAAACATTTGAAGATGCACCAATTGTTTATCCTGATCAATATTATCAACCATCAAGTCAATTTACAAATAATGGACCACGTATTCATGAATTCCATAAAGAAATGTTTAGTGAAATCACTTCAAAGTATGATGCCTTAACAGTGGGTGAAGTTGGTAATTGTTCAAAACAAGAAGCAATAGAATATGTCTCAGCTGCCGAAAAGGAAATGAATATGTTGTTCTTATTTGATGTTGTTCATCTTGGTTCAAATAGAGAAGATAGATTCAAATATAAAGGATTCACATTAAAAGATTTCAAAAATGCCGTTGCATCTCAAAGTGATTTTATTAAAGGCACAGATGCTTGGTCAACAGTCTTTATCGAAAATCATGATCAACCTCGTGCTGTTACAAGATTTGGTAACACCTCAAATAGTCAATTGTGGTCTAAATCAGCTAAATTGTTAGCATTATTACAAACTACTTTAACTGGTACTTTATACATCTATCAAGGTCAAGAAATTGGTATGACCAATTTACCAAGATCATGGGATATTGAAGAATACAAAGATATCAATACTATTAATTATTGGGCTGAACATAAGAAACTCAATCCAAATGATCCAGAAGCTGATGAAAACTTATTAGATGTTATTAACTTAGTCGCTAGAGATCATGCAAGATCTCCAGTTCAATGGGATGATTCTATTAATGGTGGGTTTTCAACTGGTACACCATGGACCCGTGTTAATGATAACTATAAAGACATAAATGTTAAAGCACAAACAGGTGATCCAAATTCAGTGTTTTCTTTTTATCAAAATGCTATTAAAGTTAGACAATTATATAAAAATTTATTCATTCATGGTGATTTTGAAATCTTGGATTATGAAATTGATAAATTATTCACTTATATCAAATCTTCAGATGATCAAAGAGCTTATATTGTTTTAAATTTTTCTGATAAAGAGGTCCCATTTAAACAGTTGGTTGATGGTAATTTGAAATTGATCAATTCTAATGTTAAAGATGTCAAGGAAGATACTTTAACTCCTTATGAAGGTAGAGTTTACTTGATTGATTGAGCAACTTAAAGCTCGTCGACTTATTATCATCCTTCCCTATGAAATAAATACACAAACCATTGATTATCCTAATCGAATTGTAAAGTTTATATGAGTCAAATTTTGTTGTACATAGAAATCTCCGCGAATTGAGCTATCGCTTACTTTAATTTTCAGCTACAAGTACTTCACAGTTTAGGACCTAAAAATATCAACAAAGACCTCCAGGCACATCATCTCCTATTCAATTGATTAAGAGTAGTACTCTGTTCCCTTTTTGAGCTTACTCTCTTTGAAAAAAATAGCATCTTTAGAAAAATCAGAGCCTCATATTTCATACCATTATTTCAACAAAAATTCAAAGGGATTAATAAACCAAACCAATACAAACAATCCGGTGTCCATTGATCACCTCTATTAATGCTCATATCCAAACTCTACACATCAATAATATAAATGCCTCCCAAATCAAATGGAGTCAAGACCGAGCCCAAAAAAGCTCATCAAGATGATGATATACAAGTTGTTAATACAGTGATTTCATGTCTTGATATAATTTCAAGACAACGTATAAACAAAGGTGTTAAATCAACAAGATGTACACATATTAGTTGTTTTGATTTATCAAGTTTTTGTGAAATCAATAGTATTCCACCATCATATTATGAAAAGGATAAAGTTGAATTCAATGAAAGACCAACAAGGTATGAAGCTAAGAAAATTGTTCAAGAAATTAAAGATGATCAAACAAATTCAAATTCAGATGCATTATTCCAATTGAAATTAAATGGGAAAAATGTAACGTTACATGCAAGGAAATTAACAGGGAAAAGGAAAGATTTTGGTAAAGAACTTCGATGTCCAATTTGTAATGTTAAGTTTTTACAAAATGAACTCATAGCTGATGATTTTATGATTACCTTATTGAAAAATGTACCCAGTGATGTTGAAAGTATTGAAATTGATGAAAGTATGATGGTTAAGCTAGTCAAAGAAAAAACACCTTTTGAATCTGAAAAAGTAGTTGAAGTTTTAGATATAGAATCTGAATCTGAATCTGAAAATTTAAAAAAATCAAGAAGAACTAGAAGAAGGAGATCAGGTAATAATAATGATAACAATAACGATCATGAGGATGAGGATGAAGAAGATTCAGATGATGAGCCAATAAGCTCTCAAGTAAGAAGAAGTAAAAGACATAAAAATGTTATAAAAATTGTTGAAATGAATGATGATGAAGATGAAGATGATAAAGATGGTCTTGCTTATGACAGCTTAGATGAATTGTTCAATGATAAAATTAATGGAACTTCTTCACATAAAGGAACTCAAGATGATCCTTTAGTTATAGATTAGGATTAAAATAAATGATGATGATTATGACAATAAAAATTTGTTACATATACAATTTGTAACCTAGTATATAATAAAAATGAAAGAGATTTCATATGTACATTAAAAATTTATAATCTAAATTTGTTTCATGCTGATTCGATTTGTTTGTTTTGTTGATCTGTTTGTTTTCTTTTGATGATTTCTATATAATTTGAAGGTATATAACCAGTCTTCCCATTTCTTGACCTTACTCTCCACCATTGACTTGGTTTACCCATAGGATCTGTCTTGGATAAAATTGCAACCAAGTCACCATCTTTCATTTCTAATTCAACATCTTTATTTTCTGGTACGAAATTATATAGAGCTCTACCAAATTCAATTGATGATAAATCAGTTGGTGTTTGACCATTTAATTGACCTCCTGGGCCATTTGGATAACCTCCTGGTAACGGTAGGTTTTTTTGACTTGCCAAATGTGTTATCAATTTTTTCAATGCCCATGGTGTACCTATAGCCATTACTAAAAAGATTAATAAAGGTTTAAAACTTATTCTCTTTGTTGATTTATTTGGATCTGAGTTTGAAATTTTTTTAGCTTCAAATTTTTGAAATTCATTAGCATCTATCTTGATATTTAACTGTCTTCCTGTTATTTTGGCCAATAGCTTTTTAGCATATTTGATTAATGCAAAAATCCCCAAGAATGAACCAAGTGCATTTTTTAAATGTCCAAATTGTTCTGCAACTGAAATCATTGTGAAAAAGGAACTATGAGTCGCCATATATGTAGCTTCTAACATCTGTGCAAATCCACCAAATGCACCTATTATACTTTCAATCAGTTGGAAAGTTGCTTGAGTACTTTCAGCAAATCCACCAGGACCATTAGCACCAGGATTTTGTCCATACATCCCACCTGATCCATATCCTCCATATCCACCACCATATCCTCCATATCCACCATATCCACCACCATACATTGATCCCATACCACCATATCTTGATCCATAACTCCCTAGACCACCCATACCGCCTAACCCACCATATGAACCATATCCTCCCATACCACCTAATCCACTATAACTTGAACCATATCCACCCATACCACTTCCAAGTCCATAAGAATCACCATAAGAGTATGGAGATGTTGATGTCATCGAGCTTGTCAATGAAGTTGGTCTTTCAGGTATTGAAGGTTCTGAACTTGTTGATGTATTTGTTGAAGCCGAGGTTGTTGATGATTGAGGAAGTTCATTAGATTGACCAGACGCCACTAAATTAAAAATGTTAGTATACGAGATTGAATAGTCTCTCTTGTCGTTTGACACTCACCAGCTGCTGAAGTGCCAGCACTTGCTTCCCATGGTTTGGGTCTTGGAGCTGACGACATTGATTCTGTAATGCTTTTACTTATACCACTTCCACCGAGTAATAATGATTGAGATGATTTAAGTCTTTCAAACAGAACAGTGAAGTATTTTTTTTTGCTTTGAACTTCTTGATAAGGATTTCAAAGTAAGTACTAAATGAAGGTCCCAATATATAGTCCAAATAGTTTATGTTAACATTCAAATTAACAAACTTCTCCAGATTTCAAATTGTATTTATCAAGTTATTTCTCATTTTGAACAATCGGAAACGTCAGCATCCAGACACCACTGATTTCCTTCTGGTTAGCGGGACACACCATAATAACCAATTAAAGATATGATTGTTCTACTAATTAAGTGCTTTTAGTTTTCGATATCAATTACTCGAATTACTTAAATCACCCATGAAATCGTTTATTAATGTCCTTTTGAAATTAAATCTATAAATTACCCACCGTTTTTGATGTTGATTGAATGTCTATATAAAAGTATCAACATTTTCCAAGATGTTAAAACCTTTCCGTATTTTGGTTTGATATCTTGAAACGTTTGATAATCTATTGATTAATTTCTTATCTTTGATAACTTGATTCGTGAGCTGTTCATATTGATTTAACAAGATATTATTATCTGCTTTAAGATATTTTATAGTTTCCATAAGATCTTGAATTAAATCATTATTCTCTATATTTGATTGAGCTTGTTGTAAAGTTTTACTGGTTTCTGGTAATGACTGCATTAAATTTGGACTTGATGATGAATCTAAATCTGAATTTTTAGATATTGTGGTTCTTGGTGAACCATTTGGTGTAGTTTCATTTGATTTTTCAGCTAAATTTGTTAAATTATCTAAATCATTTTCTAGTTTACAATTTTTTTCTCTTAATTTTTTCAATTCCATCTTGTGAGTTTCTTTGACACTATTATGCTCTAATTTTAATTTATGTAATTCTAATTGTACAGAATCCAAATTTGATTGTAATTGATCATTCTCTTGATTAACAACACGATATTTAGCTTCATTCATTCTTCTTAATTCTTCATTTTCTCTTGATAATTTTTCATTTGCATCCTCTAATTCTTTTAGTTTTTCCTCGTGAAATGGTGTTTCCCATCCACTTTGACTCAATACAGGTGATGTATTCTTGAAATCTGATTGTATTGGTTGAAATTGAGTATTTGAAGATAATGAACTTAATCTTAATGAGGGAGATTTGTTTGGTGATACTCTAGCACTTGAAGAATACCATTCACCTTGTGGTAGCATTGAAGGAATATGATTTGAAGAGCCATAATTTGAAGATGCTATTGAATTAAGAGATTGATTAGATCTGGCACCTGGAGGTGGAACACCTCTAATTGAAGGAGGCGGCATAGAATTGAAATATTGTTGTTGAGCATAAGGACCGTTTCCATACTGTGTTTGTTGCTGTTGAGGTTGATTATATTGTTGGTAAGGACCCTGATGATAAGTTTGTTGATGAGGAGGAGGTCTAACAGATTGTCTTTGTTGATTAAACTGTTGGAATTGTTTTTGAATTTGTGTTTTATGTGATTTCTTAGAGTTCAACACGTTTAATGAAGTGTTTTTCAATCCATCAGTTCTTCCAGCATCTACAAGATGGAAATTTGGATGTTGATGATGATTCTCTTTCTCTTCAAACCCTTGGGACATGATTGATTGATTATCCATCCTTCTCTCTATAATCTTTCTCTCTATAAGTTGTGTAAGGACGTGGAATGTTAAGTGCTTTAATCACTTGGATACCTTATGTTGTTGCAGTGATTTCTTGACTTTCAGAGTTCTTTTAAATCCTTTATATTTCTTGTAAATTAATTCTGGATTCTGAATATTTTTCTTTGTCTATCCACAAAAAATTTGACGCGCTTTTTCTCAGACAAGTTCGTGACGCGTACGCTCTAAAAAAAGCTCCTCAAATCTTCAAACATACACAATCAGACACTGCGATACTGCGATGCTTCGATAAGTAAAGACAGATACTAAAGAGAAAAACAAGATAGTATTCAAGCGTATTCAGGAAACCCTTCATCCCTCACTGTCTTTCGAATATGCTCTTGATCTACAAAGACTCCTGCGCTCCGTTTGTTCCTGGCGACGGTAGCTCCTCTTAATAGCCATCAGACCTTCCGAAAGGAGTTAAAATTAAACACCAAAGGGGAAACAAACAAATTAGATCAAATCATCATCACGAATAAGGGAACTTGGGGTCTAGACTTCGATATTATATAACCTATATTTTCTGTACTCTACGAACGTTATAGTATTATAATCTGGTTGAATTCATGTTCATTTTCATTATATAATACATAAAAACTTAATTGTTTATTCTTCTTAAATTTCTCCTATTTTGTAATTGTGACAGATTCTTTGATTGAATTCTTCTACTATGTCTAAATCCTTGATTTTTCAAATCAACTGCATTTTGGAAAGTTGTATCACCTTCACTCAAATCTCCATCTGATGAAACATCTTTATATCTCCCATCACTCATAACTTCTCTTTTCAGTAACACCACATCATCTGAATCTTCATCTTCATCTTCATCTTCAAGATCTTCAATGTCATCACTATGAACATCTTTATCATTTTCATTATCGTATCCATTATTTAAAACTTTTGCTTCATCTTCATCTTCCTCATCTTCACCATCTTCACTATCACCACTGTAATCACTTGAGCTTCCACTACCACTTGAACTATCATCACCTGAACTCTTATATCCAAATGACATACGTTTATAAATAGCATCCAGTGATGATCTAAGTGAATTTCTAGCTTCTTCATCTCCATGACTTGTAGTGCTAATAACAGTTCCATTTGTAGTTGATGGCTTAATAACAATTTTCTTTTCATCATCTTCTTCATCATCAGCTATAATAACTTTCTTTTTATGAATTGGTTTGATTTTTTTATTTAAATCCATACCTGGAACACAAATTTCATATTTTTCTCTTGAAAATAAAGAATTTCTTAATGGGTCATCTTCATCTTCATCTTCATCAATATCTTCATCTTTTGGTTTAAAAGTATCACCAATTTCTTGAAAAGTTTGAGCTTCAATTGGTCTTGGATCATTTAAATCATCTTTAAGAAAATTTGCCAATATCGATATATTATCTTTTAAAGGATCTGGGATTTTTATATCTTCATCTAATTCATTCTCTATCTTAGCGACTGCAGTATCAACTGAAGATCCAACTTGATTAATACCACATGATGGACCGAAAATAACAGGTTTCCAAAGTAATACATCAGAATTTAATTTAACATAACCTTTAGCTTCCCATTTGGCAATGACTTTATCGACTAATTCCAGATTAATTTGTATTGCATATTTTCCAGTTATAGGATCTCTTAATAAACCTTCGATTTGTTCCAATCCAACTATAACATCTGAAGTCATCATACCCGTCATATTTGATAATTGTGTTATAGAAATTTTTAATTCATTTTTCTTTTCATTTAAAAATAAATTTGAATAAATTTCTTTCAATGTGTATGCAATTTTAACTTTCCAAAAATTTCTATAACTTAAAAGACCTAGATCTGATAATGGTTTTTCAGGGGTACCTGATTTAAATTCTCTTTTGGATAATAAATATGAAAAATCCATTAATAAACTACCATATCCCTTTCTTTGATAAATTGGTAATGTTAAAATACAACTTAAATTATAATTTGTAGAATTTAATTTTTCTTTAGAAAAATAACCAACAAAATGATGATGTTTTGTAATTGGATCTTGTTCAGTAAGGACATAAAACATAAAAGGTTCAACATCATAATATAAAGTTTTTGAATTTAAAAATAATTTTGCTAAAAGACATAAATTTTGACAATAAATAACATTTTTCCTTCCATCAATTTCAAAAATTGAATTTTCTTTAAATCTATAAATCTCATTTCCCGGTGGATGGAAAACATCACATTTTAATTTATGACGATGTAAAATATATTTTGAACTCATATATTTGAGACAATGTTCACAAATGTATAAAACTTTATTCTTACTATATTCTTCAGGATATGGTGCTGTATACCAAGTTTTAATTTCAAAATCTCTAAAATGAATATATTTTATTTTGGAACCTTGTTGATATTCATTCAAATCATAATCATGATCATTTTTAATAAAATCTTGATTAATAATTAAACTATTATTTCTTATCCTATCAGGTTCAGATTTTTTCAATAATCTTTTAAATAATAATCGATCTTTCCTTGTTGGTAATGTTTTATTATTTTGTGATTCTCCTTTTGATAATGCACCTCTATAAGGTAATTCATCTTCTGATTCATAGTCTTCTAAATCTTGATCTTCATCACTAACATTAAAATCATCTAATTCATGATCAGAAATTTCTAAAAATTCATCTTTACCTAATGGTGAAGGTTCTCTAAATTGAAATAATTTATATTGAGGATATTTAATCCTTATATTAAATTTAGAATTTGTTCTATTGAATTGAACATTTGGATTATTTGATACTAATTTTGGTTTTTCAGGTACAGGTGATGAAATTAAATGACTATGACCATGATGATGACCATTACCATTACCATTACCGCCATTTGGTGTACTTGTAACATCAGGAGTCCGACTTCTTGATCTTCTACCTTCATTTTCAAAATAATGAGTAACAATTTCTCGTTTTCTTAAACTTCTTGGAGTATTTTCACCATTTATCGGATCTAATGACATTGCTCTTTCATGAAGTTCATCATAATCTTTATTATCAGGTATTATCAGACTCTTCAGTAATCTATCTCTAAAACTTTTCTTTGCCTGTGAAGACTGTGATGACGATGATGATGGTGATGATGATGATTGAGTATCTGGAGTTGATTCGTTTATTTGATTTGATGTATTATTTTGTATGGTGGAAATTGAATTTGTATCATTGGGTATTATAGAACCATTTTGTTCATGATCCTTCTGTTGATCTGAGTCAAGATCTATGTTGTTATTGAGTTGACTTGACATGAATTATATAGATCATTAGTTTAAAATCCTAAAAGATTATTATTAATTTGATATTAGAATGTCCTTGATGTAATAATAGATAACTTTATGAATTCAATAAAAGTAGAAAACCAACCTGGAAAACAACTTTTCTTCAATAAACTAGCACAACTAATGGCTTAATCCTCCTTAAACTACCTTCTTTAAAATAATATACCAACTTTCTCTATATTATCAATATTAAATTTCGTGGAGATACCGCGCGTCTTGTTCTTATTATGATCTTGAACAGAAACAACCAACTTCAAACCAGCACTTTCCTAGTAGTCAATACCTGAGAAACCTTCTTATTCTTTCTAGAAAAGTATCAAACAAATCAATTTTGTAACCTTGAATTGAAACGATTCTTCAATAACTTTGAATTGAATTTACAACCAAAATTTCTCACACAAAGAAAAAAATCAACATTTTCATAAACGCGCACGCTCAAAAACAAAAACTTTGGAAAATTCGCGGGTATATAACCCTTCATCTAACATATAACTGAGTTGATACATGAGCAGTTTTATGAACTAATTTTCTCAGCTTGAATCATGAAAAGTATATTATGGACATATAAATCGACTGATTTCCTCACAATTATTATATATGCTCTTAAATAGTATAATATTATTTAATTGATTTTAACAATTATACGGCCACTGAGGAAATATATAACTATAATAATATCCAATATTCCAATTATGAATAGTTTGATCCATTATTTTCGCTGGCTAGACTACATAGATAGTGATTTAAGAATTTACCATGTTGTCTATGGATATAACCTTTTACTTTATAACAAGGTTTATAGAAAAGTATTTATTGGTTTATGGAGAATCAAGACAAAAATTTGGTTTCCTATTAAATTTCACTTTTTAGGTAAAATATTTAAAGGAATATTTAATCCTCAAAAATCAACAGTTATATCTGATGAGATGCTTAAGCAATGTGTAATAGATTTTAAGTACTCGCAGAAACATTTGAGAGAACAGTCTGATGAGGAATATCAGAAGCCAGTTTTCCCCATGGAGATTTGGTATGAAATTTCAAAACATATGAACCCTGTAAAATTGATTAGAATTAATAAAACTTTTTGTGATTATTTCAGTCCTTTGATTTATAAAGATCTTCAAATGGTTTTGGTGATTAGTGATACCTCTAAGATCCAGAAGAATGATCTTACTTATATGAATTACGGACCTGATTTGGTGGATAATAATATTGACGATTATGGGATATATTTAAGATATCGAGAAGGAAAGAATTTTGCTTATGAATTTCTTGATACTACATTAAGGGATGAAGTGGGATTGAAAGCTGATAATTTTGAAGTTATTTACAAATTCAGTGAGGTTAAGCACATCTTGATTCATATCATTAATAATCCAAACTCTTATTTGAAGAGATATGTTGAGCAAATTAAGTTGGATGTTTCAATGTTAAGTGCCAATGAGTTAGACGCTCTAAAAAATAAAGATGGGATTATATATAAAAAGATCAAAAATGAATTATGGAAATCAAATCATTGTTCAGTATTTAAATATTATCCTAGATATTTGATTTTTTGCTTCACAATTATGGATATGTATATGAGTTGTCGATGGCAATTACCTGATTTAGCACCTTTCAATAGAGATTATAACAATCCATCTCTTATAGATCCAAATATAGCTAAAGATATATATCCTAAGAATGTTTATATGAAGGAACTTATGCTTACCACATTGCTTCATGATTTCATAAGAGATAAATGCAAAAAAAGGAATAGAAATAAGTTGGCATTATTGAAAAAAGGTCAGATGTTGAAGAGGTTGACACCATTTGAGAATTGGCATAAAAGAACTAAAGGTATGCCTATTGTATTTAATACCCTTGATGAGATGAAATTACGCAAAACTGCTAAGTATCAATCTAGATTGGTCATTGAAGATAGATGTTTCGAGACTAAGGATTTTACTGAATCTCTTTTGATCAACACATTGAGCTCTATAACATCGAATGAATTAAATGGAGGAATCAATTGTTCAATGAGTTTCCTTGGACAAGACCTCCCTCATGAAAGTATTACTCTTATACCTCATAATTATTTAAGAACTTCTACACTTGATTACACTCGGCCAGATTTTGTTGTTATTAACAAACCAAAGAAAAACTAAAAGCTCTAAGACTACTGGTGGTTGAATGTAGACGTAGCAATACTGTTATTTTCCCACAGATATTGTTTAATATAGAAATACATGGAAAACTATTTGATGATTTGATTATTGGTTATTGGCTTCACAAAGTTGTATATTTATTGTAAATCTTGCCATGCAAAACCGTTGTTTATCTATGCACAGGAATATTACTAATTTACTAATACTTTTTTAATAATTTTAAGAATATTTATAAAATCTATACATACAAGATAGAAAAACAAAACACAAAACTAAAATTTAAATTTTATAATTAATATTGAAACAATGCATTAACATACACATAAAAACGTTATATATTCCATAAACATAACAAACATAACACAACATTAGCAAGTCATGATATCATTGAACTGATGATCCAATAGATCATTTGATTCTTATTCTTTTTTTTTCTTTTATTCTTTTGTAATTTTTCTTATTTTGTATCTTTGTTTTTTTTTCTTTTTGAGCTTTTTATTTTTAATTTAAATGATGATGATCTTTATTTTAAAAAATTATTTTTATAGTTTATAATTGTATACTGATTAAATGATGATAGTAGATGATGATGAATGATAGATGATAGATGATGAATTATTAACAAACAAAATGACAACAAACAATTAAATTAAAATTCAAATACTTGGTTGAACTCTTGGACCCCAAATATTTGGAGAATTTGAACCTTGATTTTCACCTAATGATAAAGTTAAACCTTGTAAAGAATCATTAATATCACCAGGAGTTTCATTCCCACCATTACTTGAATTTGAAGATGAACTTAAACCTCTATAAGAATCATCTTGACTTTGAGATTGACCTTGTGATGAAGAAATTGGAGGTTGATTCTGAGGAGGTTGAATAAAATTTCCTTGTTGATGTTGAGGAAATTGACCTTGAGATTGAAACAAATTAGTTGAAGAATGATGATGAGGTTGAGAACCAAATGATTGTGATGGTTGATTATTAGAACCAAATGAATTTAAATTTGTTAAACCTTGATTAAAAGGTGCAAATCTTGACATTGCATCTAAACCTGGTGTAGTTGGTTGAGATTGAGATTGAGTAATTGGTTGACCACCAAAATAACCATTTGAATTTGATTGATTAATACCATTTGAACCAATAACTTGAGGATTTGAAGATTGAGCAATTTGTTGAGGTTGAGGAGTTTGTTGATTTGATTGATTATATAAATTTGGAACTCTTGTTGGTGTTGGATTATTTCTTAATAATGCAGCTGAAGATAATGCATTACTTGATGCACTATTTAATCCACCTAAATTAAAATTTGTTGGAATTCTATTTGATGAAGCAGATTGTTGAGATAATGGAGGTGGTTGATTTCTAAATCTTTGATTATTTGATTGAGATTGATTATTTGGGATTGTTGCACCACCTGTTGATTGTTGATTTAATAAAGGAATTGCTGAATGAGATTGAGATCTTAATAAAGGAGAAGGATCATGAATTAAAGTTCTTCTTTTAATTAAAATTAAATTTTGATCATAATGTTCTAATAAACCTAAAAATCCACATAAAATTGAAATAATTTTTTTATGATTTAAAGTTAATGAAGATGGATAAGCAATTTCATTATAAATTTTATCTTTATCATCTCTAAAAAATAATAATTGAGAATAATATTCTAAAGTTTCTGGATCATTAAAATCAACTTGTTGTGGAGGAATTGGTAAATTATTAATAAATGGAATTGGTGCATAAAATCTTTCAGATCCAGTTGATTGTTGTTGTAAAGGTTGTAAATTTCCAACACCACCACCAATTATAGAATTAATATTTTTCAATCCACCTTGTTGATTTCCAACACCACCAATAACATTTGGATTACTAACACCACCTTGAGGTTGTTGTTGTTGATGTGGATGTTGTTGTTGTGGATGTTGCTGTTGTTGTTGTTGATGTTGTTGAGCCGCAGCTGCAGCTGCAACATGAGCAGCAGTAGTTGTTTGATTTGAAACATTTTGAGAAACATTTTGAGAAATAATACTTGAAGCAGGAGCAGAAGCTGCAGAAATCATTGAAGCTATAGAAACATTTGAAGCAGAACGATGTTGTTCTTCTAATTGACCTCTTTTTTCTCTTTTTTCACGTTCAATACGTTCTCTTTCAGCTAATGGTAACATTTTTTTATATTCAACTCTTAATTTTCTACCACCAATTTCTCTACCATTTAATAAATTAACAACTGCAGTAGTTTCATCTGTTGATGTAAAATTTGCAAATGCTAATCCACGGAATACACCATTATCAAAATGATAATTGAATGCATAAGGTAATGGTAAATTTAATTTTGTCATTACATCTAATAATTGTTCTTTTTTAATTGCAAATGGAATGTTTTTAATAACAATTGCAGTTGGGATTAATTCATCATCATCTTTTTCATTTAATCCTTGGTCATTTTGTTGTTGTTGTTGTTGTTGTTCATCATTATCATCATTTTGGGATTGTTGTTTTTGATTTTGATTTTGATTTTGATCAGTAATTTTATTGGCATTATTGGAATCGTTATCGTCGTTATCATTAACAAGAGTACTTAAATCATTAACGACTTTTTCATGAATCTCGTTAGTTTCATCATTTTGTAAAGATGATGAATTTTGTTGAGGTAAAACATTTGAAGTACTTGGAGAAACTCTTGTTGATTGAGGGTCATAATTAGAATTTTGATTTTGATTTTGATAAACATTAGAGACATTAGAAATCCCACCAGCAGTAGCTTGTTGGGATAAGTTTTGATTTTGATTTTGATTTTGATTATTAATTTGTTGATGTAAATTTAAATTTTGTTGATTTAAATTATTACCATAGTTATTAACAAAATTTTGATTTTCAATTGAATTAACATTGATTTGAGAGCTTGGATTTGAAACTTCTTGTTGTTGTTCAATCCATGGAGTAACATTCAGCATACCTTGTTGATTTAACCAAGATTGTTGTTGTTGTTGTTGGTTTCCACCACCAAATTGATTATTACCCCCAGTTGAAGGATGATTACCACCATTTGAAGCAGGAGCAGAATTTGGAATAATAGAAGCACCAGTTGGACCAGTTGGACCAGATGAACCAGGTGCACCAGATGAACCAGGAAGTCCAAAATAACGTGATTGAGTTAATCTTGAACTATTTGGAGTTTGACCACCATAAGCAGAAGAAGCATAAGAAGATAAAGAAGATACTGAAGTACGTCTTTGATCTTGTTGATCCAAATTGTTTGGAGTTGTAGTGAATTGTCTTAAATCCATAACTTTTATAATTGTTTCAATGTCTTTTTGATAATAATAATAATAATATAATATGATATCACACGCCTTGCCTATATCTCTTGGATATGTATTGCATTAAGCGTTTGATCTAAATGGAAATTGAGAATGACCCGACTAAATTGAATGTGCAAGTCTGAAATGATAGTGAAATTCTAGTATAAGAGATTTATGATCACACTAATCAGTTAAAATTGTTTATAAAATTAAAATTCTCTTTATAAAACAGGTTTTTTTTCTTCCTTTTTTTTTACCTCCTGCGAAATCCAAAAATCAGCAAAACCCACGAGAAGTATGAAATTGACACGAAATGAACTTTGAAATGGTAGTAACAAGTATAATATGTTTTGTGTGTTATTGTATAAAGATCTGATTCAACAATCTCTAAATCCAAAAAAAAACTGATTTTGTAAAGGTTCAAAATAAATTTCTTTATTAAAATTCAGAAAAAAACTTGTCCAATTTTTGTATTTTGTTTTTTTCACCAATGAGAAAAAGTTGAAAATAATTTTGAATTTGGGATTTAAAATTCGCGGGTGGTGTGTGTACCAGGTTTTAAGTGAGTGTAATAGTAATAATTAGGTTATTAGTGGTGTAGGGAGTTGGTTATATTGGGTTTAATGGTGTTTAATGAGGTTAAATGAGGGTGTTTATGTAGGTGTAGTTGTTTCCTGTGTGTTTGTAGGGGTGTTGGTTGTGGATTTAGTAGGCTGTTGGACTTCAAATCAAACCACATGATGGTGAGAAATTAAGAGGAAATTAGAGGAAAGTGGGTATACAAGGAGTAATTTGGAAGTGAAGATGTATTGAGGGTTTCAGATTGTGACTATATACTTATTGTAATTTATGTTTAGTTATCACTCTTCAATCGTTAAACTCCAATTTCTTATTTCTGATTCTGAATCCTGATTTCTGATCATGGAGTTAACAATTAATAAACTCAAACACAACAGATCGCATTTCGGTCACTTTAAACACTAATATTGAATGATTGAGTATGATACAGTGACTATCATCTAAAGTAAACCACAGCTAGCATTAAAACTAATTACTTTATTAAAACTTTCATAGTAAAATAATGATTTATATAGTAAGTCGGATCTCACTTATAGTCACATGACTATCCATTTCCATTTCCGACTTCCCAAATGTCTTACTTGTCGACACCAAAATTGAATTTCTTTAACGTGTTCATTGAAACAAAGTCATTTAACCACAATTATCAAACAACACCAAACAACACCAAATCATCACATAATGTCATCTCCAGCTCCAGGTGGTCAAAGAACAGACATCAAACGTCGTAACAACGCCAAATCAAAAGCTCAATCTCAACAACAAACTCCAACTTCTTCAAGATCTGCTGGATTTGGTGGTTCAAGTGCAAATTTATTAAAATTATATACTGATGAAGCTCAAGGTTTAAAAGTTGATCCTTTAGTTGTTTTATTCTTAGCTGTTGGTTTTATCTTTTCTGTTATTGCATTACATGTTATTGCTAAATTAACTGGTAAATTTACTTCATAAGAAATTAGGGATTACGTTGATATTGATATTGAACTAAAAACAAAAATGGAAATTTAAATTGAGAAAATAATGAAAAAATCAATCATAATAAGTGTTTTATGAACTAATGTATACTAGCACACTTCAAATAATATTAATTTTTTGATCTTTATATGATTTTTTTGTTGTAAATGATACACAATGAAAATTGGGAAATAAGTAAACTTCTCATTTAGTCCCACATAATTACAAAAACATCTACATTATCCAAATCTCTACTCAATGTAAACTGCTTATATATGTACAAGTCTATTCAATCTATATATATCATTAGTTATAACACATCCCCTTATAAATCTTTCAATAACGATTTAATAACTTTTGAAACATGATCTTTATGAACAAAATGTTTTTCAACTTTATCATTTTGAATTTCCCATCCCCAATTTGATGCATATTGATCAAATAATGATTTATATTCATAATCTTCTGCATTATTCCATCTTTTACCTCTAATTTCAATTTCTACAATTGGGAATTTTGAACCAATTATAATAATTAATGGGAATCCCAACATTCTTGAATTTATCATTTTGGAACCAAATCCAACTTTATTCAAAGATCTTTTATCAAATGATATTGAAATATCATCATTTTTTAAAATTGAAACAACTTCATCAATATTTTCCCTAGTGGATTTTGGTGCTTCAATTAAAGAAACATCATATGGAGAAATTGATGATGGCCAAATTAAACCTTCTGAATCTCTTGTAACTGTGGCAATTGCTGCAACTATACGACTTATACCAATACCATAACATCCCATTTCAAATAATTGTTGTTTATTATCTTGATTTGTGAATTTTGCATTTAATGGATTTGAATAACGAGTACCTAAATAAAAAGTATGACCAACTTCAATTGCATTCATTGATTCTAAAAAACCTGATTCACAATCTCCACAAATTTCTCCAGTTTTAGATTCAACAATGGATAAATCTGTTAATGTGGAAAAATTATTTTTTTGAAATTTTGAAATTGGGAAATCTGGTAAATTTGTTTGATGATTAATTCTTGGATCCATAATTCTTATAAATTTTTTTAAAACTAAAATATCTTCATCTTCTTCTTCTTCACCTTTAAATTGTTTATAAATTTCTTCAAATGATAAATTTAATGTTGATAAATCTAAATCATCAATCTCGTCTTTTATAAAATTTGGCATAAATTTCCTATCTTTAGGGAAATATGCACAAATTAAAGTATCTTTATTTTCATTCAACATATAACGAACATCAGCTTCTTTTGCAGGTGGAGTATCTTCATTAGGATAACTAATTGTTAATTCTGAATTACTAACTCTTTCACATTCAGAACATTTATGTAACACATCTTCACCAGATTCATGAATATAATGCCATTCTTTTGATAAAGAACCACCAATATCACCAGAATCGGCATTTGCTGATAAGAATGGAATTTTTAAATCTTTGAAAATTTTTAAATATGTATTATTTAAATTTTCATACATCTCCATTGCTTCCTCTGCGGATTTATCAAATGAATAAGCATCTTTCATTAAAAATTCTCGACCTCTTAATAATCCACCTCTTGGTCTTTTTTCATATCTATATTTCCTAGAAATTTGATAAGTTAAAATTGGTAAATTTTTATAATTAATTTGAGAATTTTTTAAAATATTTGTAATTTCCTCTTCATGAGTTGGTGTTAGACAAAAATTTTCCCTGGTTTTATCAAAATCATCATTACCACTACCAATTTTTAATTTAAATAATTCTGTATTATTCCATCTACCAGTTTTTTCCCAAAGTTCTTTCCCACTTAAGCTACTTAAACTAAATTCTTCACCTCCAACTTCATCCATCCGTTTCCTTATTATTCCTTCAACTTTATGTAAAACTTTTAATCCTAATGGTAACCAATGTATTAAACCTGTAGATGGTTGATTTATATAACCTAAATCTTGTAATAATTGATGTGTTGAAATATCTTTACCTATGGTTTTAGATGTGAAAACATGTTGATTTGCTATATTTGAATTGAACCGTATGTTCCATTTAGGTACTTTAGATCTCCTTAATAATGACATTTTCAAATGAGCTTAATGGAAACTCCATACTAATATCTCAAAACATGTAATCAATTGTTGATGTTATAGATTTTTGATTTTCTAATTATATGAACAATTGACACTTGAGAATTTGACATGAATTTATTACTGATTATGTAATATATTAACTAATTTGTCAATATTAAAATTAATATTAAAGCATTGATTTTGTTAGTAAGTAATACTAGACAAATATAATAGTATTATCTAGAAAAACCAAAGATTGTTGAGCAGTAGAGAAAACTTCTTTTTATTGAGATTTTTTTTAGAAATTATTTGTAATTTTTGAATTTATCCACGCTGTAAATTTTAATTTTATTTTAAAATTAAACATAATTAAATTCACCAAATTTTTTTTCACCTAATTCTACCAAATTAAACAGACAAAAAGAATATTAAGGTAATTTCATCAATTAAATCACTTTTATTTGACTTTATTTACTTACAAAAATGTATTTTTAAAATAATTTACAATTAGTAACTGATATGTTGCCCTTAACAATAAAATCATTATAAGCTCTTAATAGAACAATACATTACCATGAATAGATTATCATAGATTTACTTTATCATAAAGAGCCAATATGATAGCTATAATTGATCATGTCTAAATACTTTCAAAGGATATGACAATAATGATTAATCATATGCTCATTAACAGTATTAAATTTAGCGCTGTATTATGCTATGATAATCATTGAACTGATCTAAAATTTACGTTTCTGTGTTTTTGTGTTTCTGTGTTTCTGTAAACCATCAATCAAAAAGAATTAATTACAAAATCAAAATTAGCCGCTAACTTTTGAAATCATTGATATAAATTCGTATTAAAATCTCCTTTTGAATTTAATTTGTTCGCTTTAGTATTTTTCCTTCTTAAAGTAAGTTTTTGGAATTATGCTTCTTTTTGGTGGGCCTAAGTTATGTACTCCTTTTTCTTTAAGATTTGTTATACTTAGTAGGTGATTCATAATTTTTTACTTTACCATTGATATTCAGCTATTAGTGATTTAATTTTGACTTTAAGTCTATATTATTTAAATATAGTTGTGTACATGAATTTGATTTAATATTATGCTACATGCTATGTTGACTGATTTTGATTTTAACCGTATCAAATTAGTTATAGTTATGTATAATACGTTGTTTAAACGTTTGAATTGTAGATTATAATTAATCTCTTATACTATTACTGACCCTATTAGCTCTCCTAGTAAGATATCTTTAGTTAATATGACTTTGTTTTTCCACTGTGTGTATTGAATTATGCTCCCGGTGTTATTATTGAAATCTTCACCAAGTCCAAATTTAATTATCACAGATCTGAACAACAACAATCAACAATTTTTAGGCTTTGATACAGAAGTAAATGTATGCCTTTTTATGACATCAATTGTGTATTACTACATGGTATCACTTCACTATGTAATTGTACTAAATCTGGGGCAAATTAAGGTAGCTATTTTGCTCATAGCAATCAAGATCAAGCAACAATAGAGTTTGACACAATTCATATATAAAGGTCAATTTTTGACCTTAGTTTTCAATATACAATTAATTACAATCAACAATCAACACAATATATAACACCAAAATGTTTAGAACAATTTTAACAAATCAATTAAGAACTCCAATCACAAGAACTTCAATTCGTTCAATTTCTTCAACACAACAAAGAAATTCAATAATTGATAGTGCTAAAAAGACACTTAATGACTTGAATCATAAAGTTGGTAAAGCTGCAGCAAATACTTTGGAAGCTGCAGAAGATGTATCACCAAAGGAAACATTGAATCAAGTTAATAAGAAAGTTGGTAAAGCCGCTGCAAATACAATGGAAGCTGTTGAAGATATAGATCCAAAAGATGCGTTAAACAAGGCAAATAAAAAAGCTGGTGAAGTTGCCTCTGAAGGTTTAAATAAAGCTGAAAAGGCAAAAGATACAATCAAGGAAAACGCTCAAGAAAAAATTCATAATGAAGAAGGTGTTGCTCAAGATTTGAAAACTGATGCTGCAAATACTTCATATAACGATGTTAAAGAAGGTGTTAAGAAGACTGCAAAAGATGTTAAAAAATCAGTTAAGAATGATGATCAAGTTCAAGGTGCTGTTAATGAAGGTAAAGAAACTTTAGATCGTGCTGCAAAGAATGCTAATGAATTAAAGAAAGATGCAGCTGAAAAAGTCAGTGAAAAAGCAGAACAATATAAATAATTAAACATTTAACACATCTTTATGAAGCATATAATATTGAAATTCAAATACATAACTTACAATTGAAATCTTTATTTGTAGATTAAAAAATTGATTTTTGATTAACGTTAGCTAAATGTCATATAATATATATAGTAATATTCATAAAAATCATTTAAATAAACAATTCATATCTCATAATAATAAAGCAAAAAAGAAAAGCACCAGGCTTTTTTTCATTTTGAATATAAATCATTAAATATAGTACCTAATGGAGGTAATTTTGGTTCAATTTTTAATTCTTCTTCTTCCACATCTGAACTACTACTTTCTCTTTTCAATCTTTCACGATCATTTGATAATACATGACCTGATAATCCCATAATTGGTGAAGCTGATCCAGATATTGAAGCTGTTTGGAAATTTGCTTCTTTAAGAAAAGAATTTGATCTTGTTCTTGGATTTGTAAGGAAAGAATTTGATCTTGTTTTAGATTTATATTCTTGATTTATTGTTATTAAATTTGTTATTGAATTTTTTCTTAAATTATAACGATCTGTTGATTGTGTATATGGTGTTATATATGAAAATGATTTTGATCTAAGAGAATCTTGAAACATTAAAAATTGATTTGTTGAAGTTGTTGAATTTGATCTTGATAATGAAGTTTGTGAAGATGATGAATAAGATCTTGTAAATGCTGATTTATGTTGTGGTGACATATGTGAAGAATGTACTGGGGTATGTATTGGATTTGGATGACTATGTCTTGTTGTTGTAGAACTTGATCTTTTAATTTTTGGAGTTGATATGATCTTAGAGGAAGGTTTTTCTCGTTCTAATTCTCCAATACGACTTATGATTTCACCTTCAGATCTTAAAGGTAATAATATAGATAGTTCTGCAAAACTTAAAGATCTTGACCTTCTTGATTGTAATAGTTCATCTTCATCCATTGTCCAATCAGCTTGTTCAATAAGTACACTTGAATTTTTTTCATCATCTGAATCTAAGTCTTGATAATGTGTGGAGTTCAATGGATCAACTATTGAATCTTTGAATTTTCTTTGTTCAGAAACGTTGTTATTCTTGTTGTGTTCAATATTAAATGACCATTTATAACCTGGTACATCATCGGCATTGGTTTTCGATACCAAGTTTGAGCTTGATGAACTTGATAACGAAGTTGATATTGGAGTGGAAGATTTTCTCTCTTTTGCTTTTGAAGAGAATTTTGAAACTAAAGGAACTTGATCTTTTGAAGAACTTGAACTTGAACTTGAAGTTATAGTTGTTGAAGTTTGCGGAGGTGAAGCAGAATTCGATGAAGATTCTTGAGTCTTAGTGTTAGGAGTATCTGCACCCGAGGTAGGTGTAGGGCTATTTGTAGTCTTTAATGAACCAGATCTAAGTCTTCTCCATCTAAATTGACAAGCATTTGGAGTTCTATGAGCAAAATGTGAAGCTATTTCTTTCCAACCCAATTTTTGTTGTTCTTTCAAATGACGTAGTAATAAATCATCTTGAGGATCCCATGAAGAAGGCGTTCTTGAGAACACTTTTGTAAGTTTTGTATCTGGTGACGATTCTGACATGGTTATTGGATTTCTATCTTATATTTTATTCATGAAGTTTATGTATAAGTTTAGAAGGTTTTGGTAGAAAGATGAGTTTTGGTGTTTTTTTCAGCGTTTTTCGAAACCGGAGGATATCGATGAGATGAGATGAGATGACAAATGATCCATAACAGATGGGGCGTTTTACAAGGGAAAAAGAGAGAAAATAGGTACAATGGATGTGCTTATAGTGTTTAGCGTAATGTGTTTCCTATATAAAAGTACTCTTAATGAAAGGTGTTTACTACTTGGTTATCGAGTTATTCCTTTGGTTCCTGAATTGTGGATGCAGATTCTCGATCAATTGATAGCGCGATGAACTTGAACTAGATATAACACGTTGAAGAGAAATAAGACTGGATTTGTTGTGAAAACAGTATCATATTTGAAGTCTACACTTAATTCTGATCTGGTAACGTTAATTCAGGCAGTGATATCACGCTATAGAATACATAGAGTCCTGTACCGTCTCAAATCATCAGCTCATCGCAGATAACAGCCACGAATCTACATAGACGCACTAAAATAACACCAAATTTTCGTATCTTCGTGAGCTAAACAAGAGCAACAGGAACAACCGAATCAATATACAAGCAGCTGAAGAGCAGATATATAGTGTTAACTGAACCAGTGGATCACCAACAATACCACTTTCGTCTTTGTCTTAGTTTCAAAATCATCTGTCTTTGTTCCATTTTTGTCTTTTGACTCTTAAAAAAGCGTTTTATTCTTCCTGATTCCACGGTACACGCACACAATTGTTGATAATAAATATCACGTGATTAGGCATCACTATAACCAGTTATTTAATTAAATTAAGTACATGATTTTGATCATATTGGTATTTGTTCTGGATGATAAGAGTAAGTTACTAGTGCTTGTTGGACTAATCCACTTTCCAATGTTCTTCATCTTGATCACCAAATAACTCAAATGCATAAACAACTAAAGTTGTAAACATATTAATCCAATTCCAAAATTGCCATGGGTGAACAATAATTTTTTCATCAATTCCACCAGTTGAATTAGATCCAATTCCATAATCTACCCACCATCCCCATATACACATTTCTTGATCTAATTCATTAGAATATTGCATCATTAAATGAGTATAAACTGCAATTATAATACATGGACTAAATAAATATATTAATCTCATGGATTTTGTTGATGGTGCTGGATTTTTCAAAGCTGGTATTATTCTTGTTGCTGAATAAAATACTGCAATTCTATAAGCTAAATTTATTAAAATTGATGGTGTAATTGTCTTTGATGTAACAATTAAAAATTCAATAATTGTTTGAAAAGAATTTGGAACATTTAATGTTAAAATTGTGAAAAATTGCGTAATTGAATCATTCTTTATAATAATTTTGGGTAAATTTGAAATTTCTTGTTTAATTTGATTTGTTGCACTTGAAATCAAAAATCCAATTTCTCTTGATGCTAAATTTGATAACTCTGGGAATGTTTCATAGATACATCTAACAATATATCCAAAAAGTAATGAGCTTTCAATTGTAGACCCTTTATTACTTATTATTCCATAAAGTCCTAAACCTGAACAAAAAGTTAAAATTGCACCAATTAACGAAGCTGAAATTATACCAATTTCAATTGGAGATGAATAAATTCTATAAAGGAAATATAATGAAGTTGTAATAACACCACCTGAATTCAATAAACTAATAATGACCCAACTTTCACTTTTATTTGATTTTAACCATCTAAATGTTTGTCCAATACTTTGGATAGCTAATATAGTACAAAGACCTTCTAATAATGTAAATAATGGAGTTGAATTTAAAATAAATAATTTCCAAGGTTTCAAAACAAATTTATAAAAAATTAAGTGTTCATTTTTTAAAATTTCATCACTTGAATTATTAAATATTGATAAAAATAAAGTTAATAAACTTGGTATTAATAAATGTTGAAAATAATAAATTGAACTTAAGACAATATTTTTTTTGAAAAAAACACTAAAACTTGTCAAGATCCAATAAATATTAAATAATGTAACTGTGAATGAAAGTCCACAATAAATCCCACCAATTTGGAAAGAAATTGGTACAGTTAAAATAATTAAAATCATATAAAATGTAGTTAAGATGGCACGTATTGTTGCTTTTATAGGTATTGAATTAGTTTGTTTATTATTACCATTGTGATTCCCATCTTTAGCCTTAGAAGAGGCATGTTGATTATTTTCCGTCATTGATAAAATTTCATCAACTATTTGTATCTTTGAAAGTAAATGTATTAATGATTTTTTTCTTTTCGTGGTTCAATAAATTATTGTGAATATTAATATACCCTTAAATTCCAAAATATAATCAGTAACAGACCACCGCCAATAACTGAAATGACAACCTCTATGAAATAAAACTTTCTTGATGATCAAAATTCTTCTTGATACCTTTTAATGAATGTGCTTGTGACAGTTAAATCTTTGTTTATTGTTGTTCCCAATTAAGAATTTTGTTCCTGAATTTCATAGATTTAAAATGCAATTTGTTTTAATTGAAATTGTTTTTCCTGAAATTTGTCAAATTACCCAAATTGGTAATTATCCAAATCGGGAAAACATCTATAACTGGCACTATGAAGAATGGCAGATTTTTAATTTTTTTTTATTGTTTTATAATAACGATGACGATTTAACTTGTTATATTTTCATTTATATTGTTTTGATTCTTGGTGAACAGAACTATGAGTGATGAATGCTCCACACAGAATGATTACGATGGGAGGAATGGGCTTAGGATTTTATCCATCTTCATTATGCTAATTTCATCAGGATTGGGTACTTTTTTCCCATTATTATCATCAAGATATTCCTCAGTTAATTTACCAAATTGGTGTTGGTTTTTCGCTAAATTCTTTGGTTCTGGTGTTATTGTTGCAACTGGGTTTATTCATTTATTACAACCTGCTTCAGAAGCTTTAACTGATGAATGTTTAACTGGTGTTATTTCTGAATATCCTTGGGCTTTTGGTATTTGTTTGATGTCATTATTCTTATTGTTTTTAACAGAGATCATTGCTCATCATTATATCGATATTGCAGCTGGAAATCACAAACATGGAGATCAAACACATAGTCATAATCACGGTCATGGTCATGGTCATGGAAATTCAGATCCAACACCGGGAAGTTCAAGAGATGAATTTAGTGATGAAAATGAAAATTATGAAATGGAACATTTTATACAGGATTCCAACTCAAAAGTTGATGAAACAATAAAAAGTATAAGATTAGATAATGATGATATAGAGTCAAATTATTCTTCTAATGACACGACAAATTCAAACTATTTGAATCAGATTCTTTCAGTCTTCATCTTAGAGTTTGGTGTTATTTTCCATTCAATATTCGTTGGTCTTTCATTATCAGTATCAGGTGAAGAATTCATTACATTATTTATTGTCTTAACATTCCATCAAATGTTTGAAGGTTTAGGTTTAGGGACTCGTATAGCTGAAGTTAAATGGGATAAAAGTCGAAGATCAACACCATGGTATTTAGCATTAGGTTTTACTTTTGCAACACCAATAGCAATAGCCGTAGGGCTTGGAGTTAGAAAATCATTCAACCCAGGAAGTCGTACTGCATTAATAACGAATGGTGTCTTTGACTCAATATCTGCAGGGATTTTAATCTATACGGGTATTGTTGAATTAATGGCACATGAGTTTCTATTTTCTAATCAATTTAAAGGTGAAGGTGGTTTGCAGAAAATGTTGTGTGCTTATGGAGTTATGTGTATTGGTGCTGGACTAATGTCTTTATTGGGGAAATGGGTATAAGATCTTTTCCAATTCATACTAAAGCTTATATGTATATAGACTATTATGATTTATGACTAACTTTGATAATAACTTAAATTCACCAATTAGTAGTTTAAAACCGCTCGATGTTAACGGCTGAAAGATGAAACTTATGAATCATGATGATCTTATAATTGTTGGGGCACTGCGCTAAATCCAGTATATCCGAATTGACTTAACGAGAGTAATTTAATATATTAACATATTCATTGATTACCGTTTGAGCTGGAGCCTGGATACAAGCGCAGTTATCGGTGTACACTGAATGACTCTTAATTGTTTTTGACTTGATCTGATCAACGCGTCGAAAGCTGACTCCTGAGTCACACACGATGGAAATTGATTACGCGCGAAGCTGTATATGTCTCGATCGAGATATCGGTACGATGAATTGCTCTAGAAGTAGTTTTCGGTATAGCAGCTATAAGCTCAAAACATGGCAAGTTGTGTATAAACTGGTAAGAATTAAATGCCATGCGCATTCTGGAAATCAATTAGACGAACCCTACATTTATCCCTATCTCTTCCCTTTGCTTATCACCATTTTGAAAATTCTCCAGGTCTGATCTTCACCGATGCTTGTTATCAAATTACCCTTTTGGGAATCCCAACATAGGGCTACCTCGGTGCTCACTGCTGCTTAAATAGGGAACTAAAGTTAGTTTCAACTTTCGAGCACTGGGGTTTAACCAATGAAAGAAGTATTAAATACTAAATATAACCAATTGTGCACCTTTAAAACCTCAAATAGTGTCATTTTCCAGCAAAGTTGCTTTGTTTATGACGTTGAAAGTGACACAATTTGTTGCCAACCCTTCGGAATTACTAGATGTTTCTTCGGAATTATAAACGGCGGTGAAAAATTTATTCTCGAAAAGAAATTAAACTTTTTGGCCCATATTTAAAAGGATAGGCCTTCGCTGTTTAAACAAAGTTTCTATAAAATAATTGCTAGGCACGAATTAGTTAATTAAGCGGATTCAAGGGGTTTAATGACAAATAGTTCGACAATGTCAGACTCAACTACCAACACACAACCTTTACAAAAGGAACATTCAAATGAATCGTCAATATCACAAGCTGAAGTTCCACAACAATTAAATCAAAATGATATCGAAGCTCAAAAAGTTGAAAATGATGGTTATGGTGATGAATTATCAAGAACAGAATCAAATAACACTGAAGCTAGTAGACAATTATCAAGAGCTTTAACTGGTGCTGATGATATTCAAGAACAATTATCCAAACAAAAAACTCCACTACCCCCAATGGGTCTTAATAAAGAAATCCCAACAGATTATCCAGATCGTGAACCTTATACCGTCAGTTATAATGGTCCTGATGATCCATTACATCCTCATAATTGGCCATTAAAGAAAAAAATAATGACTTGTGCTATCATTGGTTATTGTACAGGTTGTGTTGCTTGGGGTTCATCAATTTTTTCATCTGCTACATTAGTTGTTTCTGCTAAATATAATGTTGGTTTAACTGTTTCTACATTAGGTACTTCACTTTTCGTTTTAGGGTTTGCATTAGGTCCAGTTGTTTATGGTCCATTAAGTGAATTATACGGTAGAAGAAGTGTCATGTTGATTTCATTATTAGGTTTTACACTTTTTCAATTTGCCGTTGCAACAGCTGAAAATCTACAAACTATATTGATTTGTAGAGCTTTTGGTGGTATGATTGGTGCTGCTCCTTTAGTTGTCGTTCCTGCTTCATTTGCTGATTTATTTGGTCCTCAATCAAGAGGTAAAGCTATTACTATTTTCTCAATGACTGTTTTCTGTCTACCAATTATTGCACCAGTTGCTGGTTCTTTTATTGTTAATAGTTATTTAGGCTGGAGATGGACTGAATATATTACTGGTATTATGATCGCGGCTGGTTTAGTTGTTGCTTGTGTGTTTTATGAAGAAACTCATCATCCAGTTATTTTAAGTTACAAAGCTAGAGAATTGAAAAATAGAACTGGTAATTGGTTAATTCATGCTCCTCATGATGAATTTCAATTATCAATTAAAGATATTGTTGAAAAAAACATTAATAGACCATTGAAAATGTTAATTACAGAACCAATCCTTTTATTAATTTCATTATATAATGCATTTATTTATGGTATTCTATACTTGTTATTATCTGCTTATCCAATCATTTTTGCTGAAGGTTATAGAATGAAAGGTGGTGTTGCAGAATTACCATATTTAGGTGTTGCAATTGGTATGGTTACAGGTGGTTGTTTCTGTTATTTAATGGAAGGTAAATATTTAAAAGCCATGGCTAATAATGGTGGTAAACCAGTTCCAGAAGCAAGATTATTCCCAATGTTTGGTGGTGCTATTGCTTTCCCAGTTGGTATCTTTTGGTTAACATGGACTGGTAATTATCATGAAAAAGTTCATTGGATGGCACCAACTGCTTCAGGTGTTTTCACAGGTTTTGGTTTAATTACAATTTTCAATGCATCAATTAATTATTTAATTGATTCTTATTTAATTTTTGCTGCATCTGCCTTAGCTGCTAATGCATTTTTAAGAGCTGCATTTGCTTGTGCTTTCCCATTGTTTGCAACTCAAATGTTCCATAATTTAGGTACTAATTGGGCTGGTCTTTTATTAGCTTGTGTTGGTTTTGCTTTATTACCAGTTCCTTTCTTATTCTATAGATTTGGTAAAAGAATAAGAGGTAAATCAAAATTTGCTTTTGTTTTATCATAGATTTCATCATACCCTTAAAAAAGTATACTAGAGATCAAGTATACTCATTTTTTTGTCATATAATATTAATATAATTATATTTATAATTTTCATCCGATAGCATATCTTTTAATAAATAATACATTTCACAGATTTATTTCATCTACTGTAGTATAAAAGTATTAAATTTTAATGATAGAAGGCCAATTGTTACAAATTTTCGCGGTCGCACTTTATATGGGGAAATTTTCCTATACATTATGCTTCTTGTTTAAACAACTCATATTAAATGAGCTTCAAAAGAACTCAACAAGAAAATGATCCAAATAAACAGATAACTGAAGTTTGACTGAATATATAAGTGATGTTTCAACAAAATGGCTTTCTTTTATTCATACGTTCTTCTTGTATGGAAAGGAAAAACAGTGAATAAGTAATATCAAGAATGAAACATAATTTTATTACAAAGTTGAATACTATTATCAAACGCTCCAAAAAGATACCCCATTATGAGAGGCAGCCAATTGAGCTTATTGACAATACATCAGCTGAATGTACAACTAGAGCTGCCACAATAACAGGTTCGAGCTCAAGCTCAGACGAAAAATCTTTAGCTAATGATGAAGATTATAGTGAAAACTTATCTTCTGATGATGCTGCATCCATGTTTGTTCAAAATAATGATTTAGTGGATGATTCAAGAGAAGCTTCTGAAACCACTATTGATGCTGAAAATTCAGATGAAGCTGCTTCGATGTACGTTCATAACCCATCTACAACAATTATTGCAGGACATGGTGATCTTGTTAGAATTGATAATGAACCGGAAGTTTATATTTATGAGTCTTATTCAGCTGGCGGAAATGATAATGGTGATGTTCAAAGTGTCACAGATGCTTCATTACAGAAATCGGATTCTTATGAAAGTATTGGTTTAATAATATCTTCAAAGTATGATAAAGAAGGAAAAACAGAAAAAATTGAATATAGAGATAAATATGAATATCAACAATGTTATTTAAAATTTGGTGTTGTTACAGATGAAGAAAGGGAAAAATATAGAGAACGAGTTCAAATTGCAAATGTAAACTATCAAAAAGAATTTAACATTAAAAATTTTCAACCATCTTATGATCCATTGAGTAAAAAGTTAGCTATCTGAATAATTGAACTAATCTTCTACTGTGCAAAGAGCTGCATAGTATAATACTAGATGTTCTACAATGGAATAAATGGACAAAATAATACCTTTTTTCGATATTATGTTGCATAGTTTTGACACTTTTGCATATAGTAATTGTGTATATTTACCGCTGAATTAAACTAAAGAGCTCAAAACACGTTCAAAAAGACCGAGAAAATTAATCTATTGAAGAACAGATAATATGAAATAAGTAGAAAGCGTTAGTAAAGAATGGGTTTTTTGTTTACCAGATCTTTTATAAGTTCCAAACTTTTCAATAGTTTCATTCTGTTTATTTATTTCGTTTCATTACACTTCAGAGACGTATCACGTACATAATCATCATTCACAGTATACTGAAAATTAAATCTACACAATCAATAATGATTTCACGAAGTAATTCAACAATCAAAAATTCAACTATTGGATCTTCAAGTCCTGATCGATATAATAATCCAAATTATAGAAGGAAAAGATCAGTACCTGTTAATCCAAATCATGAATACATTTTGAAAGATCTAAAAGATGTTATCGAGAATTTGAAGCATAAATTACAAAAATAAAAGTTTAAGCTGGTTTATGGTAATGAAACTTTAGTAATAGATAGTTTGTTTGGTTGCTTGCTTGGTGCTGGATAAGCTGCTCGATCGCTTGGTTTTCATAAAATACATATCATCACATAATTATAATAACATCAATTTTTTTGTATATCCTTGTTTATATACATAACCAAAAAATAGTCATAACACAAATCTCAAAATATATTCAACAATTTAAGCTTATAAAGCTTTTTTAGCAGCATCAGCTGGAGAAACTCTGTTTTGGTTGTTAAATCTTTGTCTTGATGGAGGAGCTCTGATTCTTCTATCAGTTCTTGATCTAACTCTAACAATTCTGGCATGAATAGCACAAGAAACACAGTAGTGTAATTTGTTGTATAATTTTGGTAAAGCGTATTCAGAGTAGACAGAAGCTTCACTTAAATCTCTGACAGCAGCAGCTTCAACAATGTTTCTGATGGTAACTCTTTTGATAGCTTTATCTTTTGGAACACATTTTGAACAGTTAATACATCTAACTGGTTTGACGTGACCTCTACCTTTCTTGTTTCTACCGTTGGAAGCTCTCTTTTTTGGCATCTAATATTTGTTAGTATTCCTTGTTCTATTATTTGTGGTTTTAAACTGGTGACTTTATATTGAAATCCATATCCATATCTTCAACTTTTCAACATTTTTTTTCCCATATATAATTCAATAATATTCAAATGATCTATAGGACTCTTTCAATCTCTCTACATTATTCTTTTTGCTTTTCTTTAATAATTCTCTTGTCTCTTGTTGTCCATGGGTTCAATGAAAAGTTCCACCAATGTATCATTAATACATACTTTGAACTATAATTTGTTATACTGATTTGAATAAGAACTAGTTGTTAAATGAAAGAGTGAAAAATTGTTTTTTATTTGGACAATTAGAAGCTTACACACAGCAAAATAAAAATTCGCGACACTGACAATTCTTTACGTGCACGAATTCCGGGTGACTTTTCGCTTGGTAGTTGGGAGGATTACGTAATGATTGTGTATTTTATATTGCGTGGTCGCGAAACTAAAGTTTTGTTGGTGTGTGGATGCATCGACTCAAGTCATTTGCATCACAGTCACAGTATTTTCTCGATTGGGTAAGAAATATATGGTGTCGGGGTGTGTAAATTTCGGGGAATGAATCAATTAAATGCTTTGACTGGGATTCGAATGGGTGTCATTCTGGTCAATAGAACGTGCTTTTATATATTATTTCCCTTTTGGGTAGTCAACCTTATATCCAATTAGAAAGCACACTATTAAATTTTGTTTTTCATAAAATTTGTTCGAAAATCAGATGGTAAAAATAAAGTGATATAGTACAAATTGATATCAAAACATAGCACATCTAGTGACATTTCATAGACTGCATATTCATATCGTATGTTACAAAGTGGACTAAGAGGGTCTTGAGTATGGTCCACTATACATTGAATAGTGAGAAAACTGGTTTGTTCCTGTTTTATAACCATATTGAGAGCCCGAGATTTGAAATATTAAAGATTTATACTAACCACATCATCATATAGACAATGTTTGCTCTACGTTCTCGTTTATCAACCATCACAAGATTCCAATCACCAATCCGTTCATTCTCTTCATCAAGATTGATCTTACAATCTGCTAAACCAGTTAAAACTGCTTCAAATTTAGCTGAAGTTGATGGTAAAGAAACTTTAATTGGTCCTGGTGCTAAAGAAGGTACTTTCCCAACTGATTTAGAACAAGCTACAGGTTTAGAAAGATTAGAATTGTTAGGTAAATTAGAAGGTATTGAAGTTTTCGATACTAAACCATTAGATAGTTCAAGAAGAGGTACCATGGCTGATCCAATTTTAGTTGAAAGTTACGATGATTACCGTTATGTTGGTTGTACTGGTTCTCCAGCTGATTCTCATGTTATTGAATGGTTAAAACCAACTGTTGAATCAGTTGCTAGATGTTGGGAATGTGGTTCAGTTTATAAATTAAAACCAGTTGGTGTTCCTCATGATGATCATCATTAATCTACATAACCATTTAACGAATTTTAAATTATTAAAAGGAAAACACTAAAACAAATTTATAAACGGAGTATATTCATGATTCATTTACAAAGCTACATAAAAATAAAAAAAACACCATAAAAACATAAAAACATTCACAAAACTTATACAACATTTGTCACAATATTAACAATAATTTTGATGAACTTAAGAAAATTTCATATTTACATTTTTGAACTTAAAACTATAAAACCAAAATATTCATCTGCACAATTTATTCAATTATTATTATTATATTTTTATTATATCATATTATATATTATTCATTATTACCAACAGTTTTATTTTAAAAGATTTATATGTTATTTTTTTTTAGTATTCATTCATAAAGTTAACCAAAAAATAAAATTCAATTAATAAATCATCTATAACCTTTCATCATATTATATAACTTAGGAGGTATTCAGAGATTTGTTTTTTAATATATTTATATGAAAATTTTGATTTTAAAAGTGTAGTTTTATGTTAATATTCAGAAAGCACTTTATGTATATCGATGCTGTGCGTACCATTTGTTTTTCAATAAAGACGTTTTCTCGACAAGTTTGAAATAACCGGATAAATCAATTCAACCCAGTTCGATTTAAAAGGATACAAATCGATTTGGAAATTTCATTTTATGATGTCTAAACCAAAAGTATTATTCATTGGTGATCTTGATGAATCATTACCACAATTTCACCAATTTAAAGAAAATTATGAACCATTGGTAAGTATTTTCCACGAGAACTCCACACTTAAACAGCATTCAACAATAGAACAGTAGTTAACAGATAGGTCTTAGCATTATAAATTAACCACTAAAGAACAATTAATTCAAGATATTGATTCAAAATTTCAATCAATTCAAGGTATTTATTCAGGATGGGCTGGGTTTGTACCAATCGGTGGATTAACAAATGATATAATTCAACATTTTCCTTCATCTCTAAAAGTTATTGTATCATGTGCAGTTGGTTATGATGCATATGATACTGAAGCTTTGAAATCTAAAAATATTCAATTTTTTAATACACCAAGCTTAGGAGCAGATCATGTTGCAGATTTAGTATTATGGCATGTTTTGGAAAGTTTTAGAAGATTTAGTAGTTTCCAGAAAGAAACTCAAAATTTACCACATACTGTTAAAGTTCGTTCAGATTTACAAAGTCATGGATATGATCAAAAACATGGGAAGCTAGGCACTGAACAAACTCAATGGGAAAGGGAAAGTTATCCATTTGGTCATATTTTGGGTGGTCAAGTTATTGAAGGTCCAAGTGGGAGAAATGTTGGATTAGTTGGATTTGGTAATATTGGTCAGAAAATTGGTAAAAGATTAAATGCATTAGGTATGAAGATTTCATATCATACAAGAAATGAATTATCAAGTGATGATGTTGATAAATTGGGATTTGGTGTTCAATTTTATAAAAAAATTGATGATTTAGTTTCACAAAATGATGTTGTTATAATTTGTTGTCCTGGTAATAAATCAACATTAAACTTATTAAATAAAGATATTTTGGACAAGGCTAAACCAAATTCAAAATTCATTAACGTTGGTAGAGGATTTATCATTGATGAGGATCATTTGATAACCAAATTAGAAAAAGGTGAGATTGGATTTATTGGACTAGATGTATTCACAGGCGAACCAGTTATAAACCCTAGGTTGCTCAACAGACCAGACGTTTCATTGACACCACATATTGGAAGCTCAACAAAAGATGTGTTTGATAACACTGCTATCTTTAGTTTACAAAACATTGTTGATTCCTTACAAGGGAAAGAAGGAAGATCAAGAATTGTGTGAAGAACAATATCACAACAAACAAACAATTTAAGCACGATCCAATGAATCTTTGTGTATTATATTTAGAGAATGATTATACGTACTATGTATATCAGTATATGACACATGAACTGTTCCTAACTCCTTTAGTTCAGGATACGCGTAATTTATATTATTTGTATGGCTGAATTCAGACTCAAAAGAGGCATTCCGGATGTAAGCAGAAATGAAATCTTGGTGTAGTTGAAGCCGTTGCTGGAGTTGATGGAGGTGAAGAAGATGAAGAACAACAACAAAAACGAAAACATGTCTCAACAAGAAATATTCAATGAGATCACAAATAAAATGAGAACCCATTATATAACACACAATTGTATAACCAAGAACACCCACACTTTTCTAGTAAAAGTAAAAGTTTAAATCCAAGTTTCCCCAGATTTTCGGATTCCTATAGTATAAACAATCCCGAAAACCGCCTACATTTTTAAAACGTATAAGGAAATCCCGGGTTAAGTACGTAACTAAAACTTCCATTCATACTAAAATTAATTAGCGTGAATTAGTTCAAGAGTTATGTTTACAATTGCTATAGAATATCTTAGGTGTATAAATAGCCCCCATGTTCCTTGGTTCCCTCAAGGGGGATTTATAGACTATCTTTGATTCAATCAATATAGATACTAGAAAGAAAACAAAAACAACATGACAATTAACGTTGGAATTAATGGATTTGGTCGTATTGGGAGACTAGTCCTTAGAAATGCTTTACAAAGACAAGATATAAACATAATTGCCATAAACAACCCCTCCACAGATGCTGAATACGCTGCTTATTTATTTAAATACGATTCAACTCATGGGAAATATCAAGGTGAAGTTGAATATGATGAAGATAATTTAATAATTGATGATCATAAGATCAAGCTTTTCAGAGAAACTGATCCAATAAATATTCCATGGGAAGAATTAGGCGTTGAATATGTCATTGAATCAACTGGTGTTTTCAAAGAATTAGATTCAGCTCAAAAACATATCATTGCTGGTGCTAAGAAAGTTATAATAACTGCACCTTCCAAAACTGCACCAATGTATGTTGTTGGTGTTAATGAAGATAAATACAAACCTGAAGAAACCATTATATCAAATGCTTCATGTACAACAAATTGTCTTGCCCCATTAGTTAAAGTCATTCAAGATAATTTTGGTATTGAAGATGCATTGATGACTACAGTTCATTCTGCAACTGCTTCACAAAAATTAGTTGATGGTACTTCAAGAAAAGATTGGAGAGGTGGTCGTTCTGCACCAGGTAATATCATTCCATCATCAACAGGAGCTGCTAAGGCTGTTGCTGCAGTTATACCTGAATTAAAGGGTAAAATTACAGGTATTTCATTAAGAGTTCCAACCATAAACATTTCCATCGTGGATTTGACAGTTCGTTTAACCAAGACAACATCTTATCAAGAAATTAAAGATACTATCAAATCATATTCAAAAGGACCATTAAAGGGTATCTTGGGCTATACAGATGAATTTGTCGTTAGTTCTGATTTCACAAGTGATTCAAGATCAAGTATATTTGATGCGAAAGCTGGTCTAGAATTAAATGGAAATTTCTTCAAACTTTTGGCTTGGTATGATAATGAATATGGATATAGTTCAAGAGTTGTTGATTTATTAGAGCATGTTGCCCATGTTAGTGCTGAATAGATACTTTTAACTTAAGATATTAGGTATAATATATAGTTGGCTAATAAATATTCGATATGATTAATATGTTGGACCTTTATATTATCACTTATTGATTTTGTAGATTACAATCGGCTTGAATAGTAGGATATTTGTAAGTGTCCAGTGGTGACTGCTGAATTGACCAGTTTGTTTAGTTACAATTAAGCGTATGATCACCTACATATTGCAATGTTCCATGCATATGGACAAGAAGAGGTAGTAGAGTCTGATGCAATAATAAAACAACATCAAATCCACACGGGAAAGACCACAATTAATCTTCAATCGTGGGATTACTTAAACAGAACCACAAATTACCAATGATCTACTATCCTTCTTCCTTAAGTATCTATATAAGCTCCTTCATCTATTAGAGTATGAAGTTTCCCGCGAATTTCTTTATATGCTGTCTCAAATTCAAAGTAAAGTAAACATTGAACAACTTACCAATACGGATCTTGACGGCTTCTCCTCATCATCATCAACGATATCTTCGCAAAAAAGTCAATAGTCTAGGTGACTCCAAGGATTGAATAGGGTACACGGTTTAGTATCATGTCTTCTGCAAAAAGATCGTCGAATGATTTATCAAAGATCTCACGAGATTCAAACAAAGTATCATCATGTATCGCTTGTCGAATGCGTAAGAGAAAATGTGGACAACAAAGACCAATTTGCGCTCAGTGTGATGAGATTAAGATCCCATGGAGCTTATGCTCCTATAGTAAGACAAGTTTAAAAGCAGATGGACCTAAAGAGACCTTGGCCCAGCTTAAGAAGTCAAATGAAGCGTTGAAAAAGGAATTGAAGGCGCTTAGCTCTAAATTAGATGGCGATGATGTGGGTAAACAACAGTCACAAATTGGTGATTTGCATAAGAACCAGTTGTTTACAACGGTAAAGGAAACTCCAGATTGTATGATTCATTCTGGATCCACTTCATGGAAAACATTGACTTCAACAGATACTTTATTTAATGCTATCGTCCATCAATTTCATTTAATATTGAAAACTGAAAGAATGAATTATTCCGAAAAGCAAGATAGAAATAGCTCAAATGGACAAAATGGAATTCATGAAATTGAAAACTTGATTGAAAAATTTCCATTCACAAAGAAAGGTTCACAAATCGTTGGTTCGCATAGAGATTATTTAAAAATTATTCATCAAGTTTTAAAAAACATTGAATCAATTTTACCAAACATTGAAACTATAACTCAATTCATGGACATATACAAAAACTACAATATAAATAGTAGTGGGGTTTTATCAGCTGATTATGAAACATTATCCCAAGAACTGAAGAATTTCCTAATTGAATCCAAGACAAACTCAGGTTACTATAAAATTAATATCAAATTACCAACAGATTTCTACAAAATTTCACCATTCATGTTATTTATATCCACAATCTCATTCATGGCATTTTGTAGGAACCAATCAGAATCCACAACAAGAACAAATATAGATTTCACGCAGCTTTTAGAGTATCAAGATGCTTTATATATCCTGGTTCATGACTATCTTGAAGCTAAAAATGATCTTCGTTATATATACTCAGTTGAAGGTTATCAAGCAACATTAATATCACATTGGATGAGACAATATATCAATATACCTTCAAGCAGTCAACAAAATCAATCAGGTCCTCAGACTACTGTTTTCTTGAGAAAGGCAATAGCGTTGGGGAATAGTTTGAATTTAAATAAAGATATTGACGTTTATTATGCACATAAAACAAAAGTGCAAAGGGATAAATTGAAAACATTATGGCATTCAGTGGAACTATTTGATATTTTACATTCATTTGAATATGGAATTCCACCAAAAATTAAAAATGAGATTCCCGATTATAGTGATGATCAAAAAACAATCTATTCAGAAACCCCTAAAGTGTTGAATAAAGTCTTTAATCTTTATACTGAAATAGAAATGATGGATGATACTTACGTTTTCATTAAAATTGTTGAATATGGGATAATCAAACCCTTAAAATTGTTGTTAACTGATACCTTCAATCCATTGATGGAAGACATAAATAATTTAAGATCCATTGATTTCAATGACTTGTCAAATGCACCAGTGTTTTATGATTTGGTTCAAGCAATTGGTCTAAGATCATTAGTTTATTCAATTATCCAAACTTTTTATCATATTTGCTTCAAAAGATTAGAAATTATACAAGATGATCAATCAGAAATATCTAAAGTAATAACAATCAAAACATGGAAATATTCATTATTATTATACAAACTTAGAAAAGAACTATACTTTGCATATAATAGATTATTTCATCATGAGAATAAGATATATTATGATCCTGTTTGTACATTATCAATGGTCATTATTCCATATATAAGAGTGGCTCTTAGAAGATCAATGATCTTTGTATACGGTAGATTTTTGAATGAATTAAAAGAAGAAGATCTTGTCATGTTTGTGGATAATTTCTTTTTTGATCAATCTTCATTGGGGAAATATGACGATGAAGTTTTCAAGGTTTTTGAAATTAAATCGGATTTTAGGGAGGATAGATATACACTTGAAGATTATGGTGACTTGATAATTGATGATGATTATTCCCAGTTGTTGGAAAAATTCAATAAACTTTTTGACTGGAATTTTCTCGTTTATACAGTGGGTAAACTAACTCAGTTTTTCATGAATGAAGATGATGATTCAGAATTTGGATTCATTTCATATAGTTATATTCATTTCATTGGTTTGAAAATGATTAAATTCTTCTTGCGTTATTATCTGGCAACATCATTGATAGGATCAGGTCGTACAGTTACTACAAGAAACACGTCAAATCAATTACAAAAGACTAAAATATTCAATGATTGTTATAATAGAAGAAGCTCAGACTTTAAGTTCAAGACATTTTTCCTGGATTGTTATGAAAACAATGATGATGATGATCATAAACTTGATCAATTATTCAAAAGTTTAGATTTACCAATTACAGGAGATTCCAAATTTTTTTATTCCTGGTTTGAATAGAATAGAATAAAAGTCAATGTTATATAATATTATGTTCGAATAAACGTATCATATCATAGTATTTGTGATGTAAAGCCAGCCAATTACTCTCTTGCAATCTTTTCGACTCTAGTCTATCGATCCACAGCTTTAAATGTATGAAACAATAATCAGCTCCTGTTAAGTCTTTATCTTTTTTAGACAGCGCTCTCTGCCCAGCCACAGGCTGTCTAAGGACGGCTTGTACGTGTGTCTGCCTAGCGCTCTCTCGCGGACTCGAGCAGGCCACTACTTTTTACTCGGATGAATCCGAGACACCAATTTCACAACAAAGTGATAGAAATCAATCTTTTCAGCGGCAGTTGTAACAACCGCTCTCCAAAGAAGGGTCAGCAAAGAATATAAAAATCACGATGTCAGAGGCAAGGATATCGTCGTGTATTGGGTGTCGGCTGCGGAAGAGAAAATGTGACCAGAAGAGACCCATCTGTTCCCAATGCGAAGAGCTTCAGTTGCCTTTCAACTTGTGTTCATATAGAAAGATGGGTTTGATATCCAAAGACGCTAAGGCTACGTTAAATTCGATGAAGGAGAAAAACATGGCAATGAAGGAAGAAATGATGAAGATAAGTCAGGAGATGGACGCTGCTGAGCTAGGTCAACATGAACGGTCCAATAAAGATCTTGTCAATAACCCATTGTTCAAAACAGTTCAGGAATCATCCACAAGTCTGACACATTTCGGAAGCACCTCATGGGAAGCACAATTATCATCAGAGCCACTATTCAAAGCCATATTGGATGAGTCACATAATGTACTAGAAAATGAATTTAAAGCTCACCAGAGACCTGATAATCAAAGATCAACTCCTGAAAGAGAATTTGAACATGTATTGGAAGTTTCAAGTCTTATACAAACAATCAACCATACTGCAATTGATGGGTCGGGATGTCAATTGGAGGAACATATTTTTAGCTCAATGCATCAAATTGTTGGAAAAATTGAAGATTTGCTACCTGATATGACTATAATAAAACATATTTTATGGTTATATAAAGAATATAATTCCATTGAAGCTATAAATTTTCAATCAATCAATTTTGAATTTTTAGATTCCATTGTGTGGAATTTTCTATCTGAATCAAATGAGATAAAAGGGAAAGCAATCATAACTTTGAACTTTCCTAATGATTTCCATAAAATTTCAGGTTTTCTATTATTTTTATCAAGCTTTTGTTGGTTAATATTTTGTCAAAGTTTATCCCCAGTAACTGATCGACATGTTGATTTCAAATTAATAACAGAATATGAAGATGCTCTCTATTTATTGGCACATAATTATCTATCTTCAAAAAATGAGTTGAGATACTTATATACCGTGGAAGCATTTCAAGCAATAATGTTAACACGGTGGTTTAGACAATTTGTACCAAAATCTTTAGAAGCACAAATTGGTGGTACTCAAACTTCAGTATTTGTTAGAAGGAAAATTACTTTAGGTAAGATTTTGAATTTGAACAAAGATATTGATATTTATTATGCTCATAAGTCAGATTTTGTACGAAAGCAACTAAAAAGTCTTTGGTATGCTATGGTGAATTTTGATTCGATTCAATCATTTGAAACTGGTATCCCACCAAAAATTACAGATCCAATCATAAGGTATAAAGACTTCAAAAATATATTTACTGAAACTCCAATTGTCGTTAATGAAGTTTTAAATGCTTATCAGGATATAGAATTCATTGATGATACTTATGTTTTCATTAAACTTTTGGAAATAAGAGTCATCAAACCATTGAAAGATTTTATAAGGAAAGAATTTAATGCATTAGAAGATGATGTAACTTCATTCAGAGACTTTGATTTTGACAATGTTTTGAACCATGGTTTTCATGACTACGTTCAATATGTTGCATATAGATCTGTCGTTTTTTCAATAATTCAAACATTTTATCAAATTTGTTATCAAAGATTAAAATTCATTAATGATCAAAACTCAAAGATTTCAAAAGTCATATTTATTAAAACAATGAAGTATTCGTTGGGAATTATCAGCTTAAACAAAGAATTTTTAATTGCCTATAAAAGATTATCATTACATCCAAATGGTAATAATTTTTATCCTTTACCGTCTTTGAGAATGACGTTTTATCCATCTATTAGGTTATCTCATAGAAGAGCAACCTTATTCATTTATACAAGATTATTAGATCAATTGAAAATTAAAGACATACCAAAATTTGTTGATGATTTTTTTTACAAATCAGATTCCATATCAGATAGTAGTGAAATATTACAAAAATTTGAACAACAAGATATTTATCATGAAAATGATTATACTTATTTGGATTATTGTGATATGGAAATTGATGATAATTATGATGCATTGATTTTAAAGTTTGATAAATTTCAAGATTGGAAATTTGTATCATACATATCGGCAAGTATAATTCAAGAATCTTTCAATTGTCTTAAAGTCAACGATCGCTTCAATTTTGATTTCATTACTTACAATTACCTTTATTTTATAACATTTAAACTTTCAAAATTTTTCTTACGTTATGCATATTCAAGTTTAAATGAAAAAAAACCCAAGTCAACATCAACTACTAATAATCAGAAAGATTCTAAAGCCGTTAAAGAGTTCAAAAAACAATTTGAATCAAGAAGGGACTCTTTCAATTTCAAGACTTTTTTCCAAGATTCTTATATTTATAAAGATTCAGATGATCATAAATTGAATGAATTATTCAGCAGTTTAGATCTACCTATAGCGAATGATTCAAAGCTTTTTTTCAAATGGTTTGATCAATAAACAAGTTTATGAATTACATACAACACAGGACAGTTAACTAATTAGGTATTCCATCGAATGTCTATAATTTATATACGTTTAAGAATCAGTATATAGTGCAAACTAATGACAATTAATTATGATTATAAAACAAATGCGTATTTAGATTTAGTTCTAATTTTTTTACCATAAGCATAAAATAAGAATGGTACAGGAATTAAAACAACACCAACCAATGCTAACAATAACCCAGCCCATTTTAAATGCATTCCATGTAACATTTGAACCCCAAAAAGTGGGAAAGCACAAGCGAATGAAGATCTTAAAAATGTATTAGCGGCCATAGCAGAAGCAGCAAAGATTAAATAAGAGTCAATAATATAATTAATTGAAGCATTAAATATAACTAATAATCCAATACCTGTAAAAATACCAGATGCAGTTGGTGCCATCCAATGGATTTTTTCAGGCCAATTACCAGTCCAAAATAACCAGAAAATACCAATTGGGAAAGCAATTGAACCAACAAATAATGGTGGTAATCTTGCTTCTGGAACTGGTTTATTATTATTTGCTCTAAGTGCCTTGATATAACGACCTTCCATAAGTACTGAAAATGTTCCACCGATGAAAAATCCAATGATAAGACCCAAGTAAGGTAAATATGAGACACCACCGTGCATTTTATAACCTTCTGCAAATATCACAGGATAAGCAGTCAACATAAGATATAAAATACCATAAATAAAAGCATTATAAATGGAGATCAAAAGAATAACAGGTTCTGTAACTAACATTTTCAATGGTCTTGTTAGATTTTTCTCCACAATATCTTTTATAGTTAATGTGAATTCATCATGAGGAGCATGGATAGCCCAGTTACCAGTTTTTTGTTTGATTTCTTTGGCTTTTTCCACAAGGATAATTGGATGATGAGTTTCTTTATAAAATAGTAGAACTAAAAGAGTACTAACTGAACCCATGATACCAGTGATATATTCAGTCCATCTCCAACCAAGATAACTATAAGTAATGAAAGAACCAGCTAATGGAGCTAGGATTGGAATACAAAAAACCGTCATGACGAAAATACAAATAACTTTACCTCTTTGTTCATTATTGAAAACATCAGCAAAAGCAGCAGGAACAACAACCATTGGAGCAGCACCTATAGAACCACCAAAAAATCGACAAATCAAGACAGTTTGAATATCTTTTCCTGTAGCAGTTGCAAATTGAAATAATGTAAAACCAATACCACTTATAAGAAGTACAATTCTTCTACCGTATAATTCACTTAATGGAGCCCAAATAACAGGTCCACATGCAAATCCTAAAACAAAAAATGAGACTGCTAAGGTTGCAACAACTCTACCAACATGAAACTCTTCAGCAACGAACAAAATACCAGGTGAAAACACTGATGAAGCCCATGAAACACATGATGTGTGAAATGCAATAATAAAACATAATGGTAATTTTTTGCTTAAAGGCCAGTTTGTTGGGATTCTTGGATCTTGAGGACCATCAAATGATACTGTATATTCTTCAACATTTGGTACGAAAGTTGGGAATGTTTTACCAAGACCCATTGAGGGTATATCTTTATTTTCATTAATTATGTGATCTTTATTGTTTAAATTACTTGAGGTACGATTTCTTGATTGTGGTTGTTGTGAAGGGAATTCATTACCACTTAAAGCTGATGATAGTTGTCTACTCAATTGTGCAGAAGATTCTATTCTTTCCAAGTAATTAAGATTTTCTGGATTTGGTTTAGTTTGATTCTCATCATTATGTGTGATAGACTGTGGATCTATAGCTTCTGAGTTTGAAGAACTTGATAATTGGGAAGATTTTTCAACATCAAGCTGATTGTCATTAAATCCAGACATATTAATTAACTGATAAGATGACGTTGAATTCTTGAATTCACTAATTAGTTGAATCTTATAATTCTCAAGGATATGCTTAGATTTAAATACCATTTGAAAATTTCAATAATATATACGAGAGTCGGTTCGTCTAAATGATCACAATGCGTCGCTATACAATCTGTTAACTCAATACTGCAATCAAAACGGCTGGAAAAGCCATACAGACCGATTTATGAATTTGAACACCGAAAAAGAAAAGGCCTAATTCCAGAAACTCCGTGAAAGAAAGATCAATTCCAAGGCAAGCAAGAAAACAATATATATCAATACATCTGGATATAGAGCTTTGAGACCAGTTCTAATAATTCAATGCTTCAGTAACTGGCTAGTACGTGGTACTAAACTACCATGGCCCTGCAAGTTGATACCGGTCATCGGGAAGTAGGAACCATTTCAACCAACCGACCTCCGAAGCTATAACTTATATGGCACAGATCCTGCTAGTGGTTTATACTAGTAGTAATTATAGTGGACAGATATTTAATAATGCTGAATAGAATATCATTGTTTTCTTCCCTTTTGAATATAGACTTTGCGTTAACTTTCACAGTTTTAACTTCCTTCTATATCAAAATTATCGTCGGCTTTAGTACATTATTACCATTAAATCCCAGCACGTGATGATCCACTCACGTGATTTATTTCTTTTTTTTTTTAATTTAATTTTTTTTTTTTTTTGGCGATGAAAAAAAAAATGGTAATCAAGTAAGAAAAATGCTAGAATATTCCTTTGGCTCTTCTTGACCTGTTGACAATTGGTGAACCTGTGCTATATTTTATAAGCTGAGATCCACGTTATCCATACTATACAATCAATACAAGTGTACTCTTCAGAAAAAACAACACTTATAATACTCAACTATTGGAACAAGTTAGATCTCCCCATTGTGTCTGATTTATTTAAACTCGGACTAATATAACAAAGAGGCAAATTAGTTAAATTATAGTCATTTGAACTTATTACAACAAAAAAAATTAATTATTAATACATTATAGAACATATATATCAAACAAAATGGTTAAAGATACTAAATTTTATGATTTATTAGGTGTTTCCGCCACTGCTTCTGATACAGAAATCAAGAAAGGTTACAGAAAAGCTGCATTAAAATATCATCCAGATAAAAATCCTTCAGAAGAAGCCGCTGAAAAATTTAAAGAAATCAGTAGTGCTTATGAAGTCTTGAGTGATTCTCAAAAGAGAGAAATTTATGATACTTATGGTGAAGAAGGTTTATCCGGTGGTGGTCCAGGTGGTATGGGCGGTGGTATGGGTGCTGATGACATCTTTTCACAATTCTTTGGTGGTGGTATGTTTGGTGGTGGTGGTGGTGCTTCAAGAGGTCCACAAAGAGGTGCTGATATTAAACATTCAATCAGTGCTACTTTAGAAGAATTATATAAAGGTAGAACTGCTAAATTAGCTTTAAATAAAACTGTTCTATGTAAAGGTTGTGAAGGTCGTGGTGGTAAAGCTGGTGCCGTTTCAAAATGTTCTTCATGTGGTGGTAGAGGTATTAAATTCGTTACAAGACAAATGGGTCCAATGTTACAAAGATTCCAAACTACTTGTGATGTTTGTTCTGGTAGTGGTGATATTATTGATCCAAAAGATCGTTGTAAAACTTGTAATGGTAAAAAAACTCAAAGTGAAAGAAAAATTTTACAAGTTCATGTTGATCCAGGTATGAAGAATGGTCAAAGAATTGTTTTCAAAGGTGAAGCTGATCAAGAACCAGATGTTATTACTGGTGATGTTATCTTTGTTGTTGATGAAAAACCACATTCTACTTTCAAAAGAAAAGGTGATGATTTAATCTATGAAGCTGAAATTGATTTATTAACTGCTTTAGCTGGTGGTGAATTAAATATCAAACATGTTAGTGGTGAATACTTGAAAGTTTCTATAATTCCAGGTGAAATCATTTCACCAGGTCAAATTAAAGTTATTGAAAACAAAGGTATGCCAATTTATAAATTAGGTGGTTATGGTAATATGTTTATCAAATTTACAATTAAATTCCCATCAGATAATTTCACATCAGAAGAAAACTTGAAGAAATTAGAATCAATTTTACCACCAAGAAGAAAAGAAACAATTCCAAAAGGATCACAAGTTGAAGAAGTTACATTAAGTGAATATGATGAATCTAAACATGAATCTTCAAGAAGAAGACAACAAGCTCATTATGATGACTCTGAAGATGATGATGAAGGTGCTGGTCCAGGTGTTCAATGTGCTTCTCAATAGGTCTTGAATCTCTTCATTTTTGGCATATATATATATTGTAAATTATTCTCAATAAATTAGGTGATTTTTGCTTTGAAAGAAATAAAGTCGTTGTAGTTTTCTTATCGTTTCTAAAAATACAATTGAAACTAGTTAACTTGAGATCATTCAATAAAACATAAATAAACATAACTCCATTAACCGTGACATTTATACATTAAATTTTTCAAACTTTTACTCATAAATTATGGGCAGTTTGCAGCAAAAGGCATAATAAACTTATATAACATAGGCAGGTGGATAACTAGTATCTTTAATCCTTGGTAATCTTAAAGGATTGAAATTATTTTTGGATTTAGATGATTTTGAATTATTGGTAGCTTCTTCATAAGTTGGTGGTGATGGTTGATTAATTTTACCTGAAGGTAAGAGATATATTGGAATTCTCAAATAAATGTCACTTTTCAGAATAGGTCTTGGTGCAAAGACATGACCACTTGTAAATGGTGATGAATCTAAAAGACGTTGATCTGAAATTGGTGTGGTACTTGTTTGATGTTCTGTATCATGAGATAATGACAAACTTTTGTCTTTGATGGAATTACTATAAGTGATGGAATTTTTCTCTATTGATTTCACTTTCAAAATCATTTGGATATAATGTGTAATTTTCAAACTTTTTGGATTAAGATAATCATCTAAATGATTATTTGAAATATGAGGATGAATATTGAAAGGCATTGATTTGGGTAATTTGATTGATAACTCAACATTATAAAGATTTGAATCTTTAATCAATTCTTTAGGATCATTAATTAATTTTAAAAGATGTTTTTCATTAAGTTCATGTGTATCACCATCACCAATAAATTCACTTCTTTTTTCACATTGAATTTTTTGAATGAAAAATATTTTAATTTGATCAATTTCAGAAGTTCGATCATTAAATAAAGGTCTCAGTTGGAAATTTAAATTAAATCTATCACCTAATGATATATATTTCATTGATATTGAAAGATCATAATGCATATATTCTCTCCAATCACCCAGAGCTTGAATACATTCTGAAGTTATATGAGAACCAACTAAGGGACCTCTCATCAAATGAATTGGTTTTCTAATCATTAATTTAGGTAAACCTTCAAATTCCATTATAACTTCAATACAATAAGTTCTATTACCAAATCCAGTGATTATAGATTCAGGTAAATCAGCATCCAAAACAAAAAGCAAAGGTAAAGAATAAGAACCTTTCAATGGTTCATTTGAATTGAAACCATATTCATAAACATCTTGAACTATAGTTTTAGATTCTTGACTTCTTAAATACCTAGCATTTAATGATTTTTTATAAATAACATCAGATGATCTACCAATAAATCTAATCAAGATCTTATCAATGTATCTTTTTCTACCTTTTGCCATTACTTTCAATGAACCTCTAATCAAACTCAGTGGCGCGTCATTTCTTTCTCTTTTATTTAATCCTTGTAATAAAATAACATCTTCATCAAGTTGTAATTCAGCGCTTAACCCACTAAGCATCTTATAATATGGAATCATTGTTCAAATATATCTTTTGTGCTTTGATTAATCAAGCGCGCTTCATGAAACACTTGAATCTCTGATATTCATCATCAAACAAATGATAAAAGAGATCGTGTAATGAATCAAATTTGAAACAAATCATTTAATCTTATCTTTTTACAAGAAAATAAAAAAAATTAAAGTTTAATACCAATGTTTATAAACAATATAAAGAAAATTTTGGCAAAAAAATGAGCAAATGTAGCGCCTCCTGGTTTCGATCCAGAGACATCAGGGTTATGAGCCCTGCGCGCTTCCACTGCGCCAAGGCGCTCAATTGATGAGTTCTTTAATCCTCTGAAGTACCGGGTTGTACTCAATGCGTAGTCACGTGATAAGAATTTCGCGGATTTTTTTCGGACCGATCTAGCGGATAAACGTGTGTTTGAAGAATGCGTTTTAAGCTTAAATTATAGATATAAAAGTTTTTTTCTGTCATATAGCTGATGTTTTTAAGGTGTAAATGGTGAACGCCAGGTTTCAAGTTTAATATACTATATAAATGGTCAGAAATATCAGTTTAAGGTATATCAATTGAATAAATTGCTAGTTTCAATTTTGGAAAGATCAATCAAGTGTAAAACGTCTTAACACCATGACTATAATTAATAAAATTGCAAATGAAATTGGAATATCAACTCTTTTAAAATCCAATTCAGATGTTTATATCATAACAATACTTCGTATGCTTAGATTTTTTGGATTTACAAGTATTTCATTAGTTTTAGCAATTTTCTTAAAAGAAGATGGATATAATGAAAAATTTATTGGTTATTTAATGAGTTTAACATTTTTTGGTGATTTAATTACATCATTTTTAATATCATTAATTGCAGATAAAATTGGTAGGAAATTTACATATATTTTATCATCAATAATTATGATTTCAACTGGATTAAGTTTTATTTATTTCCATGAACATACATTAATTATTTTTTTTGTTTCATTTATTGGTATTATAACACCTCATGGTGGTGAAGTTGGACCTTTTAGATCAGTTGAAGAAAGTATTATAGCAGATTTATGTAAATATGAAGAAAGGTCAGATATTTATGCATGGGGTTCATTTTTAAGTAATTTATCATCTGCAATTGGTTCTTATTCAATTGGGATATTGATTAATTATATGGAATTGAAATATAATATTAATAAAATTGATGCATATTTGATGGGATTTTGGGTTTATATCTTGGTTGCAATTATTATGGCTATATTATCAATGTTTTTAAGTAATAAAATTGAGATTCAAAAACATGATCAAGAAACAAGTGAAACAAGTGAAACAAGTCCATTAATTACATCCCGTGAACAACCATCTATTACAACCACAAAGACTCAATCATTTTGGTCAAAACTTATACCAAATTTATCTGGGGAATCAGCTTCAGCAATTGTTATTAAATTAACATTATTATTTGCACTTGATGCATTTGCATCATCAATTATTTCATTTTCATGGCAATCATATTATATTCAAAAAAAATTTAATATTACAACAGAAGATTTAGGTGGAGTTTTTTTCATAACAATGATTATAACTGCAATAACTGCCCTTTTAAGTACTTCATTTTCCAAAAGATTAGGACCTGTTGTTACAATGGTTTGTACTCATTTACCTTCATCAATTACATTAGGTTTAATTCCAGCACCAAAATCATTTAAAATTACAATTTTTTTATTAATTATTAGAGCATTAACACAACAAATGGATGTTGCACCCAAGAAAGTGTTTATGACTACTGTGATTAAACCATCACAAAGAACAGCAATATTAGGTTGGGTTAATGTTGTCAAAACATTAGCACAATTAGCAGGTCCAAGTATAACTGGTGTATTAACTAGTTATGAATTACAATGGGTTTGTTTTGTTATAGCAGGTTCGTTGAAGAGTGTTTATGACTTGGGTATTTGGGTTTCATTTTTGCAATATAATAGACATAATGAGCATTGAATATAGAATTATTAAATAGATCTAAATATTATACATAGTTAAAGCTCGTTTAAGTAGATTTGATCGCGAAATGATTATGCAAAGAGTCAGACAGACAGCGAACGACAGCCAATGAGATGGAAGATGGTCAGGATTCAACAGTATATCCATAATTTATCCATTGGAATTATCAATAATCATTGTACCAAACCCTTTGTAATAAGCCTATGAATACTATGAATACCACTCACTTTTGTTCTCAAAACCTCATAGTTAATAAAAATCCCACAGCGAAACCGGCCAAAAAAACGTTTTTCGCAATAAAAAAAAAATCAAATGCATGTGAAAAAAAGTCAAAGACTCAGAAAAGTCGAGAGAAGCGCAGTGAATCATAGTACTGAATAATAAATACAAGTGAATATATAACCAGTATTGTTTCCTTCAATTCAATTCAAACTCATAGGGAATTAGATACAATCCAATATCATGAGAATCAGTCACAAATTGGAACAAAGTCACAAGGAAAATGACATTCCAACGTTTTCTTTTGAGTTTTTCGTTCCTAAAACTAGTCAAGGTGTTCAAAATCTTTATGATCGTATGGATAGAATGTATAATGTGAATCCACAATTCATCGATGTCACTTGGAACGCTGGTGGGAGACTTTCCAACTTAACCACTGATATTGTTCAAACAGCCCAATCTGTTCTTGGTTTAGAAACATGTATGCATTTGACTTGTACCAATATGCCTGTTGATTTAATTGACAAGGCTTTAAAAGAAGCTTATGATTCAGGTTGTCAAAACATTTTGGCACTTAGAGGAGATCCACCTGTGGAGGGAGGTGAATGGACCGCTGTGGAAGGAGGATTCCAACATGCCAAAGATCTTGTTAAATACATCAGAAACAAGTACGGGAACCATTTTGACATTGGAGTTGCCGCATACCCAGAAGGACATCCTGAAGAAACCGATATTGATTTGTTGATTGGATTCCTCAAAGAAAAGATCGATGCAGGGGCTGATTTTATCATTACACAAATGTTTTACGATGCTGAGAATTTCATTGAATGGTGTCAAAAATTAAGAGATCAAGACATTAATGTTCCAATTATTCCAGGTATTATGCCTATTAGTACATATGCTTCATTCAAGAGAAGATCAACTTGGTGTGAAATTAAAGTTCCTGAAGAATTTGAAAATAAATTATTAGCAAATAAAGATGATGATCAATTAGTTAGAAAAATTGGTACTGAATTAGTTGCAGAAATGTGTTCAAAATTAATTAATTCTGGATTTGTTAAACATTTACATTTTTATACAATGAATTTAGAAAAATCTTCAATTATGGTTTTAGAAAAATTAGGTCTTATTAATTCAAATGAACAAACTCAAAATAATACCGAGGCATTACCTTGGAGAAAATCTTTAAATCCAAATAGAAATAGTGAAACTGTTAGACCAATTTTTTGGAAAAATAGAAAATATAGTTATATTACAAGAACTCAAGATTGGGATGAATTTCCAAATGGTAGATGGGGTGATCCAAATTCTGCAGCTTTTGGTGATGTTGAATTATTTACTTCAGGTTTATTACGTCAATCATCAAAAAGATGTATTGAATTATGGGGGGAACCAAAAAATTTCAAAGATGTTTCTCAATTAGTTGTTAAATATTTACAAGGTGAAGTTAATAGTTTACCATGGTCTGATACTCCAATTACTGCAGAAATTGATTCAATTAAAAATGAATTGATTGAAATTAATCAAAATGGTATTTTAACTATTAATTCTCAACCAAGAGTTAATGGTGAACCTTCAAATCATCCTGCATTTGGTTGGGGTCCAAAAGATGGATTTGTTTATCAAAAACAATATTTAGAATTTTTAATGCCAAAATCAAAAATTTTAAAATTAATTTCCAAGATTGAATTAATTAATAAACCATTTAATTTATCAACAAATCAAAAAGATAATTTTAATTATTTAACATATTTTGCAATTGATTTTAATGATGATTTAATAACAAATTCAAAAGATGATTCTGCAAATGCAGTTACTTGGGGTATTTTCCCAGGTCAAGAAGTTTTACAGCCAACAATTGTGGAAAAAGTTTCATTTTTAGCTTGGAAAGATGAAGTTTTCAGAATTGCTGAAGAATGGAGTGGAATTTTTGAAGATGGTAGTGATTCTAAAAATACTATAAAAACAATTATTAATGATTATGCTTTAGTTAATATTGTTGATAATGATTATGTTGGAGAATCAAAAATATTTGATTTATTAAAACAATTATGATCTATTAAAAGTTATACATGATATTTTTTCAATTTTTTAATTCAGTTTCATGAAATGAAACATATGACATCAACTGTCTTTACCTAATACTTTAATTTATATTTGATTTTCAAAGTTTTATTATTACTATTACATTTTTTTTTATATTACAACTATTTTATGACAATTAAAAAAACACACAACTTAGAAAAATCAACAAAATTTTCTAAGTTTATGATTTGCTTTATATGATTCTTGGTTTTTGCATATTAAAATATTAAAATATTCACATTTAAAAAGAAAGATCGGTTAATGATCTGATCTATATATTATCATCACGACTTGAACTTCAACCGTTCAATGTCTATTATTACGTTCAATTTAAAAGTTCTTGGATTACATAGATTCGATTATAAATAAAAAGTTTTCTAAAGTTCTTTAAATATTAGTGTAAAACTATAAGCGATTGAAGTTAATCGATGTAATTCTAAGGTTTATGCAATTAACGTGATCATTAAAGAGGGAATAGAAATCTTGAACTTCACATGATATTCCATTATAGCGCTTCACATCTATAGTCATACTAAATCAGTATTGGTTCATCTCGATGTTTTCAAATACTAGTGGGTCCTAAGCTGAAAATTTGGGACCTAAAATTTGGGGACCAAGATTTTTTTCTAGGTCCCATTTCCGATTTTCAAACAAGCTGAAATATCAGAACATGGATGGTACTATAAGGATAGTATCCATCACTAGATAATAATTTTTTTAGGAATATTATTTAGTTACTTTCTCTTTTTAAATGCTCTAATATACAATAATATACACTTTGAGTGATTTTAAGTTTAGTGGATTACATAATCAGATATTCATTTGTTTACTTTTCAAAACATCAACACTTTCAAATTTGTCAAATTTTGAAAGAATACAAAGGGTATACACTTCAGTGGTTAAAGTGAATTGGCGCTATTACTGACTATTATGCTTACTGATACTCACTGATATTGTTCCTCTACAATGATTTAATTACCGCTCAAGATCTTTTGTTTATTACTATATTAAGGTATAATTTTGTATTTGTGATTTCATTTTTGTGTCAAAGAAATAATGGTTTGATTTAATTTTCATATAAGATGCATCCAAATCCCCAGAGTTAACTTTCATTATAATTTGATGTTTCTCTTTTAGCACGGATCAAATTTGCTATTTAGAGATAGAAACTTTTTATCATAGAATGAAAATATTGCTCCAAACCTTTGTCCTTTTATTTGTGTTTTCACCCTTGTTTTATCCACCGCCCGATCTTTCATACTGTGATGGAATGGTCTTACTTATTGGTAAAGGTGCCAGATCAAGCAACTGTTTGTATTTGGTGATACCATGAAAAGATCATTAGAATGGGGTACTTTGGTGTGTTTTTTTTATTTCGTTGGATGAATTTGTTTTGGGTTTTTTACCATTAGTTTGTGTCATCAGGTTATATTCATTTTGGATGGTTTGTTTTAGCTCATCACAAGGTTCTCGTTTTTGGTTGTTTTAGATTATTTGGTATTGTCCATGATATTTTAACTCATCAACTTATGGTTGCTTTTTGATTGTTACGTTTTCTTTTTGACTTGGTGAATGTTTTAATGGTCATGTCGTTTTAAGTTAAATCTTGTGACCAATGTTGTATTGATTTTGATAAAATTGATTTACTAGATGTTTATTTGTGCTTTTTGAAAAAATTTGGTTCCAATAATTTTAACCATTGCATAAAACAAGTTTAATATCAAATTATGTTATAGATAGACAGATCTATTGACTCAAAATAAGAATTTGATTATAAGTTGAATAATAACTTGCACTTATCAAAAAATTCACAATGGCTAAAATGATATTATGTGAATTAATGAACCAGTTTTCTATTAAAAATTTCAAAGCTTCAACATCATAATATAAACATTATTACAATTCATTGCACACATTTTATAAACAATAAGTACCATTTTTAAAATTGATACAACACCACAAAATTAAAATCAAAAGATAGAACACCACTATTATCAAGAATATAAGCACACAAATTGAATTTAGAAGATCACAAAACATGATAAGAGATATAAATATAATCATTCTCATATTACTACCTCATCATCATGGTTTTTTTCAGTTAAATTTGAACCCCCTTGGATATGGATATGAACTTAAGGTTTAATTGGTTATGATAATTGAACTTAAAGTTAGCAGCTTTAGGTTTTAAGTTTTTATTTACCATATTATTTATTCAAGTATCAAAATTGGTCATTTAATTGTTTTTTAGAATTTGAGGTGAAGACATAATATTTAAAATTCAAAAGTCTATAGAGCTTCTTATAAATTGAAAACCATTAACTTCTTTATTGAAGTTAAAAAACCATTTTTTTTGTTAAACCATGATATATCATTGTAGATGATATCATTTCTTAATACTTGTAGCTATTCTATGTAACACTTTAGTAAAGTTGATCTTGAGCAGTATTGATTCAATTCATTATGAAGGGAAGAAACAAATAGAAAACTTCCCTTGAAGATCAGAAGAAAAAAGTGGTAAAAAAACTTTTAGAAGAATTCAGGATTTGGCCTCCTTTTATATTTTTTTTTGAATTGCTCTCATGAGTTATATTCTCTTGTGAAATGTACAATAAAACATTGAGGGATAAATTAAGAAGCTAGGAGAGTTTAGTTGAGAAGAAAATTAATTTGTTGAGTGGTTATTACAGAAGCGATGAGAGGATTTATACACAAGACAACTGGGATTTTGTTCACAAAAGATTCTTCAACTTGTATAGAAATTTCAAAATCGTTTGTAAATTATAGCAAATATTGAAAATTAAAATTTCGAGAAAAGTCTATACCTTTTCTGCCCGAACCGATATCTCCCATTTTGAGATCGCGTATAATTTAAAATTGACACTTTATGTGTTGTTCTATACCTAAAGGCAAAAATTCAATCAATTTCAAGAATTTTGAAGGCCAGTTTATATAATTGAGCCATGTTGAAACAATTTACAGGGGTGTTCCTGCTGTTGTCACTTGTCTTCGCACAGATTGATATTCAATTGCAGGCAAATTGGGAAAATCCACCTTTTGCACTAAGATTATTAGAAACTGTTGCTACTGAAAATGAATCATATTATTTATCATCATTATCTAAGATTGCAGGTTTAAATTTGAATGAAGATGATGACGATGATGAAGGAGAGGGCCCAGCTTCCAATGATGAAGAATTATATCATTCAATTTTCAATCTTTTAACACCAAAAGAACAATCATTATATGATATTCCATTAGCAAATAAATATCATTCGCCAAGAATCATTTCACATTATAATTATTATAATAATACGGTTTTACCTAAATTCCAATCCAAATTGATTAAGAAATGTGGTGGTCGAGTTCCAAAAACTTGGTTAAAATTTAATGATGTTGTTTATTGTAAGCCAGATGATGTATTTGCATTAATGACTGATTCTTCAAATGAAATTGATAAAGAAATTTTAGAATTTGATAGAATCATTGGTGATCAAGGTCCATTATTAATCTTGTATGGTGATGTTAATGATCCTTCTTTTAAAGAATTCATTAATAATTTATATGATAATGCTAAATATGGTAAATTACGTTTTATTTGGAGATATGTTCCACAAAATATAGATGAACGTGAAATTTTATCAGGTTATGGTGTTGATTTAACTTTGAAGAGAACAGATTATTTAGTCATTGATGATAGAGATGTCAATAATAAAAATGTTAAAAGAGATCAAATTAAACAAGATGCTCAACAAGTGTTGAAAAATCAAGAATCTTCAAATTCATTTTTAGATATTTATAATGATGATATTCCAGGTGTTAATCAACAAGATTTAAAGGATTTAGATTTAAAGATTGCAAGTTTTATTTCAAGTTCCCAAAATCAATCTGAAAATTTCCAAAATTTAATTCATATTGTTCAAGATTTACCAAAATTTACTTCATATTTATCAGAATTGGAAATTAATGATGAACTTTTAGAATCAACTGAATTTAATGAGAAATTAGGATTAACTTCAGATTCATCTGCAATTTTCCTTAATGGATTACCAATTGATGAATCAGATTTAAATGTTTTCGGTTTATATAAAGCTATTAAAAAGGAACTTTCACTAGTGGAGAATTTTTCAGATTTGAAATTAGATCCAAAGATAACAAAAGATTTAATTGGTAAATTTGCTCTTTTATCAATGGTTAAAAATAGGAAAACTTTGAAAACAAGATATAATATTGAAACCAATGAACATAATCCAATTATTTTCATAAACAATATTGAATCAGATCCAACTTATGAAAATATTCCTAAAGATTTAAATATTTTCAAACAAAAACATCAATTTGGTCAAATCCCACCCTATAAAGAAAATATTCATAATGTTGTTTTCGTTATGAATTTTAGTGATGAAGAACAATTATTAACTTTACAAAGAATTTTCCAAGCTGTTGTACAAAGAGGTATAACTCAAAGAATTGGATTCATTCCATTAATTTCAAATGAAGAAGATCGTATCCATGCAAATAATATTTATTATTTATTAGAAAATAAAGGTTTTAAAAAAGCTGCAAGATATGTTTTCCAAATTGGTACAACTCCTAATCATTCTGTTGAAAATTTAACAGATGAAGATTATATTTCTAAATATTTAACACCTTTTGTTAAGAAATTTGATGTTTATGAACCATCAATTATTGTTAATAATATTTTTTATCCATTTGATTCAAATTGGCCTTATGCCTTAACAAGACAAGTTAGTGAAGATGTTAATTTGATCACAAGTGCAGTGTTTGCAGGTGCTATCAAAGAAGGTGATTCAATTAAAAAGTTATTATATGAAGATGCTACAGATTTTAGAAATACTTTGATTATCCCAGAGAATAAACGTCAATTAGATTATAAATATATTTCACCACAATTTCAAGAAATTATTAAAGCATCATCAAATTATATTTTTGAATTTACAAATACAAATGAAGATTCTGATAAATCTGCAACTTTAACATTTGGTGGTAATTTAGGTTCAAGATTTGAATTAGAACAATTTTTAGAAATTTTAAAATTTACTCAAAATGCAGATTTTAGTTTAAAAATTAGAATTATTGAAACTTCAAAAGAAGCTACATTTATTGGTAAAATTAGACAATCTTTAAATAAATCAATTGATCATGCAATTGAAGTTGTCCAAGGAATCATTGAAGATAATCAATTCACAGAATTAGATTTTGATCCAACTATAAAATCATTATTACAGTCAATTGATATTGATAGTTCTAAATTCTTATTATTTAATGGTCGTTATATTGAATTAAATGAAAAAATTATTGATGATGTATCATTAAATCATCTTGCAGATTATGAATTTGAAAATAGATTATATTTAGCATCTAAAGTTTTGAAAAAACATGAATCAATTGCAAATTCAGTTTCTCAAGATTGGTTTGAATCATTTGCAAGTTTAATTACAAAATCATTTTATGTTGAAACTGATTTATTTACACCTGCTCCATTACCAAGATTTGATTTTAGTGCATTAAATTTAAATAACGCAATTTCATTTGGTGATAAAGATAAGAGTGATATTAATGTTTTATTAGTTATTGATCCAGTTGAAGAGATTTCCCAAAAATTGATTTCATTAATTCAATCAATTAAAGATTTATCATTTATTTCATTAGATATCTTGATTCAACCTAAAAAGGAATTAAAAGAATTACCAGTAAAAAGATTTTATAGAAGTAATTTCCAATCATCAATTAAATTTAATAAAAATGGTAAATTAGATGAATCATCATTTGTTTCTTTTAATAAAGTTCCTGAAAAGACATTATTCACATTAGATATTGATGTTTTACCATCATGGGTTGTTGTTACTAAAGATAGTATTAGTGATTTAGATAATGTTTTATTAGAACAATCCGGTCCAGTAACTGGTATTTATGAGTTGAAAAACATTGCAGTTGAAGGTAATGCATTTGATGTTGATACACTAGAACCTCCAACTGGATTATCTGTTCAAATTGAAGGATCAGATACTAATGTTATGACAAACTATGGTTATTTACAATTGAAAGGGAATCCTGGTATTTGGAATTTTGAAATTAAACAAGGTAAATCAAGTGATATTTATTCATTGTTAACAACTGATGATTTTTATAGTACTGAAAGAGAGAAAACCAATGAAAAGATTAAATTTAGTTTATTGAATTTAGATGGTGTCAAATTATTCCCAAGAGTTATTAAGAAAGAAGGTAAAGAAAATGAATCATTAATTTCTTTAACTGGTGAATCTATTGATGTTGTTCAAGATGAAGAAGAAGAATCAAAACCAAAACTTGGATTTTTCCAAAAATTATTCCCACAGAAAAAGAAGAAACAAGCAGATATAAATATTTTCACAATTGCAAGTGGTCATTTATATGAAAGATTCTTGAGTATTATGACTGCATCAGTTATGCGTCATACAAAACATACAGTTAAATTTTGGTTAATTGAAAATTATATGTCACCAAGTTTTAGAAAATTTCTACCACATTTAGCTGAAAAATATGGATTTGAATATGAATTAATCACATATAATTGGCCATCATGGTTAAGAGGACAAAGAGAAAAACAAAGAACATTTTGGGGCTATAAAATTTTATTTCTTGATGTTTTGTTTCCTCAAGATTTAGAAAAAGTTATCTTTGTTGATTCTGATCAAATTGTTCGTACAGATTTAAAAGAATTAGTTGATTTAGATCTTGAAGGTGCAGCATATGGTTATACGCCAATGGGAGATTCTAGAGAAGAAATGGAAGGATTCAGATTTTGGAAACAAGGTTATTGGGCAAAAATGCTTGGAGATGAATATAAATATCATATCAGTGCACTTTATGTTATTGATTTGAAAAGATTTAGAGAAATAGCAGCAGGTGATACATTAAGACAACATTATCAAGCATTATCTAAAGATCCAGGATCATTATCAAATTTAGATCAAGATTTACCAAATAATTTACAACCAAAATTAAAAATATTTTCATTACCACAAGATTGGTTATGGTGTGAAACATGGTGTGATGATGAAAGTTTAAAGACTGCCAAAACAATTGATTTATGTAATAATCCATTGACAAAAGAACCTAAATTAGATAGAGCTCGTCGTCAAATACCTGAATGGACAGAATACGATGATGAAATTACAGCTTTAAGAGAAGAAGTTTTTCCAAAAGTAGAATTATCAGTGGGAGAGGAAATAAAACCAGGGGAATCCAATTCTAATGATGATTTAGATCATGATGAATTGTGATTAAGTAAAATATTCATAAATAAATGAAAGATTGCTTTGTATAAATTTTGTACTTTATATACTTTTAAATTGAGTCATGTGAATCATTGGTGTCTGGAGTTAAGGATTTTTGGAAAAAGATCCGAAGCGATAATGAAAGATTTGATCAAGGAATTTGATACCATGAACTCCTACTGGGCTCCTTCTAGATCAGAATTTACCAAGGGGTTTTGACATATTGTATCATGTTGAGAGCTGCTGGCTTGAGAGCTGTGAGATCACAGCGTTGTGGTTATAGCTTGGTGCTGGCTCAATCCAGATTCAATTCATCAAATGGGTCATCACAGACACAATCACAAAATCCAAAAGATAGTTCCACTACTCCAAATTCAAATATTTCTAAGAAAGTTGAAAATAGAGCTAGTAAAGAAAGACAAGAAACACATTTGAAGGTATTACAAGATATTCAAAATTCCATGGTTAAAGTTCCATCACCTAGAAAATTGAAAAATTATCTTGATAATTATATTATTGGACAAGATACAGGTAAAAAAGTTATGTCAGTTGCAGTTTATAATCATTATTTAAGAATCAATGATAAAGCTAAAAAATTAGCTAAAAAATTAGCAAAAGAGAAACAAAAAGAAGATGATGCTATATATTCATTTAGTGATAACGTTAAACCAAAGAAAAATAAAGATGCAGAACAATTAAGTTTTTCATTAGATAATGAAGATCAAGATTTAGAATTAAGTAAATCAAATATATTATTATTAGGTCCATCAGGTTCAGGTAAAACATTAATTGCTAAAACATTGGCTCGTGTATTGAATGTTCCATTTTCTATAACAGATTGTACACAATTAACACAAGCTGGTTATATTGGTGAGGATGTTGAATTATGTATTGAAAGATTATTAATTAATAGTAATTATGATGTGGAAAAGGCGGAAAAGGGGATTGTTGTATTGGATGAAGTTGATAAATTATCTAAACCTTCAATGTCAAATGGTACAAAAGATGTTGCTGGAGAAGGTGTTCAACAAGCATTATTAAAATTAATTGAAGGTACAAATGTTCAAGTTCAAGTTAAAAAACCTGTAAATAAAGAAAAAGATTCACAAAATAATAATCAACAAATTTCCAAAAAAAATGAAACTTATCATATTGATACAAGTAATATATTATTTGTTTTAATGGGTGCTTTCATTGGATTAGATGAACATATTTCAACAAGATTAGCTAAATCATCAATTGGATTCGAAGCAGATATAAATACTGATCAAGATAAAGATGGTAAAAAATATAGTTTGAAGCAAATTAAATTAGAAGATGGACGTAAAGTTTCAGCATTAGAATTAATAACACCACAAGATTTAACATCATTTGGTATGATTCCAGAATTAATTGGTAGAATTCCCATAATAACAGGATTAGATTCATTAAATGAAACAGATCTTTTATCTATATTAACTGAACCTAAGAATGCTATATTAAGTCAATATGAATATATTTTCCAACAATTTGGAGTAAATTTAAAAATTACTAAACCTGCATTGAAAAAAATTGCAGATTTATCATTAAAAGAAGGTACTGGAGCAAGAGGATTACGTGGTATAATGGAAAGATTATTATTAACGGTTAATTATGAATGTCCAGACTCTGGGATTCAATTTGTCCTTGTGAATTCAGAAACTGTTGATTCTATAAATTCTGGTAAAGTTAAAGCACATTATTATGGAAGAGGTGATTTATTTCAATTTGTTGAAGATGTTTTGGAGGAGGATCCAATTTTAGGGAAACAACTTCAAACGGAGTTCAACATCACACCAGCCAATGATCATGAAACAGTAGCAGCATCGGGATAATACCAAATACTTATAATTTATAATTTATGACTTTATGTATACTGATTATGTAATGCTGTCTCTTCTCGCGGGAGTTTCCCCTTTCGGAAACACCGATAACGTGAAAGCTTTTCAACAAACAGCAAATTGCTTTGAAGAAACCTGTCATTAACAAACGATTAAATAAGATGAAAACAAACGAGTAAAAGTGATTTCAACAAGATAATCAATAACATCATAGTCATAGTACACAATCACAATCAAACAGTCTGAGTATTCTTGTTATTGCCTATTGTTAGTACAAGAATATCCCCATTATCATCACATTCTCAAGCTGAACGCACTTCGGCTTTATCACATACCAGGCACAGGTTTGAGTCTCTTGACGCTTTTGACTCGAAACTTGAGCTGCAAGTTGATTTGATAACTTTGAACTCGTCACAAGCGAGACAGCCTTAGTGTCGAATATCATTACTACTTCAATACAACACAGTTAAAAGTTTTCTCATTGGAGATTATTATATTTATATCACATTCCCCCTTTGTTTAATATGGATAATCCAACAATCAAGAAACATTCATCAATGTTTGGTTTTAAGAAACCTAGTATAACACGTCAAGATTCTTCACCAAATACAAATGCCGGTACAGGTGCTGATAATCGTTCAATATATTCACAATCTTCTTCAATAGCTGGGTCAAGTCAAAATTTACCTATTGGTGAACATCAAAATCATCCAAAATCTGCATTTAGTCAATTTTTCACTGGTTCAAGTAATAATAAAGAAGAACAAGATGAAAGAAATAGACGATATCGAGAAAGGAAAACTCAAAATGATTTGATTAAAGATCGTTATAAACAAGATTCTATAAAATGGTTCTCATTAAGAAAATTAAGTGATGTATCAAAAGAAAATGATTCATTAACTTATTCCCCGGCAAGATTAAATTCTTTTTTACAATTTTATGATACTTATATTCAACAAAATTCAATAGAAAATATGAGAAATGTTATAAATTTAGTTGATTTTTGGTCAATAAGTGCAATTAAATATCTTTCTGGAGTTGATCAATTAATTAGAAAAAATTTAGTTGCAAGATATTCAAATTCTGACTTAAGAGAAGATCAAAAATTAAAAATTTTGAAAATTCATGGTGATTATTTTGGTATATCTTGGTCTTGGTTATTAGCTATGGATAATTGGAGTTGTGATATTTATTCTTTAACAACTACTCCAATAACTCATACAAATTATAGTGAATCTAAATCAAATATTGGTCCAAAAAATCATCATGTTGTTCATGGGAAATCATTATCAACAATGCCTTTTAAGAAAAATTCATATCCTTTAGCTATTGCTTATGAATTATGGTTTCAATTGAAAATTGATGAATGGAACCCAGTATTAACAGATTTACACAGAGTTATAAGTCCAAGTGGTTATTTAAATATGTTTTTAATGGATTATACCATTATAAATTGTAAAAATGAATTATACAATGAATTTTTCAAAAAATTACAAAAAATTGTTATAAATGAAGGTATGGATCCATTCCCATGTAAAAATATATTAAAAAGAACAAAAGAGGCAGGATTTATTGATGTTAAATATTCATTAATCTCTATAAAAAAGGGAATACCAAATAGAATGGGGAATTTAATGGAATTTATTCAAAGTTTTTTCGAATTAGCAATGTTTTCAAAATTTGCAAGAGATAAATTTTCTCAAAACGATTTACAATTATTTAAAGAATTAAGATTACAATATAATCAAGATGTTAAAAATGGGAAACTTTTAGATGAATTTGGTGATAGTTATTTAATGTTTGTTACTGCTAAAAAAAGTTCAAATGCTGAGTAACATGTGTATACAATATAATGATCTATATAAGATCATATATTGTTATTTAATTAAAAAAAGAAGTTGTTATTTATATAAATGAAGGTGCTTAATTTATTTGGTTTTATTTGGTCTTTAATTTGGTTTTAAAATGGAAAAAAAGTTGTATTTGATTTAATTATACGGTTGTTTTTATTTATAAGCTGGCATGAGACGTTATACAAATTGTACACGTACAAATTAGTACGTCGTTATACTTTACTAGGCAGCTAGTGATTGAACATTAACGTCCTCGAAATGAAAATGTGTAATTTTTCATGGCTTTAAACCCACATCGGTAATTAAATTTTTAAGAATATGGCTGTACGATAAGCTTGATATGACGGTGATAGGACGGGCCGTATATAACGGAAATCGGTAAGCATCTATATAAGAAGCTTTCGAAATCTTGAAATTTTATGAGCTTGAATTACTTCTGACCAGTATATTCTTTATATTAAAGATCAATCAATTGATACATTATAATGGCTTCTAATCCTCCTGGTGCTTGTTGTTTACAATCTACTTTCCATGGTATGTTCTAACTGCTTTCAAGATCTAAGATCTTTGCTTGGCTTTGATTGTAAACAAATTCATTAGAGACTAACTATGATTTCAAACAGAAGGTGACCCAATTGGTAAACACGTTGAACTCTATGGTAATTGTAAGTACTAACCAATTTCTTGATTATATATTGTTGATCAAATTTCTAACAAAATCAATTATATAGTGAACACTTATGTTACTGGTGATAAAAGTGATAAAGTTATTATCATTTTAACTGATATTTTTGGTAATAAATATAACAATGTCTTATTAATTGCTGATGAATTATCTAAAAATGGTTATTATGTCTTGATTCCAGATATTTTAAAAGGTGATGATCGTACACCAGAAACTGATTTATCCATATGGTTACCAAATCATTCTTCAGAAATTACAAGACCAATTGTTGAATCATTTATAAATGAATTAACGAAAGATATTGATACAAAATTCTTAGGTTTGATTGGTTATTGCTTTGGTGCTAAATATGTTGTTCAACAATTAACAAATTCAACAAAAATCACAACAGGTGCAATTGCTCATCCATCATTAGTTACAATTGATGAAGTTTCTAAAATCACTAAACCAATTTTAATTTCCTCTGCAGAGACAGACCAAATGTTTACAGATGATTTAAGAAAACAAACTGAATCAAAATTAAAAGAAATTAAAGCTCGTTATCAAATTGATTTATTTAGTGGTGTTTCTCATGGGTTTTCTGTTAGAGGGGATGTTAGTGATGAAGTTGTTAAATATGCTAAAGAAAAAACTTTATATGATCAATTATATTGGTTTAATACTTTTGCAAGTGCTAAATGAATATTCATGTACTGGAAAAACAAACATGTCGAGCTACAGTTTTGCCTAAACTACTGAAAATCATGTACAATTATATGTCTAAAAAGTATACAGGTAGTGTGGGTTTTTATCGTGAAGTTCAGGTTGTTCTTCTAATGGGGTTCCTTGTCTCTCAGCTTCTTCTAAAGCTTTCAATTTTTTATTATTCAAATATTTGTAGTAACCAATTTGAATTAAAACATCCACCAATGCAACTGCAGTAAGCGCTAATCCAACTTTGATACCATTTTGATATCTTGGAGCATCATTGTCTCTAAAAACTTGACCGTACGCTAAACCTGCAGTGTTACCAAGTGCCATTGTGAACCCCATATATGCAGCTTTTTGATAATGCGAGGGCAAGTTATCACCTAACCACATCATGTTCAAACCAGTACCAGGATATACACCCATAATCATAAAAAAGCATCCAAAATAACGAACACCATCCTTTTTGGAAGCGTAAATTATGATGTAACCTATCAACATTGCCAATGCTGAAATAGCCATGAAAATTGATCTATTTTTGAAATAATCAGAAAGTGTTGCAACAATGATATAGTATATAGCACCATACATATAGATTGGAACCACCATAAGATTGGATTTTATACCTTCATAACCCATACTTGAAACGATTGTTGGTAAAAAAGTACTGCTTGCGAAAAAACTTAACACACAACAAAATTGCCATATAACTTCTGCATAAAATTTGAAATCTTTAAACATATCCCAAACCACACTCCATTTGAAGTCATCCTTCTCGTAAAGCTCAGGATAATGAATTAATCTTTGAGCATAACATTTTTTTTCCTCTTCATTAAAAAACCATGATGTTTCAAAATTTTTTGGGAATATGAATATCGCAAGAGGAAGAACACCAATAGTCATTAGACCTTCAACGAAAAACATAATTCTCCAACCTTCTTCCAAATGCTTCGGACCAGTAACTCTCAATAATCCATAAGCTAACAACCCACCAAAAGCACTTGCGAAAGCTGCAATAAAATAAACAAATGAGTGTCTTTTAGTCTTTTCTGATTTGGTATAAATTGTACTTGTCAAAACATAGATTACTGGTAAAATACCACTTTCAAATAGACCCATCACTAAACGACAAGCATATAACCCACCGGCATTTTGAATGAATGCTTGACTTAAAGTTGTTAACCCCCAGGCAAAAGCACAACCAATCATCAAATATTTTGGAGTCACTTTTTTCACAATCAATGTATTTATTGGTTCAAATGTCAAATAAGTTATATATAAGTATGAATTTGCATTACCGAATTCATTACCTTTTAAACCAATATCATCAATGAATCCATCCGTTTGAGCAAAACCTATGTTACTTCTATCTAATTGACAAAAGAAATAGAATATAGCAAACCATGTAACGACGAATATATCTAATTTTCTTAACACTCTTTTTTCAACCTGTTTGTCTATAACTATAGGTTCATTTTCCAAACTTTGATCACTATCTAAGGCTTCGATCTTTGTAAATTGATCTTTTGAAGTTTGATTAGATGATATTTGATTAAAGCTATGTGCTTCCTCTGTACTCTTCTTCCTCAACAGCTTCAACACCATTTTTTGAATAAGTAGTGATTCTTTATGATTTGGAGATAGCACACATCTTGAAGTCAATCTTTTATACTACAATGGATTCTTCTCTTATGTATATACAATATACATTAACAGTGAAAATTCTTTATATTAATCAAGCCATTGCATATGAATTGTGGCGATAGTAGGGGATCGAGCCCCGAACTATTATTGTCTAAACAAGGCACTGGGTCTAGCATCAGCATACGATACCAACGATCATCAATACTATACTAGGATCTAGATGAATCATGATACCAACTTTAAAATTAGAGCCACTTCAAGCACTATTAATGGAATCGGGATTTGAATAACGACATCAGAAGAGTAAACTTAGACGAAAGTGTACCTGAAAAGGGACGTAAACTCCTCACAATTCCCGTTGTAACTGTTCATTGTTCAATGGCATCAATGCAAGTATTATGTCAAACTTAATCGTTATGAGGTGGAAAGCCTCAATTATTTGGCTCCATAGAGTGTGTTTACCGATTATATACTTTAATAAAACACTAAATCATCGTTTAATTAACTGAATTGATAACTTCCTGATCTCTTGATGCTTGGTTCAAATACCAGGGGTTGTTGAAACTGGTCAATGTTACCCTTATACCGTTATACCTATTCAACTGAGTCATAGAAGCATGAACAGAATCGAAAAGTAGGCATCGGGTGAAGAAGCCACAATCTATCCTATTATTGATTGATCCGATCAATAGATGTATAAAATCAATTTGAAGACACCTTTAATGAATTATTCATGAGACGACAACTTCAATGGTCTTTCAATAATGGTTTTGAGCATATCTAAGGTTAGTACTGATAAGAGTAATGAACATTATCAGTATAATTCTAGCACACCAAAAGATGCTTCTAAAATTATAGAAAATATAACTGAAGATGATGAAGAATCAAAGGAGAATGAAATTTTCATCGACAAGCAAGTTGAAAAAAGGGTCTTGAGGAAATTAGATTTGTTTGTTGTTACATGGCTTGCTTTGTTTTACTTTTTTTGTCAATTAGATCGAAGTAATTTAGGGTTCGCTAATACAGCAGGTTTCTCAAATGATATTAGATTGAAAAATAACGAATTTGGAGATGCTAATTCATATCTTTACATCACTTACTTAACATTTGAACCTGTCAATACTTTAATTTTGAAAAAAATCACTCCAAAAATCCTAATGATAACTTGTGCTTTTGCCTGGGGGATCACTACATTATGTCAAGGTTTCATTCAAAATGCTGGAGGTCTTTATGCTTGTCGTTTAGTTATGGGGTTTTTTGAAAGTGGTATATTACCGGTGATTTATCTATTATCAAGTACAATCTATACCAAAACTGAAAAGAGTAAAAGACAGTCATTTGTTTACTTCATTGCTGCATTGGCAAGTGCTTTTGGTGGGCTGTTAGCATATGGACTATTAAGAGTTACTGGTCCAAAACATCTTGAAGAAGGCTGGAGAATTTTATTCTTTGCTGAAGGTTTAATGACTATTGGAGTTTTACCATTGGCAATATTCATATTCCCAAAACATTTCAATAAAGCTTGGTTTTTCACTGAAGAAGAAAAACAGTGTTATGAGCAACGACTAGTATATTATCCAGAACTTCATGAATCTGACAAGTTTGAGTGGAAAGTGGTGATAAATATGTTTAAGGACTTCAAGTTTTATACACATGCGATTTGGCAATTTTGTTGTGCTCTAAGTTTCTACTCAAGTAGTACATTCTTACCAAAAATTGTCTCGAGTATGGGATACACAGGTATTAATTCAAACTTGATGGTGGTTCCAATTTATATATATGGTGCGATATACTACATGGTTATCGCTACACTTTCAGATCATTTCAAAATAAGATCACTATTCATGGGATTATCAACAGTAGCAATGGCAATTGGTTATGCTATTTTACTAGGTGCTAAGAAGAATGGTGTCAGATATTTCGGTTGTTTCTTTATGATTATGGGGATTTATCCAACAACAGGTCTAAATATGATGTGGATTGGTGATAACTTACTGACACATTATCAAAAGGCGTCATATGTTGGATTTTCAATGGCCATAGCTAATAGTTCTGGTTTGGTTTATGGTCAAGTCTTTAGAGCACAAGATGCACCACGATATGATTATGGGATCAAAGTTGGTTTGATACTCACATGTGTCGCCATTGCTGATATCATAGTTTTGGTGTTTCATTTAAGGTATCTCAACCGTAAGAAGGTTAAAGCTTTGAATGAAGCTCGTGAGCAAGGACATCCATTAAAAAGACAACCTGAGTTGGGTGATAAAGACCCATATTATTTGTATACATTTTAAGTTAATAGTTTAATGAAATTATATTCTTTTGCTTTTGATGAAGTACAACAAGAAGCCCAATGAAATTAATAGTAGACTGTAATAATACTAATGGATTTTTACTGATTTTTTTGAATAGAGTCGAAAACTACTATAAGCTACACTATTATGAGTTTTGTTCATATTGAAATCAAAATAAGTAAGCCTGAAAGATAGGCTATAATATATTAACAAAGTACAAATGCAGTTATGCAATGGCTATCTGAATCATAAATGAAAACATTGCTCCCAGAATGAGATCTCTAGCGACGTAGAAAAAAAATATAAACCTGCACTAGTTTTCAATTGTGCTAGTTTTAATCCCGTACAAGTGTCAAAATTCTTAAGCTAAAGATGCCTTGGTGGAATTTAAACTTGAATTATGTTCTTCATTATTTTCATTATCCACTTCTTCTTTTGAAGCTTCTTTTGTTGGATTCAATTTTGACAATTCCAAAATTTCCAAAGTTAAATAACTAACAAGATATAACAAATTCACAAGTCCCAAAGCTAATGAAACCCAACCATATCTGAAAACTGGGCTATTTAATTCTGTACCTTTAATTCCTAAAACATCATAACTATTTTTTAATAAGCTCAACATTGAACTGGATAGTTTTTTGAAAGCAGCCATTCCAATTGTAATAGATATCCATTGTGCAAGACTTATGATAGTGATTATTGACAATATAATAATTCTCAAATATGTACCTCTGAATTTTAAAATGAAAGAAATTGTGATCAGACCAATCAGTATAGCGAAAAACTCAATTGATGAAAGAATAAAACTAGCCAAGATCCCATTGGTAGCTTGATGATTGATTGATTTTGGATAATGACCATCTAAAGCAGGTGTTGACTTAGCAGTGAAATATTGACCACCTTGTATAATCGCGTGATTAGCAAGTAATTCTTTGATATTTGGATAAAAATTTAGCTTTGCAGGTGAACAATAATTATTCATGATGAATCTATCAGAGTCTTCATTAGGGCAGTAACCCCAAAGACCAAATGAATAGCTTTCAGCTAAAGTGGTGTTTTGCCATAAAGTTAATGTATCATTATTAGCACTATTTGAGAATGAGTATACGTAATCCAATTTAACGTTTGATAAATCAATATTCAGATATGAATCATTTTTGTTTTGAAATAGAGTTAAAGCTGAGAATATAGTTGTAAGAATGGTCAATACCAATGGGAACAACAATGATATTTTGTTGAAGTTGATCATAATTTTCAGCGTTGTGAGCGCGCAATAATTTTTTTTGTATGAGATCTGTGAGATAAAGGATCTAAGATCTAACGATGGACAATTGTGGTTATATATATACGAGAGTCGAGACACCAGTCAAACCAAAGACTGGGTCGATCGTTATTGTTATTGTGATTTGTCAATTGAGACTATGCATATTCAAAAGAAATACCAAAGTATGCATAGTATCATGTTGTTCATATTCCCGTGCAGCACCGAAAGATTTAACCAGTCACCACGACTCACCAGTGACCACTGACCACGTATATAAACGCACTCAAACGACCATTTGGCTACTGTTTGCATGATATATGATGTCTTTGAATTCTTACACCCAATTAAGTTTTCAGGGTTCAATTAGGGAAATGTATAAGAACTTAGAGGTTAGGTAGAACCAAATAGAGATGATAATAATCGGGCACTTTCTCAGACGTAAAACTTATAACTTACAACCAATCACAACACTCAACTTTCAAGGAAAGAAGAAAGGTCCCAATAAATATCTTTAGAAAGTCATATCACGCTTTCCCATGTAAGATTTGGTTTAGGGTTTGCCGACAAATTTGCCGTCTTTAAACTTTGGTTTAGCTGGCTGCTTTATGAATCATGTACCTCTACCTCAAAGTTCAAACTTTCAAACTCCAAACCTCATTTAATAATATGTGCTTTTAGATTCAAGTGTATAGTTACAGTAAAAGCTGAGGGTAAAGAATCAAGATCAGCCAGTACTGAAAGTTTAGGTAAGAAAGTACCAATTAGATTAATCGATGATGTGCTATGATGAAGAGCTTATAAGAGAAGTTTTGTTACGGTACTGTCATACCTTTTTCTGTAATTAATTTACTATCATTTGAACTTTGGTGAGCGTGAAAAGAGCTAGTGGTTAAAATGGCAATAATAATTATGCTTTAAATACTTTCATTAATTGATTAATTATTAGGGGTTAATAGTTGAAACTCACCTGGAAAGATTCTTTCAAACGTGGATCAGCCAACTCATATATTTAACTCATTGATTGAGATATCCTTATATCAATTTCAATCATAATTTACCAGATTCTGAGTAACTCACGTAAGATCAGTTTCATCAATGGTATCACTATATTCACGCTATATTTCTATATGGTCAAACTTAATTTATTCAGCCTGGTCTAATGTAATGAGATGCTTTTACCTTTGATTCAGGAATCAGGAATCAGTATTAAAATCCATGAAGCCATCCAGTAACTTTATATGATATTCGCGGGAAGTCGCGAAATTTTCCTTATTTCTGTCATTTTTATACGTGCGTGTATTTTTTTTTTGGCCATCGATTCATCAACAAAAAAATTGAAAGATCTTAAAAAATCAAATTAATATCAAAGTTTTAAATAAATTTATGTCAATTCCTTCATTCTTCAAAGCCAATAATTGTTTGAGTTTGATACGAAATTTCAATAGAGGACTGAACAATTGGGGAATACGCAAGATGACTTCTCAAAATGAATGGACCGCTCAAAAGGTATGTTTAAATTTAACATTTTGTTGATGGCGCTTAATCCATTTCATATAGTTTTTTGACACAAGTTTGGTGATATTAGGGATGGTTTTTGCCATTCAAACTTTCTGAGGTTGGGTTAAGCACTTCAATGATAGTACAATGGGAAACATGATACTAACAATGACACAAAGGTCCGTAATACCTTTTTAGATTATTTTAAAGAAAGGGGACATACTTTTGTTCCTTCGTCATCTGTTGTTCCATATGATGATCCAACTTTATTATTCGCCAATGCTGGTATGAATCAATATAAACCAATCTTTTTAGGTACTGTGGATCCATCTTCTGATTTCCACAACTTGAAAAGAGCTGTCAATTCACAAAAATGTATTAGAGCTGGTGGTAAACATAATGATTTAGAAGATGTTGGTAGAGATTCTTATCATCATACTTTTTTCGAAATGTTGGGTAATTGGTCATTTGGTGATTATTTCAAAAAAGAAGCTATCCAATATTCTTGGGAATTATTAACTAAAGTTTATGGTCTACCAGCTGATAGATTATATGTCACTTATTTCGGTGGTGATGAAGCTAGTGGTTTAGAACCAGATTTAGAAGCTAAACAATTATGGAAAGATGTCGGTGTTGCTGATGACCATATCTTACCAGGTTCAGTCAAAGATAACTTTTGGGAAATGGGTGATCAAGGTCCTTGTGGTCCTTGTTCAGAAGTTCATTATGATAGAATTGGTGGTAGAAATGCTGCTCATTTAGTTAATGAAGATGATCCAAATGTTTTAGAAATCTGGAATAACGTTTTCATGCAATTCAATAGAGAAGCTGACCGTTCTCTGAAACCATTACCATCAAAACATATTGATACTGGTTTAGGTTTTGAAAGATTAGTTTCTATTTTACAAAATGTTTATTCAAATTATGATACTGATGTTTTCCAACCTTTATTCAAAAAAATTCAAGAAATCACTGGTGCTCGTGAATACACTGGTAAATTTGGTGATGAAGATGTTGATGGTATTGATACTGCTTACAGAGTTTTAGCTGATCATGTCCGTACTTTAACTTTTGCTATCGCTGATGGTGGTGTTCCAAACAATGAAGGTAGAGGTTATGTTTTACGTAGAATTTTGAGAAGAGGTGCTCGTTATGCACGTAAATATTTCAATTATCCAATTGGTAACTTCTTTTCTCAACTTTCACCAACTTTAATTGATCAAGTTAAAGATATTTTCCCAGAATTAACAAAAGATCCATCAACCATTTTTGAAATTTTAGATGAAGAAGAAGCTTCATTCTCCAAAACTTTAGATCGTGGTGAAAAATTATTCCAACAATATGCTACTGCTGCTTCAAAATCTGATAAAACTTTGAATGGTAAAGATGTTTGGAGATTATATGATACTTATGGTTTCCCAGTTGATTTAACCACTTTAATGGCTGAAGAAGCTGGTTTGAAAATTGATAATGAAGGTTTTGAAAAAGCTAGAATTGAAAGTTATGAAGCTTCAAAAGCTGGTGGTAAATCAAAAGGTGTTGAATTAATTAAATTAGATGTTCATGCTTTAGGCAAATTAAGTGAAGACGCTTTACCAAAAACTGATGATTCATCAAAATTCGGTTTTGAAAACATTGAAGCTAAAATTTTAGCTATTTATGATGGTAAAGATTTTGTTGAAGAAATTACCGATATCACTAAACAATACGGTATTATCTTGGATAAAACTCCATTCTACGCTGAACAAGGTGGTCAAGAATATGATACTGGTAAAATTGTCATTGATGGTTCATCAGAATTTAACGTTGAAAACACTCAACAATATGCTGGTTATGTTTTCCATACTGGTAGATTAGCTGAAGGTCAACTGAAAATTAATGACAAAGTTATTGCTGGTTATGATGAATTACGTCGTTGGCCAATCAGAAACAACCACACTGCTACACATATCTTAAATCTTGCCTTAAGAGAAGTGTTAGGTGATGAAGTTAACCAAAAAGGTTCATTAGTTGCACAAGAAAAATTAAGATTTGATTTCTCAAATAAACAAGGTTTAACTTTAGATCAAGTTGCTAAAGTTGAACAAATTTCAAATGAAGAAATTAAAAAATCACAAGTTGTTTATTCAAAAGAAGTTGCTTTAGATGTTGCTAAAGGTATTTACGCTGTTAGAGCTGTTTTCGGTGAAACTTATCCAGATCCAGTTAGAGTTGTTTCTATTGGTCAACCAGTTGAAGATTTATTAAATGATCCACAAAATCCAAAATGGCACGGTGCTTCAATTGAATTCTGTGGTGGTACTCATGTTGCTAAAACAAGTGATATCAAAGATTTCGTCATCGTTGAAGAATCAGGTATTGCTAAAGGTATTAGACGTATTATTGCTGTTACTGGTACTGAAGCTCATGAAGTTCAAAGAATTGCACAAGAATTTGAACATGAACTGATAAATGCTGGTAAACTGGAATTCAGTCCATTAAAAGAAAAAAAATTAAAAGAATTAGGTGTTAAATTAGGTCAATTAAACATTTCAATCTTAACTAAAAATGAATTGAAAAATAAATTTGCTGCTATTGATAAGAGTGTTAAAGATGAACTGAAAACACGTCAAAAAGCTGAAAGTAAGAAAACTTTAGATGCTGTTAAAGAATATTTCCAATCTAATGAAAAATCTGAATTCTTTGTTACTCATGTTGATATTGGTTCAAATGCTAAAGCTATTACTGAAGCTATCAACTATGTTAAATCTAAATTAACTGGTAAATCATTATACGTTTTCACTGGTAATGAAGATAAAGTTGCTCATGGTTGTTATATCTCAGATGAAGCTATTGCTAAAGGTATTGTTGCCAAAGAAGTTGCTGAACAAGCTACTAAACACATTGGTGGTAAAGCTGGTGGTAAAGGTAATGTCAGTCAAGGTATGGGTGATAAAGTTTCAGGTGTTGATTCAGCTGTTGCTGATATTCAAAAATTATTAGCTGAAAAACTGAACATCTAATTATGCTAATATCCATCACTAAAGCTATTTATCTCCATTTATTACAAGATATTTTGTCCAATTATACTTTGGACTTTTATTGCATTAGATCGCTTCCATTAATCATTATACCTATGTACTTTTACTATATATTAATCGCTCTAAATGAATAAATTGTTGTTATAATCATGAATGTAGATGTTTTGTAATGTATATTGGAATATGGGAACTTTAGCTTTGTATAATTGTGTTTTATTGTGCAAAATTATATCTATTTTCAATTTTTATATATATATCTATGATATATCTCTCATACTACGTATGAAAGTTGAAACTATATTGGTAACTTTTATTTCCACCTATAAACCACCTACAACTCCTGTTTTTTAAGGAAATCTTCTTTTTTAACCTCTACATGAACTACCAATGTTGAATTTTCATCTTCATCAACCTCATTAGGAATCAATAAAACTATTTTATCAGTCTTCTTTTTACCCTTTCCAATATCATTACCCACTGATTTACCATTCTCTTTTTCATTTGAATGGTTGTCTGATGTTTGTATATCTGATCCGTTGTTTTGAGGTTGGGGTTGATGATCTCTTTGAAAGGTGTTTATACATAACTTTATGTATATATGTGCCATTGTTTGATTCTCTATGAATCTACATTTTTGTCTTAAAGCTGCTTCATCTTCTTCAAATAACTCTGTAGCTGAATCACTATATTCTATCCTCTTCTGGTAGGTAACGCCTGGGTATTTGTTGATGAAGTAGACGGCTTTGAACAATGTTAGTGATTAAATTTATGGTGTTGATGCAGTCTGGAATACCCACACAGAATGTCTTCGACCTGTCTCTGTGTCAAACCAACCATAACAAAGCTGAATCAATTTATTTAAGAAGTGTCCCGTTATATCAAGTAGGTGATAGAAAAGGTTTAAGATTGTCTATTTGTTTTCTATTTAAATTTATATATCGGCGGCTAATTCATTATATCTTCAAATTCCAATATTACGGTTTTCCCATATAAGAATACACTTTTCGAACATTTCAACGAGCCAGTGTATAATCAACAATATCATTTGTGCATTAATGAAATTAATGAAGCAATAATACAACGTGATCTTCTCTTATTATTGATCCAATTTCCGTTAAAAGCATTCGGATTATAATGAGAGGTTTTATTCTAAGAAATAGCGCATACTATACTTACACCTAGCTTCTCAGTTATAAAATGGTCTGAAACTCCCTTTCTTGTATTATAATTGCTCCCATTATATCAATATACCTTTATCGAGGTTCCAAAAATGTCCAATACCTTTGCTCATTTTAAGACAGATTTTAATCTGATATACAATAAGCTAATCTCACAATATGATAATTCCATCAAGTTAGATGATCTTCCAAGAGAGATATTATATGAAATAGCACGATATGTAAGTCCATACAATCTCATGTTGACAAATAAGCATTTGTGCGACATGTTTGTCCCATATTATTATCAAAATATTCATATTTTTCTAGTATTATCAAAAACATTGAAGGTAAGGAATGTTGCCATAACTTTTTGGGACTTTGGATACAACAATATCCTTGATACTTATAGAGATAAAAAAACAACAATAAAAGATAGAATATTGAACTGTGCGAATTTTGATTATGAAGCATTAGATACCGATGTTAATTTTGATCGTTTAAATAAGGGGAATAATCTTTCAGAGTATCATAATGATTCGCTAGATTTTATGCCAAAATCTATATACAGATACGGACAGATACAGCATATTTTACAAAATACAATTGCCAATCCACATTCAAAGTTTAAGAAATATATCAAAAAATTATATGTTGATATATCAATATTTGATGGTTTTCCTCATCTTATAAGCAATGAAGAGTCTCCAGTTTATAAAAAATTAAAAAGTTTAAAGAAAATTCATAAGAAAAACATCTTTATGCTTCATCTTAATCCAAAAGAGATTGAAACGGAGACAGAAAGAGAAGTTACTCATGAGATATTTGAACGTCCGAACCAAGTGGGTATCCAATCCATAGCTATAAATTCCTATGCCAAAGAATTTGTTTTACTTGGTGTTCTATACAATTTCCATTATAATCACAGAAGGAAGAATTTCATGAAGCTTCGAACAATCGAAAAGGTAAAGCAGTTCAATGCTTATGAATGCTGGGAAGATAAAATGGAATCTATTAAACAAGATCAAATAGATTCTGAAAAATCTAAAGAGTTGATCACAAGAGAAGTATTTAGTGCTAAAGCTGCAATTATATTCAGGAAAAGAACTTTCATAAGTAAAAACATTGTTACTGAACTTTTGAATGATTTATTGGATGTTATAGGTTCATCACAAAACTTTGATTGTTCATATACAATAAATGGTATTTTATCAAATTCTTTTATTAAAAGTGAGCGAGGGCCTGAGTTTTTTGGTGAAGACTTCTTCAAGCTCAAACCAACTTTTATAGTTATAAATAAACCAAAGACTAATTGAAATATAATTCTATTCAGGGGTTTGCATATGATTTTAGAGTAGAATCAGAATGTATTAAATGTCTTTTGAAATTCTTTTATATTGCTTGAAGTCTCAGGACATATGAAATAAAAATTAAATGTTAAAAAAGCAATACTATGATCAAAAGAATCACTTTTCCCACCATAATATGATTCAAGTTGTTTATTGGCATAGTTCAAAACTGACAAAGAGGATGATTTAAAAGGAAGCTTCGTGATCACATAAAGAGCGTGATTCAAAAATTCCAAAAAGATCATCGAATCATGAAGATCATAATCAAACCCTTTATAAGGTTGAAAAAGCATAGATGGAACTCTTAGCCTGTCAACGCACTGGTATTTTGAAGATTCTGGATCCATAAGTGAACTTAAAACTTCTTCTTTGGTATAAAAGTTTCTCTTGTTGTTGGTATATGTCTTTATATTGGGTATGAAGTTTCGATAAGTGTGAAAATTCTGTGTAGTTTGACTAATTAGTTCTGATAGGAAACATTTGACATTTTTCCTCAATAGGATGAACTTATGAACCTCAGATTGGAATATTGTAGCTTTTTTTTCCTTATTGGGATTGAATCTTTCACTAGTCATTTTTTGTCTGATGGAACTGGATAAATAATCACTATGAATGTTCATGTTTAATCCACCAATATGTAAATTCTCAACTAATGATCTGAGGTCCTCTCTTGATTCAATTAATTTCAAAAATTGTAACCCTTTTGATAAATTTGTGACCAAAGTTCTTTGATTATAATTTATATGTAATGAATCACCCATTGTTTTATTCAATTTTTCCTTTGGTCTAAGTTCAAAATGGACACCTTCATGTCCAACTATGATATTGATACTTTCATATAATGCTTTCCTGAAGATGAAGTAAAAGCTTTTGCACACCGTGAAATATTTCAAGTTTGATTTTGGATCATCTTCATTCACAAATATTCTTATCAAGTCTATAATCTCAAGGGGTAAATTACCAATATGTTTTGTAGTTGAAACCTGATTCAACCCACCTTTAGCAAATATAGTTTCAGCTGGTTTGTATCTTGTGTACTCATGATTTGACACACCATCATGTCTTAAATGACAAATTCTTGATCTTTCATAAAATTGTGTAGGTTCATCTTGCGTCATGTTGGAAAATTTGAAATCTCAACGACCAAATAGCCAAAATCCGATTATCTAAAAACACAGCTCATACACAACAACAACAATTTCCCACATTTTTCTTCGAAATAGTGATATTTATATTCATCATAAATACAATAGCTCCATTAAAGACCCTCTGATACTTTGGATCCTTCTCAGCGTATACACCCTGTGATTCCTATTTACCGAGAAGTTTCTACTAGATCTGGAGAAGGGTACATTGAAAAATTGACACCAAAAGAAGTGCCAAACGGCTGAAGAATAACGAGCGGAATTTTAAGCGGACCTACTACCTGTCATCCAGATCTATGAGTGAATTGCTGAACAAAGTCTTTCAATAAAAGAGAGGAGAACCAGGAATCATGGCTCCATAATTCTGGTATATTTTGAGATAAACTTGAAGAATATTTAAGCACAAACGGATGTTTTTATAAACTGGATGACATAAACACAACGTTACAGCTTAGTAATCATTTACCAATATTTGAAGTATTCACTGCTCGGACATTGTCGGATATATAATTGATATTTTTCCTATACAAATTCTCATTACCAGTCATTAATTATGGGTTTAATTTTTGCCTATGAAAGCATCAAAAGTATCAAATATTGGATTTGGGTTTGTTAATTAAGATAAATGTAGGTTTCAATATCCCAAGATCTTCTGATGATGGTCTTTCAGGATTCTCAAATCCATTTCCATAATCCAAAAGACCACTCAACAAAAGAGAACATTCAAAATCATTACAAACTGAATTTGAACCCATTAAATCTACTAAATCACCCAATAATGTTTCAACGGTTTGTTTTGTAACAAATGTTTTATTCTCTAATATGACGCATCGCTGTAAATGATTAGCATGTTCTTTTATCACTTTTTCCTCTTCTTCGACAGTTTTGCTTCTAGAAAGAAGTAGGGTTCTCTTATTCCACATGTTAAACGGATCCAATCTTTTAACTCCCTCATGTGTCCTCTGATTTGATAAAGACATTCTTCTCTTATTGTAGTAGAAATGGTATTGCGCTCCAACTTGAGCAAATTCACACCAATATGGACTAATGTTGACAGTAAAATTTTTCGGTGTGGCATAAGTTTCAGTAATAAATGGTGAAACGTTGGCAATGTATGTTTTTCGCACATTAATTTATATGACATGCTTATTTCTATATTGTTTGATTTTTGGTGTGATATCAAAAGATCTCTATCTTTGTTTGTCTTAACTATACTCTTTAGCTTTTGTTTAACTAAAGATTTGTCACTGGTTATCAATTCTATGAATCCTTTGAGAATACAAACATCAATCATTACTCGTGATATATATCTCCTGAGTCTTGAATTCGGATTCTTAATAATATTTTCCATAATATGAATTATTTTATCATACTTATATACCACCTTGGGTAATAATATTTCTGGTTTGAAATTGTGAGAAAGATGTTCGTCTGCCTTTTGTAAATATTCAGCATCTACTGCAGTATCTAATATTGTATAATCAAATTTCGATTTTTCACTTATCTTCTGACTTTTAAAGCTGCATTTTCTATCTTTAGCCATATATTTTGGTGCATTCTAAACTATATGGGGAGTGAATACGACAGGAAATGATGCCTTTTGAAAGAGTTATATGTAATCTAAAAGTACTAAAAAAGGTAATATATATGTGAATAAATCTTTCAAAACCTCACATTAAGTGGTCAAACTAGAATTCATCATGGTTAGTGGGACGTGGGCAATATCTGGAAACTCTCATCTGCCCTATTTGGACGCTTATGTTGAGTATTAGTTTTGTTAGTCGGATGTGACTTCCTAATTTGGGGCTTAAACCCGTTATAATAATGATATATTATATCATCTTAAATGTTGTTATCCTACTAAAACAAACATTGCATGACGGTCAAATAAGCTCAATATTACTATAAAACTCAAAAGAATTAGTTTTGTAGGCACTTTTTTGATCATCAATTTTGACAATATTGACAATTTTGATTTTTATATATCAAGAAGTAGAGGCACTCAGAAGCTGAGAGTTGGCACATACAATTAAACAGGTGTTTCACAGTGGCTGAAGCAAAAACATTGTGATTTTATGTTGAATATAATGTGTTGTGTCTAGTATACTAAATTTACAAATTGCTGAATTGTGGGATATTAAATTATGATATCACACTAGGGATACCAAATAGTAAACTTTCGCGCCTTTGATTTTCTGTAATGATCATAATATGACCAATGACAGTCAGTTATTTTGCTTTAAATAAGCAAAACCTAAATTTTTGAAAAAATGTCGAAATTCCAGATTATTTATCCAGTAGGTAAAGATAAATCAACTGGAAAGCGTCTTAATTACATCAACACGGCTTGTAAAGTATTGGATACTTTTTGAATTTTCAAAATCGGGCAATTACTTTATGATATATGGGCTCTAAACATTCGAGTAATACCCATGTTAACAGAATTGTAAGCCATTTTGAAGGAACCAATGACTTTATCGTAAAGCAAGTAGCTCTAGGCAGATATTGGGCCGTTTTTAAAGCCATTTATAGATGCCTTTTGCGTTGAATCGCTTATAAAACATGCCTAATTTACAAATTTTGAACTAAATTATTTGCGAGTTATTCACCACTTCAAATATTAGGCTATATAGACAACGCTAACCAGTTTCAATAATTCAACGGTATGTTTTCCATTGTAAATCGTCTCATTTATTCAGACAATGTAGTGTTTGAACAATCTTTAGCATAAAAAAATTCAATTTGGTCATCACTTATAACTCTACCTTACTTTTACTTAAGGTATAGTACGTTTGGTGAATTTTATAAGAAAACATCATTCAACAAAGCTTATCTATATCTAACCTATTGTTCTGCACCGAATTAATTATACTTCTCATGTTTAATAAAGGTCTTTTACAAAACTGGATCCAATTTAAATGTTTCAAAGGGACTGTTATGGAGTTTAAACAATAACATCATATTTTTTGGCACTACATAACAAAAACGAAAATCAAGTAGCCAATGAGTAATACAGTACGTATTTAACACAGTTTGAAAGTGGATATAAAGTTGTTTGAAGCTCAAAAGTGTCAGACTGGCTATCTTTGTTGGCTTAAAGTTCACAAAATTAGCCGAAATTCGATAATAGTTGATTAAATTTTGATGATATATTTTGAATTTACTTAATAAAAAAGACAAGCACTTCTATATACCATTCAATTCAGATTCAGATCTAGTATTAGTGCATACAAGTAGTTTCATATTTTGCTCCGTCGTGTGTTCCTGGCACTTACTTTTTCGAAACGCTGACGAAAAGCATATAACCTTCAATGGTCCTCACAAAAATCACCATTTGTGAGATTTAACGCTTTCAACAACTTCAAACGCATTCGAAGCATTTTGAAATGGCCATTGGCTTGTAGTATAACATATATTTCTAAACAGTTTATGCAAGATTAGGCTAACTATGAACTGGTGAAATACTGGTCTTCATATTGCACTGGGTGTCTGGGTGTCTGGGGTGTGCTAACTTAATACATAAATCCAGATTTGCTCTTGCTGTAGGGGAAACGACACCTGCTAGTCCATTTCTTTGCAGCTTTATAAGCCATTCAAACTGAAATCTTTTGCTTGGTAATTTCACGCTAATATTTGGCCAAGCACGAGCTGTAGCTGCAGCTTGAGATTCTATTGTAGCGAAAAGCTATTGAATACCAATATAGTGGTAAATGTCGGATCATACACAAAAAATGCATATAGATGTATAAAGATTTTTAATATAAAGACTAGATTTTAGGTTTTCATCAATGATTTGACCTTGCTCACTTAAGTTTTGATTTTCAACGAAAGCTGGATGAAAATGATTCCCAATTCCCAATTGCAAATATGATTTTATCATGAACACCAATTGAATCATCAATAAAACTCACAGTACTAGATCCATCGAGTTTCTTAATCTTGGGCTTCATTATTAATTCAGGTTGTTCAAAAATTAATTCAATTCCTTCACATGACGTAGTTTTAACGTCGATTTTTCCAGATACAGTGATTGATTTAGAAAATCCAATCAAATTTGATAATGTCAACAGGGCTCGAATGAGATCCGATTATCAAGACGTCTTTATAAATTTGCAAATTGATCAAAGTCTTCAATTTCTTCACTGTGTAAGGATATTTGGATGTAATTGAATATGTTGATTCAAACTTTAAAGTAATAGGATAAATGGAACACTATAATGTCCATTTGCAGTTATTACAGCATCAAATTCCTCATGATGCTTCACAATAAATCAAGGAATTAAGGTCAATAGTCTTAGACTTCTATTGAATGCATGCACCAGACAGATGATATCCAACTATACTACCCATTATTCAGATTAATCTGCTTTGGATAATCATTTTGCTTTTTGAGCTTTATTAAATTCATATTTGATACTGATACCAAGTCGAGTACTCAAACACTCCAAGAAACCACTTATCTTATCTAACATCAGTTACTTCAAATGTTACTATAACTATTGAGAATTCTCTAAATAAATCCCCAATTATCTGGTTGTTCACAAGGAAACTGAATCAGTTAGGTCTATGGTTAATATTATTATCCATAGTACTTTCAGCTTCAACCAAATACAATATCAATCATGAAAATACTAAGCTCTCCACCCATTCTATTTTATTATTAGTTAATATTACTCAGCTCTAACAGTATCCATTGATCCTATCAATGCATTTCAGGAATGTCTACCTTTCACATCGTATAACGATGGCTACCCTTCCAACCTAATTAGAATATTCATACAATCAAAAGTTTGTTGAAAAAAGCAAAGCACTTATCTACAGCATAATAATTGTAAATCTTTTGAACTTACTTTACTGCATCTTATTCAACATACAAGTACCAACGGTACACAACTACCAACTTCCTAAAGGGGTATTGTAGTCGATAACAAAACAATCATTAATACCCACAGTATCCACATATTTTTTTGTACATATAAATAAGCAAAGTCACAAGAAAAGAGGTCGAAAACATTCTTCAACTGTTATAGAATCTTATCACAATGACTGTTGACAAAGTATCAGTAACTAAGAAGGTAAACAGTGTTGCAATCATCGGTGCTGGTGCTTCAGGTGCAGTCGCGGTTGATGTATTGAAAAAGGAAGAAGCTTTTGAAAAAATTAAAGTATTTGAAAGAAAAAACTCATTTGGTGGAGTTTGGCATTTAGATGAAACCCCTGATTTTATCAAAGTTGCCTCTGGTTCTAATGAAACTGAAAATGATCCACAGCTGGAAATTCCAGAAAATTTAAAAGATAATGGTGAAAAACTTAGTGTTTCAAGAAGTAATAAGGCAAGATTTATCAATACACCAGCTTATGAAAATATTAAAACTAATGTACCTGAACATTTCATGACATTTTCAGACAATCCAAACTGGCCAGATGATAAAAAACCTGTTGATGAGCCTTTTACTACAAGACGTTATGTGGCTCAATATATACATGATTATATTCAACCAAATATTGAACATGTCACATTGAGAACAACTCTAGAGAGAATTGATAAAGATTATTCTAATCTTCAAAATCCATTTATCTTAACACTAAGACAAGAAACTGATGTTAAGGATGCAGAGGGTAAATTTGTTGACCTCTGGTGGAAAGAATCATTCGATGCGGTTATTCTAGCAACAGGTCATTATCATGTTCCTCATATTCCTTTTGTTGAAGGTCTTAATGATGTTTTAGAAAAGTTTCCTGAAAGAATTGAATATGCTAAACAGTTTAGAGATCCAGAAAGATACACAGGAAAGAGAACTTTGGTGGTTGGTGCCTCGGCTTCAGCGTTGGATATTGCCTTTTTATTATCGAAATTTTCCAATGAGGTTTACCGTTCAGAAAGAGACCATGAGGAAAACTCAGCCGTTAGAAAAATCAATATTGATTTGAAAACCACCATTAAGCCTATCATTACAAAATATGAAATTACTGAAAATGGCTTTAACGTTGTTTTTTCTGATGGTACTATTTTAGAAAATCCTGATTTTGTCATTTATGGTACTGGTTATGATTATTCTTATCCATTTTTAAGACATTTATGGCCAAACTTTAGTGAAAAGGGTGTTAGATTACCAGAAAATTTCCAACATACATTTCATATTCCAGATCCTTTAATTTCAACCCTGGGTGTTCCTGTTGGTGCTTTAAGTTTTAGAGCGTTTGAATATCAATCGATACTTGTTTCACGATTCTTATCTGGGAAAATTGATTTACCATCAAAAGAACAACAATATCAATGGGTTAAAGATAGAGAGAAAAATATTGGTATCAATAGAAGATTCCATGCTATTGGATCTGAAAACGTTGTGAAATATTTGCAAGATCTTACAGATTTGGGTGGTGGTGTTGAAGCAATAGGCGAACACGGAAGAAAATTTCCTGTAGTAACACAAGAACAAGTTCTTCAATGGAGAGATAAGAAAGAGGCTATTGTTGCGAAATGGCAAAATCAAGCAGATGTGGGATTATCGTGGGGTTAAATTGAATACAAGATTAAATAGAATATTTATTTATTTATATAAATGCATTTTACTATTTTAAAATACCATTTGTGACCATGTAATACAAAATAACATCAAACCGAATAATACAAACGTTATCACTTTTGCCAAATTTTTAAAACTGAACCCCCATAAGTAGACATTAGATCTATCGATCATTCTCCATGAGTCTCAATTAATTTGAATCCGTTATATCTGGTAGGTATAAATATAGAAAAGTAATTAATAAATAATCCATACATTAACAAATTCTATTGACATCATACATCTATATCAGCCATTAATTCAATTGAAAAACGCCAAATTCAGCCTAAGAAAGTGGTTTGGGATTCCATAACGGGTAATAATCATCAAGACCGATAGTATCTCTCTTTAGTGCTTCTTTTTCTCTTTTCTTTCGTTCTATTATTGCATTTTTTTTTCTTCTATTCTCTTCCCTCTTTTGATTATTAACCTCAACTCTAACAAATGAACCTCTTATATTTTTTGGAAACATAACTTCATTACAAATTCTTGGTCTAACATAAGTTTGAACAAAAAAATCTAAATCCTTATCATTCATTCTTGGTTTAATACCCCTTTGACGATATGCATTGGCCTGTGGAAAGAATTTTTCATCAAGAAATTTTTGAACTTTAGGAATTATAGCATCTGATATTAAACCTTCATCAGAATTAAATCCCAACCTGCCATATAAATGTGCAAGAAATGTTTTACTATAATCACCTTTATAATTTACATACATTGAATCAACATCTTTGGTATCAATTGGAAGAACAACATGTTTGAAAAAATCGTTGTATTTGAAATCAATGGTCTCTTCTGGATGTTTAGATTTATAGATAACAGTATATTCATCTTGATGTAACTTTAATGTAATAATTTGTAAATCTTGTGAAAAGTTGGTGATTGCACAATATTCACTCTTTGTGGTGTCAGTAGGAGAAAATCCAATCACCCTATGGAAGAGAGTAGCCATATGATGTACCACCTCTAGTCTATTGAATAGCAAGCCCATGTTGTGATGTCGTGATGATTTCTGATTGAATAGAAAATGTATGTTGATTTGACTTTTATTGTTTTTGTTTTTGGTTTTGGTTTTTTTTTTCATCTTCTTAAAAAAATCTACAATTGATTTTTGATTAATTCTTCTACGACCACGTACAATCACTATATCAAAATCAAAAGAACCAACAATGAATTTAAATGTTTATAATCTAGAGGATGAAGCTAAGAATGCAACTGATAAGATACTAAATACCAAGATGGATGTTTTCTTCTATATTGGAACATTCAATATGCGTGCAAAAAAGGCCAAAGTCATACGAGAACTTCGTGATGAAAGAAGTATAACAAAATATTATGATACCAAACCAGAATATCCTATCAGTGTAATTGATCTTGGCACTGGTGATGATTTTATGTTTTTTGTTCGTTCGGTGATCTATGTCGGTGCTGTTTCTGTTCATGTTAAATGGTCAAAATATTTAGCTAATGAACCATTTCCAGCAAGTGAAAGATATTATCAATCTCATATTTTCGGTAAATATCAAGTTTTAATTAGTTATTTGGCTGGTAAATTCAATGAAGTTGATGCAAGAAATAGATCATATTTATCTGGGTGTACAAATGAATGTTGTGATTCAGATAGGCATCTTGAGAATAAAGATATGGTCAAAGCTCTTTGCGTTCCAGCGTTTTGCAATGAATTTATACCCAGAATGCTAGCTAATGAAAGTGACGATGAAAGTGATAATGAAAGTAGTGAGCTTGAATTTCCAGAAAGTAGTGATGATGAAGAGGTCAATAGATCTAATCACAGCAGTTTCAATAATTTACATTCTGGAAATCGTTTTAAAGTTGAAGGTCCTGTGACTTATCCATCTATTGCAACAGGTGGTGTAAGTGGACCCTTGTTTGGAACAAAAAAAGGTCACCCATTTGGAAGATCTCAATAGACATTTAAATACATACAATGGAAATTATTTCTAATATCAGACATTTTTTAGATCAATGAAGATGATTTCAAAAAAAAAAAACGATATCGAAAGCAATTCTTGAACTTCAATATATATCTAAAGAATAGACACATTACATTGTGCAAAAAGGAAAGAACATCGAAACAATTGAAAGTTCAATTTCAATTATTATATAGCTTGAAGCCTTACACTATCGAAATACTACATTACAAGTATATATGAGTTTCTGTAAATACCTTAATTGTGTATCATTTACTGTTATATATATATACAAAACATCATAATAACTTATCAACATCTTCAGTCAATTCTAACCTTGTTGATTCAAAATCAATCTCATTGACTTTCAATAACCCTTTTTTAAAATAAAAGTAATCATAACAGCCCCATATAATAAAGAATAATGGCAACATGATGTAGCCATCAATAAACGATTTGTAATCAAATGGGACAAAACATGTCCATCCTTGAACCAGAACTAAAACAATTCCCAACCCAGCACCAAAATAACTTCCATATGGGAAACATGGTGCCAAATATGGAATATTATCCAATGGTAAATTCCTTTTAATCCAAGCGTATCTAAATCTTAAATGAACCCCACAAATACAAACCCAAACAATGAAAGTTGCCACTCCAGTAACTGATATTATATATGTATAAGCAACACGTGAGCCTGAACTATATGACAATATAGCTAAAAAGCTAAAAATATGAACAAAATGGATTGCAACATATGGTACACCTTTTTTAGTAACTTTTGTGAAAATTTTAGGACCATAACCTTCTTGAGCCCATGCAAATAAGGATCTAGATGCAAAATATATTGCAGTATTTATTGAACTAAAACAAGTTATCCATATAAAAGTTGTAACAAAATATTTTGAATTGGTCCAACCGGCATTTGTTAATGCAATCATCATTGGTGATTTTAAAACACCATCACCTGAATTTAAAATGGGATCATTATATGCCACTGTGATACCATAGGCAATTGAAAGACCAATATAAACATAAAACACTCTATAAACAGTACTTTTAACAGCACTTGGAATAGCTTTTCTCGGATTTTTAGATTCCATAGTTAATAAGGATATTCCTTCAACACCCGCATAAAAAACTCCAGCATAAACAAATGAACTTGCTATACCTTTAAACCCTGAATTTAAAGGATATTTCCCAAAAGGATTATCAGGTTTATGATTTGGAATACCACCACTTGCAAAAATTATTGCAAAAAGATAAAATCCAGTTATGAAAATCAATTTAAACATTCCCAAGATATATTCACTTTCACCCCACCAACTTATTTCTAAAGTTTGGAAACAAGTGAAAATGGTGAAGAAAATTAAAAACCAACCATACATTGGGATTTTAGTGGTATAACTTTGAAGAGCTGCAGTTAATGATGTGTATTCAGAAATTAATATTGTAACCCAAATTATAACATAATAAAGTGATATTGTTGCACCAAAACCTTTAGATATAAATCTTGACCCCAAGATTGCAAAATTTTCATCATAAATTGAATTCAATTCACCAACTGCAAACATCATAAATATGACCAAAATACCGACAATTCCAAAACCAACAATCATTGAAACAGGACCACCTTTTGCCAACATATTACCAATACCAATAAACATACCTGGTCCTATAATTCCACATAATGCAATTAAATTAATCATTCTATTTTGTAGACCAGCTTTCAATCCATTTTCTTTAATCACATCACCATTTGAATCTTTATGAAGTATCACATCAGTTAGTGATCCAACTTCTGCAGAATTTACTGAACCATCTTCTACCGTAAATTGGTTACTCTTCATGTTTGGAATCCTATATGTAAACAAGAACCCCTTTTACATCATAGATCATATTGTTGGTACTATAATGAAATCTCCCCATGTATTTATACAACTGATGTTATCTTATCATAGAAACGGGATCCCATAAAATTGTAGATAGCCTTATCAAAAAAATCCACACTATCATACACAGTTCTTGGTTTTCTCTTAATACTTAAAATTATATTAACAAAAATCTTACTTATATAATTTGTTACATAACCTTGAACAAAGAAAAAAAAAACGCTGATAAGGAAAACACAATTATCAGATCTGGAAATTCTTTACCATTATCAAAAAGAAGCTATTCTTTAGTTATCTACACGCAATGCCAAAGATTGTTGTTTTGGGAGCTGGTATCATCGGTTTATATACAACTTTTGAGCTGGTTTATACCTTGGGAATTGATGCTAAAGAAATCACAATCATTGCAGAATATTTTCCTGGGGATCAATCAATAAATTATACTTCACCATGGGCAGGTGGGAATTTTTCATGTATAACTTCAGATGATTCAGAAACACTTGAAAGTGATAGATTCACTTACTCAAATCTGAATAGAATTTATAAAGTTCTTGGGTCTGGTAAAGGTTTGGCTATGATGAAAAGTACTGAATTATTTGATAGACATCCAAGTGCAGCTAAATTAGATTCATTGAAAAGTTATTTAATTGATTTTGAACCATTAGAATCTTTACCAAATGGTGTTGAATATGGTTTCAATTTCAAAGCATGGAATTTCAACTGTCCCCTTTTCCTATCAAACTTGTTAGATCATTTTATAAAATTGGGAGTTAAAACAATCAATAAAAGGTTAACACATATCTCAGAAGCTTATTATACAAATTCTATCAAAACTGTTTTCAATTGTACTGGATTAGGTTCTTTAAAACTTGGTGGTGTTGATGATTCAAAAGTTTATCCAACAAGAGGTCAAGTTGTAGTAATTCGTGCACCTCATATTAAACAAAGTAAGATGAGATGGGGTGAAGATTATGCTAATTATGTTATTCCAAGACCAGATTCTGAAGAAGTTGTGTTGGGTGGATTTCTACAAAAGGGTAATTGGACTGGTGATACTCTTAAAATTGAAACTGATGATATTTTACAAAGAATGGGAAAACATATGCCAGAAATTTTTGAAAAACCATTAGATATTATTCGAGTAGCTGCTGGACTTAGACCAAGTAGGCATGGAGGGGTGAGAATTGACTTGGAAAAACGAGACAATGGTCAGACTTTAATTCATAATTATGGTGCAAGTGGGTATGGATATCAATCAGGTTTAGGAATGGCATCTAAAGCTGTTAAACTTTTCGAATCTCAAAGGATAAAATTGTGAATTGTGAATATTTTTATAGTAATTTATGAGGGGTTACAAGTTCCGCATTAACACGGATATTTCACCGGCTTTTTAAATTTCCGACAAGAAAGTAGAATTTTACGAATTCGAGCAAATGATGGAGGACTTAAATTCATATTACACATTACGTCTTCGAAGACCTCTTTGATTTGCTTCTCCACAGATTCAAGAATAAGCGACGATTCAAGAATACATTGGCCAAGTGAATTAGGATTCTTGGTTTATTAAATAAGCGTGATGCGTTATACTCCAACTTTTATTCATTTGTGATATTTTTTACGTCTGATCATTGATGAGTTTGAAGGAAAAAGCACTATTAAATGATGAAGTTCAGTATCCATATATTCACGATCCGGTTGATTCATAGTAATAAAGTTTACAGATATCGACTCCATTAACCAAATGTGGAAATGTTTCAATGTGTTGAGTTTTATGACACATTGCACCAAGCTCTAGTTTGAAGACCAAAACCCAAAACGATGTCGATCCGACATGAATTCAATAAAGAGAGCTATAGGTATATAATAAACTAATCAGTACCATATTATTTGAAGCTTAAAGCAACAATTTAATTTCACTGTGTCTTTTCAATATCATCAACAAAATGTCCAAGATAATTTATGATGATAAACCTGATGATCAATTTATTGAAAACATCAACACTAATGATAATACTTCAACAACATCACAAAGTGAAACCAGTCCAAATGATGAAGATTTTAGTGATATAAATGAAGCTAAACTTTTAAGAAAACTTGATATTCGTTTGTTACCAATTGTTTCTTTCCTATACCTTTTAGCTTATTTGGATCGTGGTAATATAGGTAATGCAAAAATTGAAGGCTTACCAGAATCATTAAACTTAACACCTGAAAGATATAACTTATGTTTGACTATTTTTTTCATAACTTATGCCTTGTTTGAAGTTCCTTCAAATATGTTGATGAAGAAAATTGGACGTCCAAGTATTTTTTTAGGATCAATTATGGTTGCATGGGGTATTGTTATGACCATGATGGGTGTTGTTCAAGGATTTAGTGGGTTATTTGTTACAAGATTACTTTTAGGATTATTTGAAGCAGGGCTTTATCCAACATTGGCTTATTTAATGAGTATGTGGTATTGTAAAGGTGAAATGCAGTATAGACAAGCTATTTTACATGGTTCAGCTTCAGCTGCTGGTGCTTTTAGTGGCTTATTGGCTTTTGCAATTGCTAAAATGGATGGTGTTGGAGGTTATGAAGGATGGAGATGGATTTTCATCTTGGAAGGACTATTAACTGTTATTGTTGCTGTTGCTTCTTTCTTCTTGATGTATGATTTCCCAGAAACTGCAAACTTTTTAACTGAAAGGGAACGTTCATTTGTTATTCATAGATTGAAATATGATTCAAATAAATCTAAAACACCTTTAAAATCTTCAAGATTTCCTCCAGATTTCGGTAATTTCACTGAAGATGATGATATTAATTTAAAGCAAGCATTAAAAGCAGCTTTAAAAGAATGGATTCTTTATGTCCATGTCTTGTTATATTATGGAATTATTACACCAACTTATGGATTTGCATTGTTTTTACCATCTGTTGTTAAAGAATTGGGTTATTCAAGTTCCCATGCACAATTAATGACTGTTCCGATCTATATTACTGCATCAATTATTTCCATTGTTGTTGCTTGGTTTTCGGATAAGGCTGGTCTAAGATCACCATTTATTGCAGGATCTTTAGGTTTAGTCGTTCTTGGATATACACTTGCACTTATTGGTAATGAAATTGATTATCCAAACTTGGTTTATGGTGGTGTTTATGTTGCTGGAATTGGTGTATATTCTGGTTTCCCAGGTCTTGTCAGTTGGGTTGCATCATCATTGATGAATTCTAGGAAAAGAGCTATTGGTATGGCATTACATTTAGGTATTGGGAACTTTGGTGGTAGTTTTTCCTCAAATTTTTATAAACCAAATAAATATAGTATGGGTCATGCTTTAGAAATTGGATTTGCAGTTATGGGATTATTAGCTTGTGCATTTATTGCAACATATTATAAATATCAGAACAAAAAGAAACAAAGGGATTTGGATTTGGGTAAATTTGATCATTATTCAGATAAACAACTTTATCAAATGGGTAATAATTCCCCATTTTATAAGTATACTTTGTAATATTCTCTGCTGGTTCAGATTAATATATAATGTTTACATGAATGAATATTCAATATTGTTGCTGTTTCTATTAATTCTATACAGTGTAGTTTTTAATAAAGAATAATTTTTTTTCCTTCATATTTTTTCAATAAAGTTGTTAATTTTGGCTCATCCAATATTGAATGAGATTTTTGATCTTGGTATGTAGTATCTAAAATTAGTGATTTAACTTCATGAGATCCAAAATCAAAGTTTAACATTTTTTCAACTGTTCCTAAAACATATTTTGTATCATCACGAACTTTGGATTCATATCCTTTTCCAACTTTCATTGCTTTACTCTTTGGTCCTAAAGCTTTATATAAATCACCAATCCTTACTCGACTTATTGATAATATTATGGTTAAACCTTTGTTATACTTATCAGTGAAATCTTTGAAATTATCCAGATTTCTTGTTTCTTTATAGTTTGAACCATCAACAAAATCACTTTTTTTAAAATAATCTAAATGTGTTGAATCTTTATTAAATTTAATCAATAATTGTGAAAAATGATGAGCAAGATCTGTTGAATTTAATTGTGGGATTTTCTTTTTTGTGTTTATATCTTGTTCCATCTTGACTCTTTTCTTTTCTTTGTATTTATCGTCTGTTTTTCTTCTTTTTTTACCAGTTGGTTGGTTCTCTTTACTTTCAGTTTCTTCTTTTTTTGAAGGTTTAACAATTTCATCTTCAGATTCATCTTCTTTAATTTCAACCCCTTCAGCTTCTGGTTCAGAGTCGACTTGATAGTCTAAACCATCATCTAAATCATCTGGATTGTTACTCATCTCTTATTATCTAGTCTATTCCTCGGTGAATATAACTTGATGCAACTAAATTAGTACAGAAATTATGTAGATATAAAGAGGAAAGATTTTTTTTTTAAAGATGA